CATGCAAAATTGTGCATATTAGAATAAATGTACATGAAAATGCAGGCGGATTTTCATGAGGGTTTTTCTTTAAAATCAATCAATCACAAACTAATATGGAGATTGTGGAGACCCAAATTTAAGATTGAAAACCCTCCGCAAAAATCTGAAATTGGCAGATTCACTCATCCCTTACCCTCCGGGCATGCTTTTGCTGCCATAGATGTTCAGAATCCACACACTTTTAGAACTGTTTAGTACAGGGATAGAGGAATCTCAGGCCTGGGATACATATGCGGCCCTCAGGTCCTCTCTATATGGACCTCCCCAAGCCCATCCCTCAGTGGTTCCCTTCAGGATGAAGACATGTGTAAACAGAGAAATTCTGGGTTTTGCATAGCTGGAATGAACCCTACTGTTGCTCCATTCACTTTTGACGGCCCCATCCACCACAGGCATGGGTTCCTCCCCCAGAAGGGAATGTGGCTATCAGGCTGAAAAATGTTCCTTCTCCAGCTTTTAATTATAGGAGTCAACAATCAGGACAGAGCTCTACATTATTATTATTATTATTATTATTATTATTATTATTATTATTGCTCTTATTAATTACTTACTCTTTGGCATCAATGTTGGCCCTTGCAGAAAGATAACTGCCTAGGTAGGAGACGTGATCAGCATTTTCCAACGTTACACCATTGAGTTGGATTTGCGGCGCTGCAGAGGGGTTACTGCCAACCTTACTACAGTGGTACCTCGGGTTAAGTACTTAATTCGTTCGGGAGGTCTGTTCTTAACCTGAAGCACCATTTTAGCTAATGGGGCCTCCTGCTGCCACCGTGCCGCCGGAGCACGATTTCTGTTCTTATCCTTAAGCAAAGTTCTTAAACTGAAGCACTATTTCTGGGTTAGCGGAGTCTGTACCCTGAAGCGTATGTAACCTGAAGTGTATGTAACCTGAGATACCACTGTATATGCTTGTGAAACATGGACTACTTATAAACGCCATCTCCAGCTCCTCAAAAGATTCCATCAACGTTGTCTCCAAAAATTTTTACACATCACTTGGGAAGACAGGCGAACAAATATCAGTGTACTGGAAGAAGCAAAGTTCACCAGTGCTGAAGCAATGATTCTTCAACATCAACTTTGTTGGACTGGTCATGTTGTGAGGATGCCTGATGATAGTCTTCCAAAGCAACTACTCTATTCTGAACGTAAAAATGGAAAGCGTAATGCTGGTGATCAATGAAAGAGGTTTAAAGATTGTCTCAAGGCAAATCTAAAAAAATGTACAATAAATACTGACAACTGGGAAACACTGGCCTGAGAGCGCTCCAGTTGGTGAACAGCCTTTACCAAAGGTTTCATGTGCTTTGAAGACACTCGAACTCAGGACGCAAGGGAGAAACGCGCTAAGAGGAAGGCACGCTTGGCAAATCCACACCATGATCAACTCCCGCCTGGAAACCAATGTCCCCACTGTGGAAGGACCTGTGGATCCAGAATTGGCCTCCACAGTCACTTACGGACTCGTTAAAACCGTGTTTATGGAAGACAATCTTACTCAGCTACGAGTGATCGCCAAAGAGAAAGAGAGAGAGAGACTTACTCTTTATCAGCAGCTCCCAGAGCAGGTTACAATGATTTCAAGTTCAGAATTAAAAACAGTTAAAGCAGATTACAGTCACAGGAGTATTCATTATTATTTATCCACTGCATTTAAATCCCACTTTTTCTCCTAGGAGCTCAAGGTGGCGTCCATAGTTCTCCCCCCTCATTTAATTCCCACAAAACCCCTGTAAGTTAGATCAGGCTGAGAGGCAGTGACTGGGCCCCAAGGTCATCCAGTGAGCTTCTTGGCCATGTGTGTGTGGGGGGGAAGGGACTTGAACACTCTGTGGGCCCTAAACACATACGCCTCCATTTTCAAAAGCTGGAATAAAGAGGTGCATCTTCAGCATTCACCGTAAGTTGTGTAATGAAGGTGCCAGTTCCGGAAGGGAGTTCCGTAGTTCAGGGGCCACCACAGAGAAGACCCTCTCCTGGGCCACCCCACCCCACAGGCTTCTGAGAGTGGAGGAACTACCAGGGTACTGAGTAAAGTTGAACAGTACAGTCGAAGAATATTCATTATTATTTATTAATTGAAAACAAATATTTAAAATAAATAAAATAAGTAAGTAAACAAGTGTATGACTAGAGAGAAGACTTCTACCTTGCCTCAGCCTACTTCCTTGAAAATAATGCTCAGCATGGCAAAATTTCATGCTGTTATCCTTAAGCTGTTTTATTTATTATCCACCTTTCCCCTCCGGGAAGCTAATGGTGACAGGCATGGTTCTCCCTCTCCTCATTTAATCCCCACAACAACAACCCTTTGAGGTAGGTTAGGCTGGGAGTGAGTAACTAGCCTAAGAACAGCTAGTGAGGTTCATGGCTGAGTGAAGATTTGAACCCTGGACTCCCAGGTCCTGGTCCAATGCTCTAACTACCATGTCATGCTGACTCTCAAATAGTTGGTTAATCTGGTTAATCCATGGTTAATCAGGAAAGAGATTATCACTTCTCTGACTGAACATCACAGACATAGGACTCAGCTATACAGCTGCAAATATAACGTTTTAAGAGCTTTTTAAGTGCATTATACAAATGTGACACTAGATGGTGATGGTGAGCTTATGGCAAATTCAATATTTTTTCAAAACGCTTTTTAAAAAAGCATTTTCATAGTGTTTTTTTATATTCCACCATAAACAGTAGGGAGTTGGGCTAAGCCCATGCACTGAAAATGCAACAGTTGCCATGAATATCCAGAGCTTTGATACAGAGCAAACCTTTTGGTTTCAGCCCTTCCAAATCCACTCATGGTAGCCGGATAAGAGGAGTGTTTCACCCAGGAAGCAAATTGGGAGCCAGGCCAGCCATCACTAACTGATCAACTTCCCCTACAGTTTCTGATGTCGGCTGGTTCCATAGATTCCTGTCAAAACAGAATATTTGCGAAGCCTGTCACTGAAATAAGCGAACATGATCAAAGCAGATCTTTGTTTTTTTAACAGTTCTGGGTTCTTCAAGTTCTTTCAAAGGGTAACCAAGGAGAAAGGAGAAGAGGGTGCAACTCCAATATTTTTTTAAAATATAGCATTGTAGGAAAATTGACATCACGCGGCAAATCCGTTGTCATTTTTGTTATGGACAGGAGCCTTTCATTTAACATTTTGGATCCAATTCATGTGTTCCAGAAACTGCCAATGAAAATATAATATGTTGGTTCTGTAGTTGGAAAGAATCCCAGCCAGTAAGTCTGGAAGTCAGAGGCTGAACAAATCCCTCTCGTCACTGCAATCCTGGGCTGTGGGTTTGGTTACTTGCTTCCTTAAAAAACCCCACTGGGTTTAAAAAACAGCAACAAAGTCATGGGACAAAGTGAAATCCAAGGCTTGGACCAGCCAATCAGGCCCTGATGGAAAACACTTCTTCTTAGAGGAGCTTCCAAGGATCCACTATAATGTTTATGTTTGTGATTTAGCGGCTTCTTTCCTTTCATCTGTTCTGCAGATCTGTTACATGGAAGTCTAGGTAGCAAGCAAGAGAAGTTCTGACCAGGAATGGGCAACCTCGCTTCTGTTCAGAAGAACAGAAGAAGAGCCTGCTGGATCAGGCCAATGGCCCATCTAGCCCAGCATCCTGTTCTCCAAGGGGAAGCTTCCAAGCAGGATAAGAGGGGATGCAAACCCACAGAAGCAGGGAGAATGCAGTGGGTTTCTTTGTTCAGCAGAAAAACATGCTTCGGACAGAAAACCCTGCCATGATCCCTGAGAGTGATAAGCCAGGCTGCCCAGCACCTGGATGGAAGACCTTCCCCACAACAACAACAACAATTAATTTCTCCCCATAGAGGTGAATGGTGACAGTTTAGATGGGAGGGGGAATAAATAGATAAAGCCCCCCCCCACATGTCACTGATAACTGAACCTAGTCATAGGAACCCAAGAAGCTGCTTTCTGGGGACTCAGACCATTGGTCCACCATGCCCAGTATTGTCTACAGCGACTGGCAAGAAGTATCCAGGGTTTCAGGTATGGAATGTATCCCAGTCCTACCTGACGTTGCCATTGAGGATTGAACACAGAAACTTTTGTCAAGCAAATCAGGTGCTCTACCATTGACCGTGGATGGTGCTGTGGGTTAAACCACTGAGCCTAGGGCTTGCTGATCAGAAGGTTGGCGGTTCAAATCCCCGCGATGCGGTGAGCTCCCGTTGCTCGGTCCCTGCTCCTGCCAACCTAGCAGTTTGAAAGCACGTCAAAGTGCAAGTAGATAAATAGGTACCGCTCCAGCGGGAAGGGAAACGGCGTTTCCGTGTGCTGCTCTGGTTCGCCAGAAGCGGCTTAGTCATGCTGGCCACATGACCCGGAAGCTGTACGCCGGCTCCCTCGGCCAGTAAAGTGAGATGAGCGCCACAAGCCCAGAGTCAGCCACGACTGGACCTAATGGTCAGGGGTCCCTTTACCTTTACCATTGACCCACCGCTCTTCCCCCAATTAGGAGTTTAGAATCTACCAGCCTGGATAGCTCGGTTGGTTAGAACATGGGGTTGATAATGCCAGTCCCTGTAAGGGACAGCTGCCTATTCCTGCACTGCAGGGCATTGGATTACATGACCCTCAGGGTTCCTTCCAACTTTATGATTCTATTTGGGGTGGCGGTGGGGACTTCAGGTAGGCAAATGATTTTCCCGTTTAAAGCTGTCCTTTTTCCAAACACGCTCCCCCCGCAAACGAACTTGTAGAAAAAAAGGCAGGGGGGATGACTAACCGAAAAACAGAAAAATAAGGAGCAGGAGGGGTGTGTGTGGTTGTCTGTCTGTCTGTTAAAAAGCAAACTTTTTTGTCGATTTCAGAGGAGGGAGGGGAGGGGGCAGCTCCTCTTGAGTCAGTTTCAGGAGAAGGGAGGGGAGGAAGGCTTCGTCAGTTTCAGCAAAGGAGGGCCAACCTCTTGTCAATTTCTGAGCCAGGGGAGTCGTGCGAAAGAAAGAAAAAGAAACCAACAACTTTGGTCTCTGAGCGGCTCGAGAAGAAGCCAGAGAGAGTTTTGTGGGCTAGGCTGAGCAAGGGGAAATTGGGGGCGCGCTCCCTCGCCCTGTTTCCCCTCTCTTAGACGTCGACACGAGGCAGACCGAGATCTTCCCATCTCTTTTCCCTGGGAAACCACAGCCAGGAAGAGCAAATCGGGGGTGTAGCGGGGGTCATCAGAACTTTTTTTTGGGAGGGGAGTAAGAGGGGGGAAAGGCAAGGAGAGCCGGATCGCTCGCAGTCTCCTGGGTTTGTGGGTGCTGGTGAGCCGGGGTGGGTGGGGGGTCAGCAGGCGCCCTGGAGCCCCCCACCTCCGCGATGGACGCTGTGGCAGCCTTCGGCATGGATAAGCAATTTGCCCCGAACCCGGTGCGGATTTTGGACCCTCCGGACAACCCCCAGGCTCGGAAAAACTTCAGCGTCAGCCACCTCCTGGATTTGGAGGAAGTTGCCGCCGGCATGAATGGGGCAGCCAAGGAATCCGGCGCAGAGGCGAGGGAGAGCGGCAAGGGCGGGCCGGACCCCTCTGGGGGCAGCAGCGGGAGCGAAGGAGGAGGCGCCCTTCGGGAAGGTGAGCGCTTTTTAGATGAAGGGGGGAAGAGGAAAGAAGAGGAGATGTCCTCAGACTTTCTTTTTGAGGGGGGTGTACTAAAGAATCTGTGACGATAGGATGTCCGGACTCATCCAACATCTGTGAAATGGGTAGGAAATGCCAGCCAGGCCTGGGGGAATCCACAAGCTTTCACACGCTGGCAGCTTTGCTCGCAGCTCCTCATAAAGTCCACCTACTTGGGAGTCAGCCCCACTGAATTCAAGAGGACTTGACTTATGAGTAGACATGATCCAAATGGTGCCGTTTATGGCAGATTTGGGGCCTGATCATGCCCGTTGTAAAGCATTTCACAGTAATCACACAGTGATCCTCATCAAAACACCATCCTTTATATTCCCCCCCTTTCTTATTTCATCTAAATTTTATTGTTTATAATTTTTTGGGTTTTCCACAAAAAATGGCAAATCCAGATTAATTGGTGAAATGAATAACAGGTGGTGTTTTGATGAGAACAGCATTGTGTGGATGCTGTGTTGAACTTGTGTGCAACAGCCATCCCAAATCCACTATAAAGTAAGGTGTGCATAGGTTCCTTCCACATCTTCCTTAGTGGAAGCAAAAGCGCTGTTGAAATTGGTATCCAATTGGGCCCTGTTCCTTCCATTGGGCCTTGCACTTTGTATTTTTTTCTGCAGGATTGTGCTCCTCTCTCTCTCTCTCTCTCTCTCTCTGTCTTTCTTGCATCTTTTCATAATCACACACTCTGAGTCTGGGTTTATAGGACCAGCATCCTTTCCTGCACAGTGCCTAGCATGTAGTCCCTTTGCATTAATCTGGTTGGCCACTGTGAGAACAGGATGCTGGACTAGATGGCCCCTTTTGGGGGTCTCTTTTTAGGTGCTTAGGTTCTATATGTTAGCTCCAGGGTCAGAGGCAGCAATGCTTCTGAATACCAGTTGCAGGAAACTGCAGAAGGGGAGAGTTGCTGTTTCCAAGGGCATCTGGTTGGCCACTGTGAGAACATGATGCTGGACTAGATGGGACATTGGCCTGATCTTACATCCCTGCTATTTCAATGACCAGTAGTTCCAGTGGTTAGCAATAGATTCCCCTCCCCCCCCAGGCCTTGGAAACTGGGGAAAGAGGTGGGGGTTTTGTTTGGCAAACAGACATCTTAAAGCCATGGAGAGGGGTTTTTGCAGTTCATCTATGCTCTGAAATATGTTTGTGCATGAGCAAACGCCATGGAGACTATTATAAGCATCGTGAAATGTGACATCATGACAACAGCCACACATCCAAGAAGATTCCTTCTTCTTCTCTTTCTCCTTCTTCTTCTCCTTCTCCTTCTCCCTTCTTTCAGGATACAAATTCTTCAAAAGGAGGCTTACAAGAAACATAAAATTTATATGCTGCTTTTCAGCCAAAAAGACTCCCAAGGCAAGAATAAACAGATGTACACAAATACAACACAGAGCAAATACAACATAATGCAGAAACAAATGATGTAAATTCAACACATTTCAACAGTATCAGAAACCAAACGCATCTCTGCTCCTGCCAAAAAAAAGGCAGATGACATTCCCTACAAAAATGTTAAGGGTGAGAATACTTAAGCATATATAAAATGTCATCAGAAAGCTTCCCACAAGGCAGATGGGATAGATTAGCGCAGGAGTGCTGGTGGTAAAAAGACTGCTTAGTTTTGCCATGAATACCAATGGGTAGTTGAGTTGCCTGGACCATAATTTATTGATGAGTTCTCAAGAGCCTTGGGGCTGAAATCATCACCAACTATATAGGCACAACTTTGGTCCTGAATGCAAAACTCTGCTGCTAATGGTTCACGGGTGAGGGTCCAAGTCCTGACAACCTGAGTCCTAAAGGACTTTGTTCTAATGCTGATGGTTCCCAAGCCTCCCAGAAAGTGAAGCTTCCCCCTGGAGAACATGCTCACAGTCACCTTTGCAAGTATTCCCAGGCATAGGAAGGATGAGTCTGAACTGTCCTTAATTTTAGCTGCCTAAAATATTATTGTTGCCATTCGTAATAAAGTTAAGAATTTTAAGGGCCTTAGCTAGAAGAGCTAGTATGACTAGTAATAAGATATTATCATCATTATTGTGAGTGCTGGATTAGGCCAAAGGGGGCCTAGCCGATCCAGCATCCTGTTCTCACAGATGCCAGTAATGGGAAACCCACAAGCAGGATTCTACAACAAGAGCAACTCTCCCCTCCTGCGGTTCCCAGCGACTGGAATTCAGAAGCATCACTGCCTCTGACCATGGAGACAGAGCATAGCCATCCATGTAAAACATAAGCATGCAAGCAGAGCTCTGTTGGATCAGGCTAACGTGAGCCCATCCAGTGTAACATCTTGTTCTGACAGTGGACAACCAGATGCTTTCGTTGTTGTTGTTGTTGTTGTTACTATTATTTATTGAATTTATATACCTTCCTATACCCGGGGGTCTCAGGGTGGTTCACAGAATAAGAAATTTGCAAGCAGGACATGAGCACAAAGCATTTGTCTGCTACCAGGGTAATTTCAGGGGCACCTTAGCATGCTTGCAAACACTTGTGTGCTCCCCCACTACACCATAAACTGCATGTGTTGCAAGGACGCACTGGTTAGACTGGCCATTTTTACGGCAATCTGGTTCTGCTTCTTCCTGCATTGGTCTTAGCGATACTCATGTATGTGCATCCACAACATCCAGGAGGCTAAAAGTTCTCTCTTTGTTTTCCATTTTCAATGTCATATATGGGGGGAAAATGCAACGGGCATCCCTTGGAATCAATCTGCACAGCCCAAAAAATATTCTGTGGAGAGCCCCAGGCCCAGAGAGAGAGGGGGGCACCATATGGGCCACTTGGCCCAGGCCTCTGATTCCAAAGGGGGCCTTGGTCAGCACATTCACAATTGCAGGGGATGCACTGGGGCGAACGCGGAGGCGCAAAGGCAGTGGTGGTGGTCGGATTCCCTGGGGCCATGGCTGGCAGCGCGAGAGAAAACCTTCTCCGGCATCCGTCACCGAAAGAAATTGCTGTTCAAATGCTAAACTTGAATTTGGAAAACGTTTTTCCAAATCTTCTAATTGCATTATGCATTTTCTTATCATTACCAGCTACAGTGGTCTCCAATGAGAGAAGTTTCAATATATTAAAATGAATTAAGTCATTCTTTCAATTAACAATGGCTTAAGAACGCCTAAATGGTTTAGCAATGATAAACATAAACCATGATAAGGCAAAGTTGCTTGATTTTTGCTGTGTAATTCAAGAATTCGCAGAAAATAAATTTATAAGACTTCAGTTATCCCCAGGGTAAAAAAAAGGGGGGGGGGCACATTCTCTACCTGGCCTGGGCCTCTGCCTGGCTCTGCAAGGCCCTGGAAAGCCCTATAAAAATGAAAAGACTATGGACAACCCCCTTTCATTTCAATGGGATTTGAACAGGAGAACATCCCATTAGATTTGGGATACATAAGACTTAAGCACCCAGCTATGTGCTTCAGATCTCAAGAGGTTTTCCCTGGGATACATTGTGCTCTCAAGGACTTCCTGAAAGCTCTGACAGAAGTATAAATTTGTTGTGCATAATCTAGCTTAAGTATACCCATTTGAATGAATAGGAACTGTCACAACTGCTATTATGGGGTCAAAATGACTCTTGTGGGTGTCCCCATCCATTTAAATGACCACCCTGTGAAGTAATGAGAAGGCTGCAGCTTTGTGTTAGCGAATGTGCTTTGCATGCAGAAGGTCCCAAGCTCAATTCTCAATGGCATCTCCTGGTGGGGCTATGAAAGACCCCTTGGTTAAAAATCTTGAGAGCTGCCGCCGGTTAATGTTGACAATTCTGAGCTGCATGGACTCTTGGTCTAACTTGGTATAATTTCTTGTGTTCTCATTAAACCAGCCTTTAATTCAGAACTGTGAGGACTGGAATCTTTATTTTTAAGGAAAGGGTCAGAACTCAGAAGCAGAGCATCTGCTTAGCATGCAAGAGGTTTGAGATTCAGTTCCCAGCATCTCCAGATTCGGCTGGGGAAGACTCCCTGGCTGAAGCCCTGGAGAGCTGCTGCCAGTCAGTGTTGACAATTCTGAGCTAGATGGAACAAAGGCTCCACCCAGAATAAGGCAGCTTCCTATGTAGGTCACTCTTCTAACCATTTCACAAAGGAGACAACTGAGACTGAGCTAGTGGCCCCCATTGGCAGAGCTATGATCTGTATGTCCAACTATCACCGCAAGGACCACCTTCCTATTACTCATTTATTATAATTTATTACGGTTACACACAGCCCTAAAATCCTAAAATAGGCTGAAGGGTGTTGCGTAGATGCTTTTTTAGACTGATTAATTGATTGATTAATTGTATTTATTTTTGGTGGGTTTTATAGTCTGTCCTTCAGTCAAATGCCCAGCTCTGTTGCTCCTGTGCCTTTAGTTTAGGGGATTGACTTGCAAATGACAGCAGGTCTCCCAGTTGTGAACAACAGATGCTGTCTTGATGGAACTCCTTTTTCATAGGCAAAGAAGGAAGCCAACATGATCTCCCTCCATCTCATCTTTTGGAAATTTTTAATTTCTAACCTAGCTTCAGTTCAAATAGCACTGGGATGAAAACAGAAACAACCTTCCAAGCATGGCAACTCATAATGATCATGAGAGCGTGGTGCATTATCCCTTGATGACACATTTAGTGATCTAGACCCGAATCACAGCTTTTCCTACACAAGGTGGGCACCCTATTGCAACTCAGTTTGGCTTCCCTCTTCCCAGTCTGTGAAACCAGAATAATAATGTTGATCTGCTAAATGGTGTCATGGTGAGGATTGGTGAAATTGTAGCCTATAGACTTAAATATAAAGGAAAAGAACAAATGTTAAGTGAAATTTGCAGTGCCTGGGGGACCTCAGAATTAGGAAAAGAAATCCAGAAAGACTGCTTCAAATATTTATTTCATATTTATTTATCATTTATCACAATACAGTAAATAAATGGGTCCTAATTGGTTGGGCCAACCCTGAGCCTTTAGGCATTAATAACTCCTTTTACCAGGCTCCCTTTTTTGCAATGGATGCTCTGCATGAGAATAATTTCGTTTCATTTCAGAAAATGTATATACCGCTTGATTGTAAGCAAGCAAGACAACCAACCAACCAACCAACCAACCCTCAAGCAATTTTTTTAAAAAAAACACCCACACAAATTATCGGTAAGAACTGTTAAAAACAACTATTTAAAACATTTGCAAATAATTAAAATAAAAACCTGATTAAAATAATTGCCAACAATCTGCATAGCTGGGTAAGCTTTGCCTAAAACAAAAATGTTTTTTAGTAAGCACCAAGAACAGAACAGTGAAGGCACCTTCCTGATACCAACAGGCAGGGAGTTCCTGCCACACCAAAATATCAATTTCATTCATATGCAGAATTGGTATTGTGTGGCACCTGTAACAGTGGCCATTCCACTGACTGAAGCAGTCGAGTGGGCACTTGTCAGGTAAACTGGTCCCATGTTGCTGAGGGCTTTATATACTAATAGGGACACCTTGAACTTGGTAGCAAATTGAGAAGACCTGAGCAAAGTGTTACACTAGGGCCTCTCCATCAGCTGATGGTAACATCACGTGAATGTTTCCATATAGGGAACAGGCAGACGCAGAGATAACGACAACATTCTATCCAAACATATAGGGTATTCTCCCCATTAACCGCCAACTGCAAACAATTTTCTGGGGTGGGGGGCAGTTTTGATGTTCAGATGTACATTCAAGAACTGTGTGAGAAGGCCTTTAGCCAGGCCATTGTCTTAATGGCAGGCACATGCAACCGTGAGCGGGATCAGGGATAGGGTTACAGAAATCATATATTTTTGGTGCGGGGTCGTGGTGGCCACCATTGTTCTTTCCTGCATGCATGGGAGCTTAACCCTTATGTGCCCACTTAACTGCTTTGATCAGTGGAACTGGCCCCGTAAGAACTTTATATTTTAGTGTAGCAGCTCCTTTACTTTGGAACTCCCTGCCCCTTGATACTTGGCAGGTGCCTTCACCGTAGTCTTTTTGGTGCCTGCTAAAAACATTTTTTTGCTTAGACAAGCCTACCTAGATGTTTATTTAGAAAGCTGGTGTGAGTATTAATTTGCTCTCAGTCTATAGTTAACATTAACAACTTAAGACTTTCAAAAGAGTTATAATCTTTTTCGAAATTCTTAAATGATTGTTAATTTTCCTTATTGATAATTTCATTGTTTAATTGCTTCATATTATTTTTAGTGAAATAAATAAATAAATAAATAAATAAATAAATAAATTTACTCTAGAGCCAGAGCAGTGTTCATGTCGTATTATATACTTGCACTGTGTCCTGTTTTGCTTCAGGGGATAAAAGACTAGCTCAACACTCCTCTCCCTTCTGTTAGTAATGGGAGAAAAACACGTATGGATTCCTTTCTCATACAGAAGAAAAGGCACCGTTCTTTTAATGATGGCACAGTTCTGTGTCAATTACGTGGGAGTACGTTAGCACTGAATTTAGGAAGCTGTACTTCTTAGCAGAAATAAGCCTTTCACATTTCGAAGAATGCAGCAGAATAATGATAAGGGCTCTGGCAAAGGTGGACTAGCAAAAAAGGCCAGGACAGCATTTGATATATGGGAACTTATCTTCCATTACTAAGTAGAATTGTCTTACTGTTGATTATACAAGCATTCTTGCTTGGTTTGGTCAGGGGGTTTTTTCAACCAGCTAATAGGAAGAATTCCTGTGTTGGATAATAATTGGGTTGTGGTTTTTTTTGTTTTTTTTTATAAAAATAAGTTTGTTGCAAAATCCAAACTAAAATAACCAAAGTGGGTGAATTAGTGTCTTCCTTAATTTCTTACCTCTACTGTGTCCTGAATCAGCTCCCCACCTTCCTGACCGTCCCACCCAAGGTAATTTGTGAAAAGTGTGTCAGTTAACTCAGAACTGGTTTCTAAGAAAGGAGTTAGCCTGGGAAGCTTAACAGATGCAGATCTGAATTCTGATCAGAAGTTAGTTGTGTCTTTGGAAATTTAATGCAACCAGTGCCTCCTGTTGCCCATTGCATTTTAAAACTGTGTGGTGAGGACCATTGTTTTTTCTTTCCTAATGGAACGGTTCAGAGCCTTCCTCCCTTCTTTGATGACTTCCAAGGCCAGCAACTGTCTTTTCATTTGGGAATGAGGGTCCTGGGATTCCTATAATGCAAGAGGACAAGGTTCAGGAGACCAAAATATATTGATTGCATATGTCCCATAAATTGCATGCCTACGTACTGCCATGAGCACCAGCTGACGTACATTATAAGGATGTCTTTTTTTCATCTTCGCTTTTAAAATCACTTGTCCTGAATCTACGACAGTAATGCGTATCTGCAGTCAGTTTGCCAGAATCTACCGCAACATCGGTCTAAGTTTCAAAGTGACGTAGAATGAAAATTGGTGGCTTGGAGCACCTTTTGTTTTGGGCGAAATTGACGACTGCATTTATTCTCAGAAGGATCTGTATTCTTCTAACAAAAGCAGCCTTGGTTGGAACATAATATTTGATTAAAAAATAATAATTAAATGAAGCACATGAATACAGCTCACCCGGCGTAAAGCACTATTATCAAGTTCTTCTGCTTTCAGTGGGAGAGTTAAGCATTTTGCTTGCATCAAAGTGCTTGGCTCCGGTTCAGAAGCATCCCCAGATTTATTTGTGATGATTAAGAGCAAGTGCATCAGAAGTCTGGAAAGAGGTCCTAATGGAACCTGCGGAGTGTAAGAGTCAATTTTGGTATAATAAAATGTATGATGTGATCGAGGAGAAATTTCTGGACTGTTTTCATGGTAATTAGATTGTGGGGTAATTAGGCAATGTATTCTTCTTATTAAAGCCCCTTTTTCTTTTTTTGTAAGAGTGCTTTAAAGAGTGGCACACGTTGTGGGTCTACCACAATTGACTCTGAATCCTCTTGAGTCTAATGAAATTCAGCTTTTGTCCTTCTGTTGTTAGACTGAAGGACGGAGGAGAAAGGGAAAGTGGTCGATTCTAGGAATCAGTCGCTGAAAGACTAAAAATGCATTCTGTAGAAAACCTTTTAATGCGTGTATGTCTCTCTGTGTGTCATAGATGTCGCATTATATATATATTAAAATAAAATAATTAATCTCCACTCAAAGCAATTGTCAAAGCAGTGTTCTAATTTTAAGAACATTTATTCAGAAGGGAAGTTCCACTGATGGCAACAACATGGTTCTGGAACACTAATCAAGAGAGGGTCACTGTATTAAGGACATTAGGGCAGAAGTCAAATCTGGATAGGACTTTTAACGTAAACCTACCAATTAACACTTTCTGAAATGGTACGCCAGAAAGCTACCTTGCAAAATCCACACTTCTCCAAATTTCCAACCAAATAAGGTGTACCCCCCACAAATTGTATATATTAAGGAAAGTGTGTGTAAAAATGCATATATTAGTTTTTTAAAAATGCAAGATGCATTTTGTTGTGGGAAATTGGTTTGCAAAATTGTGAACATTGGGCAAAAGTGCATACAAAGTTGTGTGCGTCAGGAGAAAGCTAAGCAAAATGTTGATGAATTCTCATGAGGATTTTTTTTTAATTATAAACTGATGTGGGCAACGTGAAAAACTGAACTGAAGGCTGAGGAAAATGAAAAATGGGAATAAACCAACACTCTCAGATTTCCCATAAGCTTCCAATTCATTTTATTAGATGGCAACACAGTGAGGGTGAATATCTGGAATATATTGGTCATAATCCTACACATTTGCCACAATGAACCCTAGGGTTGCATTAGTCATATCAGGGTAAACCTGTTGAAGTAAGTACACATGAGACTAACTATGGCTTCAGTGGGTCTCCTCTAAGTAGGACATGGTTAGAGCCAGCTGACAGAAATCAATAGGATGATGCTTCCTATGGCAAAACTGTATTCTGTTGCTTGAAGAAGGATTTGCGATGCAATTCCATGCATGTTTACTCAGAAGGTAGACCCACGGTATAAACTGGGATCTACAATCTGATACATGTATTGAATGTTTAAATGTTTTATTACGTTTCTGTATATGCTGGAAGCCGCCCAGAGTGGCTGGGGCAAATCCTGTCAGATGGGTTAAAATTTAATTAAAATTAATGCAATGTTACAAACTAATCCCAGTACAGTGGTACCTCAGGTTACATACGCTTCAGGTTACAGACTCCGCTAACCCAGAAATAGTACCTCGGGTTAAGAACTTTGCTTCAGGATGAGAACAGAAATCGTGCTCCGGCGGCGCGGCAGCAGCGGGAGGCCCCATTAGCCAAAGAGGTGCTTCAGGTTAAGAACAGTTTCAGGTTAAGTACGGAGCTCCAGAACAAATTAAGTACTTAACCTGAGGTACCACTGTATATATCCACTGAGAAACAGGCCCCATTAAATTCGATGGGACTTGCTCCCAGATAAGTGCATAAGGATTACTGCCTGTAACTTTAGCTAGATTGTCCTCTTATTTTTGTGTGGGGTGTGTGCAAAAAGAATTTCAGGGGACGGCAACTTATCTACCATGTCCCCACTGTAGCCTAGGGAGCTGAATGTCTAGTCCAGTGGTTCCCAAACCTTTTCAGGCCACTGCTCCCTTGGTTCCATACACCCCTCCCTCAGCTCCCAGCCCTTTAAAGATCATTATTCAGAATAGCAGTTTGCACAAGCCAATAAGGAAGACAAACACACAAGAAAATGCAAAACAGAAACAATCACCCCCCCATCTGGTTGATTAGTTTAATTAATTCAACAAAATCGATGAACTTGATTCAGTGATACCAGATGTTGCATGCAGAAATATTTTTGCACATTCTTACTAATGAAAACTTAAGGGGAAGGAAATTTACAGCATAAAATATTTATATATAACTACTTACCAAACATGTACAAGCCTTCACCTATCACAGATGTTCTGCAATCAACAGGAAAATCAATATCTGTTACCAATAGTCAGCTATCTTGTGGCAACTCAGAATCACAAATACAAACATGACCAAAGGAAATCACTTTGAAAGCAGTTAAGAGCAGTAAAGCTTTAAACATGAAGTGAAGACCGTGTTTTGTTCAAGGCTCCAGCCTGGTTAATCATAAATACAGTACATATTCAACAAACTTGGAGGGACCCACCTCCAGTGCCCCCTGCCACCCTCTTGCCTCTTAGTGGCCCCAGATAATCCCCACAGGGGGGCAGAACCACCCACTTTAAAAACCACTGGTCTAGATTTTGCATCCATGTTTACTCACCAAGATTGCAGTGCAGTCAAGAAACAGCTGATGAATCATTTAGCTTCATTGATGTTCATGTTAACTGATGAAAAAAAGTCCGCTGGATGAATCAGTAAAAAAATTCATATGCTTACTTTTGAATCATTTTTAATGTAAATACTTTTTTTTTTTAAAAGCAACAGCTCATAGATGGGAAATGGCATCTCAAAGAGTGTATGGAATGTGTGTTGGGGGGGATGGTTGGAAAAAAAGTTTGGGAACCACTGATTTAATTGAATGGCAATATGATAATCATTTTTGTGTTTCTGTATGCATAAACAGGAGGTGCCCGTGCCAATTTGCTCCGAATTACTGCATCTTTCCATTTGTCAAACCTGCTTTCCTCTGCACCATCACACTGACATCCCCCCCCCCCAGCATTTTTGCAGAACCACATACGGTGGCTGCCTCAATTTAAATCTAAGCAGATTTCAGACAGTTGGGTTTCAGACACGGCTCCATTAGAAATCAGAAGGTGGAGACTCCCCCTCCCCACAATCTTTTAATAGATCTTGCAATTCCAGTGAAAAATGGCCCAGGAAAATAAAACCCCGGTGCTTAATTCTTATAGGAAGAACGCTTTGGATTTGTAATCCCAGAATGAGTTGTTGAAGTTTTTTTTTAAAAAAAAGCCCCAAAAGCAAACAAAACATTATTATTTATAAAATGCTATTTTCCATTGTCACTTTGCTGGAAAAACCACAATAACATTCCAGACCAGGAGTAGCCAACTTCAAAGGATGTGGTATGGAGGCACAGAAGTGGTTTCAATACCATAACACACAGCTTGGATTTTTGTGTGTGCGTGTGTGGTGAGAGAGAGAGAGAGAGAGAGAGAGAGAGAGAGGAGGAGGGAATGTCTGTATGTAATTATGCTCTTTCAAGGCATCCTTATACTTGCATTAAGAGATGCCCACTGGATCAGTTGCACAAATGCTTCTCTCGCCAGAAGATAGAGCTGATGCTCATTCCTGGAGCTTGCTTATGGTGGCGATAGTGGTGGTGAGGGAAGGGAGCACTCATTCAACTTGCGGGTTTTTTGCTCATGAAATCAATGACCACTTTTCATCTCTGTTGGGAGCGAAGGAAGCTGGAACTCGTAAAGAAATTGAAAAGGAGCCCTTCTGGAAAAGAGAGGGAACAGAGATCTTGTAAACACCCAGAAAAGTGGACTTTTACAGGGTCTTTATGTTCGCGGAGCAGGGAATGGAAAGGTTCTTTCCACTTCCCTCCCAGTTTGATCAAGGCACCTTGGAAGATGTCTCTAGAGGAGGATATCCAAGTCTCCTGCAATAGGATCTTCTTCTATGCTCCGTTCTTTCCACAAGGCAGGCCTCAGCAGGAAATTAAAGTCTCAACTCTGTCTTCAGAAGAGGGGGGCAGGTGGAGAATCGCATTTGCAAATCGACACAAGCGTCTCTCTGCTTCTTCTTGGTTTGTTTGGCTAGAGTTTCCCCTTGAGATGTTTAAATTACTGATGATTATTCCTGATTCATTTCCCTATTGAGTTCTAGGAAGGGTCTTCAAAGAAGATCCAAAGGATCTGGAATGCTACTGAAGTAGGTTTACAAGGAAGTTGGAATGGGGGAGAAACTGGATTCAGTTTGTGTTTAATGGCAAATCTACTTTTAACCCACATACATGCAAACCAAAACACCACCATCTTTTGAAATTTGTACTTCTCCCAATTTTGCAGTGCAGTTCCCCAGCCAAGCAATGTGCCCAAAAATGCATTCACTGGTGTCTACATTGGCATGTATTCATTTGAATCCCCTCTTGGCAGTGAAGCTCCCTGGGTGACCTTAATTAATCACAGCCTATTGTGGGGATTACATGTGCACTTGGACCTGAGAGACCAGGCTTAAGATCTCTCCACTCAGCCATGATGCTTACTGGATTGTGTTGGGCTAGTCACTGACCTAAGAACGATGGACGGCAGAGTAATTTTAGGTGTTGAATCGCTTTGATTAGTTAAGTCATTTATTTATCTCTTTAAGACTTTTATATACCACTAAATTAGGCTCTGTCATTGTGTTTGGGATGGGAGCATCAAAATACTGGTGTTGAAAAGTGAAGGGGTTAGGTTTAGGATTAGGATTAAGGTTGCTTGGGGATTTCCTATTAATGCATCTGATTGGCTGCTGTGAGAATAGGATGCTGGATTTAGCTCACTTGACAGAGCATGATACAGTGGTGCCTCGCAAGATGAAATTAATCCGTTCCGCGAGTCTCTTCGTCTTGCGGTTTTTTCGTCTTGCGAAGTACGGCTATTAGCGGCTTAGCGGCTATTAGCGGCTTAGCAGCTTAGCGGCTATTAACGGCTTAGTGGCTTAGCGGCTATTAACGGCTTAGCGGCTTAGCAGCTTTAAGAAAAAGGAAACAAACTCGCAAGAACTCGCAAGACGTTTCATCTTGCGAAGCAAGCCCATAGGGAAATTCGTCTTGCGGAACGACTCAAAAAACGGAAAACTCTTTCGTCTAGCGAGTTTTTCGTCTTGCGAGGCATTCGTCTTGCGGGGCACCACTGTACTGTTAGTCTCAGGGTTGTGGGTCCAAGCCTCCCATTGGGCAAAAGATTCCTGCATGGCAGAGGGTTGGACTAGATGACACTTGGTGTCCCCTCCAACTCTACAATTATGTGATTCTGTGACTAGATGGACCATTGACTAGATGGACCCAGCAGGGCTCTTCTGATGTTCTAAGAGGTAGCAACTTTACCAAAAGGTTATTTGTGGGCGGGTGGCAGTTAAATGTGGGGTTTCCTTCATATTTCTGGAGCTGGTTTTTATGTGTACTATTTATTTTTATTCCCGAGAGAATGCTCTGTTTAGCCATTAATTGTGTTTTCTAGATTGTGAAAATTTCCACGGTTGGGTTTTTGGTTTTTTTTGACTTATCTTTTATTTAAGGTGTTTTGATCTGTGTTGCAAACAAGAAGCGGTCCAAACAAAATTCTGGTGCTTGGCTTACAAGGAGGTCAAAGGGAGGCACATCCAGTGCCAGATTTACGTAAAAGCTAAACATGCTGTAGCTTAGCGCACCACTCTCTTGGGGGCCCCCCAAAAAAATTAAAGAAAAAAACCCTGGATGTACATTTCCAAAATATAAGATAACTGCAACAATTACTTTGACAAAATACATATTTTGTTATGTGCAAATGGCTTTAGATACCTATTAGGTTCCTAAATTACCATATAGCACATATTCAACACAAAAAACAACTGGACATATAAAGGGCCCCATTACCTTCAGTAGCTTAGAGTCTCATCAAACCTAAATCTGGCCCTGGGCACATCCTTTGGTTTCATCCTTTGACTTCTTCCTTGGTTGTGGGCAGGGGGACATGATTTGACTAAAACTGAAGGGGCTCCCATTGACCGGGGCTTGTGGGTTGCATTAAACCTCCATATTGTTTCACCTCAACACTAGAGACCTGGTAAATGATAATCCCTGTTTTTCCAGGTGTGATATTCCAGGCTCTGGTGGGGATGGTGGACAGGGCCATGAGGTCCTCAGGCCATTATGTAACACATGGTGGGTGTTTATCCTTCCACTCTCGAAATTTAAGTCTCCACAGCTCACAAAGACCATACCAGCTGTCTCTCAGTGCACACCCAGGTCACTGAGCCTGAGCTTCTACACTCACTGCCTGCCATGAACCACCAGCTGGAGGAGGCGGTGAGGACAGAGGGTGAAGAAAGAGCTGTGAGTAGAGGGGGGGCCTTCCCCCATCTCCTGGACCCCCTGAGAAACTCAGCAAACCTGCTGTACCTGGAATTGACTGTGGAGAGTGCAGCTGAATGGGACACAGCTATGGGCATCCTGAGGAAGCACCGTCTACCCAGGGCTGCCCCCAAAAGCAAATTTAGAGTGAGAGTCCCCAAACTTGGCCCGTCAGATGTTTTGGGACTACAACTCCCATCATCCCTAGCTAACAGGACCAGTGGTCAGGGATGATGGGAATTGTAGTCCCAAAACATCTGGAGGGCTGAGTTTGGGGGTGCCTGGTCTAGGGTGATGTCCGCTGTTTCCAGGAACTCTTCTCATTGTGAGATGTTTGTAGGTGATCTGAGAGTTTGTTTGGACTCTGGGTGAGAACCTGGAGCCTGAGAGGGAGGGTGTGTCAGAAGAAAAACAAATTGATATTGATTTATATATACAGTGGTACCTCTGGTTACAGACGCTTCAGGTTACAGACTCCGCTAACCCAGAAATAGTACCTCGGGTTATGAACTTTGCTTCAGGATGAGAACAGAAATCGTGCAGCAGCGGCGTGGCAGCAGTGGGAGGCCCCATTAGCTAAAGTGGTGCTTCAGGTTAAGAACAGTTTCAGGTTAAGAACAGATCTCCAGAACGAATTAGGTTCTTAACCTGAAGTACCACTGCATTAGTAACTTTGTATTAATGTAACATTTTCATATGACAGTGCGTAATTTTGTAATACTTTGTTTAAGTTGTTTGTTGTTGCTTCAGTTTTCTGTGAACTCCTTAGATATATATTTAATATATTAAGCTGTATAGAAATTAAATAATCAATCAATCCTGTTATCTTGCCATTGATCTCCATACTACAGGGATGTAGTTTAAAAGTACATGAACACCTGCCAAAATCAAGTATTTCACCAATACAATGAAAGAGGTACTGCTCTAATATTTGTTTTCCTCTTTCCTCCCCATTCGTATTTCCTTTTGTGTTGTGCCTGTTAGAATTTTAGCCTGAAGGCAGGAACGGTTTCATCTTTCAACATACAGGACAGTATTTAGAAAATGCTAGAGCTTTACAAAGTGTTGAATGATGCTAATGACTTCCTTTGCTCCTCAGTTTGCATTGCAAGCAGCTTGGGCTTTATCCATTTATTATTTCCCCTTTAGTATCTAAACACAACATGCCAGCACAGCACATCCCTTTCGCTCCGCCCAGAGCCACCTTCTCCAGATTGCATATGCTGCTAAAAACACAATTTCAGTTGCAGCTATTCTGCAATAATTGCAACCAGATCCACTGTGAGATGAAAACATCCTATTAAACATTAGAACACCTAATAGAAGGCTTAATTTCCCAGTGGGCCTGGTTGTAATTATTAGAGAATAGCTGCAACTTGCACACATTTCGAAATAAGAAAAGGAAACACCACCAAGCTTCTTCCTTCTCCTCCTTCTTCCTCCTCTTCCTCTCCTCCTCCTCCTCCTCCTCCAAACGGTAATTGAGTAAATTAATTCATTGCCCACTAGGCACAGAGTACCCTCTGAGAAGGTGTGACTCTAAAATAATTCAGATACGCTTACAGCACCCCTGTTTTTAGAAGCAAGCTGTTTTCAGGGCTTTCCCAGGAAACAAACTACTAGTCACAATTGCCATGCTCTGCCTCCAAGGTTGGAGGCTGTAATCAGGGGCAGCCTACCACTAGTGTAGTGGAAGATGAGGCTATTCACAGTGATAAGCAATAATGCTTCTGAATCCTACTTGATGGAAACTGCAGGAGTGGAGAGGGTACTGCTTGGGGGCTTCTGCTTGTGGCATCTGGGTGGCCACTGTGAGAACAGGATGCTGGACTAGATAGCCCGCTCTGGCCTTATCCAGCAGCCAGGCTTTTCTTATGTTCTTAACCTGTGTCTTCAGCTTTCATCCTGGGTTTGCTTAGACACAGATTTTCAGAGGTTAGACTATGTCCAGTCTTTCTTGAGCATTTGCTCAATGATTTATCCAGTTTGGTGTAAGGCAACTTACTATGTTCCTCTTTGGAACTGTGGAGCCTAAAATCTTACTTTATTTTTAGAGGAATGGTCATAGCAGAGTGGCAGAGCACATGTCTGAACACAGAAGGCTCCAGACTTATTCTCTGGTGTCTCCTGATAGGGCTGGGAAAGATTCCCTGTCTGTAACCCAAGTGAACCAGTCAGTGCAGACTATACTGAGCTAGATGGACCAATGGTCTATATCATCAGAAGGCAGCTTCCTATGATCTGGTGAACCAGGTCACTAAATGCCACTTTGTGGAAACTGGAAGGAATTAAAGGTAAAGGGACCCCTGACCATTAGGTCCAGTTGTGACCGACTCTGGGGTTGCGGCGCTCATCTCGCTTTATTGGCCGAGGGAGCTTCCAGGTCATGTTGCCAGCAAACTGTAGAAGCGGAAACGCCGTTTACCTTCCCGCCAGAGTGGTACCTATTTATCTACTTGCACTTTGACGTGCTTTCGAACTGCTAGGTTGGCAGAAGCTGGGATTGAGCAACGGGAGCTCACCCCGTCGCGGGGATTCGAGCCACCGACCTTTTGATCAGCAAGTCCTAGGCTCTGTGGTTTAACCCACAGCGCCACCCGTGTCCTCCAAAACCTGCTTTCAGCTGAAATCACCATTGCACAGTTATGATGTCTGATGGTGTTTCCCTACTCCTCCCAGTAAGTTTTTGAGGGCAATTCAAAGTGTTGGTGCTCTGGTTTCTCTTCAGATCGTATAAATCTTTCGCCTTTTTACAAAGTGTTGGTGCTGACCTTTAAAGCCAAACAGCCTTGACCGAGTATACCTGAAGGAGCGCCTCCACCCCCATCGTTCTGCCCAGACACTGAGGTCCAGCTCCGAGGGCCTTCTGGCGGTTCCCTCCCTGCAAGAAGTGAGGATACAGGGAACCAGGCAGAGGGCCTTCTTGGTAGTGGCGCCTGCCCTGTGGACATAGCTGTCAACTTTTCCCTTTTCTTGCGAGGAATCCTATTTGGAAGAAGGGAATTTCCCTTAAAAAAAGGGAAAAGTTGACAGCTATGCCTATGGAACGCCCTCCCATCAGATGTCAAGGAGATGAGTAATTATATAACATTTAGGAAACATCTGAAGGCAGCCCTGTATAGGGAAGCTTTTTAAGGTTTAAGGTTTTACTTTGCTTATATATATGCTGAAAGCCGCCCAGAGTGTCTGGGGCAACCCAGTCAGATTGGCAGGGTACAAATAATAAATGATGCTGCTGATGCTGATGAATACCCCCAGAAAAAAGCAAGTGGTAGTTGTGCCATTAACAATGCCTAGGGCTGTGTACAGTTTTAGCTCAGTGGCAGAATATCAGTTCCGCATGCAGAAGGTCCCAGGTTCAGTCCCCGTTATGTTCAGGTGGGGCAGGGAGAGACCCCCTACTGAAATCTGGAGAGCCACTGCCAGCCAGTGTAGACAATACTGAGCTAGATGCACCAACTGTCTGACTGCCTGTGTTCCTAAGGTCATGCTTGAGGACTGGCTGTAGCTCAGTGGTAGAGCATTTATACTCTGCTCCTCTGCGCGGCTTACAATGCGTATAAAAACATAGTAAAACGTCAAACACTAAAAAACTTCCTGCCTTCAGCTGTCTTCTAAAAGTTGTGTAGTTCTTTATTTTCTTGACCTCTGATGTAACATTGGCAGTGGGGGGAGTAACTGGGCAGGCAAGAGAATAAGAAATGGGTCCCTTCCTGCCAAGTCACAACATATTCCATCCATCATTTTCCTTTTCCCTTTTCGGTGTTTGCTATTTGAGGAGTGAAAAAGACTGAGTTCCAGGCCTTTTACCCCTCCCAAGTTTCCATCTCTTAACAAGTGAAGGGGGCCGTTAAAATAAGATATTTCTTTGAGGTAAAAACAGGAAATAATTTTTCTCCCTGATGGTAAAACATGTAATTCTTCTTTGAGATGATTAAAAGTAAAAGTAAAGGAGGGATTGATTTCAGCAGCTAGAAATCAGTCTCTGCTTTTGTGGGGATTGAATGCCCAGCTGAAGGGTTGATCTGGGCTGCTGTTAGAAGCCAGTGATTAGTGGCCCTCAGTTCTCCTGCTTCCCCCATATGCCTATTTTGAAAAAGGATGGTGCAGGTGGGGGGGGGGCTGGGGGGGGAGAGAGAGAGAGAGAGAGAGAGCAGTTGCATAGCTTGGGGTGGGGGTGGGGAAGGTGGGGTGCACTGGGTGGCACTTACCTTGTGGGTGGCACCCCAGAGCATGGTGCGCCACTCCCCAAAGCAGTGTGGCCCCAGGGCTGTTCTTGCAGGGCGCTGAGCTGCTGCAACCTTACCCCCTGCCACCAGAGGGCAGCTGAGAAGGATGCAACAGGCATGTGCTGGCCCTGTGAGCAGCACTGGGCCCGCAGTGTGCCTGAGCCACAGTGTCTCTCCTGGGCATGATGTGGTGGCTCGGGCCCCTGCCGCACAACCCAAAAAGCAGGGTGGGGGGTCTCCAGCTGGGGAGGGCAGTAGGTGGACTCCCTGCAGGCTACAGCTGCTCGAAAAAGCAACATGGGCCTGCAGAGCACGTGAGCGGAACACGGTGGCTTGGGTGGTAGGATTCTGGCAGTCCGCCCTGCCCTGCCCCAATGTGTGGTATGTGCATAGGGTGCCTGTGCCACCCTGAGTGCCCAAGCAGCTAGCTGAGAGAGAGGCAGAGAGAGACTGATTACAAAAATGTGGAAATAAATCAAGGTGGATTGGAGGGAGGATGGAAAGAGACTGATCAGCAGTGATAAAGAAGCAGAAAGAACATTATTTCTTTCCAAGGCAAAGCAGGGATATCTGTGCGTATATATAAATCCACCACACCAGTATCTGAGGGGCATCTGTGACCAATTAGAGCTGGGGGGGGGGGAGCAGGGCTTCATTTACCTCCCCAGTTTTAATTTAGCCCTAACTTGGAAATGTTGTTAGAGCAGCCGTATAATGTTACATTGATTCTGCACTCAGATCTGACAGCAAATTAAACGTTATCTTGAATTTCTTAAACATGAAATCAAGGAGGCTTGTTGCTTAAGCTGGGGGGTTGGTGTGGTGGTCCTTCACTGCTTGATTGGGATGCCCTGCTGGATCAGGCCAATGCCCCCCAGGGGTGCCAAATCCTAGTGGCTTTTGCCCCCCCTTCAAATATTTTTTGGGAGGGAGCCAGCTGCCTGCAATGTCTAAAACGGGGTGGTGGGGCGGCGGAGGAAGCATGGTGTGGCTTCAATGACTGGCTCCTCCTCCTTCTGCCACAGAGGGGAAGGAGGTGGGAAGCAGCCCCCAGTCAAGTGTGGAGCCAAGCATGCCACAGCACCCTCGGCTGGTGGTGGCAACAGTGGCCGGAAGAGGAGGAACCAGTGGCTATTGAAGCCATGCTGCCGCCACATTCGGCTCCACCCCCTGGCTCCTCCCGATATCCTGACGTTGCTCGCACAACACTGCAACATCACTTGTGACATTGGCCAGCCCCCCAAACTCCCTTGCAAGTTGACGCCTCTGCTCTACCGCCTAGCATCCTGCTCTCACCATGGCCAACCAGATGCCCAGTTATGGGAAACCTTCAAGAGCCCTCTCCCCTCCTGTGGCTTCCAGCAATTGGTATAAGTCTCTGATTGTGGAGGCACAGCTTGGCCAATTGTGGGTAATAGCCATCAATAGCCCTGTCCTCCATGAATTTGTCTTTTATTTTTTTCAAGTATTTTTTTCCCCTTTAAATATTCTTTTCCCAACAATCCTTATTATCACAATATATTCCCTTTGCCTCTGCCGAGTCTTGACTTCCCTCCCTCCCTGCAGCTGGTATATACATCACAATCTTATCGCTTATATTATTCTTATATCTCTACTATTTTACATTGAAGGTATTATTCCAGTCCTGCTAGTGTCTTTAAGTTTTTACAGTTCTCCTTTAGATATTCAATGAATTTACTCCAATTGTTCTTGTATCTCTGGTCCTCTTGGTCCCAGATCCTCCCTGTCAATTTGGCAAGTTCTGCGAAATCTGTCATATTCACCTGCCATTCCTGGATGGTTGGTAAATCTTGTGATTTCCATTTTTCAGGCAATAGGGTTCTTGCGGCGGCTGTGGCATACATAAACAAATTCTGATCATTTATTTTAATCTCCCTTCCCATTAGACCTAGCAAAAAAGCTTCCGGTCTTTTGGGAAAGGTGTACTTAAATACCTTTTTAAGTTCATTATAGATTGATTTTCAGAATTTTTTAACCTTGTCACAGGTCCACCACATATGAAAATAATCACCATCTGCTTCTTTACATTTCCAACATTTCCTATCTCTCTTTCTATACATTTTGGCCAATTTTGTTGGCGTTAAATGCCATCTATACATTATCTTTAATACATTCTCCTTCAAAGCCATACATCCAGTAAATCTCAAACCCTCATTCCATAATTTTATCCACGCTTCCAACTCAATATGAATTTGTTTTTTAAAACCATCTAGGCTGGTGGCCATTACTCCTGTGAAGAAGTCCTGTAGGGCTTTATAGGTCATAACCAGGACTTTGATGATGACATGGCTCTTGATTATAAGCTGCGCTTTAGCACATTTAAAGCAATTCACACTTGATATTCTGCAGCAGCCCACAAGCAGCCTTGTGAGGCTCACCTGCATAGTGTGGCATAGAGACTAGAGAGTTGGGCTAGAGCCCGTGATGCCCAGGTGCAGATCCCTCGCTTGGCTATGACGCTGACAGGGTGACCTGGGGCTGGGCATCCCCTTGTCACACAAACCTACCTTGCAGGGTTCTGGTGACAATAAAAATTTGTTGTGAATTTTTAGTCAGTTTAGTAGTCACCAGACACGCCAGGAGTTTCAAAGCTGCAAAGAATAAAGGGGGGAGGCCATAAAGTTTTTTTTGGGGGGGGGGTTCATAGCAGGATAATCCTTAGGAAAGTAGATGGCAGAATAAAAATGAGAAGGGGGAGAATCACTGCCTTGAGCTTTTTGGAAGAAAGATGGGAGATAAGTGTGATAACAGATCAATATAAAGCTAAACTAAGCAGACTCAGGGAAGCTGCAACCCTCCAGATGTAGTTAGAAAATTCTGGCTTTGGCAGCCCCAGTAGCTGGGGATGATGGGAGTTATGGCCTGCACAGGTTTTCTCACCCCTGCTGGTGGAGGGAGGGAATGAGGTGAACTTACCTAAGTCACGCTTTCTGGAACATTCCTTGAACCGAAAGGCAGACATCTTCCAAAATTCATGTTTCTCCAAATTTTGGAATGTGGCACATCAGCCAGGTTGTGTATGGAAACTCATTTGCTACACCAAAATGTCCACACAAATGCACATATTTTGGGGGGGGGGGGAATAACACAATACATGCATTATATCAGGCAAAATTGCTTTGCAAAAGATGCGTTTTATCTGTATGATTCTGTATGTAAGTCTATGAGAGCAGCGAAAGGAAAGATCATAATAAAAGATAAATCTCTTCCTCCCCACTTCTCCCTTGCAAAGCATGGCACCAGTCTTCTAAAACGAGGCTTCTTATGAATGCCTGAGTCACCAAAAACACAAACATGCTCTCTTTTTCTTTTTCTTTGCATCACATTGTGATTGTGATTCAAGTCAACTAACAAAACCCCCAATAATTGTTAAGGGAGAGGATCGTCACTCAGTAGTAAGGCACTACATGCAGAAGGTCGCCATACTCAACATCTCCAAGTAGGTCTTGGAAAAGACCCTGCACACCTGAATCCCTGCAGAGCTGCTGCCAGTCAGTGTAAATAATACTGAGCTTGATGGTTCAATGTTCTGAAATGGTATGGGACAGATTCCCGTGTTCCTGTTTGGGGAAGGGTCATAACTCAGTGGTAGAGCACGTGCTTTGCATATAGAAGGTCCCAAGTTCAATCCCAAATAGCATCTCTAGGTACAGCTGAAGCCCTGGGGAGCTGCTGTCAGTCAGTGTGGACAATATTGAACTAGGTGGACTAATAGTTTGACTCTGTATAAGGCAGCTTCCTGTGCTCACGTTTAATTCATCCTTTTCCCAGAATCTCGAGGACTAGAATCTTCCTGTGTTTTAAGGAGAAGGGATGTAGTTTAGTGGTAGGGTGCCTACTTTACATGCAGAGGGGCTCTGGTTCAATCTCCAATGGCCTCTTCATTAGTCTGACTTTCTACAGGGAAAATTCCCGTGTCCTTAAAACGCATAAAATGAATTGACTTTGGTTTCTTTAATTGGAGTCCATCCTAGGGAGAAATGCCATTTAAACTTACTGCTTCCAATACTCCATTCCCAACCACCAAATCCCATCTCCTTCTCACTCCTGCATGGCCAGCCCTTAACGTCCACCTCACCCCTCACCCCCGGCTTCCCACATCTGGAATGCTTCTTATTTCCAGAAGACAGCGTGATGATAGGCAAGGGGAGTCCAAAATGAACTTTTTACTAGGAAAGTTATCTTTTTATGGTGATCCTAAAACAAAACAGGCATGGACATCCCAGTTTCATTTCATTTTATGGCCTTCCTTTGCTTCCTGCAGATGCAATTCTGCTGGAGACAAGAAGCAAAGGGTGTAATGATTGATCAACTTGGGAAGATGAGGAAGTATTAAGGGTTTGGATATATATATATATATATGTGAGGGAGCTTGCCTTATAGTCGTACCTTGGAAGTCAAATGGAATCCATTCCGGAAGTCCGTTTGACTTCCAAAATGTTTGAAAACCAAATCACAGCTTCTGACTGGCTGCAGGAAGCCCCCTTGGACGTTCAAGTTCCAAAAGAATGTTCGCAAACTGGAACAATCACTTCTGGGTTTGTGGCGTCTGGGAGCCAAAACACCCGAGTTTGGAAACCAAGGTACAACTATATTTGGAAGATACTTTTATTCAGTGCTTTTTTTCCTCTAAAAAAATATGTTTAGGGGCACTCTCATTTTGACTCAGGAAAAGCACCATTTTATAGTTCAAATTGGGAAAAATAAATACAGTAGATGGACAAAAGTACAAAGATTCACAAAATGTTTAGGGGTATGCGTACCCCCAGAAAAAAAGAATGGCTTTTATTATTGTCACATGGAAGCTGGAGCAAGCTTGTTTTCTCCTGCTCCAGAGGCTAGGACCCGAACCAATGGATCAAAGTAAAAGGAAGGAGGTTCCAACTAAACACCAGGAAGAACTTTCTGAGTGTAAGAGCTGTTGAATAGTGGAACAGACCCTCTTGTGAAGCTGTGGACTCTCCTTCCTTGGAGGTTTTTAAGCAGAGGTTGGATGGTCATCTGAGATTCCTGCCTTGGAGGGGGTGGACTATATGATGCCTAGGATCCTTTCCAATGTGACAATTCTATGATTCTATTGCTCCTTCACCCACCTCAGGCCCCCACCCAGTGAGCCACCAGCTTGAATTGCAGGGACTAGATGCAGGGTTCCCTTCTTACCCTATGATCCTATAAATCCAGGGCCCAAGCCCCTGTTGACATTATTTGACACCTGCCAACAATGCGGCTGTGTCTACATGTTGGCAGAAGCCACTGACATAAGCTCAGGCTCATTAGGGAGCAGCATGAAGGACATCTGCTTTGTCTGTGGCAAAGAGGTGCTCTCCAAGGCGCCATCTACACTATGTATTTGAAGCAGTATTACAGTGGTTCTTCAGGTTAAGTACTTAATACGTTCCGGAGGTCCGTTTTTAACCTGAAACTGTTCTTAACCTGAGGTACCACTTTAGCTAATGGGGCCTCTCTCTGCCGCCACACGATTTCTGTTCTCATCCTGAAGCAAAGTTCTTAACCCAAGGTACTATTTCTGGGTTAGCAGAGTCTGTAACCTGAAGCGTATGTAACCCGAGGTACCACTGTATATAACTTCAAGGGGTCATGGCTTCCCCCAAAGAATCCTAGAAAGTGGTTTTTCAGAGTGCTGAAAACTGAGCTGAGAGACCCTCTATTTCACCCTCCCTGAGCTACAATTCCCAGAGCTCCCTGCGAAGAGGGATTGATTGTTAAACCACTCTGGGAATTATAGCACTTTGAGGGGAATGCAGGGGTCTCCCAAAAACTCTCAGCACTGTGAACAAACTACAGCTGTACATAACTCCTCAGATACAGAATATTTGTGTTTACAAAAAGAAGAAAATCAAGTAGACTTCACAGGGCAGTCTGAGCAGATGGAAGTTTATTTGCAAAATGCAGCCTCTCAAGAACTTCAAGGAAAACTGTTCAGGTACAGAAATGTCTGGAGAAAGTGACAATGAAGTGACAGGACCTACAGTCAAAGTACTAACACAAGGCACCGAAGGTATATGCCATGAGATACTTGCACCCTTAAAAAAGGAGTTCAATTACCGTCTTAAAGAATGGGAAAACAAAGAAAATGATCTCAGCACTACAGACACAAAATTACCAACTGTTCATGCTACTAGTGATTTCAGAGACAATAATGACAGATGTTTATGGACCATAATGAATAACAAGGAAATATCATTCTGGATTGAGAAAGGTCCACTGGAATGTCAGCATTGGTATGGATGGATCTTTTACCACTGATCTTTTACCTGAAGCATATGTAATTCGTTCTGGAGCTCTGTTCTTAACCTGAAACTGTTCTTAACCTGAAACACCACTTTAGCTAATGGGGCCTCCCACTGCCGCTGTGCCTCTGCCACACAATTTCTGTTCTCATCCTGAAGCAAAGTTCTCAACCCGAGGTACTATTTCTGGGTTAGCAGAGTCTGTAACCTGAATTGTATGTAACCTGAAGCATATGTAACCCGAGGTACCACTGTATACAAAAACCAAGCCTGGTTCTGCTCTATTCTATTGCACCAAAGTAAATGGAGAAACTAAGTTTGAGAATGGCTAGTGTATTCTCCCGCAAAAGGAAAAGTCTACTGTTTTGTGTGCAAACTTTTCTCTAACCAAACTACCTCAACCACAGATTTAGCTTCTACTGGATTCAGTGACTGGCATTATGCTTGTCTTCTTCAGACCCAGGGAAACTCTAAAAATCATATGAATTCTATGCTAACATCCTTAACAAAAAATTGTGGTCAGACACTCACATCAAAACTTGAAGAGCAAATCAAAGCAGAGCAGGGTTACTGGAGGCATGTACTTCAGTGAGTTGTTGCAGTGATTTCCCTTTTGGCAGAATGCAGTTTGACATTTTGGGGAGATGATGAAACATTTGGTTCCCCAAACAACGGTAATTTTCTTGGATTGCTTGAGCTAATTGGCAAATTCGATCCCTTCCTGTGTGCTCACATAAATCAGTATGGAGGTAAAGGCTCTTCTCAGACGTTGTACTTATCCAAAGCTGGACTAGATGGGCATTGACCTGATCCAGCATGTATGATGATTGTCCTGTTTCACTTGCTTGAACTCAAGTCTCTCCCCCTTTACCTCCGTCTCCAACGATGTGCAGCACATTAAACAGAGGTTCACTTGCTGCTGCAATTCACTTGATTGAAAAATTATAGTGCAGGGATTGCTGGGTGGAGGGGAGGAAATCAAAAGCAGAAACGCCATTCATTGCTGGCCAGGATCTTGTTCAGTCCCAGAACAATGCAATAACCCTCATGTATTAAAAAAAAAACACCTTATAGGCGGGTGGGAGGGGGAGAAGGGTTGAGGTCTTGAAAGCTTATTCACCTCCTTTCATTAGACTAACAAATAACGCTTAACACAAACCATCTGTTAGCAACAGACCTTACTGCTTGAGAAGATAAAACAGAAAGGTAATTTTAGCCACTGGAGGGGGGACTCTCAGCTTTACATGAGAGCCCTTTTTCAACCAGTGTGCTGTTACTCAAGCGTCTCTGGGGAGGTGGGATGCAGGTGGGGGGGGGACCAGGAGGGAGGGAGGTCAGAACTCTGGCCTGGTTTTAAGGGGGCATCTTGACAGCATTATGGGCATCTGGTGGCTTCGTGCTTTGTCAATTTTGGGGATCATCCACACTTTCACTTGACTTGTATTTTGATTGTATTGTGTCCCAATTAATTCTCATTGTTCTGTGGCTGTGCCTTGCAAGAATCTGATCTTACCAGCTGAATTGAAGCTTGGTTAAGCAAAATCTCCTTGGATTTTAAATGCATCTGATAAGGTCCAGTTCAGTGGGTAAGATTGGATTTCCACAAAGCACACAGCCATGGAATAACGAAAAAAAGCTCTTGGACACAGAGGAATTAATTGGGACACAATGCAATCAAAACAGAAGTGAAAGTGTTGACCAGCCCTTACCTGCAAGAGTGTGTGAAGAGATTTGTCTAGTAGCCTAGTCCTAAATAGTTCCTTTGCATTGAACTGGACCGTTTACTGGACCCAGTTTATTAGAAGGAGAAGTCATTCTAATAGGGATGCAATGAATGTCAGGGGCTGGTTGTTGTTGTTGTTGTTATTATTATTATTATTAAAAAGTTTTACCCAGGCCTAGAGTGGTGTGCTCCACCCTGGATGTGGGGGATCAGGGGGAGAACCCAAAGGCTACATTATATTCTGTGCAACTTTCCAAGGACCATATGGAAACGAAAATCAAGATAATTTATCCACTGTAACAGGTGTATCAGATTGGAGAGTCCATTAATTTCAGTGGGTCTACTGGGAAAAGGATTCACATTGGATACAGCTCCATCGTGTGGAGCAACAAGAGGATGATTGCCATTCAGTTCCTAATGCCCACTTCTTCTTGTTTAATTTGGGCAGATATTGAGAAATTTCTTCTCATATGCACTTTCCCCGATATGCATTTTTTGGGGGGTGTCTTACCTCAGATATGCCCTCTTGCCCACTTTGATTGGCAGAACTGGCATTACTGCAGGTGGCATACGGTGCCCATTCTGCATTAGTAAGAACTCAGTCTTTTAGAATGGCAGCACCTACACTTGGGAACTCCCTGCCACCTGACAGCAGGCAAGTGCCTTCACTGTATTCTTCTCAGCACCTGCTAAAAACAATTTTTCAAAGCAAAGCTTATCCGGGTACAGTATTTAGAAAGTTGATGTGAGTTTTAATGTGGTCTTAGTTTATTGTTATTCTAACTTTCCATAAGACTTAAATTATTGTTATTAATTGTTTATTAATAATTTTTATTGTTTTACCATATATTTTAAATTATTGTTGTTATTTTTTTCTTATTGGTAATTTATTTAATTTCATTTTTTGGTAAACAACTTTGAGGTTTGTTTGTTTTTAAAGCAAAGAAACAAATATTTCCCCAGAATGCAATGCATTTTTATATGCTTTCCCCCACCCATATATGCATTTTTTTAAAAAGCATATTACTTATGTGGAAAACTGCACTGCAAAATTTAGAGGATTACAAATTTTCAGTTTGTGTAAACTGGGCACCTTCTTTTAAAGCAAACAGGATTCAATTTCTCCACAGAAACTAGTACTGTGTCAAGAAGTTCTTCCTTGATCTTCCAATGCTCAACCACATTAGAGCACCTCTCATTCTGGAGAGACGCAAGAGAGACCTGTCTATCTTTTCTTTGCAATCTTCCTATCTACCATCCTAGAAAAATAGCACATACCTCAACTATGCGTGCCTTCCATGGGGTAGGGGGAACCCCCCAATGTTTTAATGGGCAGAAAATTAGATCTTTGTGTTTATTTTAAACCACTATGGAAATAGATTCTTGAGAAATCAGCTTAGCATAACAAGCTGAAAATGCTTTCTTCTGAGCACATGAGTTCTGGAGGGTTAGCTGTCAACCACAACCACCCCAAATTTATTTGTACAAGTTAGAGGCATGGCCTTCCTAACATGAAAGGTGGCGCAAGGCTGACACACACTTAACCAACAGACTCCAAGAATAAACGCACAAGATCTCCCGTAAAGGCAAGAAGAGCCTTCCCTAACAGAAACCTGAATTTTCCTCCTTGGGTGATGTCAACAACTTCATTCACCAAATTGAAAAATTGGAGATTTCCTCCAGGTAAACTTTGGGATATCTGGTTTGTGTCCAGAGCAGCTGGAGCAGGCCAGTGGCTCATCTAGTCCAGTGTCCTGCTCTCTTTTATATATATATCTTTATTTGTTTTACATAAAATTATGCACTGTAACCATTCCAAAACTTAAAAATAAAAGAGGTTCTTTTGAACCTTCAGACCTCCTTCCCTCCCTCCATTGGTTCCAGTTCTAAAGATCTTATCTTTCCCTTTCCCTGCCTGCATCTTTTACCGTTATCCATCTATTATATAATTATATTTACCATATAATATATATATAACCATATAATTATATTTATTTCACTTTACAAGTGTCATTTGTATGCCTGCCAATGATTTTAACTGTCTACAGTGGTCTTTTAAGTATATTATAAAGTTATTCCAGTCTTTTAAAAATACTGGTTTCTGATTTTTCCCGTCAGTCTTGCCATTTCTGTGTATTCCATCAGCTTGGTCCGCCACTCTTCTCAGGACAGTAGTTCTCCTTCTTTCCATCTCTGGGCTAGAAGCATTCTCGCTGCCATCATTGCATGCATAAAGAGTCTTTTGTTTCCTTTTGGTAGTTCCCCTCCTATTTTACCTAACAGAAAAGCCTCTGGTTTTTTTAACAAAAGTTTTCTTAAACATTTTCTTTAACTCATTATATATCATTTCCCAGAACGCTTTTACCACTCCACAGGACCACCACATATGATAAAAAGAACCATTTTTTATTTTACATTTCCAGCACTAATTGAGCTGGTTCTATACATTTTCGCACTCTTAAAGGTAAAGGTAATGGGACCCCTGACAGTTAAGTCCAGTCGCAGATGACTCTGGGGTTGCGGTGCTCATCTTATTTTATTGGCTGAGGGAGCCGGCGTACAGCTTCCAGGTCATGTGAACCAGAGCAGCGCACGGAAACTCTGTTTACCTTCCCGCCGGAGGGGTATCTATTTATCTACTTGCACTTGACGTGCTTTTGATCTGCTAGGTTGGCAGGAGCAGGGACCGAGCAACAGGAGCTCACCCCATCGCGGGGATTCAAACCGCCGACCTTCTGATCGGCAAGTCCTAGGCTCTGTGGTTTAACCCACAGCGCCATCCGCTCACAATCGCAATCGTACTCAGTCTTAAATACCAACGGTACATCATTGTCATTTTCTTTCAATGAACAGCAAGCCGTAAACTTAAAATCCTCTTTCCATTACATTTCCAATTATGAAAGTTGTTTATTATAACCATAATCTCTTGCCCAGTGTATCATCACTGATTTAACTTCTTCGTCTTTAGTGAACCATTAGCGTCCTGTTCTCATGGTCGCTGACTAGATTCCCCCAGTGGAAAGCCCCCAAGCAGGAGCTGAATGCGACAGCAACTCTCCCTACTTGTGGTTCCAAGCAACTGGTATGCAGAGGCTTTCTGTCTCCAACAGTAAAGGTAGAACATAAGAAGAATCTAGCTGCTAGATTAGGCCAATATGGCCTATCGTGTCCGGCATCCTAGTTCTCCCAATGGCCAACCAGATGCCCCAATGGAAAACCCACAAGCAGGACCAGAGTGCAACTGCAACTCACTCCTCACTTGCAGTTCCCACCATCTGGCATTCAGGAGCATTTACTGCCCCCAGCAGTGGAGGGAGAACATAGCTTTTGGGGTTGATAGCCATCGATAACCTTGCCCTCCATTAATTTGCCTCTGCTTATAGGGCAATAAAAGATGGTGGCCATCACTGCGTCTTGTGGTTCCTAATGATATTGTTAAAGATATGTTTGCAGCTCTGGGCTCCTTCGGGATGACATAAAATAAATAAAATAATAATACCAGAACTTTCCACTTGGGCGGCGCCATTGCAAAAGCAACAAGGGACCTTGCGGGAAATTAAAATGGCAGCCCCCCCCTCTAGCCCCAGGGGCCCCTGGTGAGCTAAGCCAGTATTCAGAAAAGCCGTTGCCTTCTGAGGCTGAAGAGAGATGTGATCCCTGCTCACCTGTCAACCCACCCATACCAAGACAGCTGATAAAGACCTGCTCTTGACCCTAAGCCCCACAGCCCTCAAACACAGAGCACCTCCCCACCCTCCATGTTTGACATCTGCCTCAACTTATTATTCCCCGGAGATATTTAAATTAGCATCAGATGTCAGGATCAACCTTTCCCTGACCCGCTCTTAGCATTTGTTATGGGCTGTTCCCTTTCATAGTCAGGATGAGGGAAAGGTAAACAACCAGCCAAAAACCGGCCTTTGACATGGAGGCATTGGAAGGGAATCCTCCTCCTCCGCCTCCTCCATCCACTGGAGAAAACACAGTTCCATTGTTTTATCGGCTGGGTTTCCTCCAATCCTTGTAAAGTTGCTTTGGTGGCTATGACACTCATTGTAAAGGCTCCATGGGGGCTGCTTGTCATCCTTTAATGGGAATGGAAAGATGCTTGAGGAAGCCAAGGACCCACAGACCAAATGGACTTTGTATCATAAGCATGGAAAATGTTGGCAGAGGAGTGGGAAATGGGGACAAAAATAAGTGGCGGACGAAATCAATGGATACGCTTATAAAAACAGGTCCATTGATTAAACTTAGGTCCATTCATTTCAATAGGTCTACTCTGAGCAGGAATTAGTTGAATCAACCCAAAGAGATGAATGCACCAAAGTTAGTCAAGTTCCTTAATTTTGATGGGCCTACTCTGAGTAGGACTAGTACTGGATGTGCAACCCACAGGAAGTTGCCTTCTACTGAGTCAGACCACTGGGGTCCATCTTTCTGAGTACTGTGTACACGTTGGCAGTTGTGACTCTCCAGGGTTCTAGACAGGGAGGTCTCTCTCTCAGCCCTATCTAGAGATGCTGCTGGCGACTGAAGCTTGGACCTTCTGCTCTGCCACTGAGCTAAGATTCCAGTCCTCGTGGTTCTGAATTAAAGGCCGAATTAAATAGGAAGCTGCCTTAGACCAAGTCTGACCACTGGCCCAACTAGCTCAGCATTGTCTCCTCTGACTGATAGTGGACTCATTCCACAGTTTCTGGCAGGTGACTTCCTTGGCCCTACCTGGGGGATTGGGGATTGAACACAGGTCCTTTCGTATGCAAAGCAAGTGCTTTCCAACCTAGCCACGGCCCTAAGTCCTTCTCAAAGGTTTAATTCAGCTTGCATGTTTAAGCAAAGGGACCTGATTGGGTCCCCAACCCCAGACTGGGATGTGGATTGGAGCATGATCCCCCACAACCACGTTCAACCTCTCCTTTTATCCACCAGTGCACAAGGAGACCCCTACATGCTTCTCAAGGGTAACACAGCACAGCATGATGCCTCATCCCCAACCAGAGCTTTTGAGTGTCCTCAAAGTCACCATCCTCAGCAAACACATTTACAGAAGGTTGTCTTTGGATTGGGCCTGTGACCCGTGTAAACTGTCTGAGTGAAAGCCAAGCATTTGACAAAGGAATGAAAATATTACGTGATTTTTCATACAAGTCGTGTGTGTGTGTGTGTTGGGAAAAGGTTTGGAAAACAGCAACCAAAATGATCAAAGGGGGTGGACGGGTGGACTAGCCTATGAGGAAAGTTTGTAGTGTTTGAGGCTTTTTAGCTTAAGAGCAAAGGCAAGTAATAGGTGACATGGTGTAAGTTTATAAAATTAAGCATGGCATGGGGAAAGTGGATAGAGAAATGTTTCCTCCTCTCTCTCGTTAACTCTAGAATGTGTGGACGTCCAATGGGGCTGAATGATGGAAGATTCAGGGCAGAAAAGAGAAAGGCACTTTTTCATACATTCTTCATACATACATTTCATACATTCCATTGTTAAACTATGGAACTCACTGCTACAGAAGGGTGCCAATGGCCACCAACATGCATGGCTTTTAAAAAAGGATTATACCAATTCATGGAGGAGAGGGCTTTCCATGGCCACTGGCCACAATGGCTATGTTCTGCCTGCAAAGTTGGGAGGCAGTAATGCTTCTAAACACCAGCTGCCTAGGTCCGGAAAGCACAGACCTGTGGCTGAAAAGCACGGCACAAAAGGATGTCTGGATGAGCCCTTTCTCACACACAAATGGGCTATAGTTAGCATTTTATGCAAACACGCCAACTTTTAAAAAATGGGTAGGAGAAGAGTGGAGACTTTGATGGTTACAAATAAACATACCCTGAAACTTTCCACTTTTAGCATTTATTTATTTTAACCATCAAAGGTTTGCATTTGTGGGTCTGTTTTCCCAGCACAAAACAAAACCTTCCCATTATGAGTGTATATGGATAGGATAAGGAGATGGAGAGATGGGGCTCTGCAGATGAAGGGGAAGGACCATAACTCAGTGACTCAGAGCATCTGCTTTGCATGCTTTCTCATAACACTGAAACTAGCGGCCACGCAAGGAAGCTGAATGTTGGAGGATTTCAGGAAGAAAGTCCCTTCTTCATGAAGCGCATCATTAAGCTATGGAACTCTCTTCCCCAGGAGGCAGTGATGGCCACCAGCTTGGATAGCTCTAACAGTGAATCAGACAGATTCATGGAGGATAAGGCTATCAATGGCTGCTGGCCACAATGTCTAGGCTCCACCTCCATGGTTAGATTCAGCAATGCTTCTGAATACCAGTTACTGGAAACTACAGGAGAGGAGATGGCTGCCACCTGCCATCTGAAATGTACCCAGATACCACACCATAGCATCACTCTAGGGCACTCTGGGAAATTTAAAGGGGCAGCCCTCTGGACATTGAGTGCTCCTGTTCTTATGGAAGATTAAAAATGGTAGACAAGGGTCCACCGATGTATGAGGGGTCTATTTTGTTGCTGGACATATTTTTGAACCAGTGGAGAGGCTGGTCTTCTGACTGGCGATTGGTTCAGTACAGATAAACAGGAACAGTGGAGACTGGTCTAATAGAGGAAAAGGAGCACTGCCCCATTAACCTCAGTCTGCCCTCAGCCAGCCCTCACCTGCCTGTCTTCTTACATACAACCAATCAAGTTTTGGCTCTGCTTGTCACTTGTTCTGGTGCTACAGTTAATCTGCTCTACTAGTGGAGGCTGGTCTATTAGGAAAAGTGGGGCAGTGCCTCACCAACCTCGGTCTGCCTTCATCCAGCCCACACCAGCCTTCCTCCTTACGGACAACTAGTCCAGGAGGTGGCCCTTCCTCTTAGGCTTCCTCTTCCTTAAGTCTCAGTCCTGCTCAACAGGACTTCCTTTCAGTTTGGAACATATTTTATTTTATCAAAAAGCATGCGCACACACACAAGGGATTGAAGAGATTTTGATTTCTGCTTTTAATCATATATAAATATATATATTTAAGGAGCTAATGAAACCAGCAACCGCTAAAAATATAGCCTGCTGGGGTTTGCCTCATTGCCTAACGGTTATGAAAAGAAAAAAGAAAAAATTCCAGAAGGAAAATCTGGAGCATGTAAAAAAGAGAGAGTCTTGTTAGACATCACACTTGCCTTCACCACCGCCTCAACACAAATCCTTTATTAGATTATTTTACAGCTCCTGTTATACAGTGATGGTTAAGCAATGTGTTCTCCTGACCACTTACCACCACCCACTTATCCCATTATGCATCTCAGACAGCTTTGCCTAACTGGGACCACAGCAATGCCCCACGAGCCACAGACAAACTTTCTGTGTCTTCAAACAGGGGCAAAGAAGCTTGGCTAGCTTGAGGGCCATGTTTCTTTTTGGAATAACCTTCCAGGAGCCTCAGGCCAATAGTGTGTGAGGCTGGAAGCAAAAGAGGCCAACTGAGTAAAATTTACCCATGTATTGTGGCCTAGTTTCTACACATGCTCTCTCTCATGGACGTTCATTGAAGCTGAAAGTTGGAAGATTCAAAACAGAGAAAAGAAGGGATTTTTTCTTGAGGCGTAGTTAAATTGTGGAACTCATTCCCACAGGAGAAGTGATGGTCACCAACCTAGATGGCTTTAAAAGAGGATGAGACAAATGTATGGAGGAAGAGAGGGCTAATGAGGGCTACTGGCCATAATGGCTGTGCTCTGTTGAAGGAAGCCAATGCTTCCGAATACCAGTTCCTGGAAACCACAGGAGGGGAGAGCATTCCTGTGCTCGAATCCTGCTTGCAGGTTTCCCATAATAGGCACCTGGCTGGTCACTGTGAGGACAGGATGCCGTTGGCCTGTTCCAGCAGGCTCTTATCCAGCAGGGTGGAATTTGGTAAGAACAGATGGAGAATCTGTCTCCAGTCCATTCTACTTCACTATATCTATTCACTGTAATCTTTGCAGAAACATAGCAAAGGGATGAACTGAAATTGACTGGTTTGTCCTTCCCCAACAGAAGAAAACAAACTGCTTTTGGGCTCAGCAGGTGGTTGAGCTGGGCAGAGATGCCCTTCCAGAGGTTTGCCTGCATAGTGAGTCCAGTGGTGCTCCACTGGCATGGAACTCTCCTTTTAACCTGCCAAATGAACTCACTGGTGGCATCCAGCTGAAAACCCTGAAATGCGCAGGCTGGGGCCAGTCCATTGGACCCGGAGCTGGTCCTAACATCATCGCAGGAAGGCACTGGGCCTGATCCAGACCCAACAGCTGCACCTGCAGGAATCTCCTCACCTCCATTTGCCGCCTGCATGCATGCTCAACTGGGGTGTAGTGCAGGTGCCAGAGCCCTCAGGGAGAACAGCAAAGCAGGTCATGGGTCACAGGACCACGGATAGCTCCAAGTGAGCTGCTTGCTCCAGCAGAGATGAGCACAAGAGCCTGTTGGATCAAGCCGAAGGGGACCCACCTAGGCCAACATCCTATTCTCACAGTGGCCATCCAAATGCCCCAACTGGAAACGAGCAAGCAGTGGTTTCCAGCAACTGGCATTCAGAGACATTACTGACTCCAACCATGGAGGCAGAGCATAGCCTCCATCATGGCTACTAGCTATCAATAGCCTCTTCCTCCATGACTTTCTCCAATCCTCTTTTAAAGCCATCCAACTTGGTGGCCATTGAGGCTTCCTGTGGGAGTGAGCTTGAACCCAGGATTTGAACCCATCACCCGCCATACATGAGCACAGGAAACTGGATGCAATGAAGCCATTGCATTATATTGGGGGAGAAGGTCTGAGCCCCTGGCGGCCTCCAGCACACAGGAGGTTGAGATCCAATCTGTTTCCGATTCCTAAAGAACAAGAAAGACTCCAGCAGATAAGGAGAGCTGTAAACATTAATTCAATATTAACATGGCTTTTTACACATCATCTACTCTCTTTAACCTTGCATTAGGGCCTGCCTATATCTGGCTTTCTCTCAGGTTAGCATCTGGCCAATAAAATTGGGGAGGGTTTTTTATGGCTTTAATAAGTTATAAGGTATTAAGAGGGATAAACATTGAGCACTTGATTAAATTGCAGATTGACCCGTAACTCCTGGAAAGCTTTCGATGGCTCAGCCTTCCAGCTGAAGATGTCAGCAAGGAGACATAAATATATTGAAAAGCAATGTGGTCTGGGGCACCCAAAAGGCAAAGTGGGCAGTTCTCCTACAGGTCTTTAGGCAGACAATAGGTAGACAGGAGTTGGGTTGGGGAAACTTTACCATGCAAACCAGGCTTTTGTACTTTGTAATGGTTTGGGGGAAAGGAAGCATTGATTGTCAAGAGCTGGCAACAGCTGATCCGCAATCACTGCACAATCACCCGAAGGCAATATTTTTTAAAAGGGCCATAGCAGCTGCCTTGCATGCAGAGACCTGTTTCTAGTCAGTGCAGACAACACTAAGCTAGATGGATCCAATGGTCTGTTCATGCTCCTGTTTACATCAGCCCTTTATTCAGAACCATGAGGACTGGAGTCTTGCTTTGTTTTTATGGGAGAAGGTGTTCAGAAGTAGCGTTCCTGCTTTGCATGTAGGAAGCCTCAGGTTCCACCCCCAAGCAGGACTAGGAATGTCCCCTGCATTCAGAGAGCCACTACCAGTCAGTGCAGACAGTTCCAACCTATATGGACCAGTGTTTCGACTCAGTAGACGTCAGCTTGCTGTGCTCCTATGTCTCCTGGCATTGTCCTTAAAATTCTGCAGTAGTAGCCAATTCATGACTCTTGAATGAGATGTAACCACCCCAGTTGAATTTTGAAGTCAAAGTCTTCTTAGTTCATTTCCTTCGGTTAAGATGCTAGACGGGTTGACATAAACAACTTTCGGATTTCCAAGGGGGCTTGCAAATCTTCACACCACCCCCTTGCCCCACCGCCACCCATTTCCTCCCCCCACCCTGAGCCCCTCCAATCCCCACAGTGGAATTTAAGAGCCCTGCAGCAGCAGCCGCAAAGCCCCACAGATGGATCTAGTTAATTACAAAGGAGAAAAAGGAGGAGGTCCATGAGCCTGCCTTGGAGAGAGAGAGAGAGAGAGAGAGAGAGAGAGAGAAAGAGAGAGAGAGGTTAACAGTGAGACCCTTGCGTTCAAAGGAGAGTCAAACCAAACCAAACAAGGTCTTTTGCAAGGAAGAGAGAGGAAGCAGAAATCAAGTGATGCATGCCTAGGATGGGCAAGAATCAATAGGCTGTGCAAGAGATGAAAGTAATGTTTGTGTGATTGTGTGCATGTGCATTTGTGAGCAGTGGCGGGGGGGGGGAGAGAAAGAAATCCCACAAAGGTCTAAAAAAACAAAACCCTGCCCCACATTTATTTTGAATCTGCTTTCAGCAAGTTGGTCCATTTCAGTTACTCTTGGTTTCTCCCCCCCCCCGTTCTAAATTAAGTTATTCACATTCCCACATCAGTTTGTGAGTTGTTGTTATTGTTATTAAGAACATAAGAAGGGCCCTGCTGGATCAGGCTAATGTCCCATCTAGTCTTGCAACCTGTTCTCAAAGCAGAACTCGAGCACAAGAGCAACACCCGACCTCTTGCGGGACCCAGCAACAAATATTCAGCAGCATTCACTGCCTCTGACCATGAAGGCTAGCAGCCATTGATGGCCTTATCTCCTCTATGCATTTCCCCAGTCCTCTTTTAAAGCCATCCAAGTTGGTGACCATCATTGCCTCCTTCAGGAGCAAGTTCCAAATTCACACTAAAACACCGAGGAATCGTTCTAAGGACTCTTTAACTATGTTCAGCATTTTAGTGTGAATTTCTCCTACTGTACACATTTTGCATATGGAAATTTGTCTGATAGATGCATCTCTGCAATCAATTTCCCTCACATAATGTATGTTTTGATGTCATCTTCGCTAATATGTGCATTTTAACAAACACTTCCCCCTGACTGACATAAACCGTTTTTCTACATATTATTTGGGTGAGGAGCTGCGTTGCAGAATTTGGAGTGCGACTTTAAAAGGATGGTTGTGTTTCAGTTCACATACTGTTTTCGTGAAGTGGGGATTATGAAGGTTGACATTAGAATGTGGACCAAACCACATTTCTTCTTGCCCTTGCCCTTGCCACTGCCCAGGAACAGGCAGCAGAAAGAGGCAGAGGTCAAATGAGTGAGTGGCAGTAGCATCTGGCCCAGATCCTTGAGCAGATGGGCAGGTGAATGAGTGACTGGCAAGAGTGGCAGGCAGCTGGTCTGTCTGGGCACCAGTGAACCACTAGGTAAGAGCCTATTTTGCCAGATCTTTGGAGTGAAAAGTTGGAATATGTGTATGCATTTGATCCTCAAGTAGAGCTCTGAGGGGAGCGTCCATTGTATTTAGGTTTTAAGAAAAGAGAACCACTGAGTTGTTCTTGTAGCTGCAACCTTTCATTGAGCTGGCAATTTCAAAACACAATATTAACATATATATCTTGATGATCATCTGGAACACCAAGAGCCTAAAACTGATATAGGTTATTTGCCCAGGATAAATGAAATGAAAAGTTCTTCACCATGCACTGAAACTGTAGTAGTCTTGGGACATGGCTTGTTTATGGAATGTACACCTTTCATGCAGTCACGTTTAGGTGAATGTCAGCATTCATGTATGTATCTCTGAGTTTTTGGATGTTCACAGAATTTGTCTGGAATTGCCATTTAGTTGTATTCATAGAGTCAGAAATGCCGACATTGGCTGTTTTTTAAAATAATAATATATTGTAATAGGACCAGTGAAAAAGGTCAAAAATGGGTGTGCCACAAAGTTTATTTTGGACATTTATGTCCTTGGCATAGCAGGGATCCAAATGAAGCTGTTTTGACCTTCATTGAAGTCCTGATTTCTCTTTCTGGATCCCTCAACATCTCAAAAATAACCAGTAAATGTCAACATTCACCACATCATGCTTAGTGTAATCATACTCATATGGAGGGTCCAGTGTGGAACGTAGGACATTTACTTGCGCTAGATCAGACTATTTGTTCATTGAACCAGTGCTGCCTACCTTGACTGGCAGTGGCTCTACCGGGTATCCATCAGAGAGAGGTCTTCTTCTCTATTTCCCTAATGATTAGAAGATTTTATACAGTATTTTATACTAACAGCTTCACACCTAACATGAATTATAAGAAACCCAAAAGGTCTGTGCTGTTTCAAAATCAGTAGTCAAAGTCAATGCAGTTTGAAAGGACCAATCAACTGGCTTGTACCTAAACACAGGCAGAAACCAGTTCATTGACCTAATGAACTACCATGCCATATTTGGTTATGATAAGAGGCATCCAAATGCATAGCCATGTCCCCTCTTCTCAGACCACACCACTCACTGGCCCTGCTTTGAGTGGTTTCTTTCCTGGCTGGAATGCGTCCTTGAAACCAGTCACCACTGGCATGTAGAGCATGAGGCTCTTAATCTCAGGCTCGTGGGTTCGAGCCCCATGTTGGGCAAAAGATTCCTGTATTTTAGGGGGTTGGACTAGATGACCCTCATGGTCCCTTCCAACTCAATGATTCCATGATTCTATGAGGTCCCTGGAAGGTTGTTTGGAAAAGAGTGTGGTCCTTGGGGCTGAGAAAGGCTCTCCGCCCCTGGTTCACCCTCAAAGGGAGGGTGGGAACGAGGAGTTGTCTTTTTGCATGATGACAACCTGGAGATGGTTGGATGAAGACAGAATCTCTAATTGTTAGCTATGAACTATAGCCCTAATAAACTTATTTGAAAGAAAAGGGGCTTCTGAAAAAACAAAATATGGACAAAGGGAACAATTCACCCCACCCTACAATGAAGAAAAAATATTAAAAAGGGGCAAATCAAAGGAGGCAGGAAGATTAGGTTGTTTCTGGAGGAAACGTCCAAGTTGAGTTCCAACAGAGTGGGACTCTTTTGTTTGAACATCTGTTCATTTGGGCGGGACAATTTATTGCCCTGATATTATTGGCAGGAGAAAGGAAGGAGTGTGAAGTTAAAAATACAGAAACCCAGATTATTCGAAGATTCCAGACAGCTTCATTGACGAACCTCATATTTGGAAAAATAAAGACAAGGGTCTAAAACCATGTGGAAAAAGTTCCCTCAAAAAAACCCATCGTCCCAGTCCAAAATGGGAGTTGGGAAGTTAGTTGGTGAAAGGAAAGCTTGCAGGGCTGAGAACAGGGAATAATAAAATCCTGCCATTGTTTTCTTGGAAGCAACCATGTATACTTTTTAACCCTCTCAGCACCCCTAGGCTGGTAGACAGACTGGCCCAGGGTGGTCACATGGTAAGGGAGCCTAGGCCTTTGAGCTTGAAGCCCAACTACCCGTTGCGTCACACGGAGGTTAGCGCTGCCCCAAAATCTCAAACTAGATTAACTGTAGCTCCCCAAGGAACCAGGGTAGTTGTAGTTTTTGGGAGGGAGTAAGCTTAGGCATCCTTAGCAGCAGATTTTCATCTCAGTTTAATTATTTATTTATTAATTATTTAATTATTTATTAAATTTTTTAATTATTTATTAAATTTTACATGTGGCTTGGCTGTTTAAAAAGCAAACAAAAGCAAACAAAAGACAACATGGTTTGCAAAAAGAATAACACTTAGCAGAATTTGAAAGCAAGAGCAACCTCTCTCTTCTTGTGGTTTCCAGCAACTGGTATTCAGAAGCATTTATTGCCTCTTGACTGTGAAGGAAGAACATGGCTATCTTATACAGTGGTACCTCGGGTTAAGAACTTAATTCATTCTGAAGGTCCGTTCTTAACCTGAAACTGTTCTTAACCCGAGGTAACACTTTAGCTAATGGGGCCTCCTGCTGCCGCCGCGCGATTTCTGTTCTCATCCTGATTCCAGGTCAACTGAGCCTATAGATGTACAGTGGTACCTCAGGTTAAGTACTTAATTTGTATTGGAGGTCTGTTCTTAACCTGAAACTGTTCTTAACCTGAAGCACCACTTTAGCTAATGGAGCCTCCTGCTGCTGCCAGCCGCTGGAGCACGATTTCTGTTCTCATCCTGAAGCAAAGTTCTTAACCCGAGGTACTATTTCTGGGTTAGCGGAGTCTGTAACCTGAAGCGTCTGTAACCCGACGGACCACTGTATGGTTGCTAAACCTCCAGGCCTCACCTGAAGTCTCCATGTTTGACTGCCCCCCCTCTAGATGGCAGCAGGGTGGGGGTGGGGCTTAACCTCTAGATGGGCAAGAGTGTTTTTAGTAATAGTAATAATGAATAAATTATTGAGGCTGTGCATGCAGCTTGCAAGCTTGATCCCAGCAGGAGCGAGCTGCAAATTATAGCATAGATGTTTGGGGGGGTGGGGCTGCGTTCCTCTGCTCCCCCCCCATTAACCACCGTCTCCAAGGTCCACCTCCATGCCATCACCTAGGATATCGCTAGGTCTCAGGTTTGGACCCTGACATTTCAGGGCCTAGGATGCTCCTGGCCTGGCAACCCTACCATAATGGCTTGGAATCACTGATGCCTCTGAGGATGCACAGAATCTGTTTCCTGCTCCCTTCTACACTTCCTAGGAACAGCCAGAACTACTGTGTCTATTCAAGCAGACTGAAGCCTTCTTTGATGTCTCTGTTCATAGGGAAACAATATTCAGCACTCCATATATAAAAGGCAGTGTGGCATAGTGGTTAGAATAGTGGCATAGTGGCACAATGGTTAGACCAGGACCCGGGAGGCCGGGGTTCCAATTCTCGCTTGGCCATGAAGCTCCCACTGGGTGGTCTTGGAAGCCAGTCACTGCCTCTCAGCCTCACCTACTTCACAGGGTTGTTGTGGGGATTAAATGAGGAAGGGGAGAACTCCACTCTGAGCTTCATGGAAGAGAAAGGTGGGGGTATAAAGGCAATAAATAAATAAATTTCTCCTACGGATTGTCCCGATATCAGTGTGGGCACAGCGGATGAAGCAAACCCTATTTTTGCGAGTTGGTATCTTTAAAGCAGCCTTTGGCTCCTGGCAGGGTATGGGTTTCAGGGAATCTTCTCCATCTGCAGAATATTCAGAGGCTTTTGTGTCTGTCCCCCCCCCCCCCCATCACAAATCTCCCATCTCCTTGGAAAGAGCTAAGATGATAATGCTTGTTGCCCCTTTCAAACCAGGAACTTTTATCCATCCTGCAGAAATGCCATCACAGTTCCCCTCCCTCCAACCCCTCTTGGAATATATATATACACATATATATACATGGAGGGGAGTGTGTGTGTGTGTGTGTGTGTGTGTGTAGAATTGAAATATAACAAAGCAGCTTTTCAGTCACAGCGATAGCTGAGGAAGCGAATTGTACGAGCCTATTAAAGTCTGTGTCTCTCTCCCCAACTGAAGTCTGTGGCTACGGTCGGCGCCAGCCTCTCGCGCTGAACCAGATGTGGAGAGGCGCCGTCCTTCCCGGCCACTGAATCTGAATTGCTCCAGGCCTCACACGAGGGAAACTGGAACGCACATGGGAAGCCACGGGGTTGTGGAGGGCGGGCTGCAGGCAGGGTGGGGGGGGGGGAAGCTTCCTCCAACGAAGCACAGAGCAGCAAAGTCAGGGGGAAGCTTGAAGCGTGGACAGAGGAAAGCCAGGGGTCTCCTGGTTGGCAGAATGGGCACAAGATTAAGGCAGCAATGCAAGGATATAGGAAGAGCCTGGCTATTTGATCAGGCCAAAGTGTGGCCCATATAATCTTACTCTGACCGTGGCCAACCAGATGTCTGTTATGGGAAGCTCCTAAGCAAGACTAAAGTGCAGCAGAAAATATCCAGTTGTCGTTCTTCCCCATCGTCTGGTATACAGAGGTAGGCTACCTCCAGGCATGGAGGTTCTGCTATCACAATGGGAAGAGCCTAGCTGCTGAATGAGGGTGAATGGGGTCCCATCTAGCCCAGCAGCCTGTTCTGACAGTACCCAACCAGATGCCCCAATTGGGAAGCCTGAAAATAAGACTTCAATACAACAGCAACACCTGTGAATTCTAGCAACTGGCATTTGAGGGATAGATTGCTTCTGGGCATGGAGGTTCTGCTATCATAATAGACATCCAGAGGAAGAGGCTTGCCCATGGGTTCAGGCCAAAAGGAGCTCGTCTAGGCCGGCACTTCAGTCTCACAGGGGCCAACCAGATGCTTCTTCAGAGAAGTCCTCAAGCAGGGCATTAGGGTAAAGTCAGTCTTCCTAGTGGTGATTCCCAGTAATGGGCTGTTAAGAGACCTACTGCCTTCAATGGTAGAGGCAGAGCATAAGAAGAGCTCTCCTGGAGACCTGATCATTGTCCTACATCCTGTTTACAGTGGCCAACCAGATGCCTATTAAGGGAAGCCCAAAAGCAGGACCTGAGCATAACAGCAACTCTCCACACTCACAATCCCAGTGACTTGCATATTGCCTCTGACAGTGGAGGGAGAATATAGCCATTATGACTAGTAGCCATTTAGGGTCTTTCCCCCCGCATAAAGGAGACCAGAAGAAGTTTTTAAAACTTATGTCTTCCCTGGCTCAAGGAAGCCTCCATTTCTCAGGCTGCAGAGTTGCCTCTGCTGCACTAGTGGGTTTAGCAGGTTTTCAACACAGTAGCACGAACTTGCTGGACTATTTAACAGGAGACAGGTCATTATAATTATCCCTTTCATGAAAGCATTTAGAGAAACTGCTTAGATTCTGGGGATGGGTAGAAACATGGAATCACAGAATTGTAGAGTTGGAAGGGACAACAGGGGCCATCCAGTCTAACCTCTGCAATGCAGGAATAACTGCATTGGGGGCAAAGCATAAAAAACCCCCAGCAGCAGTCCAAAGTCAACAAGCAGAAAATAAAATGTGAAAGGCCAAAAGTTGGAGACGATCAGCTAAAATCAAATTGGAAAGTTTTTTGTTTTGATTGGGCTTCTAAGTCAGCACTGAGGAATTGTTTAATTCAGACTGGGGGCCACGTTCCCTTGTGGGAAACGTTCTGAGGGCTGCATGACAGTTGTGGGTGGAGCCAGCCAGAAGCAAAAAAAGTTGCAGGTAGAGCATCAAACATTACTTTTACCTTTGTACCTTTTACTGTTCAAGTCATGGAGAATTCAGACATTACTATGAACACACCTCCCCATCCTGACAAGCAAGAGGCATAATCCCATTGACTGATGCCTTCCAGCTAGCCAAAGCACTCAAGGAGGTTTGTGGAGCAAGGTCAGCAAGGGGGAGAGTGGCTGGGGCTGGGGAAAGGATGGAGCGAGTCCCGAGGACCATATAGACAGAGGTTGGAGGGCCACATCTGGCCTCCAGGCCTGAGGTTCCACATTACCAGCCTCAGTGACAGCAGCAATCTTAAACCCATTTGCCTAGGAGTAGGCCCTGTTGAATTCAGAAGGACTTAACTTTTGAGGACACATGGGACTAATCTACACTGGTCAGTTAAAACGTGTTATAAAAATGTGACACCAGAGGGCGCAGTAGAGCAGTGATCTGTCGTCAATGGGAAATTAAATTGAGAGCTATATTACTGGCGGGTTTTAAACACGCTTTTATTTTCCCCAGATCAGTGTAGATCCAGCCATGGAGAGAGAAGATTCTTTTCCAAGTAGGAAGATTGTCTACACCAGAATCAGTTAGGGATGGACTGAGCAGTTAATTCCATCCTGTTTAGGTCTCAGTGGCACACAGTCATAGGTCTGTTGCATCTTGTAGTAGGACAGGATGTCCTGACCCATTCTGTTTTCTTGCTGTCCCATTCTATTTTGTTGCATCTCATTCCGTCCTGTTCTGTCCCGTTTCATTGCATGCCATTCTGTCATGTGCACTTTGTGTACCTTTTATATGTAAAACATACTTTCCAATGCTTTCTGGTGCACTCTTGAGTAAAACAAAAAACACACCATGCACTTCCTGTGCATCTTTTATGCAATAATATATATTTTCATGCAGCCTTTTTTGCATGCTCAAAGTACACTACTAAATCAGGAGCAAAGTGTCATCTGACTAGGAGGCATGTTCAGATCCACAAACAAGTGTGGGAATGTTGGATGAAGTCAGTCCGCCATGAAAAACAGACCAAGTGAATCCCACCCCTACGAGCAGCTATTCTTTAGAACTATAAAATGAAGAAAAAGAAAACCCGAGTCTCTGTCTCTGCTCCAGCCTGAATGTGGTTTCAGGCAAAACAACGTTGCCTTGCCAGATATCTGACCTAGAAAGAATGAGAATTAATTTGCTCCCTAACCCCCCCCCCCATGTCCAGAAGTAGTACTGTGATTTCACTTGGAATATAATACTGTACCCCAGGACCACCCTGAGTTAGATTGAGCATTTTCATACAAGGCTCAAAATAGTTTGTGCCTAAATCCTGGGTCACCTCCAGCACTTGTAGCATCTTTCCATCTGGCAGAGCACTCACCTTGCTTGGAGTCATGTTTTCCTCTCCACTGAGGCTTCTCTGCCACTTTGCTGGCTGCTGCTCTATTTTATAAAACTGCTGATTTTCTTGCTGGACCTGCTGCTGGAGCACCAACATGACCCGCTCTAGGAATGCTGCTGTTTCTTCCTCCATTTTGGCTCAGGAACATCTAGCCCTCAGCCCTTTTCCTCTATAAAACACAGATCCCACTTCTTACACCAGTGTGACACACCACCCTAACCTCCGAGCAGTGTGAGATTCCAGGGGTACCAGGAGCGCTTGTCAGGATCTGGGTTACTTTTTGGAATAAAGAGGCAAAGCAGAGACTGCAGTGTCTTTATGCTATATGGATTACTTACACATATATATACAGCACATCCTGTAGAGGGAAGTGAGAGGCAGATGGGGCTTGTCTACCTGGGAAGGGAGCCCCTCTAGGAGAAGGATAACTGATCCTAAACCTCTGCTGCCTTGCGGGACATCTTTGGGAGAAAGGGCCAAGGAGGAAACCCTACTCAATCCCCTAAGGTGGTTGGATGGCGCCTTGTACGCCTCCTTTGGAAACTCCTGTAGCCAGGTTGGTGCCAAATGTATTGCTCTCCTTCCCTTTGGACCACATCAGTGCGGCTGAGAGTGGGGTAATGTCTGGTCAGCCTAGGACCTCTGTATACACTGCCCATGCTTGCACCACAGAGAGGTCATTTCGGTGCTGCTAATGTAACAGTTTGACTTCACACACCCCAGGCCCACTCTGTTGTCTCTCAAAACAGATGGATGCCAACAACATACAATCTGCATCTAGATGGAGAGAGTTCAGAGCATTGAAATCCCAGGAGGGTTGTGCTCCTCCTCCCATTGCTGCAGCCTCGGACTCCAAGAGACCCAAAACATCATATCTGATCATTTCTACAGCATAAAACAGACCATTCCCCTCCTGCTCTGGTTCCCCCCCCCCCCCCAGCTTGCAAAGATGGCACTTCTTCCTGTTCACTTATGTCAGTGTCCACTGCAATTCCCCCCCTTCCTCCTGAAAAGCTGGCCTTTTGTCTCTGCTAACTAAGGACACCTCAATTCACAGAGGGGCTTTCACCATTTCCACCAATCTCTGTTAATGGCCTTCTTAATGGGTTAACAGTTCAGCCATTATCAGCATTTGTTCTTCCAAGGCCCTCATCCAGCTATCTCTGCCAAACCAGCCCGGCTTGATAGCATAAATTGAGTTGGGCACAATTTAGCCAAACCTCATTAATTCTAACTTTTACTGAACCCAAGGATTGTGAGTGACTTACCCCCACAAACTCTGGCACCCAAAACCTGTAATAACATATTCCCCATTCCAAATTCACCAGTTAAAAGAATAAAATAAAATAAAAACACTCCATGAACATCAAGTTCAGGATTTAGGTGGTAGAGAGGAAGATGAAAGACCTATGATGTTTCTTACAGATGTTTCGTTAGAGACTTGGTGTGCTCATTAAAGGCCAAGCTAGATAAGAGGAGTCAGGCCAGAGATTAGATCCCATAACACTGGGAGGGAATTTGGATTAGGGCCCTGGCACCAGAGAAGGGGATTTAACCTATCCTGAGTGTGAGAGAGAAGGGGGAGGCAGAAATAGAGTGTGAGAAAAAAGGAGGCGGTGAAGAAAGTGAGCAAGATAGATGGGAGGTGGCAGCAAGGATGTGTGAGAGAGAAAAGGAGTGGCAGAAACAGAAAAAAGAGGGAGAAGGGAAGTGGCAGAAAAATAGAGGAAAGGGACGTGTCTCCATTCCCTTCCAGCTGTGGTCTTGCCCACCATTGGGTATGGAGCTAGGCGGGGAAAAGACTACCCACCTTTGCCCTACAGGAAAGTAGCCATATGGTTCAAAACTTTTGTTTTGTTTTTTTTAAAAATAATTTTTATTAAGATTTCAATCAAAAATTAAACAACAACAAAAAATAAAATAAAAAGATACACAAATACACAATACAAATCTCAGGAAAAAAAATTAAAAAAACACGAAAAGCAAGAATCAACAGTAAAAAAACCACACAGCAATTAAAAACAATATCTCTTTTCCATTTCCGTTTTGAGTTTACTTATTTCCTGGACTTCCTCATACCTCCCTCTTTTGTATTCCAATTCAAATTGTTTATCCAGCAATTTCTTTTCCACTTTTTTAATCCCAATCTTTAATTTTAATATAATGTATAACTTCAACTTCTTTAAACCTAATCTTTGATCTTAATGTAATATAACCTTGAAATTTTACCTCTTAATTACCAAATTTCCATTTCCTTAAACATCTTTAATCCTAATCTTTAATCTTAGTCTATCATTAACTTCAACCTGTACAGCTGGAAACCACTTATTTTCAGTCCAACATCACTCTAACATTCTTTAATTTTGCAATGTTTCTGAAGATAATCTTTGAATTTCTTCCAATCTTCCTCCACCAACTCTTCTCCCTGGTCACGGATTCTGCCAGTCATTTCCGCCCGTTCCATATAGTCCATCAGTTTCATCTGCCATTCCTCCAGCGTGGGAAGTTCTTGTGTCTTCCAATACTTTGCGATGAGTATTCTTGCTGCTGTTGTTGCATACGGTTCAAAACTTTTGTTACAGATCTGGGGTAACAAGAGTTTTGGGGTGAAAGGATACCTGTAACTGCTAGAGTTAGGGAATGTTAGAAACTAAGAAATGGTAACATTTAGATAATACTTAGAGCATTGAAGAGAAGATGCCAGACGCTAGATTTAAAATTCAGGCTAAAGCAGGAAATCTCCTGGGGAGAAGGACTATCAAGGGCTAGATCTAGGCACATCAAAGAAGTGTTTCAATTAAATGCCTTGTAAGCTTTGCATGAGAAATTGGGTTGGCAAAAACAGAACTCCACAGCACCATTTGGTGTCACAGTGTTATCATGCCTAAACAACGCATATAAAGCACTTTTTCTTTGCCAGTGCAGTTGAGTCCAAGGTGTAATTACCTGACAGTGGCCAGTCATTGACCCTCTTTTACCTGAACTTCGAGTAAATAGTAGAGATGAGAGGGGGAAGTTACAGGAAAAATGTGTCCTTTTGAAATTTAGTGGTTGGGGAAGAATGGGGTGAACTCGGGTGAGTTGCTGTGAAGGGCAGAACCATCTTGGCCAGCTGGGGCAGAGGCAGAGGCAGAGATGGTTTGCAGGATGCCTTGGACTCCAGCGCTGCACTGCTGTGGGGAACAAGCCCCTCTTGACACGTAATACTCTGAACTCTCTCCCAAAGCAGACCCAGGTGTAAACATGTGTACAACAAACCATATTTCCTAAAGACAGTAGTCTCCATGGTGCCTTGATTTCCCAATGGAAACACAACCCTGGAACCCCCTGAAATCTTTCTGCCGCTCAGCAGAGATTGGGGATGGTGCACAACCATTGTAACACTTTGGAGAAGACCAGGATTTGTGAGTTTATTTTCTTTCTACTGAGCAAAGATATCTGATTTCTGTCCAAGTTGTTATGCACTTCCAATTTCTTTCCCCCAAAAGCCAGCTTTAGCACTTAGAACCGCTTGAGGTTAGCTATGGCACATCACACGTATTTTCCCCTTTCCACAAGCGTAAGCAGAAAAAAAAAGCCATATACTGTGAGACAGCCCTGGCACCTTTTCCATGGGAAATTGCTGGAGCAGGCATGTAGAATCTCAGGCCTGGAGGTGCCTCCAGCTACCTCTGTTTGCTCCTGGGGATGCCTCTTCAGCTCACACCCTTCACTAGCCTGGCTTCATTTGTGAAAATGGCTTGCAAAAATGCATTATATCAGGGAAAATCACTTTGCAAAGAAGTGCCCATTAGGCAAAATCACACACACACACACACACACACACACACACACAAAATACAGATTAGGATAAGTTCACACTCCCATCAGATGTCATGGAAATAAACAACTATTAGGCTTTTAGAAGACACCTGAAGGCAGCCTGTATGGGGAAGTTAAAAATAAATAAATAAATAAATAAATAAATAAATAAATAAATAAATAAATAAATAAATAGTTCCCCAGCCACTCTGGCTGGCTTCCAGCAAAGAATAAAAATACATTAAAATGTCACACATTAAAAACTTCCCTGAACAGGGCTGCCTTCAGATGTCTTCTAAATGTCAGGTAGTTGTTTGTCTCTTTGACATCTGCAGGGAGGGTGTTCCACAGGGCGGGTGCCACTACTGAGAAGGCCCTCTGTCTCGTTCCCTGTAACCTCACTTCTCGCAATGAGGGAACCGCCAGAAGACCCTTGGTGCTGGACCTCAGTGACCGGGCAGAACAATGGGGTTGGAGATGCTCCTAGAGGTATACTAGGCTGAGGCTGTTTAAAGTGGGACTGTGTTCAAGATTTTAAATTTGTTGGAAGCTGCTCAGGGTAGCTGGGGCAACCCAGTCAGATGGGCAGCATAGAAATTAATAAATATTATTTTTATTATTATTACTAAAATGCTTCTGAATAAGGACTTTTTTTGAAAAAAATGCATGAAGTGGAAATGTGGAGAACCTGAACTTTAGAATGGAGAGAGAGAAAAAAATGAAATTGAAAGGTTCACCTAGATACATATCCCACTATCCTTGACCCTGCTGTCTGGGGCTGATGGGAATTAAGAGTTGAGCAATGTCTCAAGAGCCACAGGTTTCTCATCCCAGCTGTGAAGGAGAGCACTTCGTTTCCAAAAACTGACCTGGGAGAAGGGGTGGGTGACAGGTCCTGCCTTTCCAAACAATTTCTGGGCAAAGGACATCCCTCCTAATCTGGCCGAGTCAGTGTGAATTTGTTAAATCCACATTAAACACCTTGTTTGCTTTTGCTAATTCAGACCACCTGAGATCGAACTGGGGTTCCGTTTGCTAAGAACTCGTGTTAATTAATAAAGCCTATTTATTTGCTTAGAGATGTCTGCAGCCTCTGGGTCACATTTTACCATAATTGTTATTTTGAGGGGGTGGGGAAGGGATTCTCGGGGAGAGAGAGAGGTTAGAGCTAACTAGAAAGGAGCTGCATTTATTTTTCTTTGGCGGTATGTACAGCTAATGCACTCCAGGCTATTTCCACCCCTTCAGCTAAGCCGAATAAGAGGAGAAGGAAGGGTTAAAGCAGAGGTGCCAGAGGAATAATAGAACTGTAGAGTTAGAAAGGATCCAAAGGGTTGCCTAGTCTCACCCCCAGGAAGGCAGGAGGGCAAGCTTAGAACTGGCTGTTCACTTTGGAAGGCAGGGAAATTATCAACAAGTTATTTTAGAGAAGGAGTGGGAAACCCTTTTCAGTCCAAAGGCCACCTTTTCCTTCCAGGGTGTGTGTGTGGGGGGGTGGGGGGTAGGGGGATGCACATGCCAGTGGTGGGAGGAGCCAGAGGCAAAAGCAGACAGCAACCAATATGAATTTCCCCCTTTGCACAGTTAGTTTCTGCACGCATCCCCCTTTCTTTATCCCATACTCTCCAAGTGTCCCGATTGCCCAGGGACAGCCCCAGAATTACAAAAGCTTCTAATTTGACCTAATAATAATAATAATAATAATAATAATAATAATAATAATTTAATTATACCCCATCCATCTGGCTGGGCTTCCCCAGCCACTCTGGGCGGCTTCCAACAAATTATTAAATTACCGTAATACATCAAACATTAAAAGCTTCCCTAAACAGGGCTGCCTTCAGATGTCTTCTAAAAGTCTGGTAGTTGTTCTTTGACATCTGCTGGGAGGGCGTTCCACAGGGCAGGCGCCACCACTGAGAAGGCCCTCTGCCTGGTTCCCTGTAACTTGGCTTCTCACAGTGAGGGAACCGCCAGAAGACCCTCGGCACTGGACCTCAGTGTCCGGGCAGAACGATGGAGATGGAGACGCTCCTTCAGGTATACTGGGCTGAGGCCGTTGAGGGCTTTAAAGGTCAGCACCAACACTTTGAATTGTGCTCGGAAACGTACTGGGAGCCAATGTAGGTCTTTCAAGACCGGTGTTATATGGTCTCGGCGGCCGCTCCCAGTCACCAGTCTGGCTGCCGCATTCTGGATCAGTTGTAGTTTCTGGATCACCTTCAAAGGTAGCCCCATGTAGAACGCGTTGCAGTAGTCCAAGCGGGAGATAACCAGAGCATGCACCACTCTGGCGAGGCAATCCGCGGGCAGATAGGGTCTCAGCCTGTCCCTCAGAATGTCCCTATTTCCCATCAGTGCCACTGCCACCGAGCTTGGGAGTGAGCATGAGCCAGTGCTTGCCCTGGGTGACAGTTGCAGCTGCGAGGGGACACCCCGCAGCCTCTCCATGGCCACCTTAAATGCCAGCCTCCTCTCTTGGGAACTCATAGTGGCTGCTGGAGAGTGGGTGAGGAGGAAGAGATTTGCCAACAACACGGAGGCATAGCCTCGCGTGACACATGGCTCTGAGGTACAGGCAGGGAGCAGGGTGGTGGAAATGCTCTGCTGGCAGAGCGTCGAATAGGTTCAGTTGGGGAGGGGGAAGAGTGAGAAATGTCCCTGTTTTCATCTGAGGAATGTCTGAGGGTATGCTATCCTCCATCCAGGCAGGCAAGAAGCATGACCAGCTCAAAGACACATCCCTGCAGGACAAAATCACTCAGAGAGGGTGCCAAGCAGTGAAAGGTGTGGCCTTGGAAGGGTTCTGAGGGCCAGGTGGAGAGGTCTGAGGGGCTGCATGCATCCCCAAGGGCTGAGCCCCCCACCCCCTGTTTTAGAGTGAGTCTCTTGTGCCCTCAATCCCAACCTATCTCTTAGCGAGCAACCCAGGCAAGCAAAACGTTTCGCCACATCACAGTCACTTAGATTTGACACACAGCAGAAGAATCTGGGGCAACCCTGCTGAAAATCAAAGGGGATGTCATAAAATTATTCCCTTTTTTATAAAAAGTGAATTCCAAAATAACTTTCTTTCCCGCCATTAGGGAACAAATGGAAGCCAGATGTTTACATAACAGAGCGGGAGGCAAAATTGCTGTATAGGATTTCAGGGCAGAATTTAAACTGAAACACACGCCCAGGGACCATTCTCTGGCAGACTGCACCTTCCTAGGCTGCATTTTATAGAATCATGTGATAGTAGAGTTGGAAGGGAGCCAAAGACTCATCTAGTCCACCCCCCTCTGCAATGCAGGAATCTCAGCTAGAGCATCCATGACAGATGGCCATCCAATCTCTGCTTAAAAACCTCCAAGGAAGGAGAGTCCACCACCTTCCGAGGGAGTCCACGCCACTGTTGAATATCTTTTACTGTCAGAAAGTTCTTCCTGATGTTTGGTTGGAATCTCTTTTCTTGTGACTCGAATCCATTGGTTCAGGTCCTTGGATGGGTGGGGGAATAGATAGATACAGATCACCCATGTGGGGTAATTAATAAACGGATGCACCCAATGCCTACATCCAGAAATGCAGGGCAAGCAAACACTGGTAACAGAGAAAGCCCCAACAACAGAGTTTTAAAGTCACAAAAGCAAGCAGCAAAATATTGTGGGGATTTAGGTTGTTAAACCTTTTAAATATCCTATCCTGAGTCACTACCAGATCTTACCCATTTCTACCCCTCTTAGCAGTGAGCACACTTTACCAAGTTTAAACATGCTTTACTTACCAAGTTCCAAAGGTCAGGTTCATTCATTTTTTCCATGAAGCAACAATTAAACACAGGCAGAAATCTTGGGATACAAAATATAATGAAATAGTGCTAAGCACGTGGTCTGAGCTTGTAGTGAGCAAGCTCAGGCACTTCCTATCTCAGTGAGTTCATATGGTGAAAAAGGAGAAGGAATAAAGGAATAAAGAATAAAGGAATAAAGGAATAAATTTCCTTCCAGGTGAGAGGCATGACTGCAATTTCCCACAGTCCTTCTCTCTGGAGCAGGAGGAACCAAGTCTATTCTTTCTTTCATGTGATGGCTATTGTATCATCTCTCAGCTTTTTCTTCTCCAGGTACATTAAGGGTATAGTTCCTGCCCACCCAGGTGTGATGTGTATGGATAGCCATGCTCTGCCTCCACATTCAGAGAAGCCATGCTTCTGAATACCAGTGCCGGAAACCACAGGAGGGGAGAGGGCTCTTAAGCTCAGATCCCCCTTGCTGGTTTTCCACAGGAAACTGTTCAGCCACAGTGAGAAAAGGATGCTGGACGAAATCACCATTGCCTCTCTTTTGTCCCCCAACAGGTGAGAGCTTGAGTGCATCCCGCAGCTCTGCCAAGCGGAAGAAGAAGCAGAGAAGAAACCGCACCACATTCAACAGCAGCCAGCTCCAGGCTCTGGAGAGGGTCTTTGAGAGGACGCACTACCCCGATGCCTTTGTCCGGGAGGAGTTGGCACGGAGGGTCAGCCTTAGCGAGGCCAGAGTGCAGGTGAGAGGGAGAAGGGAATAGCTGAAGGCAACCATCTCTCCAGAGATGTACACCTGCAGGGACCGGAATGAAGTTCTGGGTGTTCAAGCTCCCTGTAGTTCCGTGGTAGAGCATCTCCTGTACATTCAGAAGGTCCAAGGTTCTATTCCTGATAGCATCTCTAGGTAGGGCTGAGAAAATACTATGACTGAAGCCCAAGAGAGCAACTGCCAGCATACTGAGCTAGACAGTCCAAGGGTCTGACTCAGTATAAGACAGCTTTCCATGTTTAATTCTGCCCATGCCCATTTATTCAGACCCATGAGGACTGGAATCTTTCGTCTTCTTTTAGAGGAAAGGCTGCAGCTCAGTGTTGGAGCATCTGCTTTGGATGCAGTAGGTCCTGGCTTCAGCCCCTAGTGGCATCTCCAGGTAGGGCTGGGAATGTCCCCTACCTGAAACCCCAGAGACCTGCTGCTGCCAGTGTGGACAATATTGAGCTGAGTGGGCTTGTGTTCTTACTCAGTATTATCTTCCTTAAATAGCAGATTAAAATAACATCCTAGCACTCTTCCTCTCTGCCAGGTATGGTTTCAGAACCGGAGGGCCAAATTTCGCCGAAATGAGAGGGCCATGCTTGCCAACAGATCGGCATCACTCCTCAAATCCTACAGCCAAGATGCAGCCATCGAACAACCCATGGCCCCCCGTCCAACCAACCTGAGCCCAGACTATCTCTCCTGGTCAACAACATCCCAATACAGGTAAGTCCAGAGCAGTCTTCAGTTTTCCTTTCTGTGCAGTAAAGAACCCAGACCCTTTTCCTACACAGACCTACGAAGCAGATCAGCAACAATAATTATATCCATTTTCAAACAGAAGAGATGGTCTAAAATCAGAGCATGTTGCTCCACTTCAAAGGGAAACAGAATTTAGAAGTGTAAAGAAATTAAGTTCAGAGAGCAGCATAACTTTGTCAGTTACTGAAATTGCAAACGAAGGCATGCATGCAATCAGAGTCATGCAAGATGGATTGAGATGAAAGTGTGTGAGATGATATGCCTAGGCTCCCACAACATATTCAGAAAAAGATGCTGATCTCAAGAAGCAAGTTTGGGGTTTATCTTTTTACTGGTACTGCTAAAAATACAGTCACACACCTCTCTCTGTCCTCCCCCTAAATAACGAATAGCCATGACCAGAGCTCCAGGACGTATTACAGCCCAGCAAAAACATTCAAGAAAGTGTGAACCTGTAGTGTAGGGGAAAATTCAGAAGTGTGAGAAAGTCACAGTCACACCCCATCTCAATACTGTTATAATTGTACAATAATGATAATTAAGGGTGCATTTCAATTATCACTGCAGATCTCCATGTGTTGCCTTTCAGCTAGGTCTGCTATTTTCTGTGCACACATGTGTTCAAATGGTTTGGAGTGCTCCAATATCTTCTTAAGTGGAGTTTTCCATAAAACGTAACAGAACTTCCACACCTTTGTCTTGAAACTGAAGCCTGTTGTGTTGTCGGTGTTCCTAAATGCTTAGCTTTGGTGCAAACAGAATGACTCCTTGGTGAGCTTCCCACACCCCTTCTCCAGAGTAACCCTAGAGCCCATCTTCAGTGGCTAACTTGCCTCCTTTCAGCATTTTTGGTTCCAAACACCACAAAGGGTGAGAAGAATCAGTGGCTACAAAGCTCCCATTTTTCCCACCTGCCCCAACCCTGGAACACCACACATCTGATGTGAAGTAGGGCTGATGAGAGATGCGATGTGGGCAGAGGGTGGGTGGCCTTGAGCAAGCAACAGTTGCTGTTAAGACTTATAACTCTTTTTTGTTTCCCTCTCTCCCCACCTCGCATGGCTCAGCAACACAGTGCCTTCGTACACTTCTAGCAGCCCCACCACACCCACCCAAGGGGTCAACATGGCCAACAGCATTGCCAGCTTACGCCTCAAAGCCAAAGAGTTCAGCCTTCATCAGAACCAGGTGCCCACTGTGAACTGACCACGGGGTTGTGCCGAAGAGGCAAGCCTGCCTCATGTTCCCCTGCAGCCAGGATCTCCACCCCCGCCTGCTTCAAAGTCCAGCCCCACTGGGCAGCCAAGACCTTGATGATTCTTGCTCCAGCAACACCAACACCTTCATACGTTGTCCGTCTCTCTTACTCTGCCCTTTGTCTCTTTCACGTCCTCTCGGGAAGACAGACGTTCACAATCTCTTTCTTTCCCCCCAAATTAAATTCATTGGCTTTGAGGAACGAAGGAATGGGACACTCTGGGAGGGTTTGATTTTAGCAGATGGGGTGGCCAAGAGAAACTATCAAACCCTCCAGAGGCGATGTGAGAAGTGTAAAGCCAAATCGCCCTACAGTTACTTCACCCTTTCTTTTCTCAGCAGATCAAAAGTTCAGAGCTGTTTACCTGAAGTTTTGAAAGAGAAGAACTTTACCTCCTGAGAACTTGATGAAAGTTTCTGAACCCTGCTGTCCCTGTATTCACTCATCCAGCCCCACATGGTACAAGTGTACATTTTGGGGGTATACAACAACTCAACATTGCTATAACAGAGAGGCTGCATTTTTCCTTTTTGCTCAAATGCGCACACCCCATTCCTTTAAAAACACCCTCTGGGAGATAAGAGGGGAACTCACAATAACTCAGAGTGGTCCTGTAAGAGATTATCAGATACCCTGCTTACTCTGCTGGTTTCCAGAGAGGTTGTGCGCCATTTGAGGGTCATGTCCTTTGGCTTTCAAAAACCGGGTGTGTGTGTGTCTTTAGGATGAGCAGGGCATTGGTTGATGGGATGTTGAGTCCCAGAGAGGGGCAGGACTCAGAGGCAGGGAGTGCTGAATGGATTGGATGCCCCAAGACACAAGACTGTCATCTATCCACATTCAACCGCTGGAGGCATAAGCACCCCCAAAGCTCTCGTCACAAAGAATGAAGCCCCTGGAGCCCTCTGTCAGCAGCCTACAGCCATTCTGCCCCAATCCAGGAAGAGAGAATTGAGCCAATACAAAGTAAACAATTTAATAGCAGAACCAGCCTAACCTAAAGATGTGTGAGAAGTGGAAGATGTGCAAAGGGAGGGAGATGAAAACTGAATATAAACAAGAATGCTGATAGCCATTTTTAAAAAAATTGTTCAGCGATATGTATTTGAAATAAGGAAATCTAAAATATAAAGAAACATTCAAGCACATTGTGGTGCATGGTACTCCCTGCCCCCCCCCCCCTTTAACTGTTAAACTCAGTTGGTAGACCTTGATAATTTCAAATTACTTAAGGATGCTAAGGTGGAATCACCATCCAAACTATTATTGTGTATGTAGGGGAGAAGCCACCTGCTAAACCCAGGAAATTATTGAATGTCAGAATCTATTTGAGGAGGTTAAGGGGTGATATGATAGCCATGTTCAAATATATAAAAGGATGTCACATAGAGGAGGGAGAAAGGTTGTTTTCTGCTGCTCCAGAGAAGCGGACACGGAGCAATGGATCCAAACTACAAGAAAGAAGATTCCACCTAAACATTAGGAAGAACTTCCTGGCAGTAAGAGCTGTTCGACAGTGGAATTTGCTGCCAAGGAGTGTGGTGGAGTCTCCTTCTTTGGAGGTCTTTAAGCAGAGGCTTGACAACCATATGTCAGGAGTGCTCTGATGGTGTTTCCTGCTTGGCCTCGATGGGGGTTGGACTCGATGGCCCTTGTGGTCTCTTCCAACTCTATGATTCTATGATTCTACAGATGTAAAATGAGAATCTATTTGGGTTACAGATGTAAAAAGCCCCCCTTTTCACCTGAGGAATGTTGGAGGGTATACTATTCCTTTTGTGATTTCCAGAATAACCTCTTTAGGTCTGGTCTATACAACCAACCAGTGGTTTAACAGTCAATCCCTCTTTGACACTTTAAAGTGGTATAATTCTGCTTCAAATGCATAGAGAACTTGGGGCCCTAGACTGGAGTGTACCTGTTTGCCACAGAAAAGCTGTCTGCCCTCTATGCTGCCTCCTGGTGGCAGTGGTTTGTGGCTACAAGCTACAGCTCCCAGTTTGCTTTGCTGGGGGCGGGGGGAAGCTGTGGCTGCTTAGAGTGGTCTCATAGTGCTTTCAATGCATGGTGCAGATTTGGCCTCAGTCACCCTTAATAAACAAAGTCACTTGTGGCTGACATGGTATGTATGCTGTGTGGTTGTAAGAATGGCTACAGGATGTGCAAAACAGGGGAGTTGGTGAGAGGTGATAGGCACCCCTGAAATGTGGAAGTGTCCTAGCAGTGCGTTGCCAGTGACCTGCACTATAAACTATTCTAGGGTGAACACAGCTCCACCTCTCTCTCACTTAGCTTATTTCCCCAATCCACCTTCTCCCAGAGGCCTCTGGTACATCTTTCGCAGCCAGGGAGCCCTTTCTGATGACCAGCCTCTCTCCCTCACCTCATTCCTGCCAATTACAGGTGGAGTCCCACTTGTACATGTCACACTGCCTTCCAATCAGCCTCTGCCCTTGTCGCCTCGCAGCCAATCACCTCTGGCTCGAGTGTGACCCTCAACAGGAGATACAGAAAAGACGACGACGAGGGATGGATCAAATCAACTCTCTTTGTACCATTTCATACCCTGTCCATGTGCCCATTTGCTGGCTGGGGGAATTCGGGACTCTGCGTGCCAGAGAGAAGCTGTCATGGCTTGAGGGTTTTTGTGAAGATCCCAGCTTTTTCATAGCAATTGGAGACTATGGAATTGTGTATACGGAGGAAATGCAGGTTGTTCCTCCAAAGAATTTGAACAGAATCTCCTGCCAGTGAAGGGAGAGGGGGAATCTCACTGCCTGCAGGAGCCTAAGTAAGGGGCAAGAGATATTGAGGAGTTTGAACTTTGCAAATTCCGGTTGGTAATGAGCTGATTTTTTGCTTCCAGGATGAGCTTCCAGACTTCTAGACTCAAGGAAATGTTCACAAAAGAAATAATGAAAAGTCAAATTTTCATTTGGATTTTTTTTTTTTAAAAACCAGATGGGGAGAAAAAGGGGGATGGAAGAGATTTGTAAAGCAGCACAGACCAGGAAGAGCTAGAGGAAAGAAACCCAGTTCTGCAATTTCTCCCCAACTCAAAATGTGGGTGGTTATGATTCCAAATTATTTCAAACTCTACGAGTTTCAAGGAACTCTTTGTTTCAAAATGGCTGCCAGAGATGGCATGAACATAATAGTGGCTGGTGAAATCTGACTGTTGTTTTTTTGTTTTGTTTTTAATTCAATGCTTATAAAATAAATATCAGATGGTTTCTACATGCCACATTCAAACCACCTCTGTGATTTGGTGTTCATACTGTGTTGTGACTCGTATCGCTAACTTGGAGGAGAGCATTTATATGGAGAAGGGCAAAGCCAATATCCCAGGCCACATTTAGCCTGGACAGGGGAGTCCACTCAAAGTCAAGCTGAGCAAAATATTTTTAAAAAATCAAATGGAAATTATAACCGGTAGGCCCGCAAAGAAAAGTCTGAAAGGGGCCTGTCTGCACTATTATTAATTTTATTTATTCATTGTATCTATACTCCATATTTTCCTCGAAGTAAGCTCAAGGAGGTATACATGGTTCTCCACCCCTCCTTGTTTAATCCCCACAACCCTGAGAGGTAGGCTGGACTGAGAGGCAGTGACTAGCCCAAGGTCCCCCAGTGAGTGTCATGACCAAGAGGGGATTTGAACTCTGGTTTCCCATGGCCTAGTCCTACCCTCTACACCATCACTGCACCATACTACCTCTCTATTACTACTGCTGCTACTACTACTACTCTGCTTGCCCTTCACCAGCAGGTCCCAGGTCAGGTTAGAACAACAACAACAACAAAAACACCAGTTAATAGTTCCTTGGAAAGATGAGCTCCCATCAATTCCATGAGTCTCAAACCCTCAGTGTGTTAGGGCCTTCTCCTGCATGCAAAGACAGCTCCAGCATATTCAGTGCACCAGACCAATTGTATGTCCCGTGGTCAAGAAGGCAGTTTCTGCATGTGCTGTAGAGGCAAGTGAGGGGCAGATGGGGCTTGCCGTTAACCTGGGAAAGGAGCCCATATTGGAGAAGGAAAATGCTGATCCTAAACCTCCGCTAACTTGCGGGATATCTTTGGGAGAAGAAAAGGCTAAGGATTAAACCCTACACAAATCTGGAGTGGAGTCCCTATTGAATGGCACCTTGTACGCCTCCTTCAGGCAACTCCTGGTGCCCAACATTTTGCTCTGCTTTCCTTTGGACCACACTGCCCAGGCTTTGAACCCCAGGGGAGTCACTTCTGTGCTGCTAAAGCAGTGGTTTGTTTCACCCCGGAAGCGTAGTCCATTGATTTCTAATACAGATGAATGCCAACAGCAAAAATGAGGCATTTGCCTGACATGACCACAAAGTATCACTAGAGGGCAGCCTCTGACAACTTGCTGCCTTCCAACTTTTTTTGACTACTGCTTCCATCAGCGCCTAGTTTGCACAGCTGTGCATGCATCTACCCCAGCATCACATGGCTGTGCTGACTGAGACTGATGGGAGTTGTAGCCCAAAACATTTGAAGAGCACCAGACCCTGGCTGAAAGGTTGATTCACTGAGGGCAATATGCCTCTGAATGCCAGTTGCTCTGAATCACAAGTATTGAGAGTTCCTATTGCACTATGGTCCTGTTTGCAGGATTCCCATTCCTTTCACCTGAACCAGCAGAGCTCTTTTCAAGACCTTGCAATGAGGCTTAAGAACTGATTGGTCAAATCTACCTATATAGTTCTACTCTTGCTGCAGGTCCCCACTCTCAAGGTTGGTTTTTCTGTTTGCGGAGGGCATTTGGGACAGAGAAAAGGAAAGACTTCACACTGTTCACTTTCTAAAAAATGTACTCGTTTGTGCTTAGTGCAATCACTTTTTGCATTATTATTATTATTATTATTATTATTATTATTATTATTATTATGACTACTAATACTGTTAGCCTGTGTGTGCCAGATCTTCATCTACACCCCCAGCTGAATCTGAAAGCATTTAGTTCACATTGCATTCCATCTGCTCAGTCTTGCAGTATCTCCTTGGTGGGGCTGTTTCCTTATCCTTTAATCTCCCCTTCAACACAGAACAACTTCCTTAGCAGCAAGCTTATGCTGTGTCTAATTCCCCAAACAATGTGCCAAGAATGAACTAGAGACACAGCCCAAGATGCAAACTAGAGCAGGGTTCTCCCTCCTTCCCACAGTACTCCACACAATCTGGAGGGCAAGATAAAGAGCTCTGGAGGGTCACCTCTCACCTCTGGAAGTCATGTCCACCAAGTTCTGTTCTAAGTGAAATCCCCCAGAGTTGAAATAGACAGCTTGGGACTAGCGAGATATTCTTTACTGCAATAAGTGTTTTTATTTATCATTTTGTGGACCTGAACCTCTACACCACATGCCCATCAGCAACAGAAAGGTGCCTCCCCTCCTAGGAGAGATCGCCAAGCAAAATGTCCAGTCTGAAGATGACATGACTGAGAGTCCATCCAGGCAAAGAGATGCAGTGGTTTAGGTTGAAATGCACATCACCAGACCACAGCAAGGAAAAGGAAGAGCTTTATCCACCTCTAACAAACAAAGCCACTTGTCCATCTCGTTTCCCACCCCTTTCAAGTCTCAGATCAAAGCAATCACCAGGACTTGATGGCTGCAAAGAGGATCTGTAGGGCCATAGAGATGCAGGGAAGTTGGGCCACGCTGTAGGCCACTGAGCGTGTGGGAGCCCTGAGTTTCAGCAGGTAGGCCAAGGTGTGGACAATCCGGCCAAAGAAGAAGATCAAGAAGTGGATCCGGGCCACAGTCAGGTTGGGGTCCAGAAGGGAGTAGATCGCTCCGAGGAAGAGAAAGGGGTAAATGTTCTCCATATCGTTGAGATGAGCCCTGCGGAGAAAAAAAGAGGGGTAGAACCCAGATAATCATTTATCTATTTTAGATTAGGAAAGGTTCAGAAAACGGCAACCAAAATTATCCAGGGTGGAGGATAGAGATATTCCCCTATGTGGGAAGATCACAGCATTTGGGGGCTTTTTAGTTTAGAGAAAAGGTGCATAAGAGGAGAAATAAGTTTATATAATGGGACACGGGTGGCACTGTGGGTTAAACCACAGAGCCTAGGACTTGCCAATCAGAAGGTCAGCGGTTCGAATCCCCACGATGGGGTGAGCTCCCGTTGCTCGGTCCCTGCTCCTGCCAACCTAGCAGTTCAAAAGCATGTCAAAAGTGCAAGTAGATAAATAGGTACCGCTCCGGCGGGAAGGGAAACGGCATTTCCGTGCACTGCTCTGGTTTGCCGGAAGCGGCTTAGTCATGCAGACCACATGACCCGGAAGCTGTACGCCGGCTCCCTCAGCCAGTAAAGTGAGATGAGCGCGCAACCCCAGAGTCAGTCACAACTGGACCTAATGGTCAGGGGTCCCTTTACCTTTACCTTAAGTTTATATAATTAGGCATGGCATGGAGAAAGTTCTTGTAACACCAGAACTTGTGGAGATCCCATGAAGCTGAATGTTGTAAGATCCAGGACAGATAAAAGAAGGGACTTATTCATGCAGTGGATAGTTGAACTATGGAACTTGTTCCTGCAGGAGGCTATGATAGTCACCAACTTGAATGACTTTAAAAGAGGATATGGGACAAATTCATGAAGGCTGTCACTGGCTCCTAGCCACAGTTACTATACTCTGCCTCCATAGTCGGAGGCAGTCATGCTTCTGAATTCCAGTTGCTGGAAGCCATAGGAGAGCAGAGTGGTTCTTGTGCTTGAATCCTGCTTGTGGGCTGCCCACTGGGGCACCTGGCTGGCCAATGTGGGAACAAGAGGCTGGTTTAGGTGGTGGTCTATTGGCCTGATTCAGCAGGATTTATCACTACCTGAAAGAGTCTCAAAGTGGCTAACATTCTCCTTTCCCCTCCTCCCCCACAACAAACACTCTGTGAGGTGAGTGAGGCTGAGAGACTTCAGAGAAGTGTGACTGGCCCAAGGTCACCCAGCAGCTGCATGTGAAGGAGCAGGGAAGCAAACCCGGTTCACCAGATTACGAGTCCGCCGCTCTTAACCACTATACCACTCTGCCTCTCTTTTCAAAGCAAACAGACCTGTTTGATGGATTTCATTGAAGTCTAGAATGCAGATATTAGTTGGATTACGTGTCCATTTGTACAAACATGGGCACAATTTGGGGGAGAGACATTGAAAATTGTACAGAATCCTTATTTTAGTGGAAGTAGGTATACAATGTGTACAACTGAAGTGCAAAGTTATCAAGCATTTTAAAAAGGTTGCACACACTTTTAAAAAAGTGTAGGGGGTGGGGAAGGAAACATCTCATTGTGTCAACATAGGGGGCTGCCTTAAATTAAATCAGACCATTGGTACATCTAGCTCAGTATTAGGTACATTGACTGGCAGTAGCTCTCAAGGGTTCCACGTAAGGAGTCTTTCCCTGCCCTACCTGGAGATGCTGGGGACTGAACACAGGACCTCTTGGGTACAATGAAGTTATTCTGTCACTGAGCTATGGCCACATAAGAAGCCAGAGAACTTCTTTTTAAAATGTTTGGAAAATTCCCAAGCCTTGGTCAGGAAAGGGGAATAGTGGTTATTAACATCACTATTTCCAGCCAATTGGTGCTGTGCACCACCAGTTTTTGCTGGAGACTAAACTGGCCCTGGGATGCAGGTGGCGCTGTGGATTAATTCACAGAGCCTAGGGCTTGCGATCAGAAGGTCGGCGGTTCGAATCCCCGCGACGGGGTGAGCTCCCGTTGCTCGGTCCCTGCTCCTGCCAACCTAGCAGTTCGAAAGCACGTCAAAGTGCAAGTAGTTAAATAGGTATTGCTCTGGCGGGAAGGTAAACGGCATTTCTGTGCGCTGCTCTGGTTCGCCAGAAGCGGCTTAGTCATGCTGACCACATGACCCGGAAGCTCTACGCCAGCTCCCTCGGCCAATAAAGCGAGATGAGCGCCGCAACCCCAGAGTCGCCCGTGACTGGACCTAATGGTCAGGGGGTCCCTTTACCTTTTTAAACTGGCCCCTCTCCTTTCCCACCTGGGTCTTGAAGAGATGTTTGCCCATCTAGGCTTCATAACAATTGTGTTTTCAACAGCAGACACAAAATTCAGCACACATTTTACAAAACATGCAGATGTTGGGGGGGTTGGGGGGGGAGATTTGACACCTACCTAGATGGGCGGAGGCAGATTCCATTTCCCCCCTGACACAACCCAGAGATGTTTGCCTACTTGGTGGGTACAGGCTAAACAAGCTCTATGAACAAGGGGGAAATTCCAGCACAATCTACCTTAGGTAGGTACAGTTGAACAACATGAGGCTGGTTTTAATAGGGTTATATAACAATAAAAAAGACGCACCCAAGTGACTGTTCGGGAATAAAGCCTCTACTGGCACCACTCCCAAACCGCAACTTTCAGACATGAATGGCTTTCCTTTTCACCCCAGAGGAAGGTCACCAGCTCAGACCTTGTCTCAACTGAGTCAGCTTTCAAATCTCCTTCAATCACTCATTTTCAGATTCCAAAAGCTTTGTAGACTATCTTACAACTTGTAAGGTAGTCTACAAAGTTTTTGGAATCTGATAATAAATTCTCTGGGGCTTGGCATGATCTTCAGTCGCCTAGAACAGGCCCCCCCAACCTTCGGCCCTCCAGATGTTTTGGACTACAATTCCCATCATCCCTGACCACTGGTCCTGTTAGCTAGGGATCATGGGAGTTGTAGGCCAAAACATCTGGAGGGCCACAGGTTGGGGATGCCTGGTCTAGAAGGCAGAAGTGGGGGAGCATGGCCAGAAGAAGAAATGCATCTGAATTCCAGTTGCTGGAAATTGTAAGTGGGGAGAGTGATGCTATTGCACTTGAGTCCTGTTTGTGGGCTTTGCTTTGGCACACCTGGCTGGCTTTTCTTGTTTTCCTATGCTCATACTAAGTCCCAACAATGAAAACATGAAATCACAGAAGACAAGGTACTTTCAGGGCTATTAGCTGCAATGGCTACGTTCTCCCTCCACTATCAGAGGCAGCATGCATCTGAACCCCAGTTAGCCAGGAATCACAAGTAGGAAGAGTTTCTGGTACACTCAGGTCCTGCTTGTGGGCTTCTCATAATGTGAATCTGGTTGGCCACTGTGGGAAAAGGATGCTGGGCTGGATGGACCAATGGCCTGATCCAGCAGGGCTCACCTTATGATGTTACATGTGATGTCTTCTGATTGGCAGATGGACATGGATTGAGGCAAATGGCCTTGTAGGCCACTATTGGCTCACTGGCAGGAGGTTTGCATTGAGGGAAATACATTCAGAAACGCACCCGGCGGGGTTCAGTTTATGTCTTTACGTTCTCCCTCCACTGTTGGAGGCAATATGCCTCTGAATGCCAGTTCCTGGGAATCACAAGTGGGGAGAGTTGCTGTCTCACTTAGGTCCTGCTTATTGGCTTCCCATGTGCTCTGTCCAGAAGCAAGTGAGGATTTAAAAATAAATAAATTGATTCAGTGCTGCAAACAGACGAGAGTCAATTCCCCCAAGCTTTTTTTTTTTGGGTGGTGGTGAGGAGAGTAGCAAAATCTGTCACACGAATAATTATGCTGCATCCCATTTTAGTACTGCCTCAGTAGCTGTTTCTCCTCAAACCCACCCACCCAAACCTCCTGCCTCCATTGAGACCATGGAGTGGAGTTTAAGAATGTTCTGTCACAAGAGAGTAGGGCCCTGCAGGACTTGACATCTTTCCGCAGGGCCTGCAAGACAGAGCTGTTCCACCAGGCCTTTGGCCAGGGCAAAGCCTGACTCCCTCCTTTGGCAGTCTTTGTGGAGCTCTGGCCCAATGGTTGCCAGTGGTTTGATTTGAATTAATTTTATAATGAATGATTTTAGAGTGTTTTGTGTTGTACTGTTGTACTGTTTTATTGTTGTTAGCCGCCCTGAGCCCGGCTTCAGCTGGGGAGGGCGGGATATAAATAAAATTTATTATTTATTATTATTATTATTATTGTTAAGGACGTGGCTGCTGGATCAGGCCAATAGCCCATCTAGGTCCAGCATCCTGTTCTCACAGTGGCTGACCAGAGGCTCCAGTGGGAAACCAGGAAGAAGAACCTGAGCACAACAGCACTCTCCCCTTCTGTGGCTTCAAGCTACTGGAATTCAGATGCATCACTTTCAGTTCCATTCCACAGAAGCCATTTGACAGCCAGCAACGTGGATGACTTTAAAACAGTTCACTATGAGGGACTTTCTTTTATCTGCCCTGAATCTCCCAACATTCAGTTTCCTTGGATGTCTATGAGTTCTCGTGTGATGAGAGGAGGAGAATTTTTCCTCTCTCTGCCCACTTCCTCCATGACAGGCATCATTTCATAAACTTATATCGTGTCACCTCTTACTCGCATTTTATGTCAGCTGAAAATCCCTGAATGCTGCAAGCTTTCCTCACAGACGAGTTGCTCAACCCCTTGAATATTTTGGTGGCCCCTTTCTGAACCTTCTCCAACCCTGCAATATCCTTGTTGGGGGTGAGGGTGAACAGAACTGCACACAGCACACAGCTTGTGGTCATTTGCAGCGGCAAAAATCTCAGGGAAAGCAGGCAACGGAACCCAAGCCTTCGCAGCTGGCTCCAATCACTGTGTCCTCATTAAGGCAAGATGTACGCACATGGATGGGATCGTTGCCATGGCAATGGCGTGGTTGCACCATTTCCTGGCTCCTCGGCCCCCCCTTCTCTCCCCCCCTTTCTGCATTTATGTATGCACACACCTTGGCCACAACCCAGGGCTGCTAATGGGATTATGCGTAAACAAGTCATGCCACAAGCCATAACACCTCAATGGAACCATTTCCTGCCTTCAAGGGTCGGTGCAGATTAAGGGCCAAGTCTGGGGCTGCAGTGGGGGCGGAAGATGGTGGGGTCTAGAACGTTTATTTTAAAAGTCAACAACAGCAAAATAACTTTTGATGTCTTGGCTTGGGTTGTAGGGTGCAAGTTTCAGGAAGCACATAGCCCCCTGGGGACAAAATCTATAATGAAATGGACCAGCGGAATTAAAGGAAAACAGTCACTAAAAACTCTCCCTGGGTCACCAAGGAGGTCGTTTCCCTCTTGGCTGACAAGGAAGGAATGCAAGACACATTATGAATGTCCAGGAACCATAAGAAACTGCCTTATATGGAGTCAGGCTTTGGCCCATCAAGCTCAGTACTGTCTACACTGGCTGGCAGGGGCTCTCCAGGGTTTCAGCAGGGAGTCCTTCCCCCCAGCCCTTCCTGAAGATACTACTGGGGTTTGAACCTGGGAGTTCCTGTGTGCAAAGCAAGTGGTCCATCACAGAGTTCTTTAAAAATGAAGTAAGAATGAGCCCAATTTCCATGGTTCTGAAAAGGGAGCTAGTTTAAATAAGAACATATGACACTGCCTTCTACAGAGTCAGACCATTGGCCCCTCTAGTTCAGTACAGTCTACCCAGACAAGCAGTGGCTCTCCAAAAGACATCTCCCGCCCCTCACATCAAGGAAGGAGAACTCAGTCAATTTCACCTTCTCTCAGTTTCTCTTTTTCCCAGTCCTAAGTGCTGCCCTCCACATTCCCACCTCATTTTGCACATTCTTTTCCTTCTTTTTAAGTCCTCAGCAATGGAGTGTGAATTTATCCTAATAATAATAATAACATTATTACATGCAATGCTTGCTGTCTATAAAGCATACTTCTGCCATATTTATATTTTCCCTTGATTCAACTCATTTTAGCACAATTTACCTTTGTATGTGCATTGCTTAAATTCACACTATTTGGCTGGAGAACTGGCATTGCAAAAACTTGAGAAGTGTACATTTTAAAGGACAGACAATCCTGCAATTGTACAGTGGTACCTTGAGTTAAGAACTTAATTCGTTCTGGAGGTCCGTTCTTAACCTGAAACTGTTCTTAGCCTGAAGCACCACTTTAGCTAACGGGGCCTCCTGCTGCCGCCGCGCCGCCAGAGCACGATTTCTGTTCTCATCCTGAAGCAAAGTTCTTAACCTGAGGTACTATTTCTGGGTTAGCGGAGTCTGTAACCTGAAGCGTATGTAACCTGAAGTGTCTGTAACCTGGCACGTATGTAACCCGAGGTACCACTGTAATTGGTTTTAAATGGTCTTAATTCTGAATCTTAACATGTTGTAACCTTCCCTGGGACCTGCTGGTGAATGGCAGGTAATAATAATAATAATAATAATAATAATAATAATAATAATATCACTGAAGAGTCTTAGAGGTTAGATGGCCAATGTCAGGGATTCTTTAGCTGTGACTACTGCATCACAAAAGATTAGACTAGATGGCCCTTTGGGTCCCTTCCAGCTCTTCAGTTCCATGATTCTATAGTGTTTAAGAAGACTGACAAGCTAGAAGGTGTGGAGAGGAGGGCAGCCAAGATGCTCAAGGGTCTGGAAGCCTCACGTGGAACACTTGTTCAGCCATGGAACAGATTCCCTGAATGTGGTGGGCTCTCCTTCATTGGAGGTTTTGAAGCAGAGTTTCAATGGCCATCTGTCAGGGGTTATTTAGGCATGGTTCCTGCATTGCAGGGGGTTGGACTAGATGATCCTTGGGGTCCTTTCCAATTCTACAATTCTTTAATTCTGTGGTGTTTCAGACAGTGAAAATTTGGTAGAGCTGCCGTTTCATGCAAACTGAATCTAATTTCTTTCCCCATCCCTAAAGAGGGTGAAGGGTCTTTTTTGGGGGGCGTAGGGGAGTTATTTGCAATTACATGCTACCTTCCTGAAAGGATGAACCCCTGCCCACTCCTTAGAAGTCTGATTGCCTAGAGCATGTCGTATCCTGCCAATTATGGAAGTGAAAGGCCCCATCAAATCCTTTGCTTACATTCCAAAGCCAGCTCTCATTCTCAAAGCAAACAGTGAGAGTTGTAAATCTCACCAGACCCGAAACACTTTTCCTGCGCTTCCTATGCCACAAAACACCCTCTCCTCTTCATGACCATAGGTTCAATAGCTCTGGGGAGGAACTTTTACCAGCTTTTAAAAATAAATAAATCAGCCACTCCTCACTTGGTCAGAGCTTTTCCTTCCCTTCTCCATGACAGATGAGGCTCACCCCTCAATGAAAGGGAAAGCCAGCACTCCATAGCAGAAAGATCTCCATTGATGTCAGCCAGCTGACACAACTCTTGACAGCCTGTTCCTGGCAGCAGGGAGTATTTAAGGTGCACTTAATCTTCCTCAGCACAGAGAGAAATAAATTAACAGTGCTAGGCAGCTGCTACAGTTGTCAAAAGTGCCCACAGGTGATATACCTAGGTGACTCAAAGCTGCTGCTTATTTTTGGTGCCTGGATTGACAGCTGCCTAGGCTGGCCAAAATTTTTTCAGTGTGGCTAGGAGCGCATTGGAACATTGGGTGAAGAGACCCAGTGCTTCCCAGCTCCACGATCCAGTGACTCGCCTAGTTCCAGCACCCTGTTCTCCTGGTGGCCAACCAGATGCCCCAATGGAAAGCCCACAAGCAAGTCCTCCCCAGTTTTGTTCCCCAGCAACCTGGCATTCAGAGGCAGGTAGCATATGACCATCACAGCTAGTAGCCACCAATGGCTGTGTCCTCCATGAGTGGGTCCATCTCCCTTAAAAAAAAATGTGTTGATGGGCATCACCACTGTCTTGTGGCTGCAAATGTCATAGTTTAATTAAGGGGGCAGAATTGATATGGAGCCATCGAGGCTTCTTGTTCTCTGTTGGGCTTCTTAGGGTGGGGAGTTTGCAAGCGTATAAGGCTGTAGGATTGGAAACCCACAACTTTATTAGCCTTTGCATCTATGACCAGCTGCTCCTCCCTCTCCCAAATCTGCTTTTGCACCATTTCCCTCTCTTAGCTATGCCCTCCCTACCCAGTCAACTCTGCTTCACCTCTTTTCCTTTACAAAAGAAACAAAACAAAACAGGACTTCGCACTTTTCTTCGGAAGGAACGCAGGTGCTTGAAGCAAGCCAGTCACATGTTTTCAAGGGGATTTCAGGGCCAGCTGAACACCAGCGGCACTCAAGATTCCTGTTCAGACTAGTCCTGCAGCAGTGCATTTAGATTCAGAGGTCTGGATACTGAACCATCACACTACGTGAGCTGCAAGCGCCAAGGGCTTTGAGTCTGTTGTGTGGGGAGGAGTGGGCAAAGAGGGTCCTTCAGGCCACTTTCATCTGTGTGTCAAAAACATAAGACGAGTCTGCTGCATCAGGCCAATGGCCCATCTAGTCCAGCATCCTGTTCTCACAGTGGCCAACTGGAAAGCAGCAAGCAAAATCCAAGCACAAAAGCCCTCTCCCCTTCCCCTGTGGTTTCCAGCAACTGGTATTCAAAAGCATCAGAGCATAGTCCTCTTGGCTAGTAGCCCTCAATAGCCCTTTCCTCCATGCATTTGTCCAATCCTCTTTTAAAAACATCCAAGTTGATGGTCATCACTGCCTCCTGCAGAAGGGAGTTCCAAAATTTAACTCTGTGCTGTAATTTTCATCTGTCCTGGGTCTTCCAACAGTCAGCTTCACTGTATGCCCACAGAGTTGTAGTGTTACGAGAGAGGGGAGGGGGGATTTTCTCTCTCCACTTTCTCCAGGCTGTACATAATTCTGTAAACTTCTATCATGTTGCCTCTTACTTGCCTTTTCTCCAAACTTAAGTCCCAGACACTGTCTATGGATTAAGACACTTGAGACCCACCTTACAGTGGTACCTCGGGTTACATACGCTTCAGGTTACAGACTCCGCTAACCCAGAAATAGTACCTCGGGTTAAGAACTTTGCTTCAGGATGAGAACAGAAATCGTGCGGCAGCGGGGGGCCCCATTAGCTAAAGTGGTACCTCAGGTTAAGAACAGTTTCAGCTTAAGAACAGACCTCCGGAACAAATTAAGTTCTTAACCCGAGGTACCACTGTATTTATATCTGTGATTTTATATTGTTTTACACTCCTTTTTAATATTGTGTTTAATTTATTATAGCCTGCTGTAGGACCACCTTAGGGTGATGGGTGAGATAAAAGTAAAATAATTCACTGTTTAAGTTTGAGAGGTCAAGCCCAAGTGGAACCTCTGTTTACTACCTGCTGTTATTGTATTATAACCTATAAAACCCATCTGGAGACAGGAGTCAAAGGGCAAAACAGTACATACCAAAGCCACCATGGTGTAGTGGTTACAGTGTCAGACTAAGACCTGGGAGACCAGGGTTCAAATCCCCACTTGACAAGGAAGCTCACTGGGTGTTATCTTGGACAGTGCACTGCCTCTCTTAACCTAACCTACCTTACAGGGCTGTTGTGGGGATTAAATGAGGGGGGAGAGAACCACATATGCCACTTTGAGATCCTTGGAGAAAAAAGGTAGGATATAAATGGCAATAAATAAAATAAAATAAATAAATCTGGCCAAAAGCGGTTTGAAAAATAGTCCAAAATATTATCTCAGTTTGCATTTTTCTTTCTTTCTTTCTTTCTTTCTTTCTTTCTTTCTTTCTTTCTCTCTTTCTGTTTCTGTTTTTCTTTCTTTCTTTCTTTCTTTCTTTCTTTCTTTCTTTCTTTCTTTCTTTCTTTGGCTCCAAAAGCACCACATAACCTCTGTCTATATATAGGTAGCTGTATCCAATGCTTGTCTTACTCAGAGTAAACCCACTTAAGTTAATGGGCACAACTAACTTAGGTCCACAAATTTCAGCAGGTCTACTCTGAGCAGAACCAACCCACAAGTTCTGTACGTTGAAACAATGCATAGTTTTAGCCTTACCATTATATGTTTTATCCTCCCTTCACCCTAAGACTGTGTCATTGGTGCTGGTACAGTTCTGTTTTTCATGGTAATTAGTTGTTTGTTTTTTTAAAAGGAACAAGAATGTTTTCTTTTTTTCTTTTTTTTAAAAAAACTGCTACCAAACTGGATGGGAACCCTGCTGATCAACCTCAAGTAGATTAGTAGAGGAATTAACCATACCCTCCTCAAGGCAACAACTAATGAAGCCTTTCTGGGAAGAATGAGAGATGCAATTTCTGAGAAGTGCAAGCGTTTTTTAATTGGGCATTAGGTACTAAAGATTTGCTCCTGCCTTCGGCCAATTTAATTTGCTGGTTTCCCCGCTGAAAAAGAACACTAGTTCTCTTCCACTTGCGTCTTTCCCTGGTCAAGCCAAGCAGCAAATTGTTTCTTTGACATTCTTTGTATGTTTGTAAATAGATAGATACTGTAGATATAGATACAGATACTGTATATAAAATTTCTGTGCTTAAGGGAAATTGAGATGTGATCTGTTGCATCTAGGGAAGAATTCTAAACTTTAAATGTCACTAGATGTGATTAAATGTTACTAAATGTTTAGTTGGAACTTCCTGAATTGCAGGAAGTTGGACTAGAGACCCTTTGGGCTCCATCCAATGCTAGAATTCTACGATTCTATTATACTATGATTCTATGACTTTCACCTCCATCCCCACTCAGGATGCACAAATCTGTCCATTCTGCCCCCCCTTTCCCCAAACCTCTCCACAACTCTGGAGTGGCCTGTGAAGTTACCAACCATATGTCCTCAGTGATGCTGGGGGGGGGGGCAATCACATGGGAAGAGGGAAGGAACAACGCAAAGCAGCTTCAAAATCTACATCACTGGTTAGCCATGGAAAGCAGAGCCAGCAATTGATTGGTTGAAGTACAAAGGAAAGATGGCCTCCTAATGATGCAAAGAGGAGTTTTGTTTTTATTTTTAAGACTCACCTGCGGCATCGCTCCACATCAGGGTCTTCCCTGTGGTATTGCAGCCCTCCGTGCCTCAGAGCATCCTCTGGATTGGCAAATGCCTGGAGGAAGACAAGGATCAATTAGTTCACGGCAGGTTCATAATAAGAACTTTCTCCCTGCATCTCCCCACATTGTAAGCAGTTTTGCTAAAAGCACAATTGCTGACAGAAGCGAGGCACTTTTGGCATATCACGCTTGTGCCAAGGACAAGGTGTTACTATCAGTATATAAAACCCTTAACAACTTGGGGCCAGTTCACCTGCAAGATTACCTTACCCCAAATCCATCCACTCAGCTGCTTTGATCTAAGGAACTAGCCCTGTTACAGGTACCATGCCATACCTGTCTTTAAACTTTGGAACTCCCTGCCTATTGATGTCAGGCCGTCACCTTTTCTGTACTTGTTTTGGTTTCTGTACTTAGAGTTGGTCTCTAAGGTGCTACTGGACAATTTTTTAATTAATTTAATTATTTTTATTTATTTTGACTGCATCAGACCAACACCTACCTGAATCTGTACTTGTTTTGTTTAGACAAAGCATCGAAAGCTGATGCAAATTTCAACCTGCTTTTGGTTTATTGTTATTTTAACTTTTCAAAAGTCTTAAATTAATTTTTCTTATTGCTTTGTCTATTTTGTAAATAGCTTTAATGTTACTGTGTTTTGTTTTACAATCAAGCAGGGCATACATTTTAGGCAATAAATAAATACATTTTCTGATGGAGGAGCCATCAAAGGTGAAGCCTACCTGTTAGAATAATCTCTGGCTACACTGAGCCTTTCCCCAAGGCGAGCAAGGTTCTGTTTTACTTTGCTATTTCCTCCATGCACACTGGCCACAGACCACATACTTCCTGGAGCAACAAAAGCCCTTTGGGCAGATCCTGTCTTTGGGCTGGAGTTGGAGTGGCCTAGGTAGCCATTGGCACAAAGGAGGGTTGCTGGATCTGCAAAAACTCTCAAGGTTCACACAGGAGAAAAGGGTCCCTGAACAAGCCGTCCAGGAGCTCATGTCACAAAGTGTGGGGAGAGGCCACAGCTCAGCGACAGAGCATCTGCATTGCATGCAGAAGGTCCTAGGTTCAATCCCAAGTGGGCTCCATCTCCACATAGGGCTGGGAGAGACACCTGATACCCCCGACAGTTGCTGCCAGCCAGTGTAGACAATACTTAGCTAGATGGAACATGTTTGACTTGGCATAAGGCATCTCCCTAGGCTCCGGTTTAATCTAGCCCTTTATTCACAGCCACATGAACTAGAATCTTGTTTCATTGCCTAAGGAATCCTGGGAACTGTTAAGGGTGCTGAGAGGAAACCTTCCTTGGAGGTTTTTAAGCAGAGGTTGGGTGGCCACCTGTCATGGATGCTCTAGTTGAGTTTTCTGCATTGCAGGGGCTTAGATTAGATGACCTTTGGTGTCTCTTCCGACACTACAATTCCATGAGTTGTCAGGACATCCCTATTCCCCCACAGAGCTATAATTATCAAAGTTCCCTCGGAAGAGAGATTGATCTAGAAATCCTGGGAGGGGAAAGAGAGGTCTCCTAACAACTGCGTTAAACCACAGAGTCTAGGGCTTGCTGATCAGAAGGTCAGCGGTTCGAATCCCCACGGCGGGGTGAGCTCCTGTTGCTCAGTCCCTGCTCCTGCCAACCTAGCAGTTCGAAAGCACGACAAAGTGCAAGTAGATAAATAGGTAGTGCAAGTAGATGAATAGGTACTGCTCTGGGAGGAAGGTAAACGGCGTTTCCGTGCGCTACTCTGGTTCGCCAGAAGCGGCTTAGTCATGCTGGCCACATGACCCGGAAGCTGTACGCCGGCTCCCTCGGCCAACAAAGCGAGATGAGCGCCACAATCCCAGAGTCAGCCACGACTGGACCTAGTGGTCAGGGATCCCTTTACCTTTAAAAACTTTTAAGACCCTTAAAAAACTGCAGTTCCCAGGTTTTTTTGGGGGGGGGGACACCATGCTGTTTAACATAATATGATACTGCTTTAAATGAATTGTGTAGACGATGCTCCGACAAACCCATACATTTAAAGCTCCCAAAGAATCCCTGGAGCTGCTGTTTGTTCAGGGTGCCAATACATAGTCTTTACCTAGCATTTGGTAGCTTCCTGTGTTTACTAAGGAAGACCAACAAGGCTATGAGGACTAGTTTCTTGCGTGCCAAACCACAATTTGGCAGTCTGCATTGTAACCTACTCGCAGGATTTTATGCGAATGAACTCAGCTCCAGAACATCTGACAAAGATGACTGCAACTTCACACTTCAGGCATGAAAGTGCCAAGGTCTGGCCCCTCCCAGGAGCAGCCTCGGGTCATAAGTGTCCTCTCAGCTCTAAAACATTCAAATTAATTACCAGCTTCCTTGAGGAAGCGGTGGAGACTGTGGAATGCTTACACTTGAAGCAAACTAGTCCCAGCAGAACCCCTTCAGGGAGTGCAGAAGCACTGATTGGCATTGCCCTCTGCAGATCGCACAACTGATTACAGAGATGGGGGGGGGAGAGAAGGCAGGCTGGTGCACGAATGCTCCCCGCATGGAAAGGCAATCTCCATGCAACAGGGAGAGGCTGGGGCAGAACCTTCCCCCCCCGCCCCCCCCCCCACCAATATCCCAGTTTGCCAAGTTTGCAGAATTTTTTTTATATGGGAAATATTGATTCATTCTTTTAATTTATGCTAGATTGAATGTATAAGCGTGTTCCTTGCTTCAAATATTGTAAGATACTTTGAGTCGCCATGGCAAAAAAGTGACCAATAAATTTAATTAATAATTATAATTGAAACAACAAGGGATGGGTGAATATGCCATAGTTGGTTTCTCCAGTTTTCTCTTTTTCCCTGTCTTAAACTCACTTCTCCATATTTCCACATCAGCTTACAATTTATTTATTTACATTTAAAAGCCCTCATTTTAAAAACCCAGCATTTTCATATGAATTCCTCCAACACACACACACATTTCTTCATGAAACTTTGTCAATCTCATTATTCTTTTCTGCAAAGAATATTTCCCCATATATTTATATTCCCCCCCCCATATGATACATTTCCACACATTATTTTTGTGAACATATGCATTTTTTTGCATGTTCCCCCCAGATGTGGGCATTTTCAGACAGATTACCTGGCTGGGAAACTGCAAAAATGCAGACTTCAAAGGATTGATGCGTTTTGGTTCTGCAAACAGAATTGAAATTTCCCCCCATCCCTACTCTGAACCTGCTACCGCCCCATGCATGTTGAATTAGCATATTTCCGAAAAACACCGCCAGCTGGTTTTATAAATTGGCCAAATACAGTTTATGCATTCAGTGCAGCAAGAGATGGTGCCTCTGAGTTATTTTCTAGCATTTTTCATGTGGGGAAAGGCTGGATTGGCTTGCAAGCTTTCTACAAGTGTGGGGCTCTGTGTGTGTGTTTGTGGGAGGGGGGAGCAACTAAATATGCAACTAAATATGCAATCAAAGCTTTAGCCCTCAATTCTGTTCATTCTGTAACTCAGCCTCAGAGACAGAAGATGTGAGATGTCTTCAGACTGTGCTCAAAGACGGATGTTTTAGAGTATTTTCCCCACTCCAGGAGATTATGAGCTTTACAGAGAGTGTATAATAAAAAGCGAAGGCTGCTTCTTCCCATTCCAACAGGCTTTTATCAGCATTTTGGGAGATTTAGTAGAACATTCCACCCAACGTCACTGGCTGCATGGCTGTGTCTGTGCCTGGCGATTTCCCACAACTGTCTCAAGTTTCTTGTACCACCTAATGCAAGGTGGCAGTCTCTTATGAATAAACCCCAGGTTGTGAAAGGAGTTCCATAAGCCATGCTCTTTAAAACATTCCAAAAGAATATTAAAACAACCGTCACCTCCAATAAGTCCACAGCTTAAACTGCAGTAAAATCCTGTTTTGGTATTCCAGTTGCAGTCACCATTTTGGGTTTCTTAATTTGAAACAGTCAGGATTAGATTATTTCTGGTTGCCTTTTCATTAAAAGTTCTAGGCATTGCTTGCATCACAACTGCAGAGGTTTTAGCATTGGATCACTTCCAATTTCTTAAAAGATCCAGCACCTAATCCTGGATGTTGCAACGATCTGTTTTGAAAATGGAGAATGTACAGACCCTGTTTGGAAGCTAGCAAGTGTCCATTGGAAGCCAGCTCACTATTTTGAATACAAGAATCTCAATTCCTTTCCAAGACAAAGTTCTTTTAAAAGAATGATGACAAGGATGATTTTGAAAGCCTGAAGCTATCCAAGGCCATTGGCTAACCCTGGTTGACAATTGTCCAGATCCCCCTTCAAATCCCTGAAGGAGTTGTTTTGCAACCATTCTGGATTTTTCTAAAAATGAATTATAATGTGAATTATTGATGGATAATTTGCATCACTTTTAACATCTCAGGAAAGCACTTGAAACCTGGAGGGAGTGGTCAGATATCAAACAAAGAGTCTACTGAGAATGGACCCACTGAAATTAAGAGATCTAAGTTAGTCTAAGTGAGAAGGCTGATCGCCGAAGAATTGATGCTTTTGAATTATGGTGCTGGAGGAGACTCTTGAGAGTCCCATGGACTGCAAGAAGATCAAACCTTTCCATTCTGAAGGAAATCAGCCCTGAGTGCTCACTGGAAGGACAGATCCTGAAGCTGAGGCTCCAATACTTTGGCCACCTCATGAGAAGAGAAGACTCCCTAGAAAAGACCCTGATGTTGGGAAAGATGGAGGGCACAAGGAGAAGGGGACGACAGAGGACAAGATGGTTGGATAGTGTTCTCGAAGCTACCAGCATGAGTTTGACCAAACTGCGGGAGGCAGTGGAATACAGGAGTGCCTGGCGTGCTCTGGCCCATGGGGTCACGAAGAGTCGGACACGACTAAACAACAAAAGTTAGTCATGGCCATTATCTTCAATGGGTCTACTCTAAGTAGGACTAGCATTGACCACAATCCCTGAAGTTTAAACTTCCCTTTCTCTCTGATGGGTGATGTTTTGCAGCCTGAAGGTCACATTCCCTCCTGGGCAATCTTCAGTGGGCTGCATACCTTTGGTGGGCCTGGACAGAGGGAAAAGTGGGTGCAGAGACTGACTTTCTTCAGTAGCCTAGGTTCAACTCACACAATTTTCAGAGACTTGTATATGCAAACACACACCACTCTCTTCAGCACCCACCCAAAAGCAATACAGATTTATGGTTCCCCCACAATGAATACTGTATTGTTTTGGAGGGGGTGCAATAGAAATAATAGGAGATGGAAAAGATTGTCAGGAAAGACTGAGGGATGTCACCTGCTCCTCAGATATGTCCCCATTACCCGAAAGACTGTTGGTATGGTGGGCTTCTGCCCACTCTCCACAGTGGAATTTTTGTGGGAACTCTGCCTCCTCTCCCTGGAAAACAGATCTCTCCATTTACTTGCATAGGGAAAGGGGTGTTGGGGTGAACCTTGCCCCCCCCAGCATAATCCACATGGGGGAGGGAATAGTTTTTAATCCCTCCACCGAATCATTAGGTGGAAAATAGTTCATTGTGATTAAAATCTAGAGCTGTTCATCAAACAGTTTTCTGCTTCACTACTCCTATTCTGGATGAGCTCAGTTAGCTTTCCATAGTTAGCTTGGTTTTGTTATACTGAAAACTAAAAACTAAAATTCAGACATCGCATAAAAATGGAACATTTGTTTTATCCCCCAGCTCTGCAAAACAACTTGGGACCTTGGGGAGACACCATGCCTGGTTAATGGCTTGATCCAACTTTGACACACAGAAACGTCCACAAAATCCCCCTATTTGCTTTGTAATTTGGGAAGTGGGCAGTTGGCCATGCACCCCCAACACACAGTGCAGGTTTGGACACCATCTGGAGTGGGTCCAAAAAGAGATCAACTGTGTTCTGGTTTGTTTTATTGCATCCTAGACAACCACCTATAACTGCAGAAAACAGCAGTCAAGTTTTCTTTTTCCAAATAACAAGAAGTGAAAGCTAGATTTCCAAGAAGTACTTGAGAAGGCATTCCTTCCCTTTAGGGAACAGGAAAGAAACTACAGCTTTTTTTAAAAAAGAGAAAACAAACTCATTATTTTTAAGATCACACAAACTTCCGCTAAGCAGAAGTCCCGCTAAGAACATCAGAAGTATGGACTGGATCAGGCTAGTAGCCCGTCTAGCCAGCCACCTGCTCTCTCAGTGGCCAAAAAGATGTGCATTATGGGAAACCTACAAGCAGGACCCGAGCACAAGAGCACTCTCCCCTTCTGTGGTTTCCAGCAACTGAGATAGAGAGAGACATACAGCAGTGCAAGGCAGCAGCAACAATTCTAGGCTGAATCAAGTCTAGTACAGTAGTACCTCTGGTTGCGAACGGGATCCGTTCCAGAGGCCCGTTCGCAACATGAAAAGAACGCAAACCACAGCAGCACTTCTGTGCACGCATGGGTTGCGATTTGCCACTTCTGCGCATGCGCGTGGCGTCATTTTGCGCTTCTGCACATGCGCGAGCGGCGAAACCAAGAAGTAACCCTTTCCGGTACTTCCGGGTCGCCACGGGACGTAACCTGAAAGAACGTAACATGAAGCAAACGTAACATGAGGTATGACTGTATCCAGATCAAGGAAAGTAATAGTACTGCTCTATTCTGCCTTGGTCAGCTCCCCTGCTCCCACTGGAATCTTGCGCCCAGTTCTGGGCAACAAAATTTTCAGAATGATATTGACAAGCTGGGAGATGAGGCAGAGGAGGGCGACCAAGATGATAAAATGTCTGGAAACTAAGCCTTACAATGAACATTGAGGAAGTTGGGTATGTTTAACCTGGAGAAGAGAAGACTGAGAGGTGACCCAATAGCTATCTTCAGATACAGTGGTACCTCGGGTTACGTACGCAATCCGTTCCAGAGGTCTGTTTGTAACAGGAAACAGCTCATAACATGAGGCGCACTTTCGCTAATGGTGCCTCCCGTTGCTACCATGCCGTGGGAGCGCGACTTCCGCTCGCATCCCGGGGCAAAGGTCGCAGCAAGGGGCATCTACTTCCAGGTTAGCGGAGCATGTAACCCGCAGCATTCATAAGGGGGATGGTACATAACACAAGGTGCCACTGTATCTGAAAGGCTGCCACGTGGAAAATGGTTGAAGCTTGTTTTCTGATGCTGCAGCGGTCAGGACCTGAACCAACGGATCCAAATGATGAGAAAGGCGACTCCAACTAAACATTAGGAAGAACTTTCTGATGGCAAGAGCCCTTTGAAGGTGGAACGGACTCCCTGGGAAGGCGGTGAACAAGCCTCCATTGGATGTTTTTAAACAGAGATTGGGTCTGTCAAGGGTTTCTTTGGCTGCAAGTCCTGCATTGCTGGGTGTTGGACTAGATGACACTTGGGGAGTCCCCAAGGTTCTATGATTCTATGATCTGTGCACAGGATAGTACATAGGTGGTTATTCACAATCCTGCTTTCAATACTGCAAAAGTTTCAGGGTGGCCAGACTGCTTCATCCCCAGTCAATGCTAAATAACTCAAGAGTGCCCCTCCAAATGTCAATAAAACTGCTGGGCAAGCATAGCAAAACAACTAATAAGGTGGAATGATGTGTAGACAGTCATTTCCCCCCTGCAAATTTCCTTTGTTGGTGTTATCATTACTACAACTGTAAAGGCAATTGAAATCCTCCTTCTTGGGGGGGAAAAGAATGCACACCACAGATACTGTCTACCAAACTGGCTGAAGGAGTTAACTTTGCACAGCAATCAGAAGAAACATCACCCATTTAAGATTTGGAAGAGCTTTCAGCAATGTTTTTCTTCAGGCTGCTCACCACTACTCCGCCTTGGTCATCATTCTAAGGGGGCTGATTTATCTCTGCGTAAAGTTGTCATGTGAACACAAAAACACATTCGGATTGTGTGGCTTCTACATTGTTGGCAATCCTGTTCCAGTGGAACAAAAATCAGATTGAAAACAAGAGACCTGGTTCTAAATTAGTTACAGGAGTGTCAGCTTCACCATATATTGGCAAATTAGTCACTTAAAATGCCTGCTACTAGATCCCTGACTAATTTTGAATCTACTAAATTGAATCAAGGACACAGAAGCAAAACACTGATCTCTATTATTTATGAAGAGCTCCAGGTGCTCACCATTGGTCCCTTGGTGGGCCTTACAAGTTACTGGAACAAGGATTTAAATAATCAAGTAGAGGAATCTGAAAGATGGATCAGCTGTTTTTTTATTTTATTTTAACACCTCAAAAAAACCCTGTCAGATTCCGATTGGGAAGTCTCTCATAAAAAATCCACAACCTGTTTAACATTTCTGGTTTCCCTTTTTCTTTTTTGCAAAGTGTGTTCAAAGCCCCATTTGGGGGGAAATGTAAACAGATGCAAGACAGTGAAAGCTAAACAGTAACATCTATTAAATGCACGAAATGAGATCACAACTTGCTGCAAAATACCAAAAAGTTAAAGAGAGCCATTTTCAAAAGCCACATGGAGGGTAAAAACTCCTACAATCACACAAGTGCCTTTAAAGTTTTTTTTTAAAAAATGACTTGCCTACCTTTTTGCGAAGCCTCACTTGCCCTGTTATGACGGCTACAGCATACATCTTTATGACCAAAAGGGTGCCAAAGAATATGAAAGACACGAAGGCTTCATTCTCCATCATTTTCTGCATGGGAAGCGAAGGATCGATGCTGTTTCCTGAGAGAGTGGGGTGGGGTGGAGAGAGAGAGAAACAGACAGACAGAGAGACAGAGATCTGGAGCTCGTTTTTCCTTCTGAGGTCTGAAAACTAGTGCCAGATTATATCATGTAAGAAAGGGGTTGGATCAACATTAATCACCAGATCTACTCTTTGGATGGAGCCTCTACCAGTCAGCATTGCAACATGCAACCCTTTGGATTTATATTCAGAAGTTCCATTATTTGTTTATTTGTTGCTGCTGTTGCTGCTGTTGCTGCTGTTGCTGCTGTTGCTCCCCACCCTTCACCATCAGGTGAATTTAAAATTCAGTATTACAAACCGTTTAAAACAAGTTACAATCACAGGAAGGGGGTGGGTCCTGAAAACCTATATTCCAGATGCAATGGCTACAAGCCAGGATAACTATGCTCTGCTTCCACGGTCAGGGGCAGGAATGCTTATGAATAGCAGTTGCTATTCATAACACAGGAGCCGAGTTAGGGCTATTGTGCTCTGATCCTGCCTGCAGGTTTCCCATTCGGGCATCTCACTGGCTGCTGTGAGAACTGGATGCTGGACAAGATGGGGCATTGGCCTGAGCTAGTAAGGCTGCTCATATGGAAGTCTATTGTCATAGCAGAACCTCCATGCTCAAAGACAGTCTACCTTTGTATACCAGATAATGGGGAACAACAGTTGCACTCAGGTCTTGCTTGGGGACATCCCATAATGGGCATCTGGTTGGTCACTATGAGGACAGGATGCTGGACTTGATGGGCCATGGGCTTGATCCAGCAGGGCTCTTCTCATGTTCTTAGGTGTCCAAGGTTAGGGTAAAGAGGGGTGTCTTTGACATATGATGGACACTGTCCAATGAAGATGTCAGATGCACCTCTGTGGGGACGAAGTTCCACAACTTAGGTGCTGCCACAAATAAGTTCCTCTCTGGGGCTGCCAGCATCCTGAATGCCTCAGGACAGTAGAACTACCAAGATGACCCCCTCTGATGATCTTAACACCCAAGAGGGTGGTGGTGGAGGAGAACTCTCAGATCTTTGCTGCCCAAGTTGTTGAGGGCTTTAAACACAAATGTGAACACCTTGAATCGGGCCCAGAAATAGACTGGCAATCAGGAAAAGAGAGCAGAGAATCACTGCTTAAGGCAGGCACCCCCAAACTTGGCCCTCCAGATGTTTTGGGACTACAATTCCAGTCATCCCTGACCACTGGTCCTGTTAGCCAGGGATGATGGGAGTTGTAGTCCCAAAACATCTGGAGGGCTGAGTTTGGAGATGCCAGGCTTAAGGCAAACAAACCACACAGGTTTAAGATTAACCACCACCTCCTTTAAGTGTCAGGGGGTTGGGCAAGATTTAGAGGCAAGGCAGTTTTATAGCATACAGACCTTACAAGTGTCCCTTTTCCAGGGTAATCCCAGATTTACAGAAGCCATCCCGGTTTCTGATTTGATCCCAGAATGTCCCGCTTTTTGTTAGGATGTCCCTATTTTCATTGGAGAAATGTTGGAGGGTATGGAGTTATCTGACCCTCCCAGCTATCCCTGTATAGGGAAGGTTTTTATTTTTAAAAATGTTTAATGTTTTATTATGTTTTTATATATGTTGAAAGCCTCCCCGAGTGGCAACCCAGTCAGATGCGTGGAATATAAATAGTAATCCCCCCCCTTATTTCATCAGAGAAATGTTGGAGGGGAGGAACATGTTGCTTGCAAACAGTGATTCTCTTAAGAACGTTGTGGTTTTTTGAGAAACTCCAGGTTAATCACCGAGACTCGTGAAATTCTGGCTAGACCATGGTTGCAGACATGCCAGTCACCTTTCTCTGAAATCTGTAACTGCAATGGCAATGGAGGGCATTGCGCAATTACATCATGCCCACAGAGAGAGCAACACCAGGTTAGCATTCCCAAGATGTGCCTTCAAACAGAGCTAAGGAACATTTAGACCTCAAGAAGTGGGTGGTACTCCATGCTCCCCGTCCCTTTTCTAAGAAGGAGCACCCCCTCCCCTTCATGCAAGAGATGCTCCCGATTTAAAAAAGGCATTCCCTCATGGGGGGTGGGTGGGGGCGGGGAATGCCTCTCCTAAGGTGGCCCACCACATATTCATTGGAACCCAATTCCCATCAGCCCCAGCCACCATGGCAAACAGTCCAGGAATGATGGGAGTTTGAGTCCAAAGACACCTGGAGAGTCACAGCTTATCCTGTCCTGCCTGAAAATCCTCTGGAATGCATCGGGGTTTCGTGGCTGCAGTTAGGGGGCTCTTTAACAAGACAGGGCTTGTCAAGGAACAACTTGCAAAGGATTCCCAGAAAATCAGCCAACACAGAAGTTCCTTAAATAAATCTGCATATAAGGTGTGGAGAGCCTCTGGCCCAAAATACGTTGCTGGACTGCAACTCCCATCAGCCCCAGCAGGCATGGGTCCCCACACCAGTGGCAGACCTTGGGGTCTCAAATTTCAGTGCCCGGTACAGCTGACACCTGGCCTACAGGGACAGCCAGAAGCTCACCAGGATGTCAGGCAATAGTACTGTATCTCCTAAGCCTGGATTCTTCTGCATGTAAAACACATTATCTGCCACTGAGCTATGACCCTTCCCATGAAAATAAGATTCTAGTCCTCATAACAGTGGCACCCCCAGAGTCTCTCACCACTCAGAGATCTGGAGCAGGCTACAATGTGATTTTATGGGAAAGGGCCATAGCTCTGTGGTAGACTATCTGCCTCGCATGCAGAAAGTCCATGATTCAGTCCCTGGCCTTGCCAGGTAGTTCCAGGAATGTTCCCTGCCTGAAATCCCAGACAGCTGCTGCCAGTCAGTGTAGACAATACTGAGCTAGATGAACCCAGCCATCTGACTCAGCTTCCTGTGCTGATTCAGCTTTTTATTCAGAACAACAGGGACTAGAATTTTACTTTATTTTTTTAAGGAGAAGTGCACAGCTCTGTGCTAGAGCACCTGCCTTGCTTGCAGAATGCCCCTGCTTCAGTCCCCTGTGGCATCTCCAGGTAGGGCTGGGAAACAGCACCAGACAGCCTCCTTGATTACAACCAATCAGGGAGCCACTCTATTAAGTAGTGGGTGGACATAGCAGATGACACAGAGCTTTCTCCAAGTAGTTCTTTATAAGTACAGTGGTACCTCGGGTTACATACGCTTCAGGTTACATACACTTCAGGTTACAGACTCCGCTAACCCAGAAATAGTGCTTCAGGTTAAGAACTTTGCTTCAGGATGAGAACAGAAATTGCATGGTGGCGGCGGCAGGAGGCCCCATTAGCTAAAGTGGTGCTTCAGGTTAAGAACAGTTTCAGGTTAAGTATGGACCTCCGGAACGACTTAAGTACTTAACCCGAGGTACCACTGTAAGCTGGAACTGAACTGAACAGCAAACAGCTCAGTCGGCCTGCTTTTATAGGCAGCCGCCTGTCAACATTGTAACAACAAAAGCCCAGGGTTTCCTGAGTGAAAACTATATACAGTGGTACCTCTGGATGCGAACGGGATCCATTCCGGAGCTCCGTTTGCATCCTGAGCAGAACGCACCCCGCGTCTGCATGTGCGTTGGTCACGATTTGCCGCTTCTGTGCATGCGCGTGATGTCATTTAGAGCATCTGCACATGCGTGAGCGGCGAAACCCGGAAGTAACCCGTTCCGTTACATCCGGGTCGCCGCAGAACACAACCTGAAAACGCTCAACCTGTAGCGTATTTAACCCAAGGTATGACTGTACACAATACCCCTGGTGGCTAGGGTGAGAACTTCAATACATAACACACTCTCCCTGTCATTGTCTCTGACTCTTCTTACTGGCCTGCTTTCTAGTCTACTGGTCCTGATGGGCACCAAGAGAGCCTCAGAGAGAGCCCACCCATAGGGCCCAAGTACCACAAACCTCACTTGGTGCAAGAACCCAACAGGCAATACAATCCTGACATGTTCTGCCATATAGTCAGCCAATCCCAAAAGGAAATGACCCATAAGGAAAGGGGGGATATGGATGGAGGGAAAGAAATAGACAAGCTTAGATGTTGGTGGAAGGGTGGCAGCCAACAGCTGAGAGAGCTCCTGCCCCTTTAACAGATATGCAGAGGAAAACCTTACAGCAAGTGTGGCTTTCCACCTACTGAAAAAAAGTCCTCTTCTGCCCAGGTGTTAAAGGGGCAGGAGTGCTCTCTGCTTTTCACACCTGGCCAGTTTCCTTGACTGCATGCATGGACACCCCACTTGTTCCTCCAAGGAACTCAAGATGGCATCCATGGTCCTCCCCCTCCTCACTTAATGCCCACATCAACCCTGCCAGGTACTGAAAAAGGTCATTGGAAGGGCAAGGTCCAAGTTTTGGGCAAGTGCTCTTTGGTGAGAGAACCGCAGCAGAGGTTTAACATGGCCAAGCATGCAGCAAAGAAAAGTGTGGAAATATAAGCTGTAAAACCTTTAACACATGCCTTTAACATATCCCACTTGCCGAGCACAGATAGACCACATGTTTAGTCCTTTCCCTTCACTCAGACAAAGAGATGGAAGAGGCAAGCAACAGCAGCAGGTGGTTCCAGAGGGAAACAGGGCAACATTTAACTAGCCCAGGGAACTTGGCAGTTGCTCAACAATGGAAAGCTCCACTGCCAGCCCCAGACTGAACTTCCAGAGGCCCCAAGGTATAAACTAAAACGCTGAAGCTTTACAATTCACACACCCATAAAGAACAATTTCTCTCTCTAAAAGAGAGAGGAGTCAGAAAATAGGGGGTGGCCCCTGGTCAACAAAAGGCAGTTATAAAACAGGGGGTGGGGGTGTTTGCAAGATTGCAGCATTTTGGAAAACACTGCCTTGCTTCCGGCTTGGAATGGAATGCTAATTTGTTTTGCAAATGAATTCCTGATGTGACATTCTGGAGCAGAGAAAGCATCCCTCATGCTTGGCTCCCAGACAAAAGTTGCATTCCAAGACTGAGGGGTGGGGGGTGGGGGAGCAAGTGGATCCCAGCCAATAACACACTTACCACTAGAATGGATTGAGAGTAGGAACGACAGCAACTTTCCTATAAGAAGAACCACATCCCTGATTACTTCAGGATAAACACAGCTCAGCCATTCAGCAAAGGACTCCTCCAGCTGCTCTGATAGCAGGTTCTGATATAGGGGTGGGAAGCTGTCACGTGTACCTCTTCTCCAGCCAAACAGAAGAAGAGGGAGGGGCACCGCTGAGATACTTGTCATGCAAAGTTCCCATTTGCCTCTTCACAGGGGTGCCCCCCCAAACCATAGTTAGTTTGGGGTATCGCCCATTTGCATAGCTCACGCAGGAGCCCCAGGTTCAGCACCCAAAGCATTTCCAGGTGGGGCAGGGAATGAACCCTCTATGAAACCCTGGAGAGCTGCTGCCAGTCAGTGTAGGTAATATAAAGCTAGATGGGGAAATTGTCCAACTTTGTGTAAGGCAGCTTCCTGTGCTCCTGTTTAAAGCAGTCTTTAAATCTGAACCATAAGGACTTTCTGCTTGGTGTACATAAAGTCTCAGGTTCAATCCCTGACAACATCTCCAGATAGGGCTGGGAATGATCCCTGCCTGAAACCACAGAGAGTCACTGCCAGTCAGTGTCGACAGTGCGGATCTAGATGTCATAACAACAGCAAGTGGACATTTTCACCTCTGCTCTTTAAAAGCAGGAAGAACATTGAACCTGGTACCTTCTGCATCCAGTCCAGATGCTCTATCACTGAACAGATCGAGCAAATTAGGTAGATTTCCACTCGTAGCTGTCAACTTTTCCTTTTTCTTGCAAGGAATCCTATTCGGAATAAGAGAATTTACCTTAAAAAAGGGAAATGTTGACAGCTATGTTTCCACTAAATTAATCTCCCCCCCCACACACCTAATACATTTAAGTGAAGATTGAACCTGGAACCTTTTGTATGCAAAAGCTATGCTGCACCACTGAGTTACAGTACTTAGAAAATTAAATAAGATTTTAGTCCTCATGTTTCTGAACCAAAGACTGAATTGAATAGGAACATAGGAAGCCACCTGATACCGATTCAGAATATTGGTCCATCTGACTCAGTATTGTCTGCACTGAATGGCAATGGCTTTTGTGGGGGGGGGTGTTAAAGCAGGGAGGGTTCTTCCAGACTTACCTGGGAGAGGTTCTAAGAGCTGAACCTGGGGCTTCTGCATGCACAGCTCAACAGCTGAACAGACTGGGGGTTTGACTCAGTACAAAGCGGCTTCCTTATCTGCTCATCTCTCAGTAGATCACAATCTAACTTCTGCTCCTCCCCTTCTGGATGGTGTTTGCCGCTTCACACACAGCAGCTGCTGGTGACTGTTTTGAATCCTGGCTAAACCTGTCCTGGGACCATGTTTTTCCAGCTTATCTTTAACAAAATGAACAATCACCCTCTTGGTGTTTATATCAAGGGAAGACAGGCTATTGGAGGGTGAATGAACAGAGGGGTCCTTAATTTGCTTTCAGCAAAAAGCCTTACTATTCTGTATATATACACACCAACCCCTCTCTTGAATGCCTTGTTATTACTGCATTATGATGGATATCGATTTCAACGCTGCAAAAAAAGAATTGCCGTATTTTTCGCACAATAGGGCGCACCTGACCATAGGGCGCACCTAGTTTTTAGAGGAGGAAAACACACAAAAAAATATTCTGAATCTAATGTTGCACTAAACTATTTAAAGCAGCAAAGCGGGTGGCTCCTGTCCGCTTTGCTGCTTTAAATTGAGCCTCAGAGGAGGGTAGGAAGGGGAACCATGGCTTATCTAAGTCCAGTTAATAATGAATTGCCTGACTTATGGCCATCGAGATTAGCCTGGCTGTCTCAGTGGAAATCTGGGGAGGCTGAGGTGGACTTTCCAGTGGTCAAAGTGTGGTTGTGTCTTCCTGCCCAGCATCTATTTCCTGCCCTCTTTCCCCCCTGCACCCCCGCACCCTGCTTCCAGGGAAGGAAGCGGAGCCATGGATCCTCTGCTTGCAACTGCAGTGGATTCCCTCCACTTTGAAGCAGGAAAGTGGGAGAGGAGCTGCTTACACGAGTGTAAGCTGCTCCCCTCCCACTTTGCTGCTTCAAAGGGAGCCCAGGAGGAGGGAATCCTCTGCAGCCACAAGCAGAGGATCCATGGTCCCCTTCCTTCCCTCCTCCGTGATTGCTTTGAAGCAGGAAAGTGGGAGAGGAGCTGCTTACAGGAATGTAAGCTGCTCCCCTCCCACTTTGCTGCTTCAAAGGGAGCCGGGGTCCACTGCCTTCGCTAGCAGAGGATACACGGTCCCCTTCCTTCCCTCCTCCGTAGTTGCTTTGAAGCAGGAAAGTGGGAGAGGAGCTGCTTACACGAGTGTAAGCTGCTCCCCTCCCACTTTGCTGCTTCAAAGGGAGCCGGGGAGGAGGGAATCCCCTGCAGCCATGAGCAGCGGAGGATCCATGGTCCCCTTCTTTCCCTCCTCCGTGGTTGCTTTGAAGCAGGAAGGTGGGAGAGGAGCTGCTTACACGAGTGTAAGCTGCTCCCCTCCCACTTTGCTGCTTCAAAGGGAGCCGGGGAGGAGGGAATCTGCTGCAGCTTCCCCCACCTCCCGGAGAGCCCGCAGAAGCCGTGAGCTCTTTAAAGGGGCTGCGCGGCTTTGCCTGGCTTTTCTGGGAGGTGGGGGGGATTCCCCCACCTCCCGAAAAACCGGCAGAAGCTGCGAGCTCTTTGAAGGGGCTGCACGGCTTCTCCTGGCTTTTCTATGAGGTGGGAGAAGGGACTGATGCAGCCAGTCAGTCCCTTCTCCCTCCTGGGGAAAAGCCCGCAAGAGCGCACGGAGCTTGTGTGCGGCTTTTGGGGGCTTTTCCCGCCTGCCTCCCCCTGCATTCACTCCATAGGACGCACACGCATTTTCCACTGCTTTTTAGGAGGGAAAAAGTGCATCCTATAGAGCGAAAAATACAGTAAGCTACAGGAGGGGCCGTTTCTAAAACTGCATTCCTTAATGCTGCCACCTGCTGGAGAAAGCCCTCCTTTTTAAAATTGCATCCACTTCGGATCCTACCTGTTAGGAAAAGGAAAGAGTAGGTAATCAGAACCTCAGGGTTCAGGAGAGCCTTGCCTGGGTTTATCCCCCCGCCACAGCTCCATGAGGTTGGGGGAGCAGGGCCCAAAATCATCCAGCCGAGTTGATATAGCTTTGCAGCTAATAGAGCGAGTTCCGCGTCAATAAGTCCCTGTTTGAATCTTGCTGCTTCTGTTCACCTCATCTTTGAAAGGATATTGCAGAGCTGGAAAATGTTCAGAGAAGGGAAACAAAATTATCAAGGGGGTGGAGGGACTTCCCTATGAGGAAAGGAAGCAGAATTTGGGACTTTTTAGTTTAGAGCAAAGGCAAGTAAAAGGCAACATGACAGAAGTGTATAAAATTCTGCATGGTGTGGGAAAAGTGAATAGAGAAAAGGTTTTCCACGCTCTCTGATAATACTAGAACTTGTGGAGATCCAATGCAGAGGAATGCTGGAAGATTCAGGACAGGTTTTTAAAAAGCCCTCCACACTGCATAGAGGCACTCGCTCCCCCAGGAGGCAGTAATGATCACTAACCTGGATGGCCACCAAGCTAGATGCCTATTGCTGGCTACTCGCCACAGAGTCTTTGCCAGGGGCAGCAATGCTTCTGAATACCACCTGCTGGAAACTGCAGGAGGGGTGAGGGCTCTTGTGCTTGTGCCCTGCTTGTGGGCTTCCCGTTGGGGCATCTGGTTGGTAACTGTGAGAAGAGGATGCTGGGTGAGATTGGCATCCTTTTGATTCAGTCAAGCTGCAGGGCTCTTTGTTACTCCCTTGTGTCCTGGGCTGTCATGTTGACCTTCGCCACTGTTGTAGTGGATGCAGCATCCAGAGGAGATGCAGTCACAGTTGGGACCTCTTCTTCTTCTTCGCAGCCATCTGAGAATGAAGAAATGGGCAACCCCTCGGAGCTGGGGTGGCGACAGCGAGGTTGGGCCTTGGAAAAACTGGAGAGTTCCAAGGAATCAGAGGCCACCGTCAGCTTGCTGGTCACATCCCAGACTTCTACCAAGGGGGAGCAGATGGCACTGCCCATCACGAGGTCCTAGGGGGCTATAAAGTGAGTGAGCAACTTCCCCGGGGGGGGGGGACTCTAGTTGGGACCAAATCCCCAGTGCTCCCTCTGCAGTTATGTGGGTCCAGGCAAGAGAAGCTCGTGCAATTTTATGCCACATCAACAGAAGTTTAGAGTCCTAAGCAAGGGAAGTGATAGCACCACCCTATTCTGCCTTGGTCAGACTTCGCTTGGAGTACTGTGTCCAGTTCTGGGCACCTCAGTTTATGAAGGAGATTGACAAGCTGGAATGTGTTGCAGAGGAGGGTGGCCAAGATGTGAAAGGGTCTGGAAACCAATCCTTATGAGGAACAGCTGATGGCGTTCGGGATGTTTATCCTGGAAAAAAGGAGACAGAGAGGAGATAGGATAGCCACCTTCAAATATATAAAGGGCTGTTGTATGGAAGATGGAGCTAGCTTGTTTTCTCATCCTCTGGAGGGTGGGACCTGAACCAATAGCTTCAAGTTAGAAGAAATTAGATTCCGACCAAACATCATCATCATCATCATAATTTATTATTTGTACCCCGCCCATCTGGCTGGGTTTCCCCAGCCACTCTGGGCAGCTTCCAACAAAGATGAAAAATACACTAACATCAGGAAGAACTTTCTGGTAATAAGAGCCGTTTGATGATGGAACAGTCTCCCTCAGGAGATGGTGGGCTCTCCTTCACTGGAGGTTTTGAAACAGAGATTGGGTGGCCATCTGTCAGGGATTCTTTAGCTGTGATTCTTGCCTTGCACAAAGTTGGACTAGAGGACCTTTGGGGGTCCCTTCAGACTCTACAATTCTATGATTCTATGACTCCAAGGTCTCCCTCCAGGCCTGGAAAGGTCATGTGAACACACATCAACCTACATGACTGTGTGGAGATGATTCCAGACAGGCATGTGGCATCAAAGGCATGGGGGCACTTCTTCAAAGCACCCCCTAGTGTCATTATTGATGTCCTCCTCTTCCTTCTCACCTGCCTCTTTTGTTCAAGACTCTCAGGTCACCCTGCAGCACAAATCTGCATTGACACCACAGCCTGGATGCTGTCCTGAGGGGAAGCAGGCACACTCTGCCAAAACAGAGCAAGGTAGCAATTAGGAGCTGGGGTGCACAGATCAGAAACTGGCTACTTTCTTCTGGTGTGTTGCTGTCCCTTTTCCTGAAACCCAAGTAGGCAGGTTGATTAAACCCACAAGACACAATTCCTCCCTCTGCTGAGGAGGAGGTTAGCTGCGATGCTGGCAGAAAAGGGCTGTCCTGTCAAGCTGGTGCCACAGTGGTGAGCAGCCTCCACTCACTGCCTCAACTCACTTTGGAGACCTGCAGAAACCGAGAGAAAGAGAGAGAGAGGTGTTTGTTAGAACAGAGGAAGTAGGAAGCTGCCTTATACAGTCATACAGATGCTTCAGGTTGCATTTGTTCAGGTTACAGACCCGCCGAAACCCAGAAGTACCGGAACGGGTTACTTCCAGGTTTCGGGGGGCACACATGCGCAGAAGTGCTAGATTGTGCTTTGAGCATGTGCAGAAGCACTAAATCGTGCTTTGAGCATGCGCAGAAGCGCCAAATCACAACCCGCACGTGCGCTGTGGGTTGTGAACACTGTGGGTTGCGAACGTGCATCCTGCACAGATCACGTTCACAACCAGAGTGTCCACTGCATCAAGTTGGACTGCTGGTCCACCTTGCTCAGTGCTGTCTACCCTGACTGGCAGAAGAAGCTTTCCAGGGTTTCAGGCAGGGGACATTCCCAGGCTTGCCTGGAGATGCTGGGGACTGAAGCTAGGATCTTCTGCATCCAAAGCTGATGCTCCAATACCGAGCTGCAGCCTTTCCTCTAAAAGAAGAACAAAGATCCCAGTTGCCATGGTTCTTAATAAATGTGCATGGGCAGAATTAATCAGGGACATGGAAAGCTGCTGTATGCTGAGCCAGACCCTTGGTCTGCCTAGCTCAGTATGCTCTACACCAACTGGCAGTGGCTCTCTAGGGTTTCAGGCATTGTGGGGCTTGGCTTTGAGATTATTCCACCCTCCACCAAGAAGTCTTAAGCATTTAAGGCGCCCCTTCCACAGGTTCCTTCTGCAGCATCTTCTCCCTCCCTCTTACCTGGCTCTTTAGCACATCATCCATTCAAAACGCAGAAAAATAGGCGGTGGTGGCTGCTTCGTATACCTGCATCCCAGTTTGCATGGCCCCGAGGTAAGCTGATCGCTGATTTGCATCCCTGGCCTGGGAGATGCTATCTGATTTCCAAGCTATCAGCTTTCTTTGCAACATGAAATGCAGAGGCTACTCAAATTAGTTTCTAGAACCAAGGAAACCCAAAAAAGTGTGCTGAGGACTGAAGAAACAGTGGTAAAGTTAGGTACAGTGGTACCTTGGGTTACATATGCTTCAGGTTACAGACGCTTCAGGTTATAGACTCTGCTAACCCAGAATTAGTACCTTGGGTTAAGAACTTTGCTTCAGGATGAGAACAGAAATTGTGCGGCGGCAATGCAGTGGCAGCGGGATGCCCTATTAGTTAAAATGGTACCTCAGGTTAAGAACAGTTTCAGGTTAAGAACGGACCTCCAGAACGAGTTAAGTTCTTAACCCGAGGTACCACTGTAATTTTACCTGACTCTGGAGTTCATCGTCAATACAATAATATAATTATTACTCACTTGTTACTCAAAGACCCTAAGTGAATTACTAAACATAAAACCATTGATAAAAATGCACTGATACAATACTGTGCATGGTTCAGGTTGCCTTATCTCAAAAAGGCTATTGCAAAGTTGAAAAAAGTTCAGAAATGGGCAACTGAAATTATCAAGGAGATGGAATGACTCCCCTGTGAGGAAAGGTTGTGGGATTTGGGACTGTAAAGAAAAGACAGGTAAGAGGTGATATGATAGAAGTTTATTAAATTAGGCATGTAATGGAGAAAGTGGAGAGAGAGAAGTTTGTCTCCGTCTCTTGTAACCCTAGAACTTGTGGATATCTAATGAAGCAGAACGTTGGGAGATTCAGGACAGATAAGAGAAAGCACTTCTTTATGCAGTGGAACTATGGAACTTGCTTCCACAGGAGGCAGTGATGACCACCAACTTGATTAATGGCTGTGAAAAAGGACTGGACATATTCATGTAGGAGGAGAAGGCTATCAACAGCTAGTAGCCATGGTGGGGACTGAACCCGGGACCTTCTGAATGCAACACAATATTTCTCCACTGAGCTATGACCATTCCCCAGCAGTTTTACAGGGCCCCCTCCCTAGATTATAATGCATGCTTCAGATTGTAGTATGTTGGCCCTTGTTGCCTTTGGGCCTATTCCTGTTTATTCTGTTGAGTGCCCCCTGCCCAAGTCCAGTCCTGATGGCATCAAAGCAGCTTTTCCGCAGTACTGACCCAGGACATGCACTAAAGATTGTGACAGATGGGGAGCTGTCCAGAGTGCTGGAAGACAGCGCAGACCCCCTCCCCAATCCATTCCTATCCACCCCAGACCCTTCACAGCACTGAGGGCATTGCTCTTTGCTCAAAGGCATTTGGGTCAGGACCGGAAGATAAGAATTTTTTTTGGGGGGGGGAGGAGACGATGTGGGGCAGAATGGACTTTCGCCTTTGTGTTCTTCTTGCACAAGACCTGGCCTGGTGGCAAATGTCAGGATATTCCTAACCTTGTTTAGTTGAGGGCCAAATGGGTGGAGAAAGTGAAGTCCTTTTTCATGTGGTGCTGTCAGGTGGCAGTAAGCAACTCCCACGGCCGGTTGCCAGGAATGTACAACACAAGGAAAAGTTATTACCACCTGCTTTTTATTCAATATTTACAGAGAGAGGCTTGGAACATAGCCTCTTGGGATAATGGCGTTGTCCCGACTGACTCTCCACTCCCCTTTTCTCCCACTTCCTCATTCGTCATTGTCATCATCTCCCCTACAGGTGGCTCTGAGGGCCCTCTGTTTCTGAGCTCTTTGCTCTCCTACTTTCAAGGCTTGCCAGGTTCTGGGAGGGAGGTGGGTCTGGAATGCTTTCTAAAGACACTGTGCCCATCAGCTGTTGCCCTCCTGGCGCTTCCTCTTCCTCCTCCTCTCTCATTATTTCCCAGCTTTCCCCCTCTTCTGCCTCTGAGCTATGACCTCCCTCAAACCCCTCTTGTAATTCTGAACTGTCTTCTTCTTCTCCAGAAGGCTCAGGCTGGGGAGGCGGTCTCCACCATTGCTCTTCTGCCCAGTCCCTGACAGGTGTGGAGTTAAAACTATGGAACTCCCATCCTCAGGAGGTGGTGATGGCCACCAATCAGATGGCTTTGAAAGAGGATTGGACAAATCCATGGAAGAGGAGAGAGCTATCAATGGATATTCATGGGAACGAGTTTCCATAGTTTGAGCAACATGAAGACAGCTTTTCTTTTATCTGACCTGGATCCTCCATCAGTCAACTTTATTGGATGTCCATGACTTCTGGTAATGATGAGAGTGGGAAAAGAACCTGATAACAGTTGATAACTCTTTCCTTCATGTGAGACTGATGATGGGGATGCCATTTTTCACTGTTAACCATCGTGGCTGAAAGCTCAAAATGTCGATGGAGCCAGAGCCTGTCCAAGGCAATTAATTCTTGCTTTGCCCCCATCTTCCTCCTCCCCGCTGAGTGAAGAAAGGTGGTTTTATTTCAGGTTAGGTTTTATGTTCTGCGTGTAGTATTTCTTTGGGAGGTTGTCAAATGCCCCTGCTGTTTTGGAGAGCTTCCTCAGTAGAGTTTACTTAGGGCTTTCTCAATATTTGCTTTTGGATGACAGAATTTGCACACAGCTTAAGGGTGAAACGTGCTTGGGGGGGAAACAGGACCTTTGCTCCAGCTGGTTTGGTAGCAGGCCCAGTGAGATGAAAGAAGAAACGCTAAAAACATGATCATTAATAATATTACATTAATATTTTCATTAATTTCAGTGGGGCTGCTTTGGGGAGAGCTTGGATACAATCCTGTTTATACTGTATATGGTCTGCATGCTAATAACATTTAAATTAGCAAATTACATATATGTTTAATATATACACACATAAATACTACATATACCAGTATTACACACAGGCATATATATTCAAATAGAATACATTAGATTTCTCTCTCTCTCTTTCCTCTCTCTGTTTCACCAGTGCTTTATGTCTAGGAAAAAGGCACCACTGCTGTGTACCCTTGAGTACCCCCAGAAAAAGCATTATTTCTCATGTGTTTCATTTACTTATTGATTGATTTTATATCCCTTCCTCTCCAAGGAGCCCAACAATGGCGGACAGATAGGAAATTTAAACCCAAAGCAAAAACCTTCTAAAACTATTACAATTAAAAGCATTTGAAAGCAATTACACTCTTGTCTGTCTCTCACTCACACACAGAGTATGCAGAGATGCACACACATGTGCATGTTAATAATGCCTTAACCATCACACATATTTACTTAAAATGTCTCTGTGTGTTTATCAACACATTGTTTATTTATTCCTTTGTTACATTTACGCCCCATTTTCCCCCCAGAGAGCTCAAGGTGCTGTATGTGGACCTCCTCCTCTTCATTGCACATCCCAGGACCACCCTGTGAAGTAGGTCAGGCTGAGAGGCAGCTACCGCACCCCAAGGCCACCTGATGAGTTTCATGGGCCAAATGTGTGTAGGATGTTGTAACACTTCTAGGCAATTGAAACCAGAATAGATAAATTTTATGATATGGTTGCCAGATTTTTTTCAATGAATCCTGGGACACTTTTTTTTTTTTTTTGAAGCTGAGTAGCAACAGGGTGTCAGTAGTGGGGATGGTGAGGCAAAAGAGGCTGGGCCCAAGCACACATGCATATTGTATAAAGGTGCAAAGCCCTTCTTTCGCACCCTGTGAAACATAAATGCCCAGAGTTTTTTTAAAACTGGGCAACGACTCCCAAGCCTCCACCATTCAGTCAAAACAAAGGGGGAAGGGGGCAGGAGATCTGTACTGCCAGACATCCCCGGTTCCCCATCGGCAGTGGCAGTGGCAGTGGCAGAGGCAGTCAGCAGCCCGGAGCCAGCCTGGTAGCACAGTTGGCTCTGGCTGGCTTCAGGAGCTGCTCGCTACCATGGTGCCCACCATTTTTCCTCGCCGGAAGCCCCCATATGATGTGTTGCGACAAGGGAATATGACGGGCGCCACGGCAGCGGGCAGCGAGCAGCTCCTTAAGCCAGCCAGAGCCAACTGCGCTACCAGGCTGGCTCCGGGCTGCTGAGGCTGCCGCTGCCACATTTCCCGGGGACAGATTTGCAAATCTGGGGACATTTGGGGAATGGAATTTGTCCGGGGACAGATTTGCAAATCCAGGGACTGTCCCTGGGAACCAGGGAGGTCTGGTAACCCTATTTTATGAACCTTCTTCCATTGTCTGCCCAGCAGGACGGCGCTCAAGCCACCCTGCAAATAAAATAATGTTATTTCATTTGAGCATGCATTTGATAGTTGATTTCTCAGAAGAGAGAGGCTTTGGGTTTGGGGGGTTAGGTCGTGGTTGTGCGTAGGGTCAGGGTCATCGTCCTGACTTTAGGTCGAGGCTGTGCTGTGGACTTTGGCACTACTTCCGGGGTGTCACACCCCCCGCCCTGACTTTAACAACTCTAACCACTGTACTACACTGTTTATATATTTTAAACTTGCACGCGCATGCGCGCTTTATTATATTATATATTGTATTTAAGCACACGCACACGAAAGCAATCCACGTGCTTGTCCAGTAACTCCCTTAGCAGCAGCCAATGAACTGGCTTAGCGGTTGCTAGGATGGAAACTCCGCCCCAAACAAAGATGGCGCCGGGGCTTACGGGAAAGGGAAGGGGTCCTTGCGGGGGCTGCTGGGAGTTGTAGTCCCCGCGTCGTGCTTGCGAAGGTGGGCGGTCGGACTTGCAAAAGTAGCCGCCAGCGCGGGGCATTGCCGGCCCTTTTGCCGGCGCGGCGTCCACCATGCTGCGGCTCCGGCTCCGACTCCGCCTGCTTTTGCCGCCGCCGGTGCTGCTCCTGCTGCTTGGGGCCGCCTTGGGGCCGCCTGGATCGGCGGGGCTGGAGCCCATCAGCACCGGCATCGCCATCGGGGCTGCTTCGGCTCTGACCGGTTACCTCTCCTCGCCCCGCTTCTACTGCGCCTTCGTGGAGTGCTGCCCCGGCGAGGAGGAGCGGCCCAACAGCACCGGTACCTGCAGGCAGGGAGGGTGGCTGGCTGGCCCCATAGAGGGGCAAAAAGCGGGATGTAGCAGCCCTAGCCCCACCATAGAGAGGCAAGGAAAGAGGACGAAAAATAAGGCAGGGCTGCCCCCCTAGAGGGGACCCCCCCCCTTATAGGGAAGTTGGTTTTTTCGTTGGGTGGAGGGGAGAGAGAAAGAGAGAGTGAAGTAGTTTTGGCCCCATAGAGTTGTTCAGTTTGGTTGTGCTGTGTGTTTAAGGAAAGAAGTTGCCTTAGAGTCCATCTAGCACAGTATTATCTACACTGCACTCCTGGATTTCTGAAGGATATTCCCAACTGTAGCTGGATAATGCCCAAGGTTTATTTATTTATTGCATTTATATCCCACCCTTTTCTCCAAGGAGCTCAAGGTGGCATACACAGTTCTCCCTTCCTAATTCAATCCTCACAACAACCCTGTGAGGTAGGTCACACTGAGAAGCTGTGATTGGCCCAAGCTCACCCCGTGAGCTTCAAAGGCCAAGTGGGAATTTAAACCCAGGTCCCAAGCCCGGCACTCTAATCGCTGGACCCACACTGAGGGTTGCAGGAGTGCCTCTCTGAAATCAACACTCTCCACCTTTGCCTCTCTGCAGCGCTCCGCCAGAATCTGGACAATAAGCTTTTCGGACAGCACCTGGCGAAGGACGTGATCCTGAAGGCGGTGACTGGTTTCGTCAACAACCCAAACCCTAAGAAGCCCCTGGCACTCTCCCTGCATGGTTGGGCAGGGACGGGCAAAAATTTTGTCAGCCAGATTGTTGCTGAAAACATCCACAAGGCCGGGCTGAAGAGCAAATACGTCCACCTTTTCCTTTCTACACTGCATTTCCCCCATGACCACCAGATTGCACTGTATAAGGTGAGGGTGTAATTGGTTGAGTGTTTTTGCAACGCTTTATGTTGCTGATTCTAGGCTTATTTTGTCCCCATTTTACAGAGTGGGCAAAGTGAGGCAGCTCTCAATCTCAGCTGGAGCTGATGGGAGCTGTAGTTGAAAGCATTTGGCTATCATTTTGGTTAGTGAAGGCTGTAGTACAGTATAGCCAAGAGTACTGAGATATCTGAATAATAAAACTCAGTGGTGATGCACATGCTGCCTCCACTCCAAATACCATCTGCTGGGAATCTCAAGGATAGAGAGCTGCTGTTGTGGTTAGACCTTGCTGGTGCACCTCCCACAGGCATCTGGTGGGAACAGGATGCTGGACTAGGTGGCCCACTGGCCTCATCCTGCAGACTCCACTTATATTCTGAAGTTTTTTGCATGCAGAAGGTCCCCGGTTCAACCCCCAGTGTCACCCTTGCCTGAAAGCCTAGGTAACCACTACCAGTTAGTGTTGACAATACTGGGCAATACTGGCAATATTGAATTCCGCTCTTTAATCAAAACTGTGAGGACTAGAATTTTACTTTATGTTAAGGGGGAGGGCTGTGGCTCGCTGGGACAACACCTGCTTTGCATTCAGGAGGTCCCAGGTTCAATCCCCAATGGCATCTCCAGGTCTAGGAATGTTGTTGCCTGAAACCCTGGAAAGCCCCTGCCAGTCAGTGTTGACAGTACTGAGCTAGATGGACTAAGGGTCTGCTTCCTGTCTTCCTTTTCCAGGGTCCCTAGTCCCCTGAATAATTGAAAGCTTTTTTCCCCTGACCTTTTACTGATCATTCTTTAAAGCTTCTTTTTGCATCCACGAGCGCTAGAAACTTAAAAGTTACTCTAAATGAAGCAGAGGTTCTCAGGAACACTGAGTTGTACACAGCATGCTAAACAGTAAGCTTGTGGGGAATCCTAGCTTGCAGCGGGAAACTGAGGTCTCTGGGACTTGCTCCAGGTAGAGACTTTGTTCTTCATTTGGAAATGCTTTCAATATTCTAGAAGGGCAGGAGAAGGACCACCCAGAAAAAGAAAACTTTGGATTTTTTGGATCCTATTGCTATGGCCTTTTGAGCACTCTCAAAAACCAGTAGTGGTCATTTGCCTTCCAGTATAAGGAGTTAATATAGGAGAATAATGGAAAGTGAAAGCTGAGAGTTTGTGGAGCTGCTTCCTTTTTTAGGAATGGAAGGAGCTGCCTTATACGACTGTGGTTAAGAAGCCCCTGTGTCTGAGAAATTGGTTAGTTGCCTATCCTGGGTGGGGTTGCATTCCCCACCAAAGGAGAAAGTTCTCAGTTTGGGGGTGCTTCTGCATCCGGTTCTGTCACTGGAGGCTCAGCCAACTTCAGTGGACAGTTCAACAGCTACGGCCATCCCTGGACCAGGAAAGCCTTGCTACAGTAGTTCATGGGTTGGTTGCTTCAAGACCGAATCACATCAATTTGCCCTGTGTGCAACTTCCTGCTCACATGATCCAGAAGCTTCAGTTAGTGCAGGATGCTGCAGCGCAATTGCTGACGGGAGTGAGGCCTCGTCATCATTATAACACATGTGCTCAGAAATCTGCACTGGTCACTCATTTGCTACCGGGCCATGTTCAAAGTGTTACAGTTTGGGACCACTTTATCTACATCATCACCTTATCCCACATGTGCCTACCTGATGCTTTGATCAGCTGGATTGGCACTACTATGGGTGCCATGTAATACCCATTCCACATTTTAAATAACTTGATCATTTAGTGGGGCAGCACCTGCACTTTGAAATTCCATGCCTCTTGATATCAAGCAGGCACCTTCACTATACTCTTTTCAGTGCCTCCTAAAAACATTCCTGTTCAGCCAAACCTGCTCACATGCTTAGAAAGTTGATGTGGATTTTAATTTTAGTTAACTTATTGTGTATCGTAATGTATTGCATTTCCCCTCTGTTTTTATGGTTTTATCTTTTTTGCAAAGCACTTTAAAGTTGTTACTCTACAGTTCTGTGATCCTGTGAAAAAAATGTGTTGCAAGTCAAGCTCTGTTCTAAAGGGTGCTTTTACCCTCTGCCAGGCTCAGGCCAGCAGTTTACATTAAACTGGCATTAATTCCACCACTCTCTTAGATTTAAAGATCACTCTGTCTGACTGTTGCTTTGTTTCATTGGTCAATTACTCAAGTAGGGTGTCAGGGTTTTTTAATGTTAAAATCAGATCATCCTCCATAATTGGGTTAATGCTGTAAGATCAACCTTTTATCTTCCTTACTGCTTTGGTCCAGGAGCAATTGCAGAAGTGGATTCGGGGTAACGTCAGCGCTTGCGCCAAGTCAGTATTCATATTTGATGAGATGGACAAGCTTCACCCAGGACTGATAGATGCCATCAAGCCTTTCCTTGACTACTACGAGCAGATTGACGGTGTCTCCTACAGGAGGGCAATCTTCATTTTTCTCAGGTTGGGAATCTCTTTGCCTGCAACCACAAGTCCTTCATTTGATGGTTTCCATTTGAAATTAGATGAGTCCCACTGGATCAGGTCATCAGAGGCCCATCTAGTCTTTTAAAATGGAAGCTCAAAAGCAACTGAGTACAACAGCAACTCTCCCCTCCTGTGGTTTCCAGCAGCTGGCATTCAGAGGCACTCTGCCTCTGACAGTGGAGCCACAGCATAGCCAGCAATAGCATTAGGTAAAGGTAAAAGGACCCCTGACCCATTAAGTCCAGTTGTGACCGACTCTGGGGTTGCGGCGCTCATCTCGCTTTACTGGCCGAGGGAGCCGGCGTACAGCTTCCAGGTCATGTGGCCAGCATGACTAAGCCGCTTCTGGCGAACCAAAGCAGTGCACGGAAATGCTGTTTAGTTTCCCGCCAGAGCGGTACCTATTTATCTACTTGCACTTTGACGTGCTTTTGAACTGCTAGTTTGGCAGGAGCAGGGACCGAGCAACGGGAACTCACCCCGTCGCGGGGATTTGAACCTCCGACCTTCTGATCGGCAAGCCCTAGGCTCTGTGGTTTAACCCACAGTGCCACCTGCGTCCCTCTATCAATAGCATTACCTTCTCATAATCCTGTTTCGAGGCTGTCCAAGTTGGTGGCCATCACTACCCCCTGTGGGAGTGAGTTCCCTGGGTTTAATTATGTGCTGCATGAAGGACTTTCTTTTATCTGTTCTGAATCTCCTGACATTCAGCTTCATGGGATGTCCACAAGACTGAATGTCAGGAGAAAGGGAGAAATTCTGTGTTATATCCTCTTTCTCTGTGCCATGCACAATTTTATAAACTTCTGTCATGTTACCTCTTACTGACTTTTTCTCTAAACTAGAACATCCCAAATGCATCCATCATATAGGGGAATCGCTCTATATGCTTTTGGCTGCCCTTTTCTGAAGCTTTTCCAGTATCCTTTTTGAAGCGAGGCAACCAGAACTGTTTGCGCTACTCCACGCAAGGTCGCACCATCAATTAATTTAGTGGCTTTACGATACTGGTGGTTTTATTTTCAAACCCTTTCCTAATGATTTCTAGCATTTTCCCTCTTCGCCACTTTTTCATACATTCTCAAGTGGGGGTAGATACCAGCATTCTACATGTCTAGATAGGCTTTGCCTGAATTATTATTTTTTATATATAATGTTTTTAGCATGCACCAAAAGCATCTGACTGTTGTCAATAGGCAGGGAGTTTCAAAGTTTAAGTAAGACTGGTTTCTTACAAAATCAGGATGCGTATTGCTGGCTCTGTTATGAAGCATATGGATTCCTAACATGCATCCCACCCACCCCTTTGGCTTTTCTGGCAGTAATGCTGGGGGAGACCTCATCACCAGAGTGACCTTAGACTTCTGGCACAATGGGCGGGACAGGGAGGAGATCCAGCTGAAGGACCTGGAGCCTGTGTTATCTGTGGGCGTCTTCAACAACAAGAACAGTGAGTTTCGTTGGCTGTTCTTTGCCCTCCCCCTTCCTTGTCAAGCAAGAGATTTTTAAATTCTTCCTAACTCAAAGTTCTGTCTCCCATCTGTGGCCCTTTGGACTGTTGTCGGACTCCAACTCCCATCAGCCCCTGCAACCTGCATGGGAAGTGGTCAGGCACAAATAGAGTTGAAGTCCAACAACATATGGAGGAACAAAGCAGTGGCTGCCCCTGCCTAGAGAGCCACTGCCGGTCATTGTAGGCAATCCTGAGCTAGATGTATTATTTAGAATTTATATACTTCTCAGTTTAAAAATCAAATAAGCAGTTAACCATTAGCCAACCAGAGTATATTGAGAAGCAAAGCGGATAGTAAACCTCATCTTGATTTAACTGTTGCAACAGGGTCCCCACTCACCACACGCAGGAGGGAGGAGAGAACCCTGAACAATGGTATGCAAGCCCTTACATAGACTTTTGAAACTGCCCACCCTGTAGCTCAAGACCATCGCCCCCAACATGCATACATTACAAAAGGAGGCAGTCTACAGCAGTAATCCTGTCTGCCAGGATACCTGATAATGGTCACTGATTGCATTACTTGGGCAGTCTGGCCATTCTTTTGTTATGGTTAATAGTTTAGTTCCTGAGTCCTATGTCTCACCCTGTTCATACACAAATAGGCCCTTAAGGCAGGATTTGCAAGCAAAAGACAATGGGAAGGCTTTCCCATTTCCTTCCTCCTTGCAGAGAAATATTTGAGGTCAATTTGAGAGAGTAAAAATGGCTTCAGGATTGCTCTTCTGTACTTTTGCAGACACATGGTTTATATACTTATGTATGTGTTTGCCTTGTACATTTATGAACATTTAATTTATATTTGAGACCTTAGAATTCTTATAATATATAGAGGTGGAAGGGACTAAGAGGGTCCTCTAGTGCAGGGGTCAGCAACCTTTTTCAGCCATGGGCCGGTCTACCGTCCCTCAGACCATGTGGTGGGCCAGAATATATTTTTGGGGGAAAAATGAATGAATTCCTATGCCCCACAAATAACCCGGAGATGCATTTTAAATAAAAGGACACATTCTACTCATGTAAAAACATGCTAATTCCTGGATTATCCACGGGCCGGATTGAGAAGGCGATTGGGCCGCATCTGGCCCCTGGGCCTTAGGTTGCCTACCCCTGCTCTAGTGCAGCCCCCCCTGCAAGGCAGGACTCACAGCCCAGTTATCACAATATGCAGAGGCAATGATATCTCCCAGTTCCCAAATCCACTCACCTTCTCAATTTTGCCCTTCCCCAGGCGGCCTCTGGCACAGCAGTCTTATCGACCGGAATCTCATTGATTACTTCGTGCCATTCCTTCCCCTGGAGTACAAGCATGTGAAAATGTGTATCCGGGCAGAGATAGTCTCCCGCGGCAACCCTGTCGACGAGTCAGTGGTCCAGAAGGTGGCCGATGAGATGACTTTCTTTCCAAAGGACGAACGGATCTACTCCACCAAGGGGTGCAAGACTGTACAGACCAAGTTGGACTTGGTGGATATTTGATTTTTTTTTTAATGCCATTAAACCAGAAAGAGGAGGATGGTGAAGGGTTTCTTAAATCTGTTATCCTCTCTTTCTCCAAAGCACTTTTTAAACTTTTTTTTTTAAAAAATGAAAGGAAAACTCTGGGTGTGCACTTTTAAAAATATTGTGTGGGGCTCTTAGGAGCTGTTGGCTTTTTGTGGTCACACCTTAGGCATTTCCTCTCGCAATGTGCCACCAAGGAAACAGGTACCACTCTTGGCTTTAGGTAGAAATCACAAGTGTAAGACCAGGAGGGCAAACTTGTGGACCACCAGATATTGATGGAGTACATCAGGTGTAGGGAACCTTTGGCCCTGCAGGTGTTGCTGAACTACAACTCCCATCATCCCTGGCTACTGGCCCTGCTTGTTGGGTACCGATGGGAGTTGTAGTTCAGCAACAACTGGAGGGCTGAAAGGTCTTCACACCTGGTTTGTAGCTCCCTGACTGTTCACCATGGTGCCTGCTTCAAGCCTCAGTAACAACTGGAGATCCACAGGTTGCCCACCCATGATGTAAGACAAGCCCACAACTATGGACCATAAAGCATTAGCGTTCAACAGCTGGGATTTGCTAGGAGTGACTTTGCCTCTCCTCTCCGCATTCCTCTAGACCAGTGTTTCTCAAACTTAGGTCCCCAGATGATGTTGGACTACAACTCCCATAATCCTTAGCTGGCAGAACTAGTGGACGGGGATGATGGATGTTGTAGTTCAACATCAGCCGGGGACACAGATTTGAGAAACACTGCTCTAGACTATGACACTCGGTCTGAAATGAAGGATGGCTAATGCTGTTGTGGCATCCGTACCTGCTCCCAGGTGTCATTTTGGGAATTTCAGCTCATGGGGTCATCGGGAAGCAGAGTGCTTTTCTCCATCTGTTGGCTAAAGCATTGCAAATTGTGCAAGGGCATTTTCCTAGGGAAGTTATTTAGTGTGCAGGTAACCAGTGGCATGGCCAGCTCTCCCTATGGATGGAAGAAAAGGTGGGGTCCTCTCTGTATATGGGACTCTAAAGCTGATCCACCTTCGGCTGTAACAATGCAGTTAGGTATCACATTGAGCTTAGGGAAACTGGCTATAATAGGCCATGAATTTGTGTGTCTTTGCCCCTTAAATCTTGACAGTCATCCTTCCAGGAACAAAACACTGTCCCTAAAGGAGTGGGGAGTGTTGTGTGTGTGTATAATTTGCCTGTTGATGGGCTGGAACATTACCCTAGAGTTTTTGACAAGGTTTGCAGCTTTGGTATAAGTCTGAAAGGGGATTTAACCTTGGGTTCACTGTTACACATAGCCTGATTGGTTTGTTCTTCCCCAAACCAGTATGCCTTCCCGCCCAATGATGTTGGATTCCCAGTTCCAATCAGCGCACCCACACCCCAGCAAGTGTGGCCAGGAGTCAGGGATGATGGGAGTTGTAGTCCCCAGCTGTAACTTCTGGAGGACACCAGGGTCAGGCAGCCTGGTTTAAATCAAGGAGGACTAGAACCCTTCCTCTCCAAATAATGCCTCTCACTCATCCTACCTGTATATATTTTTAATGGAAATTAAGGAACATATTTTTAAAAGTATCTCTTATCCCTCTATCCTTCAAAATGGTGATAAAATTTTTATTAAAGTTACAGAGATTTGGGTATGGTGGGGAGCACTGGGTCAATTAACTGCCCCCCATAAATATGTTTAGCACTATTTGCCAACCTGGGGCCCTTTAGATGCTTGACTAGGGGTGATGGAAGTTGTGGTCCGAAACATTTGGAGGGCCACAGGATGGTGAAGGCTATTGTAAGGCTTAATTAAGCAGCATTTATTTAAAGGAATGAGAACATGAATGTGTGAAATGCAATTGGGATGTGTATGTGCGCCACAGCAAACAAGTAACTCCAGATGCATCTGAACAGATAGAATAGGCTACTCTGCAACTTCCTGTTTGATGGAGTTTTAGGAAAAGTAGATCCGTTGAAATTAACTGTGATTCAAGTTGGTCCTTTTCATTTCAATGGGTCTGTTCTTGAGTGTGACTGATATCAGCTATAACCCTGTGTGTGGCTGTAGAGAGAATCCTGTTTAAGCAGGAGCTGCCAACTGAGCTCTGTTCTGGGTGTAGCGGTACAATAAAAGTCCGCTGAGCATTAGGGCAAATCGCTTAGGTTCCTGCTGCGGTAAAAAGTCGCTGCAAGGTACTAGGCATGAAAGAGGTTGGTTGCATAGTCCCTATTCTCCTATAGCCTGGACACCATCTCATCAGATATTTTGCCAAGAGACAGAAGTGTGCTGGTTGAGTGTGTACTCACTTTATCTCACCATGAGGTTATGATGTTCCTTCTCATTCTTCACGGGGTTGCCCCACAGCCCTGTGGTGAAATACAATGACTTCTTCGCCACTTGGGAATGCAACGGCCAGAAAAATCACCAAAGGATAAATTGGCAGTCTCACAATACAAGTTCAGAGTGTGAGGTTTGATTCTGTGTTTCCCCTTTTAAGAATCCAGAGGAACAGCTCATATGTGGCTGAGAAAGGAGATCAGAATCAGTGGTTATGAAAAAATTGAAACTTCTAATTCATTTTAAAGATGGGCAGTGTGGGCTACGTTTTGTAACTTCTATGGAGTGATTGTAGGTCAGTCGCTGCTATCTATATTAAATCTTGGTCAAAAGTACCATAAAACAGGTCTCTTGCCTTTCCTTATTTGCTCAGGTGTTCAAAACTGCAGCAGTTATGATACCCTAGATACAAGAGTAAGCTTCAACTGCCACAAGCTGCTGTCGTAAAAGGTTTTCATCTGCGTTCTCCTGTTGTCTTTCTGCCTCCTTAATCCTCCCTGTGGTTTTGTTCATTGTCCAGGGAGCCTGATTTGTCAAAAAAGCCACTTTCTAGGAGATGAGAAACTTCATTGAAAGTTCATTGAAAGACCAGACCAACCAGATGACCCCAACAGCAGCACTCCTCCCCCCACCCCGCATTTGTAATACCCAGCAACTGGCATTCAGAGGCAAAATGTGCCTCCAACAATGAGGAGAGAATGCAGCCATATCTGGTCAAATTATGCTGGCAATGCTTTTTGCTTATTTGCATGGCAGGGAATGGGGTGTTGCTAGTAAAAGTATCCTACTGTACAATTAGTGTCATTTACATTAACTTGCTCTCCCACCAGCAGCATTTTACAACACCGCCCCCCCAAAAGGGAAAGTGGTCCATGGTCTGTGAAAAAGGTTACTTGCTCCTGTTTTAAATCAATAGATGCAGGACAAAGAGACATTTGACCAATTATTTTACAATTTTATTTAAAAAATCAGTTGCAGGAGGGCATAATCGGGTATTTCTAAATCAAAAAAATCACAAAGCTGCAGTCTTTTCCCAACAGCACCTAGTTCAATTTGCTCCATGTCTTTTGGCTGGTTCTGGGTTCAAGGAAGACCAATAAGAGCACAATCCTCTGTGCGCACTTAGAATCAAGTCCCCCTGAGTTCGACCTCCTCCCACCACAGAATATGCCTGCCTGATGCCTAAGTGATGTGTTGCAATTAAAATCGGTTTGAAGAAGTTGGTTGTGACAAACTCTTTCACATGTAGTTCACAGCAAGGAAGTTTCACCATCTCCCCACCCTGCAAACACACTTTGTTCAGTTCTTCACTCCTACAGAGGCTTTTTTAAAAAATGGGAGTGGGAGTTGGGTAGAAGGAAGGGACAGGGGACTTTCTTAACTAATCTAAGCTTGATTTCAAGAGGACCAAAATGCAATTGACTTTATGTGGGCTTAATCCAATGCCTCAGTTGACACATTGGTTTTTTTACTAATGGTTGCTTAAAACAATAATTTGAACTTCTCGGCTGGCAAAGTATGTTACAGTGATACTGCCCTGCTACTCAATCTTGTTTCTACATTATAGCAGTTGCTTTGCAGCCATCACTGTGACAGCTGTTACCCCTGGGTTTGTCCTGCCAAGCCATAGTGAAAAGTGTCCCTGTCCATGGTTTGGTGAGTAATGTGCAAAAGTGAGCCATGAAGAAGAATTTCTTCACAAATGCACAGACTTGACACAAAAATGCCCAGTTAAGGGCAGCTGTTAACTTTGCTATACCGAACAGATTCCTCCAGGAGAATTTTCTTGGGATGTGTGCCAACAGCGGGACATGACCAAACTCAAAAGTGTGTGTGGCAATCTCTATATTTTTCTCTCTTCCACACTCCTTCCTGCCACCAATGTGAAATTAGGCCTCAGGCTGACTGCCTGTGAGCTAGATGCTGCCAAGTGTTGAAATGAGGACCTCTTGGCACAAATTGCATAATCCAGCAGCAGCACTTGTGCTTTTCGTAAGATGCACTCACCCTTTGACAAGTGCCTTTTTAACATTAGATGCACTGGCTTTTCTTGAAGCTAGGCTGGAAAAGTAAAAAGATACACAGAGAGCTTTCAGAAGATAATGCTGAGAACTTGGGAGTTGTGTTCAGTAAGATCGAGAAAAGCTGTTTTCCTTCTGCCCTACGTGAGCTTTGATTTATCAACTGCTCTTCTCCAGCACAAGATGGCTTTATTGGGATGAAAATCCAACACGGCTTCCCCCACCACTCAAAATCAGCCCCTGGAAAGCTGTCACAACCCATAAAACAGCAGGAGTGGAAGTTGTCCCACCTGTACTTTAAATCATCCTGGAAACCCCTGTTTTTGCCTCAGTGGTGCCAAGAGAAGTGGGAATTAAGGCAGGTAAAAAAACAACAACCCCTCTTTTCCTGTTAGTGCCACCAGTGACTACTACATACTCCCTTTTGATGGAGAGTGCTATTTTCAAAAAGCCCTTCTGAATTTGTCATATTTGTTTACATATAAATTAGTCTGAATATCAAAATCTCTCACAACCCCCTGCATTCTGAGATTTAAGGCAGTGGTTTATAAGGTTTTGAGGGTCGGGAATCTTTTGTGTCACACCTTGCAGATTGCAAAGGATTCTGGGAGTGGCCTAGAGGGCCACATCTGCTGACAGGGCAGTGGGTAAGTTTGTTACACTCCTCACATGTATAAGGGCGCAAATATTCTGCTGCTGAATGGAGATGGGGGCCAAGATGGAAGCCAGTCTGACCCCCACAAGTATTCCCTCATTGAGGTTTTTCCACCCATACTGGCCAATTTGTTGATTAACTGCCCCGCCCCCCAAACACTTTCAAAGAACAGAAAGCTACCCCTGCAAACAGTTTGAAAATACCATGTTACATAGCTCTCTCTGCCGCTACTACTGAAACCATTCAAGAAAGAGTTGGCGCTCATGGAAAGCTAAACGTCTTTTCCTAAGCTGCCTCAAGAACATTCCTTCATTCCTTGGGAGAAGTCATAATTTTTAAGAAAATTGGAAGGTGGTTCCAACATCAGAGATCTCATTAGAACTCAGTCGCAGACATAGTCACTCTCTAGAATACTGGTCCATAAAGCAGATGTGGAAAAATTCAGGTGGTTTTCACAGGGCAGGCATCAGTAAAAGATGCTCTGGAGTGGACCAAAACAAGGCCACAAGACTGAGTAATTTGTAGGATCAGGTTCGTCATTCCTTCCACTCTGAGAAACTATTGAGCTGTCTCCTCTCTTTACATAATTTAAAATCTTTTTTAAAAAGAAAAAAAAAGATTCAGTTTCTCAAAGTTCTGTGATTGGGTTCATTTTCTTCGAAAATCAGGTAATCATAAATATATGCATTACAGGTAGAAATCCAGCTTTGTACAAACAGTCTTGCATCCCTTATCAGAGTAGATCCGTTCTTCTTTTGGGAAGTAAGTCATCTCGTCGGCGACTTGGGTCACAATGTCCTCATCCACCTCATAGTCGCGGGATTCAAGCTCGACCCGAATGCACATTTTCACATGCTTGTACTCCAGAGGCAGGAAGGGTACAAAATAATCAATGAGGTGTTTGTCGATCAGGCTGCTGTGCCAAAAGCCACCTGCAAAGGAAGGTAGCAATCTTGTTTGGTATGGGGTGGGGAAATATTTTTCTTTCTTTCATATATTAATTTTCTTTTTGATTTTATCATTTTGTCCAGAATAGCTCAAGGTATAAATACAATAAAATAAAGCCCAATACAGTACACTCCATGCCCCAAATACAATAACTTAAGCTTGGTGAGGGACTAAACACATAGTACAGGAAATTATGGCCAAAATCATAACATCATCATAATCAGGCTCATGGGCCACTTAGTCCAGCATCCTGTTCTCACAGTAGCCAACCAGATGCCCCAACATAAAACCCTCAAGCAGTACCCAAGCAGTACCCAAGTCTCCCCTCCTGCGGTTTCCAGCAAGTGCTATTCAGAGGCATTTTCTGCCTTCAGTCATGGAGGCAGAACATATGTAGCAAGTAGGCTAGCCCTCTCCTCTGTGAATTTGTTTAATCCCCTCTTAAAGCCAATCTATGTTGGTGGCCATCACTGCTTCCTGCAAGTTCCATAGTTTTAACTATGTGCTGAACCACAAACGGTTTGGTAAAAAGCCAAACAATAACAATTTTGTGTTACTAGAGGTTTCATTTGCGCTACTTGCTGAGCTGGGATGTTCTTCATGTAATCAATGGAGACTTTTTTAGTCGGGGGGGGGGGCACATTCCCACTTGGGCAACCTTCCAGGGGCCACATGCCAGTGGAGGGCAAGACCAGAAGTAAAAGTAGGCAGAGCCAATGGAGGAACAATGGATGGGATTATTAACTTTCGTACATGCTAGTTTCACCAAACAAAAGCCAGGTTCACACACCCCAAGGTGCTGCATACTCTTGAGTACCCCCAGAAAAAAGCACTGCACTTTCATCAAGGTAAGTAAGAGTCACTTCTCAAGGAAAGATTCCAGGCAGCCAAAAGTAGCTCAAAATAGCCACAGGGTTAAGCTGGGTGGGGGGAAGCGAGCTTGGGAAGCCTTCTGAGGGCCAGAGACGGGGCCCGAGAGCCTCATTTGGTCCCCAGGCCTACAGATTCCCACCCCTGTGTTAGGCAGCATTGATTTATCTTATTTGCATGCTGCTAATTCACACAAGGTAACATGGCAGCATACAGCAGCATATACACAGCACCACCTTGTTTTATTTTTTACAAAAGTATGGTTTACAAGTATTTCAATCAATAAAAAAGGACTGCAGGTTTAATATCCCTGATTACTCACTGTTTTTGTTATTGAAAACAGACAAGGTCAGGTCCAGGTCCCGTAAGCTCAGGTCCTCCCTCCTCTTTCCCCTCCTCCAGAAGTCCAGCGCCACCTCGGTGATCTTTTCAGCCCCTGCATTACTGAAGTGAGAAAGGAAGGCATTTTTCAACAAGTGCCAGCTTTTAAAACCTTCCTTGCAAAATTTGCACCAGTTGCCAGTTTGCTACAAGCCCAAGTTCAAGATACTAGTACAGTGGTACCTCTGGTTGCGAACGGGATCCGTTCCGGAGTCCCATTTGCAACATGAGCAGAACGCAAGCCGCGTCGGCGCATGACGTCATTTTGCATGTCTGCGCATGTGCGAGCGGCGAATCCCGGAAGTAACCCTTTCCGGTACTTCTGTGTCACCACGGGATGCAACCTGAAAAAACGTATCATGAAGCAAACGCAACACGAGGTATGACTGTACTGATATGTAAATCCCTATACAACTTAGGACCATGTTAACTAACAGCAGCCTGCTGGATCAGGACAATGGTCATCAAGTCCAGCATCCTGCTCTCACAGTGGCCAACCAGATGCCTGTGGGAGTCCCACAAGTAGCATTACCGGCTCCAACTGTGAAGACACAGCATAACCATCATGGCTGGTAGTCATTGATAGCCCTCTCCTCCATAAAGCTGTCTAATTCTCTTTTAAAGCTATATAGATTGGTGGCTACCACTCAAGGTTAGTTGAGAGAACACCTTATCCCTTACATGCCCTGTAGATCCCTGTGGTGAAGTGTCTCCTGCAAGTTCCAGAGATCTCAGAAGCCCATTCTGTAATAACTTGGAACAGGGCCTTCTGTGTGGCTGCCCCAGTTTTGCAGATATGGCAGGTACCCACCACCTGCACTTTCTGAAAACAATTGAAGACATATTTGTTCTGACAAACTTTCCCAGCTGGATAAATGGATCTTTACTATGAGTGCCCAGTGCTTAAAGTCTTTTTATTTGTTTTAAATGTATTAGCTGCTTTTCTGTCTTTTAACTGTTTTTGATTACCTACTGTGTAAATTGCCTTGAAATGGCCATTTAGAAAGCAATTAGTAAATTAATGATAGTAGAGCAAGAAGCTAAGCTGGAAGAAGAAAATTCCCTGCCACCAGATGATCAATAATTTAATGCCTTAAGCTATGGTGATGAAATCTTTCTTCTGGACGTATCCCAAAGATGGAGACGAGAGCTTTTAGCGCCAGCTCCTAAATTTAGATGTACTTTTGCAGCTTCACATCTAGGCTTGTTCCTAACCTGAGGAAGATGAAGATAGCTTTCCGGTAAGACACACCGTCCAGCTCCTCGTAGTAGTCCAGGAAAGGCTTGATGGAGTCGATGAGGCCAGCATGCATCTTGTCCATCTCGTCAAATATGAAGACGGATCTTGGGCAGCTGCTCACATTGCCCCGGATCCACATCTGCAACTGGTCCTTGTTATTTAAAAAGAACATGTTCTGTTTATTGACAGTATTTCAGACAAAGAGACACATACCCTTCCAGGCAACCTCCTGGGGGCCTCATGCATGTGATAGGCAAGGGCCAGAAGCAAGAGTGAGCAATTAATGCACATTGTACTTTTGTAGGGTAGGCTAGTTCCTAGTTCCTGCTCCCCTCTCTGTTCTCCATCTAGGCCAGCACTTTCAGGGTTCAAGGACATGTTGCAGCCCTTCTCCAGAACCACAGCTGTAAGGAAATAGTTACATCTAGTCTTAAGATGCAATCAGTCTTTTTACCTTGTACTGGGAAATGTTCTGCTGATGAGGAAAATGCAGAGTGGATACAAACTGATGTACAAATTTGCTGTTGAGGCCTCCTTCAAAAAGGCTCTCCACAATTATCCTACTAGCAAAGTTTTTGCCAGTCCCAGTCCAGCCATGTAAGGAGAGTGTCAAAGGCTTCTTCGGGTTTGGATTATTCAAAAATCCAGTAAGCGATTTCACAATCACCTTCTTCGCCAGATGCTGCCCAAAGAGTTGGTCATCCAAACCCTCTTGAAGCACTGGGGGGAATAAAAGGAGTAACTGATTAAAAGAGCATTTTGGAAATCTGAAGTCCTTCTGTGCAAGCATATAATTTTTAGCCTGGCAAAGATTAGTGTGAGGAACCTAACCTGTATGCAAAAGCACTACTCCAGTAAGCCACGAAGTAAGAAGAAGAATAGAATTCTATTGCTGGAAGTGGCCCTAAGGGTTATCTAGCCCAAGCCCCTTAAAATTCCCTGAGAACGGCTCGGCTTCTTGATTTGTGAGCAGAATCACAAATTCTTGGCTCTTTCAACCTTCATATCCAGTCGTTAGTGGGGGCAGGGGTTCCGTGGTCAAAGTGCCTAACGGAGCAAATAAAAAAGGAGGGAAAAGGATACCCACAGCTTAGTAATAAAGCAGGCAATGCTCATGCAGAAGGTCCAAGGTTCAATCCTCAATGACATTTCCAGGCAGGGCTGGGAAAGATCCCTGTCCGAAATCCTGGAGAGAGATGCTGCCTGTTGGTGTGAGCAATACCGAGCTGTATGGACCAAAGGTTCTCCTTCCCTGACAACTGCACACTCTTTCCTTTCATCTTCTTCCTGTGATGTCACAGCAGTCACCTCTAGAGCCACAGAAACATTTAGGCGGACCCTGCACTGCCACTCCCCACCCCTTCCCTGACACCAGTGGGAGCGTCTGGTTTCCACCTTCCTTCTCTGATGTCAGAGCATGCACACCACTCACCTTTGAGCAGAGCTCACCCCACCTGGGCTGCCGCACTCTGACGTCACAGAACCCGAACGCGAAATTCTCCCCCCCCGCCCCCCCCAGCTTACCTGTCCCGCTGCGGGCGCCAGGCTTGTGGAGGCAGCAGTGGGCGAAGTAGCAGTAGAGTTTCGGGTAGGAGATGATTCCTGTGAGGGCGGAGGCAGCGGCGCCGGCTATGGCCAAGCCCAGGCTGATGGGCTCCACCGCCTGGGCGGTCGCGCTCAGCTGCCACAGCAGCACGGCGGCGCCCAGCACGAAACGCCTCCCCGCCCGGCGCGGGGGAAGGAGCTTCATCGCCGCCGCCGCCGGAGGACGAGGAGCGGGGCCCGGGAGGAGCAGGACCCCGCTGCTTCCCCGCTGCCCAGTTTGCCTCAGAGCTGGCACTTCCGGTTCCTGGAAAAGCAGGGGAGTTAAATTTCCGGCTCCGTGGGCGCCATCGTGGTGCCGGGCAGGAGCAAGGGCAAGGGCAAATGATTGGCGGAACGCAGAGCCAGTGGGAAGCTGTGGAGAGAGTATCACGTGGGTTCGGCTTTCTCCCTCCGCCTCCTTCTTCCTCTAAAAGGACTGCAGGGCTGTCTTCGTTGTTATTGTCGACAGTTAATTCGCCACGTGGGTTACTCTGAAGCAAGACCCATGCTCTTTGCATTTTTTAATTTTTTTTATTTCTGCTACTTTGCATGTCTGCTGAGAAAGGTAACTGAAGGGTGAAAAGCTAGTTTAAATATCTTTTCCATTTCATTATGTATCATTTCCCAAAAGCCTTTAGCTTTTTCGTATTTTTTTTCATATGTATTTTTTCGTATGTCCACATCATATGAAAAAACGTCCCTTCATTATGTTTACACTTCCAGCATTTATTTGATACAGGATTGCACATATTTGCCAATTTATTTGGCGTTAATACCATTTTCCTATCATTTTCCTTTAAAATAAAACAGGCTGTAAATTTCATATCCACTTGCCACAGTTTTTCCCATGAGACCATGTCAATAAAAGGTAAAGGTTGACAATTAGGTCCAGTCTCGGACGACTCTGGGGTTGCGGTGCTCCTCTTGCTTTATTGGCCGAGGGAGCCGGCGTACAACTTCCGGGTCATGTGGCCAGCATGACTAAGCTGCTTCTGGTGAACCAGAGCAGCGCACGGAAACGCCGTTTACCTTCCCGCCGGAGCGGTACCTATTTATCTACTTGCACTTTGACATGCTTTCAAACTGCTAGGTTGGCAGGAGCAGGGACGCCAACCTTCTGATTGGCAAGCCCTAGGCTCTGTGGTTTAGACCACAGCGCCACCCATGTCGCTGAAATCTGCTTTTTAACATTTACATTGGTTTTCTATTATCATACTATATTATGGAAAACTTTAATTAAAAAAGAGTTCTGCAAAAAAAGGAAACAAATCCCTCTCTGTCCCCCACCCATAGGCACTGTCAGAGTTCAAAGACACATTTCAGCCATGCAGGGCTTTTGAGTGCTGAGTAGAAAACCCCACCCCCAAATAACAACAGATCCCACAGAGGCAAAATAAATATGATCTGGCAATTCTAATGTTTGTCCAGCAGAGGGCAATAGATTCACAGCATTTCATCCTGGTTCGTAAAAACCCCCAAAACTTTTTTCCTGTACAATACAGCAGACTTGAGTGATTAGATTGCAAAACTTGATTCCTATTTAGAATCATCGAGGTTACCCTGCTATGTAGGAAATCCCCATACACTCTTTCAATAATGCTAGAACTTGTGTCACCCAATGATTGTCAGGAGGTTCTGGTCAGAAAAAAGGAAGGCTTGTCTTCACACGACCTATAATTAGAAACCAAGGAAGGTGTTTTATTTATTTATGCCACTGAGCTATAGTCCTAAAAAATATGCTGTCATATATTGAGTCAGATTCTTGGCCCATTCAGCTCAATACTGTCTACACTGACTGGCAGAGGTTCTTCAGGGTTTTGGGAAGGGGACATTATCAGCCCTGTCAATACTAACATGGGACAAGGGTCTAACTCATAATAAAACAGCTTGTTGTGTTTTTGTTTCTGAACTGGGATAGCTCAGTTGGTAGAGCATAAGCCTCTTCATCTCAGGGTTGTGAGTTCGTGCCCCACGTTGCATAAAAGATTCCTGTATGGCGGGGGTTCGAATACATGAACCCCAAGATCCCTTCAAACTCTACAATTCTATGATTCTAAGATTAATACTACTTGCTTTCCATTAGCAAAAAAGGCAGGGCTCACGACTGGCTGGTTGTAATGGATGATACTGACCCCCTAGAGAACGGTATGATAATTTAAAACACATATTCAAGGCTACTAACAAATCAGAAACTTCAGGCAATATTTAAAAACATGTCACATTCCCCATTCTGAATGGCAATCGCAAAATCAAAATGTTAACAAAAGCCGAATGCAGTAATAATGTCTAAAAGGAGTATTGAAACTCAAAACACTGTCAGAAATGGACCAGAAGCCTTTGAAAACAGCTACTTCTTCAAACACACATCACTAAAAACAACAGAGTGACCTCAACTAGGGTCAAGGGACCAAGAGTAGGGCCTCATCTGAAAACCGGAGCATGCCAGAACTACTACTTAACAATTGGTGCCTGGGGTTGCTTCCGTCTCTCCCTTTTTCCTTGTGTGTCATGTCTTTCTGATTGTAATCCTGTGGGTGTAGGCTGTCTCCTTGTAATTTTAATGTGTGCCTCCAACACCTGGCTTGAGAGCTGTACATGTGAAAAGGATCTAGGAGTCTTGGTTGACCACAAACTTGACATGAGCCAACAGTGTGACGCGGCAGCTAAAAAAGCCAATGCAATTCTGGGCTGCATCAATAGGAGTATAGCATCTAGATCAAGGGAAGTAATAGTGCCACTGTATTCTGCTCTGGTCAGACCTCACCTGGAGTACTGTGTCCAGTTCTGGGCACCACAGTTCAAGAAGGACACTGACAAACTGGAGCGTGTCCAGAGGAGGGCAACCAAAATGGTCAAAGGCCTGGAAACGATGCCTTATGAGGAGCGGCTAAGGGAGCTGGGCATGTTTAGCCTGGAGAAGAGGGAGGTTAAGGGGTGATATGATAGCCATGTTCAAATATATAAAAGGATGTCACATAGAGGAGGGAGAAAGGTTGTTTTCTGCTGCTCCAGAGAAGCGGACACGGAGCAATGGATCCAAACTACAAGAAAGAAGATTCCAGCTAAACATTAGGAAGAACTTCCTGACAGTAAGAGCTGTTCGACAGTGGAATTTGCTGCCAAGGAGTGTGGTGGAGTCTCCTTCTTTGGAGGTCTTTAAGCAGAGGCTTGACAACCATATGTCAGGGGTGCTTTGATGGTGTTTCCTGCTTGGCAGGGGGTTGGACTCGATGGCCCTTGTGGTCTCTTCCAACTCTATGATTCTATGATTCTTCCCAAATCCTTTCTGATTGCACAATGTAACTTTAAAAGGTTCCCCTATATTTGTTCTATCTCTTCATTTTGTGTCTGAAGTGGAACTGATTGATCTCTATTCAGCCTTGTTCAGACCCCCCCAAAAGTCCTGTGTGTCTAGTTCTGGACACCACCATTTAAGAAGGATATAAACAAGCTGGAATGTGTGCAGAGAATTCCAACAGAGACGATCAGAGGTCTGGAAACCAAGCCTTATGAGGAATGGTTGAAGGAGTTGGGTATGTCTAGCCTTGAAAAGAGGAGACAGAGGAGATATGATAACCATCTTCAAATATCTGAAGGGCTGTCATCTGGAAAATGGAGCAAGCTTCTTTTCTGCTGCTCTGGAGCATAGAACACGAACCAGTGGATTCAAATGACAAGAAAGGAGATTCTGTCTAAACATTAGGAAGAACTTTTTGATGGTGAGAGCTGTTCAACAGCGGAACGGACTCCCTTGGAAGGTGGTAGACTCTCCTTCCTTGGAGGTTTTTCAAGAGAGGTTGGGCAGCCACCTGTCAGGAATTCTTCAGCTGTGATTCCTGTAAGGGGTGGACTAAATGATCCTTGGGGTCTCTCCGAAATCCATAATACAGTGGTACCTCCGGTTAAGAACTTAATTCGTTCCAGAGGTCCGTTCTTAACCTGAAATTGTTCTTAACCTGAAGCACCTCTTTAGCTAATGAGGCCTCCAGCTGCCGCCGCACCGCAGGAGCACGATTTCTGTCCTCATCCTGATTCTCATTCCTCATCCTCATTCTTAACCCGAGGTAATATTTCTGGGTTAGTGGAGTCTGTAACCTGAAGCGTATGGAACCTGAAGTGTATGTAACCCGAGGGACCACTGTACTGTGATGTCCCTGACCAATGAAGGAGCCTGAAGCAGAAGAGGTGAAAAATGCAGAAAATATTCTTTTTTTGGGGGGGGGGGGAGCAGCGGGAGGAAGGGGCATATAAGCCAGTGGTGTTGGCCTGTCCTACAAAAGAGGGGACAACGCTACCACTGGCAGAACAAGTAAGCAAAGATATAGCATAAACCTCCCAGACTAAGAAATCTTTGTCCAGGTCCTTACAGGAGTTGGAAATGAATGGCAATGAATGATGAGGTGTCCCAAAGCTCAGGTAGGGAGGCTTAATGGACTATGAAAACAGTAGAGCGGTCTCGTTTCAGGTTTCTAATAAAAAAAGTATAAGCCTAAGCAAAACTTATACCTGCTCACGTAAGTTGTGCTGGAAACAAAAGAGGAGCAGATCCCCCCCCCCCAAACCAACCACACAAGACTCCCTTCACTCCGTATTTGCCCAGAAAGTATTGAAATACTTGGCTTTAATAGGGCACTTTCCTGCCCATGACCTGCAGTTTCCTGAGATGCAGAGTCAACTCTGTTGGGAAGTGCCAGCTGCTACTGGTATTATGCAACATTTTAGCGGGATAGAATATCATAGTGCATACGGGTACAGTGGGAAATTTTAGGGGCTAAATGTATCACCAGGTTTGTGCGTCTGGATCAACATGGTCTGGGTCATAAGATGTCTTTGTTCAGATTGTGTTCAAAGGTGGACTTGCCTAGCAGTTTCCCAAACAAAGTCCTTTGTGTAGTGTGCATTGTTAAACTATGGAACTCACTTCTGCAGGAGGCAATGACTGACAACCAGCAACCTAGGTGGCCTTAAAAGACGACCGGACAAATCCATGGGGGATAAGGCTACTAGGCATGGTGACCATTCTCTGCCTCAAGGATCAGAGGCAGGAATGTTAATAATAATAATAATAATAATAATAATAATAATAATAATTTATTTATACCCCGCCCATCTGGCTGGGCTTCCCCAGCCACTCTGGGCGGCTTCCAGAAAATATTAAAATACTGTAATACATCAAACATTAAAAGCTTCCCTAAACAGGGCTGCCTTCAGATGTCTTCTAAAAGTCTGGTAGTTGTTTTTCTCTTTTTCTCTTTGACATCTGGTGGGAGGGCGTTCCACAGGGCGGGTGCCACTACTGAGAAGGCCCTCTGCCTGGTTCCCTGTAAGTTGGCTTCTTGCAGCGAGGGAACCGCCAGAAGGCCCTCGGCACTGGACCTCAGTGTCCGGGCAGAATGATGGGGGTGGAGACGCTCCCTCAGATATACTGGACTGAGGCCGTTTCTGAATACTGGTTGCTGGAAACTGCAGGAAGAGAGAGGGCTCTTGCATTCAGGTCCTGCTTGTGGTCTTCCCCTATTCAGGGCATCTGGATGGTACACTTTGAGAACAGGATGCTGGCTAGTGGCCTGATCGAACAGGCTCTTCTTTTTTTAAAGACAGACTGGAGAGAGTTGCAGGAGTTGGGAGATGCTGTGGCCAAGTCTGGGAAGCCTTCCAGGGCCCTTTCAGGCCACGGAACAAGTCGAGAAGCCACCCGTCCCCCCCATCCTCCCCCCTTGCCTGTTGTTTATTACAGCCCAGGTCCTCTAAGAGCCTTGCCTCTTGCCAGACCTTTGCCGAGGAATGTTAACACTTTTCTGCCTTCCTGTGGCTTATTCCTCAAGGCCTTTCAGCAAGTTGGCTCCTTCTCTCTGCCTGTTTCTGCTCTTAATTCCACCAGCCCTGATTGTGTTTTATGTTCCCTTTCATCGGCGGGTCAGATTGAAAGTTAAGATGTGTCAGGGCGAATAATAATAATAAAAACCCCCACTCCTTTCCAGGGTCCCTAAGGTCAGCTTCCTAGGCATACTCTTGCCTTCGTCACCACTCCATGGGGTGTCTTGGAGATACAGAGCGGCTCTCTGGCCTGACCTTTAAGCCCGCCTGGGATGGAGAGCCGGCTGCCAAGTTTTCCACCACTGGCTCTCTCCTCTGCCTTTAATTGCAGCCCAGCAGCGTAACCAGCATTGCCAACGTTTTGTTTCAAGATGATGGGCCCTCCGGCTGGGGCTCATGTTTGGAGCCAGCATCAAAAATAGCAATTATGGGGGCAGACCCATAGCAGAATTTGTCAGGATCCATCCTGGTGCCTTCTCAGTGGAGCTTGATAGATCCTGGGATTTATTTCTTGGGCTTTCGGACCTGGGGCTATATCTGACATTAGTGCTGTTTGAAGACTAGTCACTGTTTGAAGACTATCCCTACCTGACTGGAAGGATACTGGAATCAGCAAGGGAGACCCACTTGACCTGAAGGTGCTGCTGTGCAATGCCAGGTCAATGATTCACAAGACCACTGCCATCCACAACTTGATCGTGGATGGAGGACTTGACCTGGCATGTGTAATAGAGACTTGGTTGGATGAAGCAGATGGGCCTGTCCTTGCCGCTGCTTGTCCACCAGGTTTCTCTTACACACAGCAACCCAGGTCATGTGGGTGGAGAGGGGGGGTTGCAGTGATTTTTATGAAGTCATTAACGTGCACCAGGCGTCCTACTGGGATGACCCAGTTTTCTGAGTGCATGTTCTGGAAGTTGGGCAATAGGGGCAGCACAGGATTCCTATTGGTGTACCGACTTTCCATTGTACCAAGAATTCTGTGCCTGAGCTGCTTCAGGTCGTGCCAGAAGTTTTCCTGGAGACACCTAGTTTGGTTGTCCTAGGGGATTTTAATGTCCATGCCAACATGACCTTACAAGGGGTTGCTTGGGACTTCGTGAAAAGCATGGCCTCCATGGGGCTGTCCCTGAATAAGTTTGGCCCAACTCATAGTCTCAGACATGTCTTAGACCTGGTGTTCACCTCTATGGATTTGGGTGATCTGACACTAAGTAAAAGTGAAACAAAAGAAGTCCCATGGTTGGATCACTTCCTGGTGCAACTGGACTTCTCCGCAACCCTTCCCCTCTGCAGGGAGGTGGGACTGATTTGGATGGTCCGCCCCCTCCATTTAATGGATCCAAATGGTTTCCAGAGGGTAGTAGAGGATGTTTTATCCCATGTTGATGGCCTTTCAGCTGATTCCCTGGTGGCTCAGTGGAATGCAGAGTTAACCAGGGCTCTTTACTGTCTGGCTCCGAAGCGCCCTCTCCAATTGCATGGTGCCTGGACGGCCCTGTGGTTTCCCCTGGAGCTGAGGGCGATGAAACAACCTCCCTCCAGGCGTCAAGGAAATAAACAACTATCTGACTTTTAGAAGACATCTGAAGGCAGCCCTGTTTAGGGAAGTTTTCAATGTCTGATGTTTTAGTATGTTTCGATATATGCTATGAGCCACCCAGTGTGACTGGGGAAACCCAGCTAGATGGGTGGGGTATAAATAATAAAATGATGATGATGATGATGTCCTATCACTTAACTATGACCCTTCCCCTAAAAATAAAGTAAGGTTCTACTCCTCATCGTTTTGAATAAAGAACTGAATTAAATAAAAACATTCTGAATTAATAAATTGGTTAGAGTGCCAGACTAAGACATGGGAGACCGGAGTTCCAATTTCCCACTCAGCCATAAAGTTATTTGGGTTTGACCTTAGGCCAGTTACCCAACCTCTTTCTCAGCCTAGCCTATCCCACAGGGTTGTTGTGAGGATAAAACTGTGTGTGTGTGTGTGTGTGTGTGTGTGTGTGTGTGAAGAGCCACATAATCTCCTTGAGCTCCTTGGAGGAAAGGTAGGGATGTAAATGTAATAAATAAATTAATGAAAATCTATAGCACACACTGTAGATCAAAATAGCTCAAAAAACCTTGCCTGTATGAATGTAAGCAGAGAGGTTGTTCTTTTCTAGCTAGAAGACTGCATTGGATTTTATTATTTCTGGGGCAGCTTGACATTTGCTTCCTGATGTTGCAAGCTATTCTCAACCATGACTTATCTCCCTCCGTTGGCTACCCTTATTCATATACAGTATGCATTGCAAGGGGTGATAATGCTCAGACTTTTTCAGACCTATCATAAATACAGACAGCCCAAGCCCAATGCAATGGCCTACAGGGGAAAGTGGGGGGGGGGAGAATTCAGTCCCAGCTGAAATTTGAGAGTCAGACAGCAGTTTGTTTAACATTCCCCCTTGTTGTTCTTGGAAGGAGCAGGCCATCTTGACAGGTTACCAACGCCAAGAGCAATCGGCGGCGGCGGCGGCAGCAGCAACAGCAGCAGCAGCAGGGTGGGGGGTTGACATCTTGTTTTGTGATGCGCTGCAAGGATGTCAGAATCTGGATGAGGTGGGGTGGGAGTCTCTTCCCACAAAGGCTGGAGGGGTGGGACAGAGCTTTGGGGGTTCCCCTGATGTTTTCGTTTTGGTCGCTTGCAGGATACAGGGCAGACTGCTTTCCCGCTCAGACAAGAAAATATGTTTCCTTTTCTACCCACCCCAAGCACTACAAAATGGCTCAAGGGCCCAGCCATGTGTTTTGAAAGGGCTGCAGAAGGTTTCTGGCTGGCTTTGACCTGCAGGCAGCACTGGGAGTGATCCACCCGCTGGGAGGCCCCAGCTCAACTCTCCAATTGGGGAAAGGTCATAGCTCAGTGGTAGAGCATCTGCTTTGCACATCCTTTTATTTAGCATCATGAGGACTAGAATCTTAACTTTATTTTTTTGACAGGAAATGCCCTAGCTCAATGGTAAAGCACGTGCTTTGCACCCAGAAGGTCCCATCTCCAATCTCTGGCATCTCCAGGTAGGGCTGGTAAAGACTTGTTGCCTGAAATCCTGGTGAGCTGCTGCCAGTCTGTGTAGACAAATCCAATGGTTTGACTCAGAATAAGGCTGTTTCCTATCTCCCTATGCTTCCTGTCTTCCAGCCCTTTATTCAGAACCACGAGGACTGGAATTTTACTGGGTTTTTAAGGGCCACACTCCAGTCGCAGAGCACCTGCTTTGCATGTAAAAGGTTCCACATTCAATCCCTGATAGGGCTGGGAGAGACAGCTCTGTCTGAAATCCTCAAGAACTGCCACTAGTTAGGGTAGACAACAGTAGTGGCTGGTGTGTCTTGGAACTGCTTGGGCAGAAGGCATGGAAGCTGACAGTAGGTGGTGCTAATGAGCAGAACCAACTCATTTTAGTTTTGATCCCATCCTCCTCCCTGTTGAGTTCTTCAAGGGTAATGCTGAAGCTGAGGAGGAGGCGGAGGAGGAGGCGGAGGAGGAGGAGGAGAAGGGAGTTTACTGCCCATGACCCAAGCAAGTGGGAGCTGGTTTAGCAGACCACCTGCTACAGATGTCAGACTTGTGATCTGCAGTGCCTCTCCCTTGCCTGTGCTACTACATTCTCAACCTCCATTCTGCATAGGACATTCCTGTGTGCTTTGTGATTCGTCACAGCTTTCCAGGTGCAATGGGTTGCGCCCATGAGCAGCACAGGTCCTGTTCTTTACTTATTTCAGGGACTCTTTGAAAACCCTGAAAAACCAGATTGAAGCTTTACAGGCCAGTGTCATGCCCTGTGGTGGACCACCTCTTCCTTAAACACATTCCAAGCTCATGGAGCAGCTACCCCAAAAGCTAATGCTGTTCTAGGCTGCATCAACAGCAGTTGAGTTTCCAAATCAAGGGAAGTTCTTGTAACGCTCTAGTCTGCCTTGGTGAGATCCCCGCTGGAGTCCAGTGTCCAGTTCTGGGCAGCTCAGTTTAAGACGGAGATTGACAAGCTGGAATGTGTGCAGAGGAGGGCGACCGATATGGTTCAGGAAGCCAAGCCTTATATATGAGGAACCATTGAGGGAGTTGGGGGTGCTTAGCATGGAGAAGGGAAGGCTAAAAGGTGGTAAAGATATCTTAAAAGCTGTCACATGGAAGATGGAGCAAGCTTGTTTTCCGTTGCTCTGGGAGGGGAGGACCTGAGTCAATGGGTTCAAACGACAAGAAAGGAGTTTCGGACTAAGCACTAGGAACAACGCTCTTTGACAGTAAGAGCCACTCAACAGTGGAATGGACTCTCTCAGAACTCTGTGGTGTACCCAACTTCATTGGAGGTTTTGAAACAGAAGTTGGATGACCATCTGTCAGGAAGTCTTTAGCTTGATTCCTGGCTTTCAGGGGGTGGGACAAATGACCCTTGCGGATCCCTTCCAACTCTACAATTCTATGATTCTATGACTCTGGCACACACACAACCACCAGGATTTCTGATCAGAAGGGGAATTTAAGGCAGCCCTGTAGTTCTGCTTGGTTTCAACTTGGCCTTGCCAGCTTGCTTCCCACACATGGAAAACAGCTCAGAAATTAGCAAGGATTTAAGCTTCTGTTTCTACAAGGCTGAACAGCTGTGGCCAGATCAGAAGATTCAGGGGCTGGGATGTTTTAGGATTGGGCTCAGAGTAGTAGAGTTGTCAGATCAAAAGCATTCCAGACCCTGAGATTTCAGTGCCCAAACTTGACTCTTAAGGGTGGCCCTGGTGATAAGATAGGGGTGGACCCTGCAGAAGGAGGTTAATTGGGAGAGGGGAAGGGAGGAGTGCTGACTGGTGGATGGACAGGCACATCCCTGGGAGGGGGGCTCCTTCTGCGGACTCCCAGGGGAATCAACTTTCAGTTTCATTTTGGCAGGATTTCATTTGGGTTCTGGGATGCTGCTCATCAGGTGATTTGGATTTCTGTTCAAGGAGGGCAGGAAGAAGAAGCAAACAGAGAATATACTTTGGGCTTATTTTTGCATCGTAACACTTAGGGCTAATTTTTACATCACAATAGTTAGGACTTCTTTATGTATCGAGGCTATGTAGGATTGCCAGGTCAGGAGCATCCCAGACCCTGAGATATAAGGGCCCGAACCTGAGATCGAGGGGCTGTCTCTTTGGTGATGTCACAGGAGGAACCCCCCTGGTGATGTCACAGGGGTGGGCCCTAGAGACGAAGGTTAATTGGGAGAAGGTAGTGGAGGAGGGCAGACCTCCCCAGAGTGTCTATGCTATAATTTGCAGCCAGTTCCTGTTAAGCTGAAGTTTGAAAGTTGCAAGCACAAATACTCATCTCTCTCTCTCTCTCTCTCTCTCTCTCTCTCTCTCTGTGTGTGTGTGTGTGTGTGTGTGTAATGATTGAAGGTACACTTGCCCACATGGAAGTTCAAGCCCTCCACCTGCCATCTGGAGAATTCAGATAAGACCTTGAGGTCTGGCAACCCAACATGACAGCAGTGAGGAGGAGATTCCTTTGAGGACCATTTCTCAATTGCTTATCCTTCTCCCACTTGGCTTGCATCTGGTGCTTTTTTGGTTCGTTAAGAAAAATCCAAAGCAAAGCTCACGTCATTGCAATGAGGGTTGGGGAAAGGTTGTTGTAACAGCAGCCCAGCAGGGTGACATCACTGGGCCGCAGGGTCAGGGCTGAGTCGGCTCCAAACGTTTGACTTAACCTGGTCTGACTCCTCCAGACAAGCCGATGATTCATTGCTCTGGTTAATTCCTTCATTTTGGCTGATCTGCTTCATTAGACTACGTTTTGCCTGCCAGATAATTGGTTTGGTGCTTTGACCTCATGTCCATGGATATACAGGCATGCAACTTTTTTAAAAAAGCACACCATAGAAGCCAGTCATTCATTTTTTTAAGTGGGGACTTAGACGGAGGGAGGTTGGACTGCTCCAGTTTGGTGGAAAGGTCCTGGCCTTGTTAAGAACATTTGAACAGTCCTTCTGGACCAGGTCAGTGGCCCATCCGTTAACCTCTCTATGACCATCCACATTGAAAAGCACTCTGTAAATATTGGAAGGAATCCCCACAGAAGTATAGAATGGGTACCGCACCGCAACAGGCAACGGATTTGATTTAACCTATGTGTAATTTCCAATAACCAAGATTATCTCAAAACAGTTCATGAAAACAACCAAAAAATCAAGAAACATGCAACACATCCTGTTGCAAAACATATATACAATAAATAAATGAATCAAAGTGATATAAAGTACAACCCCTCCCCCCACAAATCCTTCCAAAATGCCCATCAGTTGTGCCGGGTAAATGTTAAGAACACTAATAACCCCTGACAGATGGTAGGCCTGTAATGCTGGAACTTGTGGACGTCCAGCGAAGTTGATGTTCAGGACAGATAGAACATTAGATGTTCAGGACAGATAGAAGAGTCAGTCATGTGTTGCAGAGTCAATCATATGATGCAGCAGCGAAAAAGGTGAATGCTATTCTAGTGTCCTGATCAAGGGAAGTAATAGTACTGCTCTATTCTGCCTTGGTCAGACCACACCTGGAGTCCCATACCCCATTCTGGGCACCACAATTTAATAAGGCTATTGACAAGCTGGAACATGTGCAGAGGTGGGTGACCAAGATGATCAAGGGTCTGGAACCTCAGCCTAATGAGGAACGCTTGAAGGAGCTGAGTATGTTTAGCCTGGAAAAGAGGAGACTGAGAGGAGATATCTCTAAATATCTTAAGGGCTGTCACTTGGAGGAGGGAGCATGTTTGTTTTCTGCTCTGGAGAGTAGGACTCAAATCAATGGCTTCAAGTTATAAGAAAGGAGTTCTGACTAAACATCAGGAAGAACTTTCTGATAGTAAGACCTGATCAGCGGTGGAATGGACTCCCTCAGAAGGTGGTGAACGCACCTTTGTTAAAGGTTTTGAAACAGGTTGGTTGGCCATGTCAGGTGTTCTTTAGATGTGACTCCTGCATTGCAGGAGGTTGGACTAGATGATCCTCTATGGTTTTAGAAAAAGTTGGGGAATGGTTTTCTGAGATGGTGCACATTCATGCATATAGGCGTGAGAGTACTCAAATAGGAAAAATCCCAATGAGGAAAATTCTGCAAATGCAGCCAGAGGCAAGGCAATTTCTTATTTAATGTGATGTTTTGCATTTATAATGGAAATTAAGAACCAACCACAAGAAGGGATTCTTTAGCTGTGATTCCTGCGTCGCAGGGGGTTTGGCTACATGACCTTTAGGGGTCCTTTCCGACTGTATTGTCCTATGAGTCCATGAGGTCTGTACCACCCGTGGGTTTTATAGCTGCCTAGGTGTGGCCTATGCATGCACGGAGCATCGAGACGCAGCTCATCTTTCCTCAGATGTCCGCCATGTGTTTGGAAGTAGGACAGTGATTACAAGACGCAAGAAGCAGCTGGATCCCTCTTGAATATTTTCTGTACTTAATCTCTGAGGAATGCAGAAATGTCTGTCTGTGCATCGCAGCCAAGATCAACTCAGTGGAACCTGGAGCGGGGGGGGGGGGGGGTTCGGAGAAGCCAATATAAACCTTCATGTTCTGTGTCGCAGCGGTTTCCTTTGATGCTCTATCCCCGCCCCATGTAATTGCATAAGGAGAACTACTGTAGTGAAAATGTCAAAGATGGATTGCCATAGGTTCCTTTTCTTCAGTCTGCATGAACCAACTTGAGGCAGCTGCTGGTGGTTCCCTTCAATAGATCATTGTTGGTTTGTTGGTTTATGAGCAGAGGAAGAGCCCTACCAGATCAGGGCAAGGATCCATCTGGTTCAGTACCCTCTTCCCACTGTGGCAACCAGATGCTTCTGAGTGTTAAAGTGGTGTTATAGTGCTTTGAATTTATGGTGCAGATGTGGTCTGAGATGAGACAGTCACCTTCCTTGCTGACCTTTAGGCAGACAATAAATACTTCCTTATTTCAGAAGGACAATTTAAGGTTGCATTAGGTTTTATGATAAATTTTTAAATTATTCTTATTCTTTGTATGATGGTTTGTTTGTTTTTAAAAATAATGTACACTGCTTAGAATATTGTTAATGGTTTATTTGCAGGCAGCGACCATTTTAGGCATGTCCAATTTGTGCGCAACCACGCATGTGCGCATTACGCCAAACCCAGAAGTGACCCCAAAACATCACAAAAAGAGGCTAAACGTGGAGGGGGCAGAATGGTGTGTTTGCAGGCTTTTTCAATGGTGTTTCTAATATACACGATTTCACTTAAACATGTCGTGTGTTGGAATGTGTAACCCGACGTAAATTGGAAGTTGCCTGTAATAGAAATAAATAAAAATGTAACTAAATCAGGGCTGTCAAGTCTCTGGTCCTCAGAACATAAGGAGAGCCTACTGGATCAGGCCAAAGGGGCTCCATCTTGTCCAGATATTAAAAGGGTCTGTGTTTCTCAGACTTTGGTCTCCAGCTGTTGTTGGACTACAACTCCCATAATCCCTAACTAGCAGGACCAGAGGTCAGGGATGATGGGAGTTGTTGTCCAACAGCAACTGGAGAGTGTGTTTTAGTCCCACACTTTGAATCTAGGGATCCAATCCAATTTTATTAATTAGCCACATATGGGTGATGTCCACTATTTTCATTCCCACAGGGTCACCTAAAAACTCTCAGCACCCTCCACGAACAGCTCCCAGGATTTGGGGTGGGGGATCTGTTCCTCTTTGAAGTAGTGCTGCGGTGCTTTAAAAGTATGGTGCAGATGTGTAGAGTAGAAAAAGAATCCTGAAGCTGTTTGGGTTCCAAGGTTAGGAGTTATGATGGAGTGGGGACAAGGGAAACCAGTCTTCTGCTAGCGCCAATCCCAGGAGGCCCCAGGTCCCCAGGCACCCACAACATTTTTGCTACGGGTACCCATGGGTGCCTGGCCTCTGACCCTGCCCGCTGACCCTGCCTGTTGTGGTGCAGTGAGCACCCAATGTTGGGCACCCACAGTGTGTTGCCAAGTCGTCACCCCTACTGTCTTCTGAAATTTTGCAAGTTACTTTCTTATGGGAGCAGCTAGGATGTATGCTATTTTTCAGAATACAATTGCCGCCCAATTCCTAAAGCCACCTTAATGAAATGGTAGCTATGCCTGGTTGCAAGGATTTTTAAAACTTCAGTTCCAATGTGCCACAGTCAGGAGAGGAGCTCCCTTTGGGCTCTGTCTCTGCACATTGGTTTTATTTCAATTTGGTGTCAAGCCTTAAAAGTCCAGTCCCCTTCCTCTTCACTATCTCTGCAGCTGAGGTCCCTTGCTAGAGGACCAGTGTGGCTTTTTCAACAGCCTTTCTTAGCCACTCTGTTCTAGCAGATTCTTATTGATTTGCAAAATAATTTTCTGGTTATCAGATTATGTTTTTCAAAAAAAAATCAAAAAAATCTGTATAACAAAACCCCTGTCTGTAATAGTCTGGGTAAACCTGCCCCCAAATCCCTTCCAGATGTGAGGCTGCAATGTGATACCATCTGTAGCCCATAAAAGGGTAGATCTCCCCCCTCCCAAACACACACACATTTTCATACACATAGTCAGAAAGGTGGAAGGTAGATTCCTCATTCACCATCCCTTTTCACTCATGTCTCTCTGAACATTTCTTATAGGTCAAGGCATCCATCCCTAATGTCCCAATTAAATTTAGATACCTAGTTAATATTTCTGAATTACTGGAGGCCTAATGTAGGTAGCTGATTTAGCTAAGGCAAGGAGGAAGCAGGGAAATGGACTTGTGGGTTTGGTTCTGGATCTCCTACGTCCCCCCACCCTCAATAATTTGAGTGATGCTCTTACATCTAAAAAGGTTGACTTAGTGTGTGGGGATAAGAATGGATCACTTCTTGTGTCTCTGTATGAGTCATTCCTGACTGGAAGGATGCAAATCCTCATTCAGAGATCTGGTAGGCAGCGTCCTCTGAGGTTAGGAAATTCCACTTCTTCCCTGAATCAGGAGCATTTGACTGCTCCAATCACACCTTGATGCAAGAGAATTACTCTCTGCCCCTACTGAGCCTGCCTGGAAAGAAGGTATGCCAGATCTGTGCCTCTTAGAATGGCAATGGTGCCCACCTGAGAGGTGCCGAAACCCACCTGAAAGGTGCAGGAACTGAGTTCCTGGGAGTTCCCCCTAAAAAACCCCTGATTATTATTATTGCATTTATATCCCACCTTTTCCTCCAAGGAGCTCAATAGTTCCTCCCCTCCCCGTTTTATCATCACAACAACCCTGTGAGGTCAGTTAGGCTGAGAGGCAGTGACTGGCCCAACGTCACACCCAGTGAGCTACATGGACAAGTGGAGATTTGAACCCTGGTCTCTCCCAGTCCAGGGCAGGCACTCTAGCCCCCATTCTTGCTCTGTGTTGATCCAAACGCCTCCCTTCTGCAGACCCAGATTCCCTGCAGCGACCCCCACACCACTTAATCTTTCTCAAGTCTTCAAGCTGCCTCCTATTCTCTTCCCTTCCCCTTTCTTTCCTTTTGGACTCTGCCGAGATCTGCAATGCCTTTTGCAGCCCCGAAATTCTGGTCCTCCTAAGTGATATCCCAGCCCTGGAGAACAACGCAGTATATGGAGTAGTCTGGGAACTATAAAGGCACTTTAAAAGGGGCAATAAACGTTTTGGGTTTCATATCACCTTACTGAAGAGGAGAATAACAGAGAGGCAGGAAATTTCAGTAGCAGACCCAGAGAAGGTCACCCGTCTCAGACACTACCTTAGACAAAAACAGCTCCTTTTATGAAGGCAGCTGGGGCTGCTGGCAGAGGCCCAAAACCTCCTTACAGGCTCAACTCCTGGCAGCGCTGAAAGGTGAGAAGAGGCTGTTTTGTCTGCATTCCCCGTAGATGTTTGAGAATTATTCCTTGGCGTTCGCTGTCCAGGAAGGCTTGGCGAGCATTAGTGCCCAACTGCACCACACTGATGCTGCTCAGGCTTATGGGGGCTGTGCCTGGCGAGGTGCATGGCGGCCACTAATTTCCTCACGCGCCTGCATTCCTGGATCAGCACCAAGAACTTTATTTCATTAAACTAATAGACCGCTTCATTGTAGGAAACCTCAAAGCGGTTTACAAAAGAATAAAACGGCAAGATTATTAGTATAAACAATTTAAAAGTTCAAAACAGTAAAACTAGCAGTAAACTAAAAACACGTCCGCGTTCTGGACAGACTTGCCTAAGCAAAAAGTGTTTTTAACAGGTTCCATTGGCACAGCTAGCTGGGCTGATGGTTTCTGTAGTCCAACATTTAAGGACCCCAAACTGAAGAGCACTGGGGTAGGCAGTACTGAGCCACTTGGACTAATGTAAGCAAGCTTCCTAGGCTCCTATTTAGTTCATTGTGTTAGTCAAAATGATGAGGGCTAGAATCTTACTTTTAGCAGAAGGGCTGTAGCTCAGTAGCAGAACATAGACATTGCATGCAGAAGGACTCACACTCAATCCCCAGTGGTTTTTCCAGGTAGGGTTGGGGATGTCCTGAAGTCTCAGAGGGCTGCTGCCTGTCAGGGTACTGAGCTTGCTTAGCAATATGGACCAATGGGTCTGAGTTGGTATAAGGCTGCTTTTTATGTTCCTAATTAATTCAGACCTTTATTTGAAACTGTGTGGTTGTAGAGGAGCCCTGGGTGACAGGGTGGAGTTGCTGTCAAGACAGCCGACCTGCCTGCCATCCCTCCCGGAGGTGAGAGTGAAAGCAAGTCTCATTCTTGAGGAGGGTTCAGAGAATCTGTCAATTTCAGTTTGTCTCACTTTTACATTTTTCCTCTTTTAAGTTCCACTTTCCACATTCCCACACCTGCTTGCTGCTTTTGATTTCTAAAAAAAGTACTCATGAAAATTTGCATTACCTGCAAATTTCTCCTAATACACACATTTTGGTGTGCAGTTTCCCCTAATGCACACATTTCTGCAAAGCGATTTCCCCTTAATGTAATGCAATTTTGCATGCAGCTTTCACCAATAAATTCCATTTAAAAATAAAATAAAATCAAAAACACACACTCAGCTGAAGAGCTGTATTGCAAAATCTGGAGAAGCACAGATTTTGAAGGGTGGCTACAGCCATTTCAGTCCACATATTATTTCACAAAGGTATGCCTTTTCTTTCTTTACATCGTTATTGTAGCCCACTTCTTCGTCCAAGGAACTCAAGGGAGTCTACGTGGTTCTTCACACACACCCTTAATCTCCACAACAACCCTGTGAGGTAGGTTAGGATGAGAGGTAGTGATTGGCCCAAGGTCACCCAGTGAGCTTCATGACCAAGTGGGGGATTTGAACCCTGGTCTCCCAGGTCCTAGTCAGGGCACTCTAACCACTACGTCACGCTGGCTTTCTCTTTATATGCAAACTGAATTGAATTTCTGTATCCCATCCATAGTCCTGAGTCTATGGCTTTATTGCTGTATATTACACCCCTGTTTTTTGCTATGCAAGAACTGCACTGCTGTTTTGTATCCTAATTCTGTTTGCTCAGCTGTAACTTCGCTGAGTAACCACCCCCCACCCTTGATTACAGTTGACTGGACTTTCCAAATAAACAAGGAAGCAGGGAGGTTGCAGCTGAAATGAAATTCGCTCTGGTTTCTTCTGCTGTTGGTAGCGAGCGAGCTTTAAGTCAGCACCAATGGGCAAGCTTAGGACGGTCATTGATAACAGCTGGATTCCAGCCAGATTCTAGTGCACTGTTGAATGTAAAGCAAGTGAGAGAAACATCTGCAAATCTTGGTTCATGTCACAGTCTGTTGCTGTACGACGTCACTGAAAATATAGCCAACTAAAGAGTGTCCATGTCAAAACAGAATCGCCCACACCCCAGTCAAGTAGTTTGGGGAATTTTTTTTTTTTTTTTTTTTTTTGCAGCCTGAGGACCACATTTCCTTCTGCACAACTTTATGGAGGCCACATGACACAACTATGAGGACTAAGACCATACTTTGGGGGGAGGCTGCAGCTCAGTGTCAGAGCACATGACATACACATCTAAGATCTCAGGTTCAATCCCCATCAGGAAGGGCTGGGAAAAGACCCCCTGCCTGAAACCCTGGATAAGCTGCTGCCAGTCAGTGTAGACAATGCTGAGCTAGATGGACCAGTGGTCTGATTGGTTTAAGGCAGCTTCCTACCTAGCACTGATGGGTCATCCAGTGTGTAGAAAATGCATGCCCCTGTTTGTTGTTCAAGGTGATGTTCTTACTTTTAGTGTGTGTGTGTGTGTGTGTGTGTGTGTGTGTGGTTTGTTTTGTTTTCTGCGCTTAGCCAGGAGTGTGTCGAGATAGACGGCAGTGGTGCAAATGCATTGCAGATACTGAGCAAAGATTAATGTTGGCCTTCAGCGAATGTTGGTGGACATCCATCCTCCTCTAATTGTCCGTGACAGAGAGCCCCTGGCTTCCTTCCCAGACAGGATAAATAAATCATCCGCTCGGCAACACTAAACAGTCTGTTTAAGTTGGGATGGCGGTGCAGACGTTTTGAGCCGCGCCCCGCTTTCAGGAGCTGGGTCGTTCACCTCTAAATTTCCCGTGAATGTGGCAGGCGCTAATGAGGGCCTGGCTGAGCACACCTGCTGGATGTTTTCGGGTGGTGGAGAATTGAGCAGGTGGACATCACAAAGCAGGCACTGTTAGGGCCAGTCCTGCAAGGCACAGAGCACACCTGAGGAAGGCTTGGGAGCAGAAGGCATGAATGGAGCAAGCGGCTCTTTAATTCCAGTTGCCTGCTGACCTAGCATTTAATTTCTAAAAGGAGGAGTGATGGGACTGCCCTCCACTTTATCAGTCATTCCTTTTTTACCTGCAAGTTCAGAAGCTGCCCTGTGATGAGAAGTCAGATCATCATTTCATGGACCTCAGTATTGCCAGCAGCGCTCCATGGTTTCAGGCAAATAGTCTTCTCTTAGTCCCAACTGGAGATGCCAGGCATTGAACCTGGGATCTATCTAAAACCCTGGAGATCTGCTGCCAGTCTATGTCGACAGCTCTGAGAAAGGCGGGTGGATGAAGGCAGCTCCTTTTTCCTAACAATTCTTTTTAAATCCTCCCCCCCCCCCATAATTATCCCCCTGGTTACTTTTTTCTTCATTCTGAAATCCATGCTCTCCTCCACTGCTCTCTTATCTTGGCTTTGCCTTATTTAGTCAGCAGAACTCTTTCTGCTCCCCTTTGCTGAATAAACATCTGGATTGTGACATCATGGATGACTACAGGATTGTGGGATCTGCAGGCCAGTTTAAAACCATGCCACGTCCAGAAACATGTATTGCAAAAGCTGTAGGTTAAATAAAGATGTTTATTTGGGTGAGGAAGCATAAATAGAAGAGGAAGTAAAGAAAAACACAAACTCTCCCTCTGCCTGCTCCTACTGTACAGACAGAAAGACAATGGCTGCCCCTTTGGATCAGTAGTGAGTGGGGGAAATACTTCAATTTTTAGTTTCATGGAATTATAGTAAGGACTCTGGTCTCTCAATTTGCCCCCCCCCCAATAAAAAGTCCTCATGAAAGCTCATCAGCATTCTGATCTGAATTTTAACTGACCTACAACACGTTTTCATTCAGTTTTACTTAATGTGCACCTTTTTGCAAAACGATTTCACTAAAATAATGCATATTTTCATGCCATCTTCACAAAATATGTGTTTTTATAGACACTTTGCCCCCTACGATATTCCTCTTTGAACCCATTACTCAACTGGAGAGTTGCAGTGCAAGATTTAGAGTGGTGCAGATTCTGGAGGATGGCTGTGTTTCAGTTGGCAACTGGATTCATCCCTTCAATGCAAACTGACTCTTAATTTCTCCCCCATTCCCGTTAAGGATCGCCAGACCTGGCTGGTTGGGCTAGGAAACACGTTCAGCTTGGCTGGCCACCAGTTGCACATGCGATGCATTGGACCTGCCCTGCGGCTAGGGGGGTGGGGTGCACAGGTGCAGGTGCAGGTGCTCTATCCGTTCCAGCAGCAGCAGCAGCCACACACAAACACACACACACACACACACACACACACACACACACCACATTCTCAGACACAGCAGCAGAGGGTTGAACAGTCCAGTTTGGCCGGAGCGCCTCCATTGCCGGCCTTCTTGTTCACTTTGGGGAGCAGGAGGACAAAGGACATGGCCAAGGCACAGTGGTAGAAGCTGTGGACGTACGTGTAATCCCACTCCTGGAACAAGAAAAAGCAAATGAGATTCTTCAATGTGTGTAATGGTTTCTAGTTATTCAGTGGTGTAGTAGTTGGGAGTGTTGGATTAGGACCTGAGAAACCAGGGTTTGAATCCCCGCTCAGCCATGAAGCTCACTGGGTGACCTTGGGTCAGTCACTGCCTCTTAGCCTCCCCTACCTCACAGGGTTGTTGTGGAGATTAAATGAGAAGCAGGGGAAGAACCATGTATGGTACCTTGAGCTCCTTGGAGGGGGGAAAAGTGGAATATAAATGAAGTAAAATAAATAAGAATAATTAAAAAACTGTCCTCTCTTGATCATTATGAAAACTGTGACAAACCCAACAGGATGGCATGAGCGATATTCCATTTTTGTTTCTCATTATAATCTGAATATTGATCTAATGTGAGATCACAATGGAGAGGCTTTAACATGGATATGGATGGAAGAATTTAGTATTATGTAATATGGGGTAATGGTGGTCAGAATTAATAAAGGGAGCTTATCTTGGACTTTTTGTAGGGGGAAAAAGGAAATGAATTGATTACAGGACACCCTGATTTAAAAGAAATATTGGTTAACAGAAAGTGGAGAAGACAGATATTTGTATGGACTGAAGGTTTTAAATGATTTTATATATGCATTGCAGGCACTAGATGACCCTTTGGATCCATTCCAGCTCTACAACTAAGATTCAGTGATTCAGGGGCTTTGGTCATGCAGAGACTGAGGTCTATGCCTTTTGGTAAAATGTTTGTGTGTGTGTGTGTGTGTGTGTGTGTGTGTGTGTGTAAAAAGAGAGAAGCCAAATGTTGACACACTGAGGGAAGTGACAAAGACAATAAAAACTGGGTGGGTGTTGCTCCCACAGCTGTGGGCTGAAGACCATTCCTGCAAGCCCACGTTCCGAGAGATAAGCCAACTCTCCCTTGGACATCTCATGAGTCAGATGCCAAGAACTTTGGAAGCTGGCTTTTCCACGCGGAGAATCTCAGGACCTCTTACCTAAAATGGTATCATTGCTTCAGGCCTGTCGGAGTGTGATGGAGGGTTCATCCAGGAATTTTAAGATTTCAACCCTCCCCTTTTGCTGGGATGTGGAATATGTTTGGGCTTTGACTAATCTCCTGCCAGTGACATGCTTTCTACACAGGGTGATTTGCGGGGGGTGGGGGCGGGGGGTATATAACCAGCTTACTCATGAAGCTGGCTCTGATTAGCCTCATAATTCTATCCCCCCTGCCCCCCCCCCACAACACATGTGCTGGAAATGTTGGTTTATTTGCCACACACTCATTGGACTGAAATTGTTTTCAGACGAGGCTTGTTGCCATCTTTTCATCCATGCAACACTTCTTGCTACTGAGTTCCTTTTCCCTCGTGTCAGAAAGAGGTTTTCTAAACAAGCAGGACCTCAGCACAAGGGCTGGGTGATATCTGGTTTTCAACATCACAATATAGCACCAGCTATATACCAATACAGTATATCACGATGTCTGGAATAAGGATGGAACTACATAGAGATGAACAGTAGGGTTGGGCAACATCTTGTTTTCAACATTGTGATATATAACCGGCTAAACATCACAATATACTGATATATCACAATGCCTGAAATAAGGATGGAATTATGTAGAGGCATTGGCTGGCTTCATGGTTTTCCCTTCATCGTGATTTTTGTTGGCACCTGCTCTTGTGATTTGCTGCCCCTGCATGAGACAGGGGAGAGCTGAGCTGGTGAAGTTAACAGGGGTTGCAGGAATCAAGAAAAGCATTGGCTGGCTTCACAGTTTCTCCCACATTGTGTTTTTTTGCATAACACACACACACACACACACACACACACACACACAATGAGTCACGATATATTGCCAAGTCAAAAATTATGAAATAAATATCATGATATGGACTTCAAAGCGGTTTTGTACAATATATTGATATATCACCCAACCCTACTGAGCACAAGAGCATTCTCCCTATCTGCAGTTCTCAACAACTGGCATTCAGAGGCATACTGCCTCCAGGGGAACAGCCCTGCTGTTGAATCAGGTCAACGGGGTCCCATCTAGTACAGCATCCTGTTCTGACAGTGGCCAGCTAGATACCCCTTTGAGAAACCCACAAGCAGTACCCAAGTGCAGCAGCAACTCTCCCCACTTGCACTTCCCGGAAACTTGTAATATTCAAAGGCGACTTGCCTTTGACAGTGGAGGGAGAACACAGTGATTATGGCTAGTAGCTATGGATATTCTTATCCTCCACAAATTTGTCTAACACCCTCCTTTTAAAGCTTTTCAAGGTCGTGACCATCACTACCTGTTTAGGTGGCAAATTTCTGAGTTGTGCATGGCTATCTAAAAGAGCAGGAGGGCATAAGACCATTAAGTATGCAGTTACCTGAATTCACCATGGGGGAAGGGGGAAGGAGGGTCCATCCATGGCTATGAAGCAGAAGAATGCCCTCACTGTTGCCTTTTGCACATTTCCTGGGGGCTTCTCAGAGGGCATTTAACTGGCCATTTACCAGGATGCTGGACCCAGGTGGACAACTGCTCAGATTCACCAGGGCAGATCTTAAGTTTTATGTTTTGCAAGGGGCAGTCTTACCTCAAAGAAGAACCTCAGCATCAAAGCAAGGGCCCCGAAACAGAAGCCAGGACCAATCTGCTGGGTATAGACGCTTTTGTCTGGATAGAGACCCTTCTTCTCCTTCATCTTTTGTAGCTGGGAGGAAAGAAGGCAACAGATGATAGATTTCGTTTGCCATGGCCTTTTGCAAAAAGAAAAGCTGGCTTTCAAGGAAGTATGGAGTCTCCCACTGCCCCACATGATGCTTCAAAGCTCTTCCCTCCCTTCAAAATTCCTTTGATATATATTTCTCAAATGAAGGAATAAAAAACCAAGGTGTGAGCCCAAGGTTCTCTGTTGGGGGTGGGGGTGGGGACAGAGGTGTGTTTTCTTAATAGCCATCATTTCCCTCCAGGATGACGCTTGTGAACTGGGTAGCATCTTTCCATAGGAGCTTACTAAGGTGGTGGACTGTCCTTCATTTAAACAGAGGTTGAATTACTGGCTGTCATGTATGTATTCTTTAATTGTGATTCCTGCATTTCAGCGCGTTGGAGTAGGTGACCCTTGTGTCCCTAACTCTAAATTCTATTATTCTGTTATCTTGTTTGCTTTAGCTTGCAAAATGTCTTGGGCTGGATCTGTGGGAAACCAATTTCCCCCTTTCCCATAATCAGGTGGTAGAATGGGGGAGGAGGGCATCACACACACACACACACACACACACACACACACTTTGACTTGTTATGGCTGGCAATACTTGCTTAATGCAACCAAGAAGGGGAATCTTACCCATTTTACAGTGATCATGAGAACTGCTGTCCCAATCGGTCCTGAGTAGACGCCGTAGCCCCACCGATCATGGTAGATTCTGACTGCGATGGTGAGCACTCCAAACATCACAAACGTTGACCGTTTAGGCTCATCAAACTCTGCCAGGGCTGAGCAACAGGTGACTTACAGTGTGATTTGAAATGCTGTGTTGTTAGGGCAGCTTTAAATCTCCCTTGAAATGGATGTCTTTTTCCATTTCCACCTCATTTTTCCAATCTTGGATGCAGTTCTTCCACATTTCTTCAGCATTTTGTCCTCATGGAAATTCATTAGTATATTAATGTTCATTTTGTCTCATACATTTTTGTGTGCAGTTTGGGCAAATAGATACTCCCCCCCCCCAAAAAAAAATTCCTAATATAATGCATATTTGTACACATGGGTTGGTTGAAGAACCACAGTCCTTCAAAATCCAGACTTTCATTTGATCTGAACATTCCAGTGTTTGGCTTCTGTAGTTCTAGTGTTAAGACAAAGAGGGGAAACTTCATTCTGCCCACCTTCCTCCACAACATACATTGGTTTAAATATCTCTATCATATCTCCACTTACTTGAGTTTTCTCTGAAAAGCCCCAGATGTAACCTTTCCTGATAGGGGGAGTCACTCCACCCCCTTGATAATTTGGGTCGACCTTTTCTGAACCTTTCCCATCTCTGCACAATATCATATTTGAAGCAGCACAAGCAGAGCTCTACCCAGCACACTAACGAAAACTCAACGTGGTGTCGGCCACATTCACACCATATGTTGAAAGAGTTACAATACCAATACAATGATGGTTTCCTCCAGAGAATCCTGGGACCTGTAGTTTGTTCAGGGTGCCAAGAGTTCCCGAGTTCCCAGGGTGATTTAGCAATCCCTCTTCCCCAGGGAACTCTGGGAGCTGAAGCTAAGTGAGGTGGAATGGGAGAAGAGTTCTTTATAGCTCTCAGCATCCTAAACAAACCACAGCTCCCAGAAAGCTCTCAGCATCCTAAACAAACCACAACTCCCAGAATTCTTTGGAGGAAGCCATCATGGTTTAAAGTAGTTCAGAGTGTTTAGAGTGGTATGTTTCAAATGCACAGTGCAGATGGGGCCTTGGACTATATCTGTTTGCTGCTGACAATCTGCTCTGGTGGGTGTGGGTTAATGAACTACCTTGAATAAGCTATGATCCCCAGGATTCTTGGGTGGGTGGTATCCTAGTGCTTTAAATGTACAGTGTGAATGTGGCTGGTACCTGGGGACCTTGAGTTGCAAAGGGAAATACTGATGAAAAAGTTGAGTCAAATACGTTTTGGGGAGAACATCACCCCTTGTTCCCTCTATCTTCAATTCTCTGAGTCGTCCCAGGATGTTTTCAGACTGGGCTGAGGTTCCTCTCTGGTGTCATGCACCTGCCTGCAGCCCGCTAACTCACACTTCATCAATGAGGCTATGAATTATCAGAGACTGTCATTGCACGGGGAATGCGGTAATCGCTCGTAAAAATTATGGCTCCCAGCGGGCTCCATGAGTTCTCCAGATTACACAGCTGTAGCGTAGCTGTTTCAGATTTGCAGTCCCAGGAAATGTCCCTGCAAGGAGCTGAGCATGTTCAGCTCTTTGCAAAGCAAGATGGAGGAGAGGTTTTCTTCACGTCCCAGACACTACATGTCCATGTGTCCTTGGATTACATTTTTATTATTATTATTATTCAATGGAGGTTTGTTTGTTTTTCTGGCTAAGGAATAACATCCAGTTTTTAATCTGTTCTGCTTGTCTGCTGACTTGATGTCCCCTCCCCCATCAGATAGATCCAGTCCTGTGAAATTATGGGGATTTCCCATGGAAGTATGGGGATTAAAAATGGTAGCCAGCACCACAGAAAGATATGCCAGCAGGTTTTCTTCACCCTTACCCTGAGGATTCTAGCAGTGAGGCCACCCTAAATTGCAAAGCTTTTTTCATATTCAAAAACTCACTCTAGGCCCTGGTAATTTATTTACATAGCATTATCAAGGTATATGGTGCTTTGCGGAGTAGTTGGTAGGAGAGAAATTTGGCTTTGGTTGGCATTTTAACGTGGCCCTACTTTTTAATGCGCACAGTTTAAGAATGATGTTGACAAGAAAGGAGATTCTAATTAAACATCAGGAAGAGCTTTCTGATGGTAAGAACAGTGGAACGGACTCTCTTGGAAGGTGGTGGACTCTCCTTCTTTGGAAGTTTATAAGCAGAGGTTGGATGGCCACCTGCCATGGATAGTTTAGATGGTATTCCTGCATTGCATGGGGTTGGACTAGATGACCCTTGGGTGTTCCAATGCTACAATTCAATGATTATATGAATTCACACATCCCAAAACAAGCATTGCACCGAAATACAGCCTTCTCTCGAAAAGCTGCACTTCTCCAAATTTTGTAATGCTATTTTCCAGCCAAGTCACGGCCCCCTATAATGCACATATCAAAATCCATGTCTTAGCAAAAATAACACACAAATGCATTATACTGTATTAAGAGAAATTGTTTGCCGTAATTGTATATTAGGAGGTATGTGTAATTAATAAGCTGCTGGGTTTTGTGAAAAAGAAATGCAAACTGGTTTGGAAATGTGCAAACTGTCTAGAAAAATCACGAATGGAGAGAAACTGAAGTTGATAGGGATGCTCATCTCTGTTACAGATTAGCATAAGTATAGAATACTTCTCCCTCAACAGAGGAATTTCTCAAAATTATTCTATTTCTGAAACTTCTTTTTGTTGTTATTGTTAAAAATCAATGTGTGACTAGGCATTGCTTGTTTTCCTCTACGTCAAATATTTGCCTCAACTCCCTCAAAGTATCTTAGCATGAGAAACCATCCCAAAGAACGACTTGCTCTTACCCATCAGGGACACCCACATTGATAAAGCTGTCCCAAATATACTGAAATATTCCAAGATGTCATACTGCATGAAGCACAGGATGGATAAACCGGGGCCGTCACATGCGTGGTAAATCTGTTGGGGAAACATTAAGAACGTATGAACGTAAGGAGGGCCTGCAGGATCACACCAGTGGGCCACCTATTCCAGCATCCTATTTTCCCAGTGACCAACCAGATGTCTGTAAGAAACCTGGAAGCAGGACCTGAGCCCAAGAGCCCTTTCCCCTCCTGCAGTTTCCAGCAGTTGGTATTTAGAGGCATTGCTGGCTCTGACTGTGGAGGCAGAGCACAGCCATTGTGGCTGGCAGCCATTGAAAGCCTTCTCCATGAAATTGTCTAATCCCCTTTTAAAGCCATCCAAGTTGGTGGCCATCACCACTTCTTCCTGCAGGAGCAAGTGCCATAGTTTATACGCTGCATGAAGAAGAACTTTCTTTTTGTCTGTCTTTTGGACACCTACGAGTTCTAGTGTTGAGAGAGGGGGAGAAAAACTTTTCATTTCCTCCCTGCTATGCATCATTTTATAAAATTCTATCGTGTTGCCTCTTACTTGCCTTTTCTATAAAGTGAAAGTCAGAAATACTGCAGTCTTTCCACACAGGAGGGTAGCTCAACCCCTCAATCATTTTGGTTGCCCTTTTCCAACTCTACAATAACTTTTCCTGAGGATAGGCAACCAGAACTATACATGGCATCCCAAATGTGGCCGTGCCATAGACCTGTAGTACAGCAAACACTAGCTGTTTATTGCCAGCAAATCTTTGTCCAATGTTGATTTGTTTACTTATTTTGTAAGATTTACACAATACATGATTGTTTAAAAGTCCTTTAAAAGGTTTACCAAGAAGGTAGAATCATTGGTAAGGAAAATACACAAAAATTAAAGGCGTTTGAAAAGTTAAAATAACAAAAACGGATTAAAACTTTCATCAACTTTCTTTATGCTCTATCTTTTTGTTTATCAATAGAATTAAAGAAAAATTAAAAGATAAAATGTTTATAGCAGGTGCCGAAAAGAGTACAGTGAAGGGCGCCTGCCTGGTATCAATAGACAGGGAGTTTCAAAGTGTGGCTCCAAAGGCTACAGCTGTCAAGTCCCAAACACCTTTTTGTGGTTATGACCATCCCTCAAAAGGATTTCCGTTTCTAGCACCACCACCCTGTATCATGAACATTTGCCCCATTCCATCGCATTTCACCCATCTTTGAGTTGCAATGAGCAGGTTATTTGTGAAGGCAAAGGAGAGAGATGGAGTTCATGCAGATGTTTTCGGCTGTTGCAAGAACCCATGTCTGGGTGGGAAGGTAAACGGCATTTCCATGCGCTCTGGCACTTGTCACGGTGTCCCGTCATGTCAGAAGCGGTTTAGTCATGCTGGCCACATAACCCGGAAAGCTGTCTGCAGACAAACACCGGCTCCTTTGGCCTGAAGTAAGATGAACACCATACCCCATAGCTGCCTTTGACTGGATTTAACTGTCCAGGGGTCCTTTACCTTTTTTTTAAAAAAAAAGCCTTTGTTGGGGGGGCGGTTGCAGATGTGTTTGCTGGTCTGAATAATTTCCTGTTGGGGAGATGGAGAAGGAGGGCCTTCGAAGGCTAAGACAGCGATGGCTGCATTTCTTCTGAGAAGCTGCAGAAGGTCTTGGCTGGAGGATGTGGAGCAGCTGCAAGTCTGTCTCGTTTTTCCTCCCCAGCCTTCGGTTCTATTTTTAAGTACATTCAAGGCCCCCACTAAAAACTCATGAGCACGTTTCCTAACTGGCCCACATCATGTGCAATTTTTTCATTAAATTTTATTACTGCATTTATACCCCAACCACATAATACCTGCTCTGCATTCGGTCTTTAAGTGTGGAGGAACATACACTTTGGAACTCCCTGCCTATTGACACCAGGCAGGTACCTTCACTGCACTCTGTTTGGCACCTGCTGAAAGCATCTACCCAGATATTTAGAAAGCTGGTATGAGTTTTCACCTGTTTTTAGTTTGTTATTTTAACTTTTGGAAAGCTTTACATTATTATTTTTTCTTTTTATCATTTTGTATTGTTTTATCTTTTCTGTAAACTGGCTGTGAGGTCATCTCCCCTTTTCTTTTTTACAGTCAAGAAACATATGGCTAAATAAAGGTGTCTGCTCTACCACTGAGCTAAGAAATCTTAGTTCAATAGGAACATAGGAAGTTGCCTTTCCCCTCACCCCCTTTCACTTAAACAAATGGACAGACACCTTTGGAGAACAGAGAAGGAGGAAGGGGAGGGGAAAGTTTCTTACCGACACAAAGAACATGGTGAAGAAGTACACCATAGCCTCCATGTGGAACTGTCTCTTGGCAGCGATGCTGATGGTCGGGAGGAAAGCCAGGCTACTTAGAGTTGGCAGAAGGAGCTTGGCGACCAGAGAGCCCATCGAAAGGGAAGAGAGATTGCCAGAGCGTGGAAAGGCAGGATGACTGGAAGATCCTTCCAGATCGCAGAGCTGGTTGGCAAAGTCTGAGCTCCAAGGCTACTGTCCTGATCTGGGCCTTGGGAGAGACAGCTGAGCCAAATGGACTTTCAAGTTCAGATGGCCCAGCCTTGGCTTAGCCACTGTGTGCGTGAGATGTCAGCTGATGACAGGTGCTGGGGGGGGCTTGGGTTTATGACGGTGCACAGCTGACAGCTGGCATACAACACAGGCCACACTTGTGAGGCTTGGAGACCTCTTGAAGACCAACAGATGGTCCATTGCAAAGGCCAGCAAGCCTTTGGGATGTTTGCAAATAGATAAGCACAGGTGGGGCCACATTTGCTCTTGGCTGCTAGGAAAAGCAATTTCTTACTCCTTACCCATTATTGTAATCATCTAGCAAAATGCACAGCATTACGGCAGGTAAGATATGTGCAGAATGAGTGCTTGTATCCAGACTCTTTAACTGGTTCAGACTATATGTCCACCTAGCTTAGCATTGTCAACACTGACTGGCATGATTCAGTCTTCATAGTTCTAAACAGGAGAGATAGTGAGCCCTACCTGCAGATGCCATTGGGGACTGAACCTGGGACCTTCTGGATGAAATGAGGTGCTCTACCAGTGAGCTACAGCCCTACTCCTAAAAATTCTACCCGCCCCCATCATTCTGGATAAAGGACTTAATTAAATGGGATCATAACATATGCAGAGCTTGCTGGATTGGGGCACCAAAGGCACATCTATTCCGGCACCCTATCCTCATAACGGCCAACCAGATGCCCATTATGGGAAACCCTGCAGGCAGGACCCAAAAACCCTCTCCCTTCCTGCTGTTCCCAGCAATTGGTATTCAGAAGCATTGCTTCCCCTGTCCAGTGGAGGCACAACTCAGTCATCGTGGCTAGCAGCTATTGATAGCCCTCTGCTCCTCCATGAATTTATCCAATCCTCTTTTAAAAGCCACCCAGGTTGGTGGCCACCACTGCCTCCTGTGGAAATGAGTTCCACTGTTCAACTATGTGTTTCATGAAGAAGCGTTTCCTGTTATCTGTCTTGAGTCTTCCACCATTCAGCTTCATTGGTTCTAGTGTTATGAGAGAGTTTTCTCTCCACCGCCTTCGTGCCCTGCATGATTTTATAAACTTCAATCATGCTGCCTCTTGCTCGCTTTTTCTCCAAACTAAAAAGTCCCAAACAATATCCCTTTGAGGTGGGGCAACCAGAACTCTACACTGTATTCCAACTGGTGGTCACACCATTGATTTGTAGAATCGGCATTATGATATTGGCAGTTTTGTTTTCAATACAGCAACAACAGTCTGTGGGAGGCGGTGAGAGGCGCAGTTAAGCGTGTGCGGACGTCAAGTCAATTGGCCAACTTTATTTTATTATGATATCTTCCCCCTCCCTCTCCTCCCGCCGGCCAATGACTTTATTACAAGCCTCCTGCTTTTCTCCTTCCTGGTATTAATATCTTTTCCTTGGAACCTTCTGCAGATTCTTTGTGTCGTTTTTGAGACAGCTGTTCAGATGAACCAGGGAGGAGGAATGCAAGACAACTGGCTCTGTGGTTTAGAGCTCTGTAGCCAGGTCACCAAGATATGAGCTACTGTCTGCGTCTGCCTGGATTCCAATAAAGAAGAAAAGTGGGAGGCATCTAAAGAGACTGGTGTGGCTGCATATGGAGCTTCCAGATGAACTGAGATTTAAGAAGGGCATGTGCAAGAAATGGAAGAATGGGGAATTCATGGAGGAGGAGTACCGTATTTTTCGCTCTATAAGACGCATCAGACCACAAGACGCACCTAGTTTTTGGAGAAGAAAAACAAGAAAAAAAATATTCTGAATCTCAGAAGCCAGAACAGCAAGAGGGATCGCTGTGCAGTGAAAGCAGCAATCCCTCTTGCTGTTCTGGCTTCGGGAATAGCTGCACAGCCTGCATTCACTCCATAAGACACACACACATTTCCCCTTACTTTTTAGGATGGAAAAAGTGAGTCTTATAGAGCAAAAAATACGGTATACAGGAGTAGCCAATAGTAGTTTCAGGGAGAAGGTGAGGTGAGAATGAGTTCAGGCATGCAAGAGAGGTTAAAATTAATAACAAGGGTTACGTCAGCTATGTTTGAAGCAAGAGGAAGAACAACCAAGTGGTGGGTCCTCTGCATGGAGAAGACAGAGAAATGCTATTGGGTGACAGAGAGAAGATGGAACTACTCAACATCTACTTTTTCTCTGTCTTCACCCAAAAGGAAAGCTGTGCCCAGCCTGGTGATAACAGAATAAACAAGGTGGTCAGGGAACACCTGACTACTTTGAATGAATTCAAATCTCCAGGTCCTGATGAGCTGCACCCAAGGGTACTAAAGGAGCTTGTGGATGTAATCTCATACCTGTTAACTGCTCCAGAAAAACAGAGAAACCCCATTTCCCCCCATCAGAGTATGGTGACTATTTGGGGCACCTTGTTCTCATGCAGTTTGGGGCTGAGATCTTGCTCCAAAAAAAGGTGCCTTTTCATGTCTGCAATATTGCACAGTTTCCCGAAACATGCTTTTTGGGTGCTGTGACCCCCAAAATGCTTTTTTGGGTCCACAATCTCGCACGGATAACTTGGAAGATGGTGTCCCAAATTTGGGCCACATTGTGTTGGATGGTATGTAATCTTAAAGCCACTGTCTATAATCTTTGATAATTCTAGGAGATTAGGTGAGGACTGGAGGAGTGCAAATGTTTCCATCTTCAAAAAGGGCGGAAAGAAGACCCAGTTAATTACTGACCGGTGAGCTTGACATCAATACCAAGAAACAGATAATTAAACAGCCAGTCTGTGAGCAGTGTAAGAGCTGTTTAACAGTAGAACAGACTCTCATGGGATGTTGTGGACTCTCCTTCCTTGGAGGGTTTTAAGCAGAGGTTGGATGGCCATCTGTCACGGATGCTTTAGTTCCTGCATTGCAGGGGGTTGGACTGGATGACTCTTGGGGTCTCTCCCAACTCCACAATTCTATGGTTCTGTGATTTCTTAATATATTTTTAAGATACCGAGGAGGAAGACAGAGACATAGGAGGCTGCCTTATACTGAGCCAGATCATTGGTCTGTCCAGCTGTGTATTGTCTACACTGACTGGCAGCAGCTCTCCACAATTTCAGACAGGGTGTCTCTCCCAGCCATACTTGGAGATGCCATGGGGGATTAAACCTGGCACCTTCTGCATGCAAAGCAGGTGCTCTTCCACTGAGCCACAACCCTTCCACAAGACAGCACTTTGTTATAAAATGGCAGGATTTCATTGACTGTAAAAATGTGGTTTTATCACCAAATACAAGTTACGAGCTTGCAATGCCTTAATGATTAATTAGGTAACATAAGCATTTCAAGACAGATATATACATATTTTCATTCTGGGACAGTTTTCTTGGAAAGTGTGCTATTTATATTGTGATTATTATGGAAAGGACTGATTTAAGTATTTACTTCCTAATGTTAATTCTTTGTTTTCTCAGGGCCAAGTGCTTTATGACTTCATCGCTTTCTTCTGTTATAAACAGCACTGTTCTTCTCTTCTTCTTTTGCTATGGAATCATGCATGTTCTAGCAATACGTAATAAATTTAAAAACAAACTAGCCAACAGCACAAACTGCTTGTCTCTCTCACATAAATACGAAGTGGGGATTCTGTCTAGGGATGTGGGGGAGAAAATTGATTTCTCGGTCATGGCATCAGCACAGAGCCAGTTCAGAGTGACAGCAGGAATCATTGCCCTCTCTCTGAGTGGGCACATGGAAACATGGGTGCTTCCAGACTAGGGATAGGGGAGAAATTCAACTCAGTTTGTATTTAAATACAATTCTACCAAATATGCACTTTTTGAAACAATTCACAAACTGAAACACAGCCATCCTTTGAAATTTAACAGTGCAGTGCTCCAGCTAAGTAATATATATGAAACTGGATACGCTGCATAAGAATGAACTCAATTCAAGATGGTCATTCTGGTGTTTAAAGCCAGAAATGACTCAGGTCACAAATACCTGAAAGACAGTCTCCTTCTCTCCAGACCCTCTGATGTGCTGAGATTCAGAGGGGACCCCCTTGGTAGCTCCTCCAAGGCTTGGGGGGAGTGGTGGTCAGGGAGATGGCCTTCTCTGAGTTGGCCCCTAAGCCATACAACTCCCTTCGCAAAAAGGCGTGTCTGGCACCTTCATTGTATACCCTCCCATGTTTCGCTGATAAAAAAGGGACGTCCCATTCCATAATGATAATTTTACTATTTATACCCCACACATCTTACTGGGTTGTCCCAGCCACTCTGGGCAACTTCCAACATATATAAAAACTCAAGAAAACATTAAATATTAAAAAAAAACTTCCCTATACAGGATTGCCTTCAGACAGCTCAGGGGTTGGATAACTCCATACCTTCCAACATTTCTCCAATGAAAATAGGGACATCCTCAGGAAAAGTGGCACATTATGGGATCAAAGCATAAACTGGGACGGCTTCTCTAAATCAGGGACATCCCTGGAAAATAGGGGCACTTGGCGAGTCTGTTATTGTACAGCTTCCAGTGAATGCTGAATACACATCACTTTGTCCTGGGCTTTTGACGCTTGAGGTGTATATTTTTAGGACCCACCTTATTTTTAAGGTTGCTTTGAATTATTTTTAATAATTGTGTTTTAATTGTTTTTGTGCAAAGTTATTGAACAGCTGGTCACAGGGCGTATCCAGATGCCCTAGGAGGAAACTGATTTTCTAGATCCATTTCATTCAAGGTTTAGGCCCAGTTTTGCTACAGAAACTGCTTTGGTCACCCTGTAGGATGACCTGTAGGTTAGATTACTGCAATGTGTTTTATGTAGGGCTGCCTCTGAAGATAGTCTGGATGCGGTCTGCTGTTCACAAAAGGTGTTTAGGCATTACCCAACCCTGGGAGCTGATGCAAGGTGTGTGTGTTTGAAAACAAGTCCTCTTCTCACAGAGAGGGTTGTCTGTCTTGCTGCTGCTGGCTCAACCAGGCTTAGTCATCTGGGGTTCTGGGGTTATGAAGCAGTGCCAAGGGTTGGAGAGACAGCTCACATTGAACACTCTTCCTCATGGCCGAAAAAAGAAAATAAAAAAATTACTGCCATGGAATTGTTGTGTTTGTATTGTGTCTTTTTAAATAACACTGGAAGAGCCTGACTGCTGGATCAGGTCAAAGGGGTCCTATCTGCATGATGATGATGATGATTTATTACTTATTATTTATTGCCTGCCCACCCCAAGGTCCCAGGGTGGGTTTGCAACAATTTAAAGACAACATTAAAAGTATTTTTTTAAACTTACAATTACCAAAAATACGAAAAATAACTAATGACAATAACATCTAATAAGAAGTAACGAAATTTAATACAATTGCTTATATTTAGATTTCCAACCTTTCTACACTTGAAATCTTAAAAGCATGGGAAATTGCATACAATATATATATATTATATTAGGAGTATATCGGGAGAAAACCACACATGGAAAATACGTATGATCGTTCATTCAGGGCTTAAAAAAAAGAAATGAGTTGAACAAAACTTAAAATTGCAGGGATGGGCAGTGGGGGGGAGGGGGAGTAAAATGGACAGACGTGTCTACCTGTACCTCCAATTGGCAAGGAACCCTTATCGGTTGATGACTCTTGTGAAGAGCCAGTTCCATCTGCAAGCCTCTCCCCACCCCTCCATCTCTCCTCCAGAGCAATAAAAAATGCTATAGTTCTCAGAAGCTAGGAAACATTCCACTGGGCTTTAAAAAATAATAATAAAAATAAAAATTCACAGCTGCAGACCTGGACACAGTGCTGGGATGTTGCCAGTGGTGATGCATGAAGTTAAGGGGGTGGAGAGAAGACGAAGGGGTGGGGTGGGGTGGGGGGGAGAGGGGAAGCCTAGCAGGTTTGTGCACATGTTCTAGCAATTACTGAAAATGGGTCACTTAAAAAAAAAAGTTGCTATCCCTGGGGAAGACAGGTGGCTGGATAGGAGAACTGGGGTCGCAAAGCCTTTGTACTGGATGCAGCTCTGAGAGAGGGAGCGAGTGACCACAGGAGGTGGCTTGTGGTCCAGACACTGACCCCACATATCCCAGCATCTTGTCACCCTGCACTTCCAGGGCTTCAGAGGTCACACCATACACCTGCAGCCCGCTGAAAACACTTGGCTTCTCTCAAAGGGTCCCGGGAATGGCTGTCCCCCCCCCCCCCCCGCCCCCAGTGAACTTACTATTCCCAGCACATACTCAAACAAACTACAGTTCACAGGTTTCTTTGGGAGCAAGCCAAGTCCTTTAGATGGGTGGATGTGAACAGAGTATTAGACACACCCATGGCGAACAGGCCATATAACAGGGCAGAGCATCTTCTTTGCATGCAGATGGTTCCTGGTGTAATAGCCAGCATCTCCAGGTAGGGATGGGTATGTCCCTTGACGGAAAGAGAGCCTCTGCCAGTCCTTGTAAACAATATGGAGCTAGGTGGACCAATGGGCCCCCCATGCACAAGTTCCCCATACCATATATTTGATATATGTGTATATGTGTATCTCTCTCTCTCTCTCTGAACACACACACATACATGGTAACTACAGTTTCATGGCTTGGTTTTAGCTTCTCCCATTGCTAGTCACTCCTTATATCAAGCTGCACCTGCATCCTCATTGCTGTTTTATTAGCCACATAAATAGTCGCCTTTCAACATGTGGCCACCCTGAGTGGCGCATTAGCGGAACACCTGTCCCCCCTCCCTGCCTCGTCTGAAATAAGCCTCTTAAAAATGTTCCTTCCTTATTGCTGTTTCCTCCTCCTTTCCTCCAGGCTTTCCATCGTTCCAGCCTTCCGCTCTTTCTTTCCATTTGTTTTAGCTTCTGTTGTTGTCAAAAACGCTCATAGGTTCTATTTAATGTTAATACCCCTACAAGCCCTCTGCACAGTTGTATTTTTATGTATATAGGAAGATAAAGCCAGGACTTGTAGCAGAGCAAGGTGGTAGAATTTTAAGGGGGAAGAGTGGGCTGCTTCGGGCTGAAAGTGGAGGGTTGCTTGCTCCATGTAAAATCTCTCTGTGGTTACAAAACCTAAACTTAGCTAGTTGGCTGTTGTTGGGTCAGACCAGGGAAGTGTGGAACTTCAGGCCTGGGTGCTGGGTCCTTTAGACTTGGGTCATAAACATAAGTGCTCTGCTGGATAAGGCCAAAGGCCCATCTAGTTCAAGATCCTATTCCCACAGTGGGAAAGCCCATAAGCAGGACCTGAGCACAAGAGCCCTTTCCCCTTCCGTGGTCTCTAGCAACTGGTATTCAGGAGCATTGTAGCCTCCCAATGGTGGAGGCAGAACAGAGCCATTGCAGCCCATAGCCATTGATAACCTCTTCCTCCTCCCCCTCCTCCAATCCTTTTTTAAAGCTGTCCAAGTGGGGGGGCTGTCACTGCCTCCTAGGAGAGTGAGTTCTGTAGTTAAACTCTACACTGCATGAAGAAGGACTCTTTTCAATCTTTCCTAAATCTTCTAACATTCATCTTCATTGGATGTCAATGAGTTCTCGTGTGATGAGAGAGGGAGAAAAACTATCCACTAGTCTCTCCTCATCCCTTGAGACTCTCTACGACTCAGAGTAGACCTGTTGAAATCAATGGACCTGAGCAACTCATGCCCATTAATTTCAATGGATCTACTGAAATTCCAGCAGAAATAACACTGGATATAGGCAACCCAATCCCTAAGAATCCTGGGAAATGTAGTTAAGAGTGTTGAGAATTGTCGCTATGAGAGGGGCAAGCAACAGTTTCAAGGGTCTTTGGGAGCCATTTGCTTTCAATGTGCTTTAAATGTATGGTGTGTTATGCAGCCATGATTTACGACAGCTGACCCAGCTGGGGTGCCATGGATCTTGTTATCTGGCTAACTTTGCTTGGCACTTCCTCCTACATTCGGAGTTGGTGAGAAGGGATATTCAGAGATAAACATAACCCCCAGGGATACAATTTCCTGTCCAGTTCCTTTTTAGCTTTTTTGAGTTAATTTCAAGGCTGTAATTACAATCTTGGTCTCTCGCTGGTGCTGAACTTGCAGATGATGTTTGCTGGTCAGTGTGAGACTGATCCCTCCTTTTCATGGGCTATCTGAGGATAATCTTCTCTTCACAGCATCTCTGTTGTTTATCTGTTCCTGGAGGCCATGTGCCTCCTATATGCTTTCGACTCCAGTTAAGTATTGTTCTGAAAACTGCAAGGGGGAAAAAAGACAGAAAAGTGAAAAGGAAAGATCTCCCTCTTCAGCATTCTGCTTCTTGGTTACTTGATTAATCAGATCTGTCAAATATCAGGTATTTTACCCGCTCATTCTGTAGTTTTGTCTTGGGCTTGCTATCGGGTATTTTATTGAATGAGGCCGTAATCCAGTTGTAACTAACACCACTCACTAGAAACTACAGAATGTGAGAGGTGGTATTGTGCTTGGATCCTGCTTGCTGGTTTCCCTTTGGGGAATCTGCTTGGCCATTGTGAGAACAGGATGCTGGACTAGATGAGCCATTGACCTGATCCAGTAGGGCTCATTTTATCTTCTTATGTTCAAAGTGATCTGGCCCATCAGATTCACCCAACAAAGCATCAGCTTCTTGCAAACAAACATTTATAAATAAACAGTGAGCACCCAAAGGTCAGGTTTTCCATGTCCCACACAGGTGTACCTTATATGTGTGGGAGGAAAATATGAATCCCTGTGACCCACATGTGTGAGTTAAATAACAAAATAATTGGCTGGGTGCCTGGGTTCAACACAGGGGGCTTTGCACAGTCTCCAGCAGGAGAGAGCCCCAATAGCAGAGTTTGAACACACAAAATTCAAGCAGCAGTATAATGTGGGAATTTCGACTGTTGAACCATTTTCATATGTTGTTCAGTTGCATACAGAGTCTCCTTCTATCTACCCCTCTTGGCATGAACAGACCATACACTGTTAAGTAAGTTTAAAATGATTTACTTACAAAATGTTCCAAATGGCAGATTTATGCATTTATCCAAGCAGTAGCAAGGAGAACACAGGCAGAATACGCTTGGATATAAAAGACAGAAATATAGCTTCAAACATGTGCTCTAAGCTAAACACTTGCTTAAGCACATCTTCCTTGACCAGTTACATGGCATACAGAGAGCGAGAGAGCGTGAAAGAGAGAGAGCAGAAAGAGAAGGCTTCACTTCCTCTCTCATCTGAGAAAAGGGGCATGGCTAGCTGAGTCTAGGAATATAACTCTGTAGTCTTAACTCCTTCATACACTAACTAGCACTCACACATAGTTATGTTTGACTGCAATTTCCCACAATCTGTCTTTGTTTCACCTTCCTTTCTCTCAGTGTTACAAGCACCCGGGTAGTAAATAACATCTGCTTGCAATTTCTTGCTCCTTTGCTAGAAGGGAGAGGGAGATGCATAGAACCATCATGCACTGATTGTCTGCCTGTGATTAATGACACACCTGTTCAACAGCCCAGCCAGCCCAGAGCATCCATCCAGGGCAGGTAGGTCATTAATCACATTGTGTGGAGGGAGCTGCATTGATTTACTGGAAGCAGAGAAGCTGGCAGCACCTTCATGTTCTTTTGCCTTGGCTCACAGAGTCTGCCTCTGTAACATTTTGGAATCTGGAACTGGTTACTTTAGGGACGCTCTGAATAACAGCCACAGATTTCTGCTCCTTACATCAAAACCACCTCTTTACTCTGTTGCTGAGGAGTGTCTCAAACAGGCTGTGAGTTTTAGAATGTTACTGCTTTGTATCATCATCATCATCATCATCATCATCATGCAACTAAGTGGGCAAATTTTGGCCCTGGCAGGTTATTGCAATAACATTGTGACATTCAGAACTGGGTACCCTGAGTTCAAGGGTGTACATAGGGGTTGGCTATGTTGGCCCCTGCCAAGAATGCAGGTCCAAGCCCAGTGGGGATGCAAAAATCACACCTCTCCACTCTTGCAAGGAGTGGCTAGGGGCTTGCCCACCCATACATGCACTCTCCTGACCACTTATCCGCTGCTCTGTAGGGGATGGAGGGAGTGCCAATACAACTCCTTGCCAAGGATGCAAGGAAGCCTAGCTTTCCTTTTCCCTCCTCCTCCCTGTTTCCTTTTGTGCTGTACTTTTTAGATTGTAATTCCAAGGTCTGTGGAGAGAGGGGGGGCTCTGGGAGTCTTTTTAGCTGAAAAGTGGGGTGAAGAAATGCTTTAAATAAACCAAGCAACCTGCAATTGCCCATGGAAAGTAAGCCTCACCCCTAAGGTTTTTCTGTTAAGCCAGAGACTTGTTTACATGTTACCCTGAGCACAGGGACAGGCTGTCTCTCCACATGTACAAGCATCTATGTGAAAAGTGTGTACACTTGCTGATGTGTACAACTGTTTGTTCCCAGAGGCAGCACTTGTTACACATTTTAACCATATGTGTGCACACACAGATTTCACACTTGCTGAACATCATGTGTGAACACATCTCCTGAAATTCAGAAGCCAAGAGCAAGGTGTTACTATTAGTATATGAAGCCCTGAACAACTTCAGGCCAGTTTACCTATTCAGTTGCCTTAACCCATATACACCCATTCGACTGCTTCAATCTGCAGAACTAGCTATTACAGGTGCCATATACAGTGGTACTTCGGTTTACGAACTTAATCCGTTCTGGAAGTCCGTTCTTAAACTGAAACCATTCTTAAACAGAGGTGCGTTTTCCCCAATGAAGCCTCCTGCTGCTAGTGCCCTTCCACCGGTCAGATTCCGTTCTTAGACCAAGGTAAAGTTCTCAAACCAGGACACTACTTCCGGTTTTGCAGAGTTCGTAAACCAAATCGTTCTTAAACGGACTGTTCTTAAACCAAGGTACCACTGTATACCCATTCTTCATTTGAAGGAAAACAATCTTTTAGTGCGGCACACTTTGGAACTCCCTGGCTATTGATATCAGGCAGGTGCCTTTGCTGTACTCTTCTGGTACATGCTTATACATGTGCAGAGACGCCTTATCCCTGCTGAGAGGCAGTGACTGGCTGTACTCTTTCTGGTTCCTGCTAAAAACATTCCTGCTTAGACAATCCTACCCAGATCTTTAGAAAGTTGGTGTGAGTTTTGATCTGTTTTTAGTCTATTGCTGTTTTAACTTTTTGAATGTCTTGCAGGCACTGTAACCACTACACCAAACTGATCATTATATTTCATAAACTGGCATTGATGATTTTAGTTGTACTATGTTTTGGGGTTCTAATTATTCATTTGGTTTATTCAGTGTTATTTTTCTAGAAAATGATGTGCCGGAACTCAATGGTGCCCATCCGCGTAGTGCCAGAAAGGAGTCCCGGCGAGTTCCGGCTGGAAAAAAGCCCAGGTTTTATTGTTTACTGCTGATTTTATTCTTCATTGCCTCCGTCCAACACACACTTTGCACAGGAGTAAGTCCCACTGAGCTCAGTGGGGCTTACTTCTGAGTAGACACATACAGGATTGCACCCTCTGCTTTGTTGAATATTATTTTACCCTGCAATCTGCTTTGAGTGGGCTATGGCTCTTAAAGGTGGCCTGGAAATATTATAGTAAGAAGTTTCGCGGCTTCCCCATGGGCTTGATGGTATATCAAATTATTTCTGACCGGTGTTTGCTCAGCAGATCAATGTGCAAAATGCTGCATTTAGGTTCCAGAACATGGTTTTGCATCATAAGAACACAAGAACAGCTTGCTAGATGAGACCAGTGATCCATCGAGTCCAGCATGCTGTTCTTACAGTGGCCAACCATATACACCAATGTGGCTCCCCCCCTCCAATCTCTCCCCGAATTCCACTGCAACAGGCCTCCCCCCCCCCAATGATCAATTTACTGAGTCAACAGAGACAAAACTGGCAGCCTTTGTGGTCTCACTTGCCTGGAAACCTGATTGATTCCTGCCCGTGGTACGGAGGTGATATCGATTTGGCTGGACTCTGATGGCAGGATTAGCTTTTGCCTCATAGACACATCTTCAGGCACAAACATTCTCTAATCCTTTAAACACACACACACACACACCCTCATCCAGCAAGCCCGACTGCAGAAAACTGGCTAGCTGTGGTTGGCGGAACAATTGTGGGTTTGTGGGGGGGGGGGGGGGCGGCGGGAGGGAAAGCACCATGACTGTAATGCACAGTGGTGGTGCTGGAGGAGTGCTGAGCCGCTGAAGAGAGGCATCTCAGGGAGACTGCAGAGCTCCTAGCCCATCTGCCTGACAGCTATAAAACTGACTCAAGTTGACTTGGGATAACCGCTAAGCAGCCTCCTCCTTGCTGGAAGCTGAAGGCTCTTGGCTGCCCTTTTGAAGTCTGAGGAGAGGGGTGGGGGAGAAGACGGGAGGAGAGAGAAAGTGTGTGTCTGCAATTTCTGCACCTCCTCCTGCTCTGCTCCCTCTCAGTTTCGCCCCAGTCCTCCACCGACCAGAGCCTGTTGCACCTGGACCCTTGCAGCATCTTTTCCCCCCCCCGCACTTGAAAAAGCAAGCATCTGGCTGTCTGGCTGGCTCTCACATTCTCCAAGGTAGGTTTTTTCTTTTTTTCTTTTAAAAAGAAACTCAAATTTCCTTTTTCTTTTGCTTGTTGGTGTGTGTGTGTTTCATGTTTAATTGCACCCACTTCACAGATTCCAAACACACACACACACACACTTTCCTGCTAAATGGCTTTCAGGGGAAAACATCTTTGCATTTTTGGTTGAGACAGAGCTTTTCTTTAGGTGCTGTGTGAGGCAGGAGGCTGTTATATAATACGAGTGTAGCGATCCCAGAATGGGCAGCCACCTTGACTTTTTCCCTTCTGTGTCCTGCTAAGTGCATTTCCTTGGAAAGTCCTCCCTGCCCCCAAATAACCAAAGCCAGAGAGGCATTTTGGAATCACTGTTCTGCTGATGGGGGTTTTCTTATTTAATATATATAGAAGTAGAAACAATAGGCTTTCCCCCCCCCTTCCCCTCCTTCTCCAGTCTTTTGGACTGAATGAAGAATAATTATTTGGCTGGCTTTGGACCAGAGGTGGCTTGAAGCTCTAATGGAAACCAAGTGCTCTGGGTAGGTTTCAGCCACCTGTCCCCAGGATGCGCAGTCAATAATTTTGGGGATTTAAATTTAATTGGTATGGATTCTGAGCTTTGGGAAACCAAGTGCAGTGAAGCCCACAAACTCTCCTTTCTTGGACATTTTGAAGCAGAGGTTGGGTGGCCACCTGCCAGGCAATATTTGATTGTGATTCCTGCTTTGCAAGGGGGTTGACTAGATGGCCCTTGGGGGTCCTTCCAACTCTATTATTCTATGAAAATTGACACCGTGAAAGGGTGGATGAAAATATGATACTCTGTTGGGACTCCACTGGACAAAAACCTTGGCCATCTCCATGGCCAAAAGCAGGGCTGGCCTGTGGGTCTAATTAATTAATTTATAATCTGCTGATCACATTTATATCCCACCTTCAAGGGGGCATACATAGTTCTTTCCCCCATTTTATCTTCACAACAATCTTGTGAGGTAGTTTATTGGCTGAGAGAGATGTAGACTGGCCTCCAAGGTCACTCAGTCAGTTTCATGGCTGAGCTAGTCCAACACTCTAGCCACTGCACCACCTATGTAGATGTCTGGTCTGGTAGGGAGAGGGTTGGTTCTGAGCATTGCCAGTTTTTCCTTCTGTGAAATGGGCATTTTGTGAGGCACATGACAGCTTCTTAGATTTCCAGATGTACCCCCCCCCCCGAGGCCCAAAAGGGTTAGAGACCCCTGCTGATGTGAAGAACGGGGGTGTGGTTTTTATGAAGGATAGAAAAGGTGGGATAAAATAGATGTTTAGAAAATTAGGCGCTAAAATAACTGAGACACAGGGACCAGCACCAGGGTTGCATCAAAGTAAGTTCTGCCCAGAGTAGAGGCATTGAAATGAATGAAATGAATTCCTGCTGGAGGATGGGTCAGTTGACCAACTGGGATCCCTTCCAAATCTACCATTGTACAATTCTAATATTCTACAATTCTCAGACAGCCATGTTCATTCATTTCATTGCATCTGCTCTGTAAATGACTAATCCATGGCAGCTTCCCTGGGAGGGCATGACATGGGCAGTCAATGGGCCCTGCTCAGAGGAGCTCTGTGCTTTTGGGTGTAATAAGAGCCTGGTGGATCAGGCCAATGACCCACCTAGTCCAGCATCCTGCTTGCATAATAGCCCACAATATGCCCCAAATGGGAAGCCTGCAAGCAAGACCTATGTGCAACAGCACTCTCCAGTTATGTTTCCCACTGTCTGATATTCAGAGATAGACTGCCCCAAGGCATGGAGGTTCTGCCATCACAGTACACCTCCACATGGAGAGCCTGCTGGATTGGATCAATGGCCCATCTAGTCCAGCATATTTTTCTTACAGTGAATAATGGGGTACTCATTATGGGAAACCCACAAGCAGGACCTGAGTGCAAAAGTCCTCTCCCCTCCTGTGGTTTCCAGCAACTGGCGTTCAGAAGCATTACTGCTTCCGACAGTGGAAGTAGAACATAGCCATTGTGGTTAACGGTCACTAATATCCTTATACAATCATAGAATCATAGAATTGTCATTTGGAAGGGATCCTGAAAGTCATCTAGTCCAGCCCCCTGCAGTGCAGGAATCCTGGGTGGGCTTGAACCACCTGCCTCCAACAAAGTTCTTTTAAAGCCACCCAAGTTGGTGTCCATTACTGTCTCTTGTGGCAGCAAATTTCATTGTTTAACTAAGTGTTGTGTGAAGAAGTATCTTATCTTGTCTGTAATGAATCTTCCAAGATTCATCTTCATTGGGTGGCCCCACAGGGTTCTAAATGTTACAAGAGAGGGAGGCCATTTTCTTTGCCTGCTCTTGTACACTTCTAGCAGATCCCCATACAAAGTAATACATTCACACCATACTTTTAAAGCAGTGTGATACTGCTTTATGCAGTCATAAAGGTAAAGGTAAAGGTACCCCTGCCCGTACGGGCCAGTCTTGCCAGACTCTAGGGTTGTGCGCTCATCTCAGTCTAGAGGCCTGGAGCCAGCGCTGTCCGCAGACACTTCCGGGTCACGTGGCCAGCGTGACAAGCTGCATCTGGCGAACTAGCGCAGCACACAGAATGCCGTTTACCTTCCCGCTGGTAAGCGGTCCCTATTTATCTACTTGCACCCGGGGGTGCTTTCAAACTGCTAGGTTGGCAGGCGCTGGGACCGAACGATGGGAGCGCACCCCGCCGCGGGGATTCGAACCGCTGACCATGCGATCGGCAAGTCCTAGGCGCTGAGGTTTTACCCACAGCGCCACCCGTGTCCATTTATGCAGTCATGGATTCCCCCAAAGGATCCTGGGAACTGAAGTCTGTTCAGGGTGCTGAAAGTTGTTAGGAGACCCTTCTGTTTCCCTCTGAGAGAGAGAGCTACAGTTCCCTCAGTGGTTTGCACATTCCATCTTCCCAGGGATCTCTGGGAATTATAGTTTGGGGGCAGGCGGGAATAGGGGTATACTAACAACCCTCAGAACCCTTAACAAACCAAGATACTTTCAGGGAAGCCATGGCTGTTTAAAGCAGCATGCTACTGCTTCAAATGTAGGGTGAGGATTTGGATGTTGGAAGATTCAGGGCAGATGAAATAAAGTCTGTCCTCACACAGCACATATTTAAACTGTGGAACTCCCTCCTACAGGAGGCAGTGATGGCCACCAATGTACAGTCATACCCTGGGTTACGAATGCTGCGTGTTGCGCATTTTCGGGTTGCGGACCACGCCGAACCCGGAAGTACTGGAATGGGTTACTTCTGGGTTGCGGCACTCGCGCATACGCAGAAGTGCAAAATGACATCACACACATGCGCAGAAGCGCTAAATCGTATCACGTGCGTGTGCAGACACGGCGCTTCAGGCTGCGAACGCTGCAGGTTGCAAACGTGCCTCCCGCACGGATCATGTTCACAACCGGAGGTATGACTAGATGGTTTTAAAAGAGGATTAGACAAATTCATGGAGAAGGAGGAGGCTACAGCCATTAATGCTTTCGAATACCAGTTGCTGGAAACCACAGGATGGGAGAGTGACGCTTATCTTCAAGGTTGGGCACCTTTATGAGGCATCACCTTCTGTTCACCCGGTGAGGGACATGGAGTTGTGGGGTTTTCCCAGGCCAGCACAAACCCCAAAATTGGCTTCGCACCAGCCCAGGAAATGGATTACAACCTGCCTGCCAATTGGCCAACCGCAGGCAGGCTGACCAAAGGCTCTAACCCTGGAGCAGATTAGACTGGAGCCAGCAGGCTTTACTCTGGTCCACAGTTTGGGAATTTAAACCCATCCAGCCTCCACCTCCTTGTCCAGTTCCTAGTTGGATCTCCCATCACCTCTCCTTTTTCTTTGGCTCTTGGGCTCTGCATGACCTTGCTAGGGACTATTGTTGGTCACCATATTCGGGGCCAGGCAGGAATTTGTCAGACTGATTCAGGGCCAGGCAGACTAACTGGATCTGTCCTTAGGTTTTGCCTGCCTCATAGCAATTGTCACAACTTTGGTGGTTAAGGCATTGAGTAAACTTGAGTCTTCATTGGAGGGGAGGTTGTAGCCTCTGCCTGCCTCTCCAATTTTCAGGGGTATCTTGTTAAATGAATCTGAGAGGAGTTGCTTTTGTCCTGAAGCTCAGGCAGGAGCTAGGGCCATAGCACTCCTCAAGGTGACCACCCCTGTGTCGTAGGAGTTGACCTCTTCAGCTAGGGGTGACCCCTACGGGTATACCCCAAGAGGCAGGCGGGCTGACAGTTCAAATAGTTATACCCAATGCCTTGCCAAAAGTTGTGGGCTGATTTGACCCAAAATAATGTGTGCTTTCTTGGGAGGCGGATATGAGTGCCAGGGGTGCCTGGTTCATACAATGTTTGAATCTTGCTTATAGGTTTCTCACTGGGGCATCTGTTTGACCACTATGAGAACAGAATGCTGGACTAAACGGGTCATTGACCTGATCCACCAGTCTCTTCTTATGTTCTTTTTTAATTTTTTAAATCTTGGAGTCATGGAGTTTGCCCATTTGCTACAGACAAGCTGGCTGTCCTCCCTGCTGCTCCCCAATGGGTGTAGGATGGTGGCAGCAGCCTCTGGCTGCCAGAATGGTATTATGGCCTTTCTTGCTTTGGAGGCTCTGAAGCCGCCTTCTTTGAGAGCCTCCAGAAGAGTTTGAACACCTAAGGACAATCATCTCCCCATTGCTGAGCCTCACGGATGCCTGTTCTGAGCTAGTTCTTCCCCACAGTCTCTTGTTCCAGTCCTCCAAAATCTCATTGCCTGGCTGGAACAGGACACCAAGCGACTCAGACACAGTCTGAACATCCGTGCAGCTTTAATATAATCATCCAGCTTGGGAAAATCCAGCACCTCCACTCCTGGCAGGCGGAGAGGCGGGGATGAGTAGGAAATTCGCGCTCTCCAGGCAGCCAAAGAAAGTGGGGAGTTGGGGGAAGAAGCCAGCACTACTCTGAAAGGCTGAGTTTTCTTAGAAAGGGGAATCCTCGGTGTCTCTTCTGTAAGACGGAGGAGGAGGAGCCCAAAGAGGGAAGGGTAAGTGGTGGGCAAATCTGTCAATTTCACTTTATTTAATACCCAACATTTCTTCCAAGATGCTCATGGAGGTGGTACATAGTCCTCCCTCTCCCCATTTTATCCTCACAACAACCCTGTGAAGTAAGTTAGGCTGAAAGGCAGTTACTGACCCCCCCCCCCAGGTCACACCCAGTGAGCTTCATGGCCCAGTAGGGGCATTTGAATTCTGGTTTCCCAGGTCCTAGTCCAACACTCTGACCACTACAATCCACTGCACTGGCTCTTCCTCTCAATTTATCACTTTTCCAATCTTAAGTTCAGTCAATCTCCAGATTTGTTTGCTATTTTTAAAAAAAGTTCTCATGAAAAGTTACCAGCACCTTAGTACATATTTTCCCTAATAGACACATATTTGTATATAGTTTTCCCTCATCTACACATTTACACAATGCAGTTTCTCCCAATGTTTTCTCCCAATGTTTTCACTAATACATGCATTTTTAATGCACACTTTTGCTTTAATATATGCATTTTGGGACATATTATTCGGCTGGAGAACTACACTGCAAGACAATTTTGAAGGATGGCTGCATGTTTTGGAAAGCACTGATTTGGTAGGGTTGTCTTTAAATGCAAATTGAGTCGACTTTTTCCTCCATCCCTGGTCTGGAAGCACCCATTTTTCCACATTTCCATCCAGTGAGAGGGCAGTGATTCCTGACCTCATTCTGAATTGGCTCTGTGATGACACCCTGTCAGAGGAGTCGGGTAAAGGTAAAGGGACCCCTGACCATTAGGTCCAGTCGTGACCGACTCTGGGGTTGCGGGGCTCATCTCGCTTTATTGGCCAAGGGAGCCGGCGTACAGCTTCCGGGTCACGTGGCCAGAGGAGTCAGATTTCCACCCAAATCCCTCAACAGAACTACCCTTTTTAATGAGGGGGACCTTGGGGTTTCCTATTCAAAGCTTTTCTCAGAGCAAGGGGAGAAATTCATTGCAAATTTCGCACCACTGAAACTCCATGCTTGGACGAAGCGGAGGTGTCTTAATAGAATGCCCCCACCTGGAAGACAAGCAGAATGGCAGTTCCAAGAGGGCAGCTTGTGTAGGGGTCCCCCACACCACATTGTGATGGGGCAATTATTTATTTGACAACATTTATATGCCACTTGATTGTAAACCTCTAAGCAGTTTACAAAAAAAATATTAAAATTATCAGTAAAAATGGTTAAAAAACTTTTTAGATAATACAAATCAATGGGGGGGGGGGGAGAGAGAGAGAGAGAGAGAATAAAACATGTCAACATCTATGTGCCTAAACAAAAATGTTTAAAGCAGGCACCGAAAAGAATACAGTGAAGGTGCCTGCCTGGCGTCAACAGGCAAGGAGTTCTGAAGTGCATGTGTGCCACACTGAAAGATCAATTTCTCACAATTGTGGGAATGAGTATCATGTGGCACCTCTAACAGTGTCAGTTCTGCAGAACGATGAGCACCTATGGAGCAAGATGGTCCTGCAGTGATGACCAAATTCCTCAGTGCTTGTTTCCTGCCAGATTTTTCATTCCTTCATTTCATAAAATTTATATACTTCTTTTTTGTTATTTTTAAAAAATACACATGAAAGCAGTTTAAACCTGCTTCATAGAAACATAGAATTATAGAGTTAGAAGGGGACCCAAAAGACAATCTAATCCAATTCTGAAAAAATTCAATCTTTGCTTCTTGCTTTCTTAGGATGAAGAGAATCAAGGGGACCTGGGAGTGCAGCTTTATTGGCGACTGCACTCACCTGAAAGGGGCTCTTGCATTCGCACTCTTCATAGGGAACGTTGCCCTGGTGATATCACAAGTGAGAATTTTCTTCATTCACAAATGTATTAAAAATATCCATATACCACCAGGTATGCTAGCACCTCCAGGTGCTGCCCAGTGACAATGTGTAAAATGCAATACAAGCAGTGGTCTAGTGGTTTGGGGGTTACCAGAGGGGGTGTGTGTCAAAGACCTGTTACTATTTCTGCAACAGCATCCCAGAAGGCTCCCTGTCTCCAGGATCCTTGAGCAGACCAATCAGCATGAAAGGGGAGGTTTGTTTAGCCACTGGGAAGAAGCCTTCTTGCCCTTTGCACTAATTGGATCCAGTCAGAGTGAAAGGAGTTGAGTCAGCCCTGAGAATGGGATCCTGGGGCCCCTCTGGATAAGGTACATGGGAGGAACACCAAAGAGTTTGCTCTGTAAGCTGAAAAGCTAAGCATTTAGGAACATTGAAAAGACAACGGAAGGAATGCTTCCGTGTCAAGAGAATGGGGTACAAGTTCTGTTACGTACAATGGCACTTCAATGAAAACACAGCTTAAGTCACTCTGAAAGAAGATTTTGGAGCACTCCAAATGATTTGTCCACATACATGCACAGAAAAATAGCAGATTTAGCTGAAAGGAAACACATAGAGATCTGCATTGATCATTGTAATGCATCCCTAATTATTACTGTTGTATAATTATAAAGTTGTTGTATAATCTTAGAAGGGGGCCTGGCTATGACTCTCATGAAGGAACCCTGCACTTCTGAATTTGCCACTACAGTACACTACTGAATGCAAGTACAGAATATGCAATACAATTTAAAATCGGACACAAATGAAGCAGTCAAGATGTACTGAAAAATGACAGTGGCAGGCATGAAGAATCAGTGTGTGTCAAAAGGGTGATAGCTCAGTGGTAGAGCCCCTGCTCAGCATGCAGAAGGTTCCAGGTTCGGTCCTCAATGGCACCCTTGCTACGCCATGGTGAAACCCTATTCTGAAACCTTGGAAAGACACTGTCAGTGAGTGCAAGCAGTACTTTGACAGATAAACCAAGGGTTTTACTCTTTAGGCAGATTCCTATGTCCCTACCTATATCTGCTGTCAGATGCAGAATTATGAGGACTAGAATCTTACTTTATGTTTAGCTGAAGGAGCAACTGCTGAGTGGCAGAGTCCCTGCTTTGCATGCAGGAGGTCCCAGCTTCAGCCTCCAGTGGCATCTCTACGTAGGATGAATGTCTCCTATCTGAAATCCTAGAGAACCTCTGCCAGTCCATGTCAAAGATACTGAGCAGGATGTGCCAGTGGTCTGACATGGCTGCTCTGCACAAGTATGTGCTAAATACGAGCAACCCATAAACGGGGGCTCCTGTCTTCAGTGGGGGAAGGAAATGGAGATGTAGCTGCCAGACGGGCATGAAACCTCAAATGAACTGAAGTAGGACAAAAATGGGGAAAGAATTGGTTTCAGCAGCTGAACCATGTTTGTTGAAGTATCCCTTTAACCAATCAACTCATCTCGCCTCTAATTTATCTTCTTTGCCCCTAAATGGCAAACAGGAGAACCTTCAGGCGTCCAACAGCCTTGAGGAAGGCAGCGACATCACTGCCCACTGGTGGGGCGAGTGGACCAAGTGGACGGCTTGCACCCGGACGTGTGGGGGAGGAGTCAAATCCCAAGAGAGGCACTGCTTGCGGCAGAGGTAAACCCCTTGCTCCAATGAACTCATCTCACCCCCCCCATCCTCTGAACAATAAAACTTTCCCATTGGTTCCGAAGGGAGCATCTCAGGCAGCCTCCCTCGAATCAGGTGCCCTTAAGGTTGAACCAGGGCTGATGGGAGCTGTAATCCATAGCCATCTGGATAGGGCTTCCTGGTGATTTGTTGCAGGAAGGTTAACATTTTCAGCCAAAGGATCACTGTCCCCTTGAAGGGAACCTTCAGAAAGGTGGGCATGGCCAGGACAAAAGCAGGCAGGTTAGTGGCTGTGATTCTTACCATTGTGTAGCCAGATAAATTCCAGCTGCACACAGCACAGAAGTTCCTTTTATATGCAGACGTATCTTTCCATCCCCCATCCAGGTAAGAAAGAGGCATTATCCCAGTTCAAAAACACTATTCCAACCAGGCAAATGCACTGAAGGAGGCAGCGAAGCAGGGGTATCAAGAGAGGTTGTGTGTGTAGCCTTGGGAGAATTTTAAGGGCCACATAAGAGGTGACATGGGACATGGGTGGTGCTGTGGGTTAAACCACAGAGCCTAGGACTTGCCGATCAGAAGGTCGGCGGTTTGAATCCCCACAATGGGGTGAGCTCCTGTTGCTCGGTCCCTGCTCCTGCCCACCTAGCAGTTTGAAAGCACATCAAAGTGCAAGTAGATAAATAGGTACCGCTCTGGCGGGAAGGTAAACGGTGTTTCTGTGTGCTGCTCTGGTTCGCCAGAAGTGGCTTAGTCATGCTGGCCACATGACCAGCTGTACGCCGGCTCCCTCGGCCAATAAAGCGAGATGAGCGCCACAACCCCAGAGTTGGTCACAACTGGACCTGATGGTCAGGGGTCCCTTTACCTTTATTCTTGCTGATATTTGTAAGCCATTCTGGGGCCCTTTCTTTTGGATGATAATGATGCGTTTCATTTTTCGCTTGACTTGATCCTGTTTCCTTTTCTTTCTGTGTTTAGAAAGAAGTCCATGACGGGGCTCGCTAATAAAACATGCACTGGGACATCAAAAAGATACCAGCTATGCAAAGTGCAAGTAAGAGGAGCATTTTCATGCTTTTTTAAAATTATTACTGAGATGCAGCTTTCAGTCTTAACTAGCAAGGTACAGATTCCATGCAGCTGTAGAAAATATGAACCAGCTACCACCACTATTTCAACTCAGGCCACCTTCACACCATACATTAAAAGTGCTATGATGCCACTTTAAACAGCCATGGCTTCCCCCAAATAATCCTGTTAACGTGTTGAGAGTTGCTTGCAAACCCCCATTCCTCTCCCAGAGCTACAGTTTCCAGAGTTCCAGAGTGTGAAGAAGAATTGGTTGTTAAGCCACTCTGGAAATTGTAGCTCTGTTCTCAGGATTCTTCAAAGCCTTAATAATATGGTGTGGATATCATCATCATCATCCTCGATTAGTAGAAATAGGAACCTTCCTAATGCCAGTTGTTGGAAACCACAGGAGGGAAGAGGGCTCTTGTGCTCAGATCCTGTTTGCTGGTTTCCCACAGGCATCTATCTGGCCTCTGTGAAAAGAGGTTGTTGGACTAGAGGAGCCCTGGCCTGATCCAGCAGGCTGTTCTGGTGTTCTTTTATTAGCCTGTAACAGTCCCAGGATCTTCCTGATTCCCTTGCACATTTGGGTTTTGACAGCCCACCATCAGTTCACCCACAAGGGCGGGAAAAGCCTCTGGAATGTAGAAGCAGATTCTCCTTCTCCTCCACCTCTTCCTCATCTGGACTTGTCTCTTCCTTTTCCAGCAGTGTCCCCCGAATGGCAGGAGCTTCCGGGAGCAGCAGTGCACATCCTTCAACTCCCACATGTACAACGGGCGGACGTATCAATGGAAGCCATTGTATCCTGGTAAACAAGGAGGCCTTTTGTCCAGGCGCTTTTGATAAGGCAAAGCTTACTCTCACCCCACCTCATCCAAAAAAGACAGAAAGACAGGCACACACACAGACAGAGAGAGAGAGAGGATTTGAAATGAATGGAGTTCTCTTCTGTTCTAGGAAGGAGGCTCCAACCAGATTTTATCAGAGGAGCAAAGCTCCCCACCCACATCTTTCCCTGGGCTCAAAGGCAGTTGCAACAGCTGCTTTGAAATGACAAGAAGGGATCAGGGGAAGCATTGTGATGAACTAGGACTGGGTCAAATATCCACTAGTTTCTAATGCATATGCAGAAATGACCCTATCTGACAGCCAGTCATGAACTTGCTTATGGGTTGCTGTTGTTGTTATTTAAATTGATTAGTTGCTTTCTCTCTTTTAGCGACTTACAACAAACAAACAAACCCCCGTAGATACATTAAAACATCCCACCCACTCTAAAAGGCCCTAGATAGTTAAGAGCTAAAGGCTTGGTTTAAAAGGAATGTTTTTGTCTGAAGATATATATAATGATGGCATTAGGCAAGCCTCCTGGAGAGAGCACTGCACAAGCAGGGAGCCACCACTGAAAAGGCCTTGTTCACGTGTTGCCACTATCTGGGCTTCCTGTGGAGGCAGACACATGAAGAAGAGCCTCAGATTATGATCAGAGGTTAGAACGCCACTTCAAGGTAGATCAAATACTTTTCCATATTTTGAGACGCCACCTCAGTGTGTGAAAAGTGCACTCAAAAATTTGTGTTATTTACAGATGTGATGCATCCATAATGTGTACTTTATGGGGAAGCACACTGGAAAATACCTATTTGGAGGAAATTTGTTCCATAATGCGTATAATAATGTGCATAACAAGCACATTTTAATTTTAAAGGCAGAAGTTTCATGGGTTCCCTCCCCCCCAAACAAATCTACACAAAACAGAGTAGGGCAGGCTTTCAACTGAGTAACAGTGAAAATGAAATGGGATGTCCTAGCCACCATGGAGACTATGCTCTTCCTTCACAGTCAGAGGCAGTAATGTTTCTGAATGCCAGTTGCTGGAAACCGAAAGAGGGAAGAGTGTTCTTCTGCTCAGATCCTACTTGCTGGTTTCCCATTGAGGTATCTGGTCTGCCACTGTGAGAACAGGATGCTGGACTAGATGAGCCCCCTTTGGTGTGATCCAGCTGCAGAGCTCTTCCTATGTCCTGATGTTATGCTATACTTTCTACCCCACAATGATGGATATTTTGCTGGTGACATTTAATAAGCAACTGCGTGGATTTGTGTGTGAGCGTGTGTGTGTGTTTGGTCAGTGTGTGCAATATCATTTGTCCTCCTATCTCCAGATGACTATGTCCACATCTCCAGCAAGCCCTGTGATCTCCACTGCACAACCATCGATGGTCAAAGGCAGCTCATGGTCCTGGCTCGGGACGGGACGTCCTGTAAATACTCCGATTTCCGTGGGGTTTGCGTTTCTGGAAAATGTGAGGTTGTTAAACATTATAGCAACCATATTGTCAGCCCAGGGGGTGGGGGAGATGGGACAAGAAGAGGGGGACACACAAATGACCCTGTTGTGGGGAGCCCAGAATCTGGGAGATGGGTGCTGACCAGTGGGGAACTGCATGGCCATTGTGGGGTGAAGTTGCATTAGAGGCTGCTGGAATTTGTAGTTCTGCAGAGTATTCCCTCGCGTCAACTTCCACTCTCAGCATCTGTAAAGATCCCAGGGGAGAAAACCTCCAGGATAGGCTTCTTCCAGCAACATTAGTGAGGAAGTGATGGGTGGGCAAGATCTCTATTGCACCACATGTCCAAGAAGTGAAATAGCAGCCAGCAACCCCTCCTTCTTACCTGTTGGCCAAGGTGACATTGAATATCATTTGATGTGGGGCTTGGGGCACAGGAGGGTGTCTTGGACCAGGAGCAGAGAGAGAGGATCTGAGCCAGGAGGACTGGAAGCACAGCCAGCTAGTGAGGATCTCTTTGGTCCGTGTGTGTGGCAATGATGGCCCCCAACTTGGATGGCTTTGAAAGAGGGTTGGGGAAATTCATGGAGGAGGAGAATGCTACCAGTGACTACTAGCCATGATGGCCATGCTCTGGTCAGAGGCAGTATTGCTCCTGAATGCCAGTTGGGCTTCTTCATTCTACATTGGATTACTTTGGCCTGATCCAACAGGCTTTCTTATGTGATGGTGGGGAAGGCTACCCATAGCTACTACCTCCTGTGCTTCAAGGCAACAAGGGTTCTGAATACCACTTGTTGGAAACTGTAATGGGGAGAGGGCTCTTGTGCTTACGTCCTGCTTGCAGGCATCCCATTGGGGCACTGGTTGGCCACTGTGAGAAGAAGATCTGGACTAGATGGGCCACTGGCCTGATCCAGCAGGGATCTTCTTGTGTTCTTATGTGTGGAAACAATGTGTGTGTGTGTGTGTGTGTGTGTGTGTGTGTGTGTGTGTGTGCATTGAATGTGGGTGAGACTGTGCGGGGTGGGGGTGGTGAGCATATAAGTGTATGTGAATGAGTGTGAATAGGGAAGTGGGATGTTTTAAAAATCCAACCAGTTTTTTGGGGGGGGTGGGGTGGGGAGGAGAAACATTAAATAAAAATATTTTTGCTCCCTGCCAGGGATGGGGCTGGTCTCACCTTTGGGAGTCAACTCTGCAATGGTGGGCAGGGTTTGGGTTTGGGGGGATGTCACAGTTAAGGCCCCATCTTGCATTCCCACCAGCCAGAGTACTTTTCATGGTGGGAGATGTGGTGGGGCTTCTGAAGACAATTTCAGCCTGCAGGCTGCTTCATACAGGAGGAGGCTGATCTTTCAGATATCCTGGCCCTGAGTCATTTAGGGCTTTGTAGGTAAGCATCAGCACTCTGAACTGGACCCAGAAGCCAGAGCAGTTTGCTTGTGATTTATTGAACAATCTTCCATTCCTCCTTTTTAAAGAGAAGCTGAGAAGGCCCTAGCTCAGTGATAGAGCACCTGCTTTGCATGCAGAAGGTCCCAGGTTCAATCCCCAGTGGCATCTCTAGGATAGAACCCCTACATGAAACCCCGGAAAGCTGCTGCTGGTCAGTGTAGACAATGCTGAGCTAGATGGATCAATGCTCTTCAGTAGGAAGCAGCTTCCTTTGTTCCCAGGAAGGGCTGTAACTCAGGCAAAAAGCCCTCCCCTCGGTCACCACCAATTGTACTCAGGTCAGCATAATGTTGTGAAATAGGTTGCAGGGAATGCCACCAGCAACTGGTTGGCCAGTGTGAGAAGAGGATGTGGACCGGATAGGCCTTTGGTCTGATCCAGCAGGACTCTTCTTAACTGATAGCTGAGAATGGAACCTCCAGGCCCAGAGGCAGCTGATTGGATTCACAGGTGGGGAGAGCTGTTGTTGTTCTCAGGTCCTGTTTACAGGATTCCCATTGGTTTGGCCATTCTGAGAACCGGATGTTGGACTAGATGGGCCTCCTCTGGCCTGATCCAGCAGCCAGACTTTTCTTGACTTAATGTTGCCTTGGCTGTTTGCATCCCATCACAGCCTTCTTCCACAGGTCTGTTTAGAAGGCTCTAACACCCCAACATTTTTAGTTTGTTCAGCCTGATTCTGATGCGGATCTATGACTATGTGATATTTACAGGGGCTTCGTAACATGAAGGGGTAGAACAGAGGGCTCTCCATCACACACAATGTCGCTGGCCCTGAGATTACTACTGCCAAACACACAGAGACACAGCCCAAAGTGTCAGCATGATATTTGAATTGCAGTGACTGTGCCCCTCTACCTGACCATTGACACTCTATTTTACACTGTTTCCAGCCTATTGGATGTGACGGGATCCTGTTCTCAACTCACACGTTGGACAAATGTGGTGTTTGTCAAGGAAATGGGAGCAGCTGCACTCATGTCTCCGGGAGTTACAGAAAGGGAAATTCACATCTTGGTAAGGCTGGAGGGGTATTTTGTTCTTATGGGGTAAGCCTTGCCAATCTTTGAGCAAGATGCAATCGTGGGCAGGTGAATTTGTGCATGATCAGGGATGTGGGGAGTCTGGGCTTCCTTGCATCTGGACTGCGGCAAATTTGCCGCCGCCTCCCTCCACAACTCCCCCGCCCCTTTTCAAAGGACCAACATTGAATCAATTAAAAAAAAGGATCCTTCAGTCATTTGCGAATTTGCTCCTGTATGTGAAGAGTTATTCCCAGCCTAGGACTGTTAACTCTTGCAAAGTTTGCTTTTCATACATGGATGCAGTTTTCCACAGGCTATTCTCTGGTCACACACATCCCCGCCGGAGCACGAGACATCCAGATCGTTGAACGGAAGAAATCTGCTGATGTTCTGGGTGTGTATGGTGCCAGGGGCAGGAACGAAGCTGAATGTTTATAATTTTATATTTCTGCGAAAACGAAACTGTTTGTCAAGTAGCTTATTAGCCAAATCGGTATGTGAAATTCTAGTCTCTTCCTGGCCTCTTTGGGTTCAACCTTCCTCCCCCCTCTTGATTGCCTGTCTGTCCTCCTAGCTTCCAAAACATATTTGCCTGTGTGGTCTTTATCTGCCAACAGTTAAATGCCCTTCTGATTCTGAGACCCCACGTTACATTTTGCTTCGCCAACCCAACTTTCCCCTTCCCTCACAGTACTGGCACTGCATGTCAGCCCTTTGCCAACTATATTGAGAAGTTGGGATGTTTATGAAGACCCCGGGTTCAGCAAAAAAAGTTTCCACCAGAGGCTTGCAAATGTTAATGATAAGATAGTTACTTCTTCAAGCTGACAATCTGAAACACATGACACAAAAGAAAAAGGCTTTGGGAGGGAGGAGGGTGTAAAGTAAAGTCATACTTGCTTAGCACATAGCAGAGATTGAGGTGTCTTTAAGATGACTTGTTCTAAGGCATGGGTGGGAATTCTTTGCCTCTGCTGACTTCTGCAGCTGTTGCGGATGAAGCTGGCTACTACTTCTTCAATGGGAACTACAGAGTGGACAGCCCCAAAAACTTCAACATCGCAGGGACTGTTTTCAAGTACAGGAGACCAATGGACATTTATGAAACTGGCATTGAATACATTGTGGCCCAAGGGCCAACCAATCAAGATTTGAACATCATGGTAAGTGTGGTAAGCTTTTTCTTTGTACCTAGAGATAGATGGTCAATTTAGGAACAAGCAAAAACAAGTCTAGAAGGGCTGGAAAAATCTAGGGGTTAGAATCTGGGGAAGTGCCACAGCTCAGTGATAGAACACCTGCTTGGCATGCAGAAGGTCCCAAGTTCATTCCCCACGAGTATCTCCAGTTAGGGTTGGGAGTGACCACTGTCTGAAACTGTGGGGAGCCTCAATCAAGACAGCACTTGACAATACCTAGCTATCTGGACCCAATGGTCTGACTCAGTATAAGTCAGAGAACATACCCACTGAAATTAGTAGAGATGACTAACTTAGGTCCATTAATTTCAAAGGGTCTAGCCTGAGATTTAGTGAGAACCTGAGTGTGATAGCCTGAGAACTTAGATGGATACAAGATTGAGTTTCTCATTTTTCCAGTCATGCGTTCAGAACATCCCATTTCTATATCAGTTTGCATTTTCCCCAGTCGGTGCAAAATCCCTAGGCATTTTCATGCATGTTTCTCCTAAACTTATTTTTAATGTAATTTTGCTTGATATTTTTTCAAGCCATTTCCTCTAAAAAATGCATGTTCTTATGTTTGCTATTCCTCCCCACTTCCAGGTCTGGAACCAAAACGGTAAAAACCCATCTATAACCTATGAATATACCCTTCTGAGGAAGCCGCATTCAAAAAACGTCCAGCCCATTTATTACACCTTCTCCGAGTCGGACAGTGGAGAAAGCAGAGAGATTGATGCAGAAGAGCCTCTGGGTTTTGTTCAGCACAATGCAAGTTTCTTTGGAACCCTCTCCAAAGAGAAGATCCATCTGGAGAATCAGGTGTTTGGAAGGAAGGACACCATTGAAGACCTAGACTTGAGCAAAATCCAAGAGACGAATGAAGTCTATGAAAGAACAGAGAGCAATGACTGCGACCCAACTCTGAAGGGCAAACAGGCCAAAGGTGAGGTGAACCTCAGGTCTTCACACCAGCTGTAGTTCATTCATTGCTAGGGCAGTGACTGTTCATGATGCAAACTCTTGGCCTACAGATTAATATGCTTCCTTCACTATTTTAGCTAGAGTTCTAAAACAACAACATACATCTCAAAAATTTGTACAAGCTGGATGGAATTGACTTCAGAAATTCTCCTGTAATGCTGAACATTCGCCACCTGGTAGACACTGAATATTTCGTTATTCATTCACTGTTCATGAAGTACTTAATATAGCTATATTTGACATAAAAAGATGCTCAACTTCAATATTTGACTTCATCACTGACATGCAATAGTATCTGGGGTCTGACAGGGAGGGCTTATAAGATTTCAAATTGTTATCTGGCAAAAGCAAGGACACAGTCAAATGAGAGCCATTGTGGAGTAGTGGTTAGAGGCCTGGAAGACTAGGGTTCGAATCCCTACTCAGCCATGAAGCTCACTGGGTGACCTTGGACCAGTCACTCAATCTCAGACTATCCTACCTCATGGGGTTTTTGTGCAAATCAAATGAGGAGGGGGAGAACCATGGATGCCACCTTGAGCTTTTTGGAAGGAGGGATGTAAATGAAATAAATAAATAAATAAATAAATAAATAAATAAATAAATTCAAACTGCTCCAAATTTGAAATTTCCCATACCAAATCTGGCCAAAATTTGAAAAACAAATCTATAAATTTACAAATCTCTTGATTTCATTTTCCTTCTCTTCCCCAGATTCAAATGCAACCCAATCCAATTACATGGTGGATGGAATTGGGAGAGATTTTGACTCCAGGCTTGCATCCAAAGAATTCCTTTCTGAAAATGCTATCACCCATAAACTTTTGGAAAAGACATCAGACTCAAAAGAATCAGTCCAGAACAAGACGGCAAACAGCATCTTTTCCCCAAGGGACCCAGTTAACTCTGTTGGTTCTCACATGGACAGCCTTTATGTTGATTATGATGACGGTGATGATATGATCGCTTATGCCGTCAACAGCAGCTTCCTAGAGCTGAGCAGTGACAAAACCATCAACACATCTTCAGAGACTCAGTTTCCAAATGCCACCATCTTGGTCACTAGTCCTCAAGGGAACAGAACCCACAAAACAAGGTAAGAGGCCTGGAGGTGTTCCTTTGCAACTGAGATTTGATCTACTATATTTCAACCACTGGAGACATTGGGTTGTATCCAATGTTAATCCTACTCAGAGTAGAACCCATTGGAAATCGCTGCATGTGACCAACTTAGGCACATTAATGCCAATAGGTCTACTCTGAGTACAACTTTGCTGGATCAAAACACATTGCCCTTCCTTTAAACAGGCGTGTTGGTTCTGATTGTGGCTACTTGGTGTCAAAGGAAGATCCTCTACCCATGCTGAGTGGTACACTGCATTGATAGTTGGATCGACCAAAATGGCTTTATTGTTAAGTTTAGACTTAAGCAAGGAGAAACAGTCTAGACTAGGTTTACATGGGCATGTTTTTCTGTGTTATTTTTGACATCCTCCCGGTTCTTACGTCAGTGGGGAGAGGAGAAATTCACATTTTGATGGGACTGCCCCAAATCCATAGTTTCCAAAACAATCGACCAGCTGAACCTCAGCTCTCCTTCAAAATTCTCCCATCTCCAAACTTTGCCACACAGTTTTTCAACCAACCAACCAACACAAACTCAAAAATGCTACATTGAGGGAGGGAGTTTGCTTAAAAAATGTGTATAGTCATGAAAATAGCATTTAATATGTGAGGGGAAATTCCGTACAAAGCAATAAAAGCACAGATTGATGGAGAAATTTGGCAAGCTAAACTTACAGTTGGAAAAACAGGAATCCAAACTGATGGACTCTGCTCATCCCCACTGATACGGTTAACTAGCCAAACCATTTTAAAATATCTCCCTCCCCCACACCCAGCTCCTAGGAATGTCATTGCAATATCTGTTCGGTTGGTGCTTAAAAAAAAAAAAAAAACTTTAATAACAACAAAATATGCTCTTGGTTTAACTTTGGTCTGGTGCCTTGATTTCCACCCCGTGCCTAATAATTACCATACCACAATTCCCAGTCTGGTGAGTTAGCTGGGAGAAAGGCTGTTTTAGTGAATGCAGCTCAGATTACTAGGAACTTTCGCTTGGTGTATGTGATGAAGACCACAGGACGGGCTGAGTTGCTTGCTTTGCTCACTTCTCTTCCTTCTGTCGGTGTCGGCTAAGCTTCTCCCACCTGGTACCCTCCAGATGGTTTAGACTGCAACTCCTATCAGTTCCCAGGGCTATTTCAAGACATATGGAGGGCACCAGGTGGGCAAAGGCTGGCATTCTGTCGGCACAGGCAGCCCAAGAAATGACAGTGAACTCAATTACAGAGCTGCAGGCATTTAAGTGTTAGATTAATCAGCTCACAGCAGTCAACTAATCAACCAACGTGGCACAAACCTATACAAATACCTACTTAGACACTTCAGTTGATTGCTTAGAAGACAGGTGTTTCATTCCCACGATTAAGAAGTAAGAGTACTAGCTTTTTCTCCTTTTTTTTGGTGGAAATATTTGAGATCTGCTGGTAGTACTAGGGAATGAGAAAAGGAGGCCTCCTTCGGTTATTTCTTCTTCTTCTAAAAACGAAGGGTCATTTTTTGCTTATTAAAGACAAATACTCTGCCTCATTTCCTTTAGTGTCTCAGAGAGTCGCCCCCATGCAGGGTTTGAAGATGGTCCAACTGTGTTGCTACTCTTCAATTGTTAAATAGGTTAATCACAAACCTTTTAACAGATTGACTTTAAAAAAACAACTGTAATGGTTTAAGTAGCAAAATACAGTGGTACCTCGGGTTACATACGCTTCAGGTTACATACGCTTCAGGTTACAGACTCTGCTAACCCCGAAATAGTACTTCAGGTTATGAACTTTGCTTCAGGATGAGAACAGAAATCATGCTCCGGCGGCGTGACGGCAGCAGGAGGCCCCATTAGCTAAAGTGGTGCTTCAGGTTAAGAACAGTTTCAGGTTAAGAACGGACCTCCGTAACGAATTAAGTACGTAACCAGAGGCACCACTGTATATGTAGATTTATTTGGAAATAAGCCCCACAGAGTTAAGTGTGGCTTACCCCCAACTCAGTGCACCTCCAAAAGATTTTTTGTTGATGTCTAGATACATAACAACCCATAATACCCCTTGGGAAACAACACCTCTGTCCTTTTCTCTTTATCATTTGTACATTCATAAAATAGACCAAAATGGGCCAGGTCAGAGCTTCTTCTATCCAGAAATGATGACAGGCAACATGATTTGACAATTCAGAGACAGCTGAGTTTTCTCCATACTGTATTCTCAGTCCATTTTGCAAAAAGACAGCAATTCTGTTTGGTTTTTTAAAAAAATGAATTACAAATGTAGTTTTCAACGCATACTTATTGTACACAGGGACATAGGATCGTGGGCTCATCTGTCACTATGGGAGGGAGGGATATAAATCAAATTATTACCATTCTATTCTTCTTCTTCCTTCTACTGGATATTGTCCCCTTCAGTTTCAGTAGCATATTATTATTATTAATAGTAATAATTAATTAGCATATTAATAATATTAACAACAACAACAACAACAAATTTAATTTATACCCCGCTCTCCCCTGCCAAAACCGGGCTCAGAGTGGCTAACATCAAATATATGACATATTACCATAAAATCAAACAATCAATTAAAATACATCTTAAAATCAAGTCAGAATCAAAGTGAAATCCAATCGTATGGCAACTCGCAAAGTAGGAATGAGGACCTTAAATGCTCACCAGGCCTAACTGTTTATATTGATCTTATATGAGCCTGTGAGAAAGGTTGGGGGGCCACTTTCATGCAAATTCTTATAAGGAGAGAGGGGAAGTCAGACTGGACCCTGACCAAAGGCCTGGTGGAACAGCTCTGTCTTGCAGGCCCTGTGGAAAGTTGTCAAATCCCATAGGGCCCTGGTCTCTTGTGACAGAGCATTCCACTAGGCCAGGTCCACAGCTGAAAAGGCCTTGGCCCTGGTCAAGGCCAGTCTAATTTCCTGATAAGAAATACATTGGAAAACAAAAAGAAACAACTCCTAGCAGGGGTTGATTTATTACCTAGAATACAACTCCTTTATGATTGTGGGACATCCAGAAAGTAGAAAACAATGCAGCAACGTAAGAACACGAATTATTCCCAAAATGTAATAATAAACAAGCTTCTTCCATATGTAGGTTAAGCATGTATACATGTATGCATATTGGAATTGGAAAGCTTTTCACCAACATGTAGGCTGAGGGACATTTTCATCTCTAGTCTGTGAAACCGAGATGCAGATAGCTAGCCACATATTGTCAACAAACTCCCCCCCCTCTTTTTTTTTTCTTTTTTTGAGGTTTGCTTGGGCCTGCTACTGGTGTGGAATTAAATGAGTCTTCTGCAGCACCGTCTATCCATATTCTGCAATATATCTATCTCTATATCTAGTCTGAAATGTCTAAATGTTTCTTTGTCCTTGAATCATCCCACCACACTTGCCATCCTCTTCTGACACCCCAGTGCGGTGTAGCACTGCTCTAACCACTACACCACGCTGACTCTGAACACAGGCTTATTCTAGCAATCATTCATTACACAAGCAGCAAGTTAAACCCAGAGAAAGGGTTGCATTCTGATTATAATTCTAGAACTTTTCTAACTTTTCTATTCCATTTTCTAACGTTCCTTTCATGCCACACTACCTGTTACTTTATGGAACTGTGCCTTTTTCGACTGACATCTTGGCACTGTAGGGTTGGCAGGAATCTCAGGGTTCATCTAGTCCAGCCCTGTGCAATGCATGTCACGCTGGATTTCATTCTCACCAATGGGTGTGGTGTGATGTAACAACAAACTTTCAGTGGCACTCCCCTGTCCTTTCTGCACACACTTGCCTTTGTCCCCCCACGAATATCCTATGAAAACAACAGGAAAGCACTCTAATCTGGTATAAATACCCAAATTCCTTCACTTTACTCCTGCAATTTTCCAGGCTAAGGGTACTTACTGAAAACTGATTCTTTTTATTCCTTTTTTTAAACCTAGAATCAAATCATACAGAAACAAGTGCTAAACATGAGTTCTAGATTTCCAGAAGTGGCTTTTATGTCCTATGAAAGCTTAAATATACAGTCATACCTCATGTTGCGTCTGCTTCAGGTTGCGGTTTTTTGGGTTGTGTACTGCCAAAACACGGAAGTTTCCGGAAGTAACCAGAATGGGTTACTTCCAGGTTTCGGCAGTCGTGCATGCGCAGAAGCTCTAAATTGCGCTTTGCACATGTGCAGAAGCACCAAATCGCAACTGCACATGCGCAGACGCAGGTTGCGAACGCTGCAGGTTGCGAACGTGCATCCCGCACGGATCACATTCGCAACCCGAGCGTCCACTGTAATGCGGAAATTAACAGGGAAATGGAATAACCTACCATGCGAAGGCAACCATAGTTTAGAACCTTATTATGATATCACTGTTTTTCCTTGAAGATTCAGGACAGATAAAAGAAAGTAAGGAACTCCCTCCCACAGGAGGCAGTGATTGCAGCCAGAGAGAGAGAAATGTTTTTGAGGCATAGCCATGCATGGTCTCACCCAAAGAGGAGGGGAAGATGGATGTTACCTCCTGGGCCTTTCTGAAAGGTTTGACACTGGTGCCAAGACTTCCTGGCCACTTTATAGTACAGCATACCTGGTTCTGTTCCATGCCAAGGACTCAAACCGCACCTTTTTGGACCCTCTGTGTCTAGTGATCAGGGGTATTGGATTGAGTGCAAACTATCTGATATATTTATATACATATATTTGTCATTGAAAACTTGAACTGTTTCTCTTTGTGGGTGTTTTTATCCCATTCTCTCTATTTCTAGACAGTTGAAGCTCTGCCTCTAACCAGGCTGGGGAGTCTGCTTGGGGAATCAGGACAGGTATGTTGGATTATAGCCAAATGATCCCAAACCTTAAAATTTAAAATTTTTTGCACCCCTCACAAAAATCATTATTTCCCCCCCTCTTATTTTGATACAGCACAACAAGCAGCCTAAAGCACCCTCCCCAATCCCAATTAGATGAAAACTATTAATTATTATTATTTTTCCTCCCCGTCAATATTTTTAATGTGAGGAAGTGTTGGGGGGTGGAAAATCAACCCGTCATTTGATTTGTCCTCTCTCATTGTGTAGAAACCGGTTGAAGCTGTTCCGAAAGGGCCAGAATATGAGCCCAGCTGATATGTACAGGTGGAAACTCTCCTCCCATGAACCCTGCAGTTCTACCTGCACCACAGGTAAGCCTGAGGGGATGAGCTCGGCAAGGGGCCCCCTCACCCCAAGAATGGGAAGAGAGGAAGCAAATTTCTAAATCCCATAGGCACAAACTGAAGCACCTGTTCCCTATGAAATCTGCGCTGCTCCACATTTTGCAGTGCAGTTCTCTGATCAAAGAATAAATATATAAATGTGTATGTTAGGTTTTTTTATCACTTAAAATGCACCAGCAGCAACATTCTTGTCCATATTAATTAATATATTAACAATATTATCAGTGGCGATCATAATGAGCCTGGGATCTTTTTCATGCAAAAAGCAGATGCTCTAAACACTGAGCATTCTGTGATTCTTGCATTGCAGGGGATTGGACTAGATTACACTTGGGAGTATCTTTCAACTCTACCATTCTATGATTCTGATGGTTTATTTATGTATTTCATTTATATCCCCTCTTTTCTTCCAAGATGGTTCTCCCCCTCCTCATTCAATCCCCACAACAACCCTGTGAAGAAGATTAGACTGAAAGGCAGTGACTGGCCCAATGAGCTTTGTAGCCAAGTCAGGATTTGAACCCTGGACTCCTAGGTCCTAGTCTGACAATCTAACCACTACACCACACTGATTAGTATTACTATAAGGTCCCTGGGCAGGCACACCCATTAGCACAAGGACTGGATTTCCTCCTGGGGCTACATGCCAGTGTTAAGGGAGGAACATAAACCAAAGTGGATTGAGCAATAGATGCAACACTTGCCATTGTACAGAAGGCAGCATCCCAACCCGTGCAGAATTCAGTTTCCGAACTCACATCTCCCAATCCAAGCAAACCATTTGCATTTCTATTAGGTCCATGGAAGGCACCTCTGGTGCAGTTTGGGCCACGATCTGGCAAACTTGACAGGGGTCTGCTGGACTGAAATGGGGGAAGGCTTGTACCCACCTAATGTTTAATTGACCCTTTTCAACCTGAATTAAACATGGTCAACGGTAAGGTGAGAAGGATATATGTAGACTACCGTATTTTTCGCTCTATAACACGCACCTGACCATAACACGCACATAGTTTTTAGAGGAGGAAAACAAGAAAAAAATATTCTAAACGAAACAGTGGATGTATGATTTTTGTGGTTCATGCTGTGGCCACAGACATGTGATCTGACAGTGAGTTTGGAGTAGCCCAATGCAAAAATCCTGAGGATCCATGTGGATCCGTGCTTTGTAACCACATTTTTGCACCACTGCGGCCCCAGGCAACAGTGGGTACATGATTTTTTTGGTGCAAGCTGTAGTCATGGACATGCTATGTGATCTGATGGTGAATTTGGGGTGACCCAGTGCAAAAATCCTGAGGATCCATGTGGATCTGTGCTTTGTAACCACGTTTTAAGTGGGGAGGGAAGGAAAAGCACTCAAGGGACAAGGAACACGTGTGGGGTGGGTGGAGAAGGATGCTGTTAATAATGCAGAAGAGGGGTATAATAGGAGAAGGCTCCTCTCCTCTCCCGCTTTGCTCCTTTAAAGGAAGCAGGCTCTCTGTCCCTCTCTCCTCCCCACTCAGCGGCTCTTCTCCTGCTTTGCTGTTTCAAAGCGAGCCACAGAGGAGGGAAGGAAGGGGAACCATGGATCCTCTGCTCACGACTGCAGCAGATCCCCCCGCCATCCGTAGGCATTCGCTCCATAACACACACAGACATTTCCCCTTACTTTCTAGGAGGAAAAAAGTGAGTGTTATGGTGCAAAAAATACGCTACTTAGTCTCCTTTTGCCCCCTCTCCTTGCCGCCTGTCCATAAGCATCTCCTTTTCCAGCCCTGGGTCACTCCAGGTAGGTCCACCCAGGGCAATCCAGGGCTGTCAAGACCCAGTCCAGACACATTCCAGAATGGCCAAAAACTGTCTGATTTGGTTTGGGATCTGAGATTTGTCCAAGACAGATAGATGGCCTTAATGTCACACTTCGAGGCTCCCTTCTGGACAGGGAGAAACACTCAGAGGGAGGGTACAGCACAGGTCTGGCAAAGGGTGTGGCCTGGAGAGAAGTGGTTATGGCTATGGGAACATCCTGAGGGCCTCATAGATAGCCCTGGAGGGCCACATTCCAGCAGAATGTTCAAGATGCAGGAGAACAAAAGGTACACAGCACATAGTTAAACTGCGGAACTCCCTCCCTCAGGAGGAAACGATGGCCAATAACTTGGATGACTTTAAAAGACGATTAGACAAATTCATAGAGGAGGAGAGAGTTATCAATGGATACTAGCATGGGGGCTATGCTCTGTCTCTGCAGTTAGAGACAGCAATGCGTCTGAATGCCAGTTGCTGGAAACTGCAGGAAGGGAGAAGGCTCTTGTGGTCAGGTCCATAGCTGTCAACTTTTCCCTTTTCTTGCCAGGAATTCTATTCGGAATAAAGGAATTTCCCTTAAAAAAAGGGAAACGTTGACAGCTATGGTCAGGTCCTGTTTGCAGGTTCTCCACTGGCATCTGGCTTTCCACCGTAAGAACAGTTATGGGTCATTGGCTTGATCCAGCAGAGCTCTTCTTATAAAGGTTTATTGTAATAGCAGAACCTCTGTGTCTAGGGAGAGTATACCTCTGAATACAAGGTAATTGGAGAATACTCTTGCACTCTGATCCTACTTCCATTTGGAGCATCTGGTTGGCAACTGTGAGAACAGGGTGCTGGAGTGGTTGGGCTCACTTTGGCCTGATCCTGCAGGGCCCTTCTTATTCCTGAGGCTTCCTATGCCTGAGGCAGGGCATGGGAACCAAGAGTGTTCTGGGAAAGTCTTCTTGTGAAAAGTGGTGCAGAGTAAGATGGAAGGTAGGGCAGAGACTCTTGATGGGGCAGAAGACCCTGAGGAGGTAGGGCTGGAGGAGCAAATGTCACAGATTCTGTATTGGGCAGTTTCCAATATTCCCATGATGCAAATCACTGGTCCTTATAGCTCTATATTGCCAACACTGATTCCAGTGGCTGGAAGCTAGAATCCAGTGACATCTGGAGGGCTGCAGGTATGTCCCCCCTCCCTGATCCACACTGACCTGTCTAAATACAGGTGTGATGTCCACCTATGCCATGTGCATCCGCTATGATGGAATTGAAGTGGACGACATGTACTGTGATGCAATGACCCGCCCTGAGCCAGTCCATGAATTCTGTGCAGGAAGGGAATGCCAACCAAGGTAAGATTATGATGTCAGGTGATTGACAGGTTGGTGGCCTCTCACCTTGTTGTTAAAGGCACCTAACTCCCTTGCTGCCTTGATGCTTCGTCTGCTGGGTCTATCCACCTAGAATTGTGAGTTCAGTGTTATGGGTCTTATTCTGTGGAACCCCCTTCCTAGTTTCTCCTAGCTTCTGTTCACTCTTTTAGATCAGGAGAGCCTTATTTTTTTTGTTTAAAAAAATGCAATGGGTTTTGGCTCAATTACTTGACTGCAACAAATTCCAGAAAGCAGAAATTTAAAAAGCGGAATGAGGTCAGATGATGATGATGATGATTGATTACACTGCCTTTACCCTAAAGTAAAGGGTATTTGTACCCTATCCTTTAGCCAAAAGGGCTCCCTGGAACAGCTTACATATGGTCAATTAAGACAAGACAGTCCATACCTGCAGGCTTACAATCACAACAACAACAACACACACACACACACACACACACACACACAGGGGGGGGGGAGAGACAAGGAGGGAAAGGGAAAACCAAAACCAATTTCTCAGGCACCAATTTCTAAACCAATTTCTGTGGGAAAGGAGTTCCACAGCTTGGAACTGCCACAGAGAATGCCCTCTCCATGGCTGCCAACCCCCAAAAGATTCTGAGGGCAGAGGGACTACCAAGGGGGCCCCCTCTGCTGATCTTGGCTCCTGAGGGGTCTGTAGGGACATTTAGGCACCAGGCAGCTGTGAGCACATTTCCTTTCTTGAGGTTTGCCCCCATCACCTCCTTCTATCCTGAAATGCCCCATTCCCTCCAACACAGGTGGGAGACAAGTAGCTGGAGTGAGTGCTCCAGGACCTGCGGTGAAGGCTACCAGTTCCGCATTGTCCGATGCTGGAAGATGATCTCGCCTGGGTTCGACAGTTCCGTCTACAGCGACGTGTGTGAATCTGCTGACATCACCCGTCCAGAAGAGAGGAAGATCTGCAAAAACCCAGCCTGCGGGCCACAGTGGGAGATGTCTGAGTGGTCAGAGGTAAATCTGCAGAAGGGATATGTTTTTGACAGGGAAGGATTTAGGCTTGGAGTTAGCTGACCTTAGGAATGGCCGAATCTGTCCATTATCTTTCCAATCCTAATTTCATTTTGTCCTATTTCCACGCATCTTTTCAAGAGTGTTTTATTTTTTAAAATAAAAGTCCTCTTGAAAATTCGTAAGCATTTTAGGGCCCGCTTCTCCTTATAGTAATTTTTGGAAACATTTCTGTATGTTTGTTTCATTGATATATGCTTTTGGGGAACACACTTTACCCTGATATATATGCATCTTGTACACATTTTGGGATTTGTTTGCTTTGAGGAATTGTGCAGCAAAATTCAGAGAAGACTGAACTCCAGAGGGTAATTTTGTAGCCTGTGCTCTGTGGCCCTTTTGGCAGGCACAAAAGGGGCATCTATGGAAGCAGAGCCCCTCCTGCTGGTGGAGAACCACCAACTGCCCAGCACCCTAAATCTTCCCAGCGGCAGAAATCGTATGTCAGGATTGCTCTGTAAAACAAACAAGTGGACTAGACAGGCCATTGGCCTGATTTAGAAGGTTCTCCTTAGCTCTGCCTGAACACCACAGAATTATTGTGTCACCTGTGCAGTGGGGTGGGTGCAACAAACGCCCCCCCCCCCCCAGGCGAGACTTGTATTGCCTTTTCTCCTGCATGCACACTCCTGAAGGCTGAATAAGAGCATCTTGGGGCAACCGGTCTGCTGGATAGAGAGCACTTGGCATGCCAAGATCGCCCTCCTTCGTCCCCGAGAGAGAGCTTGGATATGGTTCTGGTTCATACTTGAAATTCCCCTTCCATACTGAGTGCCAGCGGTAAATGCTTGGCTGCCAGCCCTTCCCACTGAAATCCTGCTGTGTTCTTTGCTTTTATAGGATGTTTTTTATTCCTCCCCCCCTCCCACCACCACCCCACAAAAGAAACACACATCCACCCACACTCTGGTATAAAAAAAAACGGATTGCTTCTCCCCATGCTGAACTGAGCGATTTAAAAAGAGAGAGTCTTGATTGTGTTAAGCTACCTATTTTATGCATTTTGGTAGGTGTCAAGCCGAGATCATTGGAGCGCAGGGGTCCTTCCTCCAGCCAAAAAAGCAACACTAATTTAATTTTGATCCAGCAGGCGAAGTTCAAGCCAAGCCAGCTTCAGACCTTGGCTTCCTTTTTCCCGTCCAAAAAAAATAATGAGCAGCATCCCTTACCACCCCGTACCACCCCCCAAGTCCCAAGTCCCAAAGAGATAAGTGGATTACTGTATCAGGAGTGCTGGGTGCTGATTGCCACGCTCTGCTGTTGTCATCACTTCTGTCACAGTATAAATATGCACCAGACAGACTCGCATAATGCAACACCTGTGTGATTGCAACCCCACTCTGCATAATACTGGTGGGTTTGACTCACCTGTGTCATTTGAGACAGGACTTGGGGCTCAGCGGCTGCATTCATGTGCTGGATGGAGATGTTACATTGAAGATCAAACTGGGAATGCAGGGGCACTTAGGCCAAACTCCAAATGTGTCCCCAGGCCTCTCTGTCTAGCCCTTGTGACACTCATAGGCCACAGCTCCTCTTCCCAGGCCACACCTTCACAAACCCTTTGCTTTACACACCCTGGTTTTTTGCCTAGCTGGAATGTGTAATTGAACTCTGATAATTCCTCTTGCTTCTCTGGATGTGGGGTAGAGAGGTTTGTTTGTGAAGGCTAATTTACTGTACAGGTAAAACTGCACCCACTCTAGCCCCCATCCAGGGAAGCAAGAGGTAATAACAGAGTTAATACCTGCCCTGTTGGAGGCAGAATACACAGTGCTTTTTTTTCTGGAGGTATGCAGGGGTACACATACCCCTAAACATTTTGTGAATCTTTGTACTTTTGCCCATTTACTGTATTTATTTCCCCCGATTTGAACTATAAAATGGTGATTTTCTTGAGTCAAAATGAGAGTACCCATAAACATATTTTTAAAGAAAAAAAGCACTGAGTAGACCTATGAGTGCCAGTTTCTGGGAATCACGGGGGGGGGGGGGAGTTGTGCTGTTGTGCTCAGGTGCTACTTTGGGGCTTTCCATTGCAGTATGTAGTTGGTCACCATGGGAACAGGGTGCTGGAGTAAGATGGGCCTCCTTCGGCCTGTTCCAGCAGGCTCTTCGTGACTTTTTATGTTCTTACATGTCATACCCTGCAAATGTCCCGGAAAAAACAGGGACATCCCTTTTTTTTTTCTTGTGAGAGAATGGTTCTCCCCCTCTCAAAAGTGCTTTCACGCCACAATTCTTCCCCTCTCAAAAGTGCTTTCACGCAGCACACATTTTGGTGTGCCATGTCTGGAAAAAGTGCTTTTTGGGTTGGAAATTGTGGTGCAAAATCACACAAGATCATGGCTCCCAAAATGGTCACTATGCTCTCACAAGAAAAAAACAGGAAGATGTTGTCCAGGAATTTGCTGTTGTGCCATTGGAGAATATGACATGTTTAGTTCAAGGGTATATTCCAGATAGGCAGAAAGGAGAGCTACTGAAGGGTGTGGCCTGAAAAGAGAGGGTGTGACTTGAGGAGAGTTCTGAGGGCCAGAGAAAAAGGTCTGCAGGGCCATTTTGCTCCCACCCCGGAACCTGAGCTTCCCCACTTCTTCCTTATGGAAATCTTCATGTCAGTTCTTGGTCAGGCCTGACTCCTGGGGTGCTCCCTGTCTCTGTCAGAAACACAAGCTCTTTGGTCAGATTCTTGCCATCTCAATCACTTCCTGTTCCCTTTCTCCCTTCCCCCAGTGTACAGCCAAGTGCGGTGAGAGGAGTATTGTCAGCAGAGACATCCGGTGTTCAGAAGAAGAGAGGCTGTGTGATGCTAGCACCAAGCCCCTGGCGGAGAAGAATTGCAGTGGTGCCCCCTGTGACAGACAGTGGACCGTCTCTGACTGGGGACCGGTGAGTTCACAAGGGTATGTGGGGAGGGAACCATCTGCAAATGGAGGCAGGGGAGTTGGGGGAGAACCAGCTATAAATGAGAAACAAAGTAGGGCGTGTTGTGTGTGTTTGCAGCTGGCTAGTCTATCTGGCTAAGGATTTTGCTCATGAAACTCATAAGCAAGGCAGGGAGGCAGCTGCACTCTCTGACTGATTGAACCCAATGTCTGCTATCTACAGATATACTGCATTTGTACATGGTGGTTCCACTCATTTAGCTATGTTAATAGTCACTACGATCTTTGAGAATTCTTGGAGAACAGGTGAGGTCCCTGCAGACTGGAGGCAGGCAAATGTTGTCTCCATCTTCAAAAAGAGGAAAAAGAAGACCCAGGAAACTACCAACCAGTGAGCTTGACATCAATACCAGGAAAGGTCCTTGAGCAGATAATTAAACAGTTGGTCTGTGAGCACCTAGAAAAAGTTGTTGTGATTACAAAGACCCAGCATGGGTTTCTGAAAAACAAGTCATGCCAGGTCAATCTCATTTCTTTTTCAATAGAGTTAAAAGCTTGGTGAAGGCTGTGGAGAGAAGATGAAGAGGTAACAGGATTTAGTGAGCAGGGAGTCCCTGGCACAGAGAAGTCCAGAATCAGAATCAGAGGCAGGAGAGGAGGGAGGCCAGGAGGCAGAGATGAGTCAGGCTGGTGAAGATGCGAGGGTGTTTCCCCTTCTTGCTGCGACAAGCTCCCTTCCCCCTCGTCTCCCAGGACAAAACGAAGTATGAAGAGGGAGGAACAGAGACAGGCATGTCAGTGTAGTCTCAGGTTGCTTGGGAAGTACCCAGGGGAGGAGGAGATCTATTGAGAAGAGTTGCTGTGTTCATTAGGCCTGGCGCTCTTGAGCAGACCTTATTTCTTCTAATAAAGAGTTAACATCACTTACTCTGTGTGATTTATTCCCACCAATTCCTGACACCTTTCCAACTCTACAGTTCTATTATTCTATAGGTTGGTGGCCATCACCACCTCCTGCGGGAGCGAGTTCCATAGTTTAACTCTGCTCTGGGTGAAGAGGGAGTTACTTTTATCTGTCCTGAATATTCCAACATTGGACATCCACGAGTCCTAGTGTTATGAGAGAGGGAGAAAAGCGTCTTTCGTTCCAATTATTTGCCTGGAGTCAGGTGGCTGTTTAAAGCCCTATGCAAAATCCTCACAGCTCTGGGTGGCTGCTCTGTGCAATTACGAGAGAAGACCGGCGTGAGCCAGAGGACCCTGAAGGCTCCTTTTTTGGGTTAGCGTCTGAATTACCCATGTCTGTGGTGTCTGTTTTTGCCATCTGAAAGCTATCGGTTAAGCCAAGCTGGCACAGTTTCCCACAGTGTGGGGATTAAATTGCATTTGTTAGCTGTATGCTTGGCAGACACTCCTTGGCTTCCAGTAAAAAAGCATGTCTCCAGCTGTAAGCACAAGTCCAGCTGCAGACAACTCCTCACCCCTGTCTCCTATAAGGCAGCCATCAGTCCCTGCCAGTTCGGCCGGTCTGATGCTGAGGCTAATGAGAGAATGTCTGTGCTGCCCTGGGACTGATGGGAGTTGTAGTCCGAAACATCTAGAGGGCACTGAATGGAGAAGCCTGCTTCAATGCAGGTTGAAGAACATGAAACTTGTAATTTTCTCTGCTCCTGGACTCAGTTCAGGTGGCAGAGAGAAATCATAGATTCCATGCTCCTAAGCAATGCTGTATGATCCTGGGGCTGATAGGAGTTGTAGTTTTAAACATCTGGAAGGCATGAGGTTGGGAAAGGTTGTCCTACTTCCTTGAGGGGACAGAAGAACAGGTGGCTGTTCCTCCCCTGCTCTAGAAGCCTCTGAAGCAGAGATGGAAACAATTTCATAATTGTTTTTATGACACTGTGAGTGTGTGAGTGTATGTGTACTGCAGTTTTTAAAGATGAGGCTGGCGGGTGGGTGCAGGAAACATTTTGTAAAAGTTTTGGCTAATGTCCACCTTTCCCCCCCCCCCCCCCTCAGAATTTTCCCTGATAGGATGCATTGCCAAATCCTGTTTTCAGTATCATGCAATTTATGTACACTTTACCCTAATTTTTGCAAGTGATTTCCCCTCTTATAATACTTTTTTTTTTGGTGATACTTTTACAAATAGATGCATTTTTACACACACTTTCCCTGATGCACTTTTTTCTTCTTCCAAGGAGTATCCGCTATCACATTTTGGCTGTGATGTTTTCACAAATAGATCCATATTTATGGACACTCTTGCCTTATGCACACATTTTTGTAAAACTTCTAGCTTAGAGAGCTGAACTGCAAAATTCAGAGAACTGAAAATTTCAGAGGGTAGCTGTGTTTGTGTTTTATGCTTTATTTTAGGAAGCTGTTAATGAGTTAGGCTTACATTATAATGAAAAAGGGACTAGATTGCTTCCCTATCCATTGTCCAAAGTAATTCATAGGGTTGCATCCAGAGTAATGCTGAGCAACAGATCAGATTGCTGCGAGGGTTTCTGCTTGTGCAATGGGACTTCCCCCTTCTCCTCCTGCTCTCATACCCTCTAATGGTTTGGATGCATGCAGCAGGGAGAAGAGAGGCGGATGTCCTGAGGTGCAAGCTGAAGGGCCATAGCTCAGTGGTAGAGTATTTGCCTTGCATACAGAAGGTCCCAGGTTCATCTCCAGGTGGTATCTGCAGGTAGGGCTGGGAATGTCTGCCGTTTGCTGCAGTGCTGCTGCCAAACAGTGTGGACAATACTGGACTAGATGCATTTAGTGTAAGGCAGATTCCTGTGTTCCAGTAGTGCTCGTGCTGACTAGATGTGTTTGTTGGAGACTACCCTGAACCTCCATTCCTGCTTAGGAACATCAGAGGTGGCTTTGCTGAGTCAGTTTACCAAGTGTTACATGCACATGCAGTCCAGCAGGCCCGAAGTGGCCTTCCAGAAACAGGTCTGGGGTCTACTAGTAGAATAATCTACCTTCTCGAATCAAAGCTTGCAATGAACTGAATTCATGGCCCAAAGCATCCTGTCCTATCATTCCATCCACATTTGGAAATGGGGCAGGATTACGACCTTGAGGAAGCATCCAAACTTTGTCTCAAAGATGACATGCATTTTTAAAAACCCAAGCTGGTCTAGAACGCAATTGTTTTAGGCTTTGTCTTTTAAGTGAAATAATCTATGTCACGTGGACTGCCTTCTTGGCTTATTCCCCACCCCGCCATTTTCAATTCAGTGGCAGTGCCTAAAAATAAGCCGTTTCCATGGTGATGGCTGGCAACTGTGAGGAGCTTGTCTCCCAAAAGGAGACCCACAAAGGAACTCTGGGGTTTGTAAATATCAGCCAAGGCAATGCCCCTCCATGCCTCCCTCTTTTTTTTTGTAAGCAAAGGGAATGTATTTGCAGACATTTGCATTTTAAATGGGGGCTGGGGAGATCTTTCTGTCAGAGACCCTGAACTGGTTTGAATTAACAGGCTGGCTTGATGGTTAGGGAAAAGGTCAGGATCTACTGGGATTGTTCTCCTGTGTGATTGCTCCCTGAAAATGAGAATATGCCTAGGGTATGGCTGTAGCTCAGCGCTAGAGCACCTGTTTAGCATGCAGAAGGTCCTAGGTTCAATCCAGGTAGGGCTGGGAATGTGGAGCTTGATGGCCTGACTCAGCAGAGGGATGATTCTTGCATTCCTATTTAATTCAGCCCTTTCTTCATAATGACGAGGACTAGAATCTTGCTTTAGGTTAAGTGGCACAGCTTATTGACATAGCGTCTGCTTTGCATGCAAGCAGCTTAGAAGAAAGAAACAGGGGTGCATTTCAAACAAACACCACAAAAACTATTTCATAATAACACAGCAGCATAATAGCATAGTAACAATTTCATAATAACATAGCAAAACAAAATTATAATAACATACAAAAACATGTTTCAATACTAAAAATATAACAAGATTGCTCAAACAGAATGCAGCATCCAGTGGCCAAAATAACAAGGGAGCTTCACAGTTTCACCTCAGTCTTAGAAACAACCATCCCATGACCCTTTTAATGTGGAAGGAGAGATTGGTACATTATTTGGGGTGGGTGGGTATTATCTGAGGTTAGTAGTCAATTCAGCCAAAGGGGCTGAAGTGCCATTGAGTGGATGTTATGCAAATGCACATTTGTGTTTATTACCTTCTTGTCTGTTTATCTTCCAGTGCAGTGGAGGCTGTGGACAGGGGCGGATGATCCGGCACGTCTACTGCAAAACCAGTGATGGCCGTGTGGTGCCAGAATCCCAGTGCAACTTGGAGACCAAGCCACTGGCAATCCACCCCTGTGGGGACAAGAACTGCCCTGCTCACTGGCTCACCCAGGACTGGGAGAGGGTAAGGGAGCCTTTGAGTTTGCTCAAAGAGCAGCATGGTCTACTCTCTAGGCCTAGGGGGCAGGGGAAACCTTTTTATTCCTGCCCAAGGACTGCATTCCTTTCTGGTCAACCTTCTGGTGGGTGGGGGTGGGTGGGTACCTGCCAATGGTGGGAGGAGTCAAAAGTCAAGAAGCAGGTGGAGCACTGAATGCATTTTTTGTGTGTCTTTGTATACTTAACTATAGAGTTTACCAGGTCAGGAGCATCACAGACCCTGAGAATTCAGGGCCCAAACCAGAGACCTAGGGATGGGTCCTAGAGATAGGAGAGAGAAGCAGGGAAGGGCAGACCTCTCCAGAATGTCTATGCTATAATTTGCAGCCGCTCCTGCCAGGCTGAAGCTTGCAAGCTGCACACACAGTTATTATTATTATTATTATTATTATTATTATTATTATTATTAAAGGCCCTCTTACCCACCTGTAGATTCACGCCCTCCACCTGTCTCCTGGAGGGGCAGACCAACCTGTCAGACCTGGGAGTCTGGCAACCCTACTAGGCTAGTTTCTAGACACATTCTTCTCTGTCCTCTATCAATGCAAGCAAGAGGCACTGTCAGGATTCAATGACACTTCTCGGCCTGGCATTAGCACTCAATAACAGTGTGAAGCAAGAGTGTGTGGCCTAGAGAGGAGCCAGAGGGCCAGAGGGAGGGGGCAGGAGGATTGGATTTGGCTCCCATGCCTGGATTTGGCTCCCTACCCCTCCTCTTACAGTTTCACTTTGGCTCTCACTCTTACCTTGACAGTGCAATACCACATGCGGCCGGGGGGTCAAGAAGCGAATCGTCCTTTGCCTGGAGATTGTCAATGGGAAGCTCAAAACCCGCAACCCAACTGAATGTGACGTCACCAAGAAGCCAGCTGAGGACACAACCTGCTTTGAACGGCCTTGTTTCAAGTGGTACACGACCCCTTGGTCAGAGGTGAGAAACGGGTGGGTGGGGAGGCAGAAAGTGGGTGAACCATGCTGGAAGACGAAATGGTCCTGTAGGGGACTGCGATGGGACTGAGCACCCTACGAATCCGAGCTCTGGACAGCTTCCATTCTACCTCTGTTAAAATGAGAATCAGACCACACTACTTCACAGGGTTGTTGCGCCTGCAAAATTAAAAATACTTTCCCCTTTTGGAAAATCGCAGTATGAACAAGGGTCTGTAGTACTTGCAACTAGGAACACAAAATAAATGAATGAGCAGCAGCAACTAAGAGCATACGGATAGATAGGCCTGACAAGCAAGTGGGCAATAGCTATTAGGAGTGCAATATAAATGAAGAGGAGTGATTTCATACCAGGTGATTTCATACTAGTTGACAGACCAGACAATCAAGTGAATAGTAACTACAGTGGTACCTCGGGTTACAGACGCTTCAGGTTATAGACGCTTCAGGTTACAGACTCCGCTAACCCCGAAATAGTACCTTGGGTTAAGAACTTTGCTTCAGGATGAGAACAGAAATTGGGCGGTGGAGGAGCAGCGGCAGCAGGAGGTCCCATTAGCTAAAGTGGTGATTCAGGTTAAGAACAGTTTCAGGTTAAGAACGGACCTCCAGAATGAATTAAGTTCTTAACCCGAGGTACCACTGTATTAGGAGCACAATGTAACCAACAGGGAATCGTAGCATGTAGATTTCATATTGGTTGAGTGGCCTAACAGTCATCCGATTCTAGGACTGTCCACAAACATAACCAAATGTTAGGTTGTTTATCACTAATGGGTAAACTGCTTTCACACTGGCAGGCCTAATTAATTGCTTCTCTGGCCTTCTGACGTCCAGACACCATGCACTCCATCACTGCCCTCCCCCTTCCTTGGCTCAGCGGTGAAAAGGAAAGTCTCCCTGTGCTCCACTTTCCTCCCTCCTTCTCCTCCAAAAAAAGCACAGCCAGTTCCGATTACATCTTGGCAGGCCGTGTCCTGCCCGGAGCCACTACAGCGGCGGACGGCAGTTCGCCTTGGCTGCGGCAACGACAGCAACTGGGCTCTAATCAGTCCCTGGCAACCGCCTGTGCTGAAGTCTCCACTGGCTGAGCGGCTGCAGGCCTCTGCCTGGTGAGAGCCAGGGGGAAAGAGTTCATTCTGCACTCTGCTCCTCTAAAGGGAATTTGTGCTTCTGCGATGGCTGCCGGGCATTCTCGGATAACATCGGGGATCGGCCCAATAGCCGCTGGAATGCTGCAGAGCTTTCGGATTCCTGGAGGTGGAGTTAATTAGGCTCCCCAAACATTCTCTCCCCCCCAAAAAAAACCCTCTTCTGCAGTCCCCCCCCCCCCCAAATATGGGTTGCATCCAACTCAGTTTTAGGCCACAATCACACCACAGATTTTAAAGCAATATCACCTCACTACTACCAACCCATGCCCATCGGGGAGCAGAGTGAAGGACAGCCAGGCTGTCTGTAGCATTGCAGGGGGCTGGACAAATTGACCCCGGGGTTCCTTCAAATGCCACGATTCTGTGAAGCAGGTATACTCCAAGGCACTATGCATTTAAAGCACTGTGATACCACTTTAAACATCTATGAGTCTCCCACAAAGAATCCTCAGAGATTTAGTTTGTTAAGTGGTATGATACTGCTTTAAATGTATGGTACGGATGCGGCCTTAGGTAGAGCCGACGACTTGCAATCAACATCCCTATGTCAATCATGTCCATTAATTTCAGTGGGCCTACTCTGAGCAGATACTTCTCAAAAGGTTTAATCTTAGTCCTGAAACTGCTTGTTGTAACAAACGAACCTCCCCTCTTTTCCTTGCCCACAGTGTACAAAAACTTGTGGCATTGGCGTGAGGATGCGAGATGTCAAGTGTTACCAGGGGAAGGATCTCGTCCGGGGCTGTGACCCTCTCGTGAAGCCTGTTGGGAAACAGACGTGCGATCTTCAGCCTTGTCCAACTGAACCACCAGGTCAGGGGGAGATGGGTGTAGGGCTGCCGGACTTCCGGGTCTGACCTGAAGTCTCCAGGCTTGCCTTCCCCCTCCAGGTGGCAGGGGGCGGGGCTTGAATCTCTAGGTGGGCAAGAGTGCCTTTTGACTGGCAGTGAATTGCTAGGGTTTCTGTCAGGAGTCTTTTCCCAGCTTTAGCTGGAGATGCCAAGGTTCAAACCTAGGACCTTCTGCAAGTAAAGCACTTACCCTACCCTGTTCCTCTTTGAAATTCCTCAGAGAATTCCTTGGAGCACCTCCAAAAATTAATGTCTGTGGCTGACCTGGGAAAACTGGCTCACTGTATTGAAAGTGAAGTTGTTTGGAGTTCTCTAGACGGGTGATGATTCCCACTTGCTTTCCTCCATGCCACACCTGACCCCACTCACCTGTCTCTTGCAGATGACAGCTGCCAGGACCAAGCGGGGACCAACTGTGCTCTGGCCATCAAGGTGAACCTCTGCAGCCACTGGTATTACAGCAAAGCTTGTTGCAGGTCCTGCCGAGCTCCCCATTCCTAAGACAGGACCAAAGGGATCCAGCGGTTCTCCAGAGCATCCAGCGGGACACAGGAGCAGCCAGGTGTGAACTGGGACAGTTCCTGCCTGTCTGCCTACCCATTATGCCACAACATGGAGAGTAAGGGATGGAGGTCCTGTAATCCAAGACACCTCCTTCACCTCCCCCCTCCCTCCTGGGTTCCGGAAATGGAGGGACACATTGTTACATTTGCTACTACTGTAGATCAGAACCCCCCCTCCACTCCATGAGGAAAGTCTCGTTTTGTTTGGTTTTGTTTTTAAAAAAGACGTCATGAATATTTCCCCCCTTTTAGTTCTTGTTTTCCAATGGCTATGTTGTCTTTGAACTTTTGTGCCTCCCCTTCATCTCCTTGCAATTTGAACAGAATTAGAATAGCCCTTTCATCCCTGGCCCTTGGGAGCACTCTTTCCGCTTTCTAATTTTACACACAGGTTTGCATCGCGGGGCGCCCTGACCTGACCTGCTTAGCATCAGGTGAGGCACTCCATCTGGAGCTGCTGAGAAAGAGATTCTGACACACTGCTGTAATGACTGAAACACCGTGGTTTGTTCTCCAGCTTACCGTTTTGCACGACGGACATACATTCCATCCAGTTAAAATGCAGGGATCAGCCATCCATCCATCTTGGCCCTCCCCTTAGGTAAAGGAACTGCCTTTCAAAAATGCATTGTTGCCAAGCACCACATGCCTGTTTTATCCCTGAGATAGAAATCCTTTCTCCTACCATCTCCTGCTAGATGATGTCAGTGGCCCATCTAGTCCAGCATCCTGTTCTCACAGTGGCCAACCAGATGCCTGCAGGTGCAACAGCAACTCCCCCCACTTACCATTTCCAGAAGCTAGTATTCAGAGGCATACCACCTCAGACAGTGGAGGTAGAGCTAAGAAGAGCTTTGCTGGGTAAGGCCACCTAGTCCATTCTAACAGTGACTGCCCAGATGCCTCAATGGGAAGCCCACAAGCAGGAGCCAGGTGAATCAGCACTCTCCCTATTTGCAACTTGCAGCAATTGGTATCCACAGTGGAGGGAGAGCATAGCCATCAGGGTTAGTGGCCACTGATCCTCTTCTCCACCATAAATTAATCTTCTTTCAAAGCCATCCTAGTTGCTGGCCCTCACTGATGCCAACAGGTTACATTCTAGACTTGTAAAAGGCAAAGTTTTCTAAACAAACACACAGCACCACCAGGACTGACCCCATTGTAATTAAAACACAATCTCTCTCTCTCTCTCTCTCTCTCTCTCTCTGCCTCTTCCTCTCTCTTTGACTTCATCCTCTTGTAAGCTGTTCCTTTCCCTTCTATTTTCAATAACATTCCCCAGCAGCTCAGCACTTAAGGAGCAGAACTTAACGCTCCCCAGGCGACTCTAAGCCAAAAAGCCCATTAGATATAATATGTAGGTGTCTATGTTTTCAGAGATTTTTTAATTTTATTTTATTGTGTAATCAAATCCCAGACCGTGTAGTCCTTTAATTAAAAGAAAAGACATAAAGCCAACAATAGTTGTAGAGTAATGAAAACATAACAGCAGCACTTTATATCACAAAGAGAGTCACGCTCTCTCTTTTTAAAAGATAAATAAAGAAATAAGTATATTTGTTTACAAACAGTGAACTTTATCCCTGTAACCACAGAAACTGTACCCATTAAGTATATTTTAAAATAAAAGTTGTCATATTTATAGTGCCAGCTTGATGTCTTCCCTTTTGCTTTGGACATTGTGGTTTAAAAGAACAACGAGGAGAATGAATGTTCCACCCTACACCCCCCCAACAAATACTAGAATCTGGGATCTCTGGATTCTAGGGAAATTAAGGTGGCATCATATTATGTGTCCATTCAGCTGCAGTTCATCTTCTGCCAAAAATGACATCATTCATCTCACTGTCTGTTGTGGCAAAATCACACAACTTCCGTAATTTATGTAACTGATCACATGAATAGCACCTGAACATCAGGTGCTGATCCACAGTAGAAGGGCACTGACCTCTTCCTCCACCTTGCTTATGAATCATAATGGGAGAACTCTCAATGATTTTAGACTGCATATGCATATGCCTTGTACCAAGTACACCCTGACTGGAACCAGCTCTCCAGGGTCTTGGGTAAAAGGACATCTGCCCCATTGCCTGATCATTGGCTGAACCTGGGGCCTGAACCCGGGGCCATCCGCATGCCGGTTGGAATGACTGACTGCATCATTCAATCACTTCCAATATAGAGCGGTAGCAATTGTGTCCTCTGATAAGATGATCCTTTGCATCTATGTGCATGTCCTGCTTATAGTGCCTCGTGGAGAAATTGAGTTCCGTTGAAATAGAGTGATGTTTCTTCTTGCACTAAAAGGGTGTATTCCATGAGCCTTAGCTAGCAGACATTTTGCAAACGGTGGTCCAGAAAACTTCCTTCTCAGAAGGAAGGAAGGTGAAATTTTCAGGTTGCCATGTTCTGCACCACAGAGAATACCATTGAATACCTGTATTCAATGATAATCCTACTCAAGGAGACCCACTGAAAATAATTCACATGACTAAGTTAGCAGGCTGGCTTAAATCGGGACGGGCCATCCTTCAGTGGTAAAGCATCGGCTCTGCATGTTGAAGGACCCTGATTCAGTCCCTGGCAGCATCTGCAGAGAGGGCTGAGAATGCCCCCTGCCTGAAACCCTGGAGAGCGACTGCCAATCTGTGTAAACAATACTGAGCTACATGGACCAATAGTCTGATTCATTACTTTCAATGGACCCGCTCTTAAATAAAAACAGGTGTCATGAAAAAGAGCACACTTCTCCCTCGAGAACAAAGTCAAAGATAGGTTTATTTTTTTAAAAGTTTTTGTTCTTAAGAGTCCAGAAGGCCTGTACAAGATAACCACAAGGCAAAATGAATGAAAATCCATGAAATATTTCAATTAATTTCAAAGATATACAATGAAGGGCCTTGGGGTTGGGGAGATGAGCACGGAATAAATAATAGGAAGATAATAAACACAACCACAATTTTAATGCAACAAATGGCTTTTTTTTTCTTTTTGAAAATAAAAATGCCATCGAAAAAAGTGCAAGTTTTAAGAAGAGTTGTACAAAATTTACCCAGAGTTCTGTAGAAGTAGCTGCAATTACATCAGATCACTTCAAAGACTGAGCACAGCAAAATGGAAACTTGTCATACAGGACATGGCCTAGGATAGTGAGAGTCAGGCCCGTGCAGGGGGTGGGGTCCGGTGGGGTGGGTAGCCGGGTACACTTGTCCTGAGTCTCAGAGGGCTAAGCTGGCTGGGGGTCCCACCAGGGAACAACTGCTTTTTTGTCTGTGTTTATAACTTTATTCTAACAGGACTCTTAGCCCCCGGGCCTCAGACAAGCTCTACACCGGTCTGTTGAATGTTGTCACAAACTGGATGGCTGTGGGGGCAGGCAATGGGTGGGGGGGGGGAGACACCAAGCAGTAACAGAATTGGCATGTCCATTGATATAATAATACCCATTGACATAAAATACCAATGTTTCTAGTCAATGTTGCAGAAATATATTTTGCACTTTGGACAACCATCCACCCCGCCCCTTCAGGTTGCGTACACCCATCTCTATAAAGTTCCACAACCCTGAAGGCTTTGAACCCCAAACCACCAATTGGAATGTTAGTCCCTTGAACGTTGCAAAGTTATTCCTGGGTGGAGTTTTACAAGTCCAGGAAATGGATAACATTGCTAACGGACTCCATCTTTGTGCTTTCAAACCAGAAGTGCTTGCGAAGCAAGATTTGCTCATTTGGAAGGATTGAGTTGACCTGCTTTAATTTTGACTGAAAGGCCACAAGTTGGTCCCAGTGTTCTAGGGCACACCCACACCATACAATTAAAGCACTCTCAAGCCAATTTAACAGTCGGCGGGGGGGGGGGGTGTTCCTGTTTGTTCAGGATGCTGAGAGTTGCTAGGAGGCCCCTCGCTGAGATACAAGGACTGCAGATCAGTGGCAGAGCATCCACTTTGCATGCAGAAGGTCCCGGGTTCAATCCCCAGGTAGATCTGGGAGGGACTCATGCCTGAAATCCTGGAGCGCCGAAGCCAGATGATACTGAGTTAGGTGACTGGGTAGAAGGCAGCCTCCTATGTTCCAACAATTCACAGCACCCTTTAACAAGCTACCCTACAAGGATTCTTTGTGGGGGAGCCATAGCTGTTAAAAGAGCTATAGAAGTGCTTTAAGTATATGGTGTGATTGTGATCTTAGGCTATGATGAGAGCTTTCAGATGAGAGCAAAGGTTTTTTTATGAGAGTTTTCGGATGAGAGCAACTACAGAGGACCATAGGAATTAAGACTCTTCAGGCCCACAGCATGAAATTTTGTCAAGCTGGGCATTATTTTAAAGGAAGTAGACCGAGGCAAGATGGATGTCTTTTCACTTAATTATTTTAAATCTCATTATTTATTTTAAATAAATATTTTAAAAATTTATTTGTTTTAAATCTCTTGGTTCAATCCCGAACCATTGGCAGGGTCTCTCTATAATATTTAATATAATATTGATAGCAGCTGTTTCAAGGGTGCACTTTTAGCTATAATGCAGTCCAAATGTTTGTTTGAACGAAACAGTTCTTTGCCATCTTCCACATTGCTGAGTGTCCAGAACACAAGGCCCAATCCACTAGCTACTTCTTTTGCCTGTGCTCCCAGTGAAGTGAATGTTTCTTGAACTCATGTATGAGCAATGTGCTTTAATTCAAGATGCCCCACCCCATGGAATTAGAAAAGAAATCCAGATGGAGCTCATTATGTGAATGGCTGTTGACTGAACCTGGTTTCCTTGCCTTTTGCTGAACTTATCTCCAGTCTTGCTATTCTCCCCCTACAGATTCAATCTAACAAGGGGCTACCTGCATTGAAGCCTGCATCTGTGGGAGGGTTCCTGAAATTTTGGATAGGGGCAAGTCGATGTAATATCCTGCAGAGCTAGAACATGGTCACATAATGGCAGTTCTTCTCTAAAATAAATAAAGGTAAAGGGACCCCTGACCATTAGGTCCATTCGTGACTGACTCTGGGGTTGCAGCGCTCATCTCGCTTTATTGGCCGAGGGAGCCGGCGTACAGCTTCCGGGTCATGTGGCCAGCATGACTAAGCCGCTTCGGGCGAACCAGAGCTGCACACAGAAACGCTGTTTACCTTCCCACCGCAGCGGTACCTATTTATCTACTTGCACTATGACGTGCTTTCGAACTGCTAGGTTGGCAGGAGCAGGGACCGAGCAACGGGAGCTCACCCCGTCGCGGGGATTCGAACCACCAACCTTCTGATCGGCAAGTCCTAGGCTCTGTGGTTTAACCCACAGCGCCATCCGCGTCCCTTTTCTGTAAAATAGTTTTGCTTTTATTAGAAACATGAACTTGACCCCGTATAAGGTTGTCTGTCCAAACAAGATTACATGATCAGCTACTCCTCTATCAATTCCTTGCAGAGGGGTGCTAGCACCAGGTGTTTAGTACATTTTAAATCTGATCACATTTCCCATTCATGCGTGTTGAAACATGGTATTGAGTTGAGAAGGGATGTGAGTGGGAAGAACCAATCTGGGCGTAAAGAGTAGCCATGGTACTGGAGTAATGCCACCACATTTTTCTCTATGGCTTGCATGACAGAGAGCCTGGCTTCAGCAATCCATGCTCTGATAAACCTCTGGGTTAGATTGCTGCAATGTGCAATATGTGGGCCTGACCTTGAAGACTGTTTGGGAACTGCAGCTAATGCAGAATAACGGGGGCAAATAGAAAACCTTAATACACCTGTTCTGGCTGGCTGTGCAGACCTGTCAATCTTCATTTCCCATCATTTTCTCATTTTCCCACTTTTAAATTCAGTTCTCCACATTTCCACATCATCAGCACTCCAGTGCAAAATTCTTATACCATACACATATGTGTATGCAGTTTTTCCTAACATATACATTGTTGCAAAGGAATTCCTCCCAATATAATGCATTTTCATAGACAGATACATTTTTATATGCACACTTTATCCTAGTATATGCATTTTTGGACATTGGCTGGAGAACTGCATTGGATTTGGCTGGAGAACAGCATTGCAAAATTCAGAGAAGTGCAAATTTCAAAGGATAGCTGTGTTTGGGGCCATGCATCATATTGGAAATTGCAGACTGGGTAGGTTTGCCTTAAAATGCAAACTGAGTGCAACAGCTGCACACTCCTAGACTGAGGTGGATGGGGCAGTGCACCATTGGTGCAAACAGGCCAGCCTCCACTACCTGCAGGACAACATCTGACCATTCCCCCCCCCCCACCTCTAATGTAGAACAATGGTGCTAAGCAAGACAATAATAATAGATCTCCCTGTTTTGTTTAAAGATGGGAGCACACCAAAGTCAAAAGTGCTAAAATGGTGTGGTTGAATCAGATGTGGAGAGCCTTTGGCCCTCCAAATGTTGCTGAACCACAACTCCCATCAGCCCCAGCAAGCATGCCCAGAGATCCCAAGGGATGATGGGAGTTGTAGTTCAGAAACTTCTGGAGAGCCAAAGATTCCCCTCACCAGGACTGGAAAGCTCAATCCATTAACTCTGACAAAATACTGTTTCTTCTTCTTTAAATTCATGGCAATATCCAGAGGTCATTTTTTTAGAAGTCCCTGCTTGCTCCCTGGGAGGTGGTGGGTCCTAATGAGGTGAGATTATGTGCCAGGTGGTTGGGTGGCATTTGTGGCTTGTTTTTTAGTAAAAAATAAAATAAAGGCAAGATTGAATTTGTCTCCAGCCAAGGTCCTAGAAGACATCTGAAAAGTTGTCACAGGACGGCACATCACCCAGTCAGAAAATAAAGGAGGGCACAGTGGCAATTCAGCATGAAGCATGGGGTTGCCCTAGAGCTGCCCCCCTCCACCATAGCCTTGTACTTGCAGACTTTCATGACAGCAAATGAAAAGGGGGGAAATCTAACGCTTACAAAAGGATGCCCTGTATCAAAATCTTCTCATATACAGTGGTACCTCGGGTTACATACGCTTCAGGTTACAGACTCCGCTAACCGAGAAATAGTGCTTCAGGTTAAGAACTTTGCTTCAGGATGAGAACAGGAATCGTGCTCCGGTGGCGTGGTAGCAGCAGCAGGAGGCCCCTTTGGCTAAAGTGGTGTTTCAGGTTAAAAACAGTTTCAGGTTAAGAACGGACCTCCGGAACGAATTAAGTACTTAACCCGAGGTACCACTGTATCTATATATATATCTATATATAGATACAGTGGCACCTCGTGTTATGTACCATCCCCCTTATGAATGTTGCGGGTTACGCACTCTGCTAACCCGGAAGTAGATGCCCCTTGTTGCGACCTTTGCCCTGGGATGCGAGCAGAAGTCGCGCTCCAGCGGCACGGCCGCAGTGGGAGGCGCCATTAGAGAAAGTGCGCCTCATGTTATAAACGGACCTCCGGAATGGATTAAGTACGTAACACGAGGTACCACTGTATGTAACTATCTATATCTATCTATAGCTATATATAGATATAAAAGAAACAGTTGTCAACACTAAACTTTAGAAAACCTATATGCACCCATCAAATCTATTAATTCTCCCTCCTCCCCTTTATACAGTGCATTATTTAATAGGTATATAGATAATTATCCATCGTTAACATATAAATACATTCATCATTTTTAAAAGACTCTCTGTGGGTATTTTTTTTGTCCTGTAAAAGAGTGACGCCATGTTATTATTTTTAAGCCACAAGGGTATTTAGGGAAGGGGGAGGGGAAACACCCTTTCACAGAACCAAAGAATTAGAGAGTTGGAAGAGACTCAAAGGGTCATCTAGTCCAACCCCTTACAATGCAGGAATCAGCAGGATATGTATGCCACCAACGTTACCCACCATCGAGCTGCGGGTCACGGCTGCTGGCACTCATTAGACGTCCGTGCTGATGCTGCGGCTGCGCGAGAAAGCCTCCCGCATGGCTGAGAGGCGGTTGGGGTTGAGGGCCTGGAGGCCACTCATGTTGACGGGCAGCTCCAGGTCTTCCTGGCTGATGGCCTTGTAGTTGATGAGGTCGCCCCCATTCTGGACCTCCTCTTCCTCCTCCTCCTCCTCCTCCTCTGGCTCCTGGAGGAAGAAGGTGGGCGGCTCATAGTGTGAGCAGTTGGGGCATACTGTCCGGCACTGGGAGTGCTTCTTGTAGGGGGAGGACGAAGATCGGTACAAGGATGGGCCGTTCGTCAGAGCCACGTTGCGGTTGCAGTGGAGAGGCGGGATGTGGGAATCCATGCCAAAGTCTGGTTCATCACCGTCCTCGTCGGACTCCTCCTTCTTGCAGCAGTAATACTGGGGGAGGCAAAGAGGGGAAGAGGCAGGGATTTGATGAGAAGGTGGCTGTACGTCTCACCATGTCTCCCTTTCAGGTTGACATTGATGCTTTCCCATGAGATCCACAAAAACTCCAAGCAAGCACATCGCTCCTGCTGCCCATGCTCAAAGAATTCTGGGAACTGTAGTTTGTTAACAGTTGGTGGGAATTGTAACTACAGGTCCTAGAATTATTTGAAGGAAAGAATGCACTTTGAATGTGCTTTAAATGTATATTGTGTACACAGCAGCAGCAATAATAATAATAATAATAAAAATAATAATAATAATAATAATTTTTATCCCACTTTTCCCCCACACTGGGGCTCAATGTGGCTTACACAAATTAAAACAACAGAGATAAAATGCAAAAAAGTTAAAAACATATAGAAGAAAATAATGTGAAAGTAATTAAATTCTAATAGAATCTAAACAATATAAAAACACCTCTATCAAAATACAGATTGCAAAAATAGCACAGCACTATTATTAGCCCTTAAAAAAGCAGTCAGTTCTTAAAGGCCTGTTGGAATAAAACAATCTTCACCTGCCAGTGGAAGGAGAGCAAAGAGTGAGCTTGTCTGGCTTCTCAAGGGAAGGAATTCCAAGAGGGCCCTTTCCTGCGTCCCCACCAAGGTGGGTCTGAACAAAGGGCTACTCAGAGCCCAGGCGGGTTTGTATGGGAGAATACGTTCCTGCAGAGAGCCCGGGCGTAAGCCTTAAAGCACTAGTATACCACTTTAAACAGCCATGGCCCCCCACTCCAAGAATCCTAAGAAATGTAGTTTGTTGAGATTACTGAGTGTTGTTAGGAGATCCCCTCTTCCCCTCACAGCTACAGTTCCCTGGAAAGATCATTACACCATTCTGAAATTCATAGCTCTGTGGTCACCTGTTGCTTCACCCACCTTTGCCTCTTCTCCTTTAAAACCCCTTCTCCCCGCACACTTTTATAATTGAAATACCTGAAGCCTACAATAGCAGAGAACTGCTATGATACACAGTAATATGACAGTCGCTAATATTCCGCCTGTGATGACCACAGTCCCGGCTGTCATTCGACCTCTTCTCCATTAACACCCTGGAAGACATAAGAGGTGTAAAGAGTTAGGAGCCAGACCTTCAGGCAACAGAGTAGTTACTGCAGCTTGGGACCAGAGCAGCGGCCTCAGTGATTGGGGTAGCAGTGAGATTTTCCGACGGCGTGTGCCTGGATCTCTGCAAAGCTGCACAGGGTACAACTCTCAGGCCATGTGCCCTCCACCCGTCATTTCCTCTGTGTTACGTTTTCCTCCCTCTGTCCTAGCACTAGAACTCCTGGACTTCCAATGAAGCTGAATGATGGAAATTTCAAGACAGATAAAAGAAATGACTCTCCTTCATTGAAAGTTTTGAAGCAGAGGTTGGCTGGCCATCTGTCACGGATGCTTTAGTTGAGCTTCCTGCATTGCATGGGGTTGCGCTAGATGACCCTTGGGGTCCCTTCCAACTCTACAGTTCTATGATTCTACGACTTCTTCATGCAGCACACAGTTAAACTGTGGAACTCCCTCCCACAGTAGGCAGTGATGGCCACCAACTTAGATGGCTTCCAAAGAGGGCAATGGCTGAGCTCTGCCTCCACAGTTGGAGGCAGAAATGCTTCAGTTGCTGGAAACTACAGGAGGGGACAGTGCTTTTGTGCTCAGGTCTTGCTTGGGGGCTTCCCAAAATGAGTATCAGGTTGACTCCTGTGAAACCAGGATACTGGACTAGATGGGCCATTGGTCTGACCTAGCAGGGCTCTTCTCATGTCCTTAGGACCAAAAAAACCTCATGGAGCAGGGAGTACAAGGGTGAGGGAGCTCTGGGTGCAGTGAGGTTTTTACATGTAAGTCTTCTCCAGCCTGCCGTGGTACAGTCCAAGCCAGGCCGTGCTATATGATAACAATTGCACTCACGTTCCAGTGGTTGAAAGCTGGGCAGCCCCACCTATCTGTCATAATTGGCCTGCCAACCAGCTCCTGTTCCCCATCAATAAAAATAATAAAAATCACAGCTAGTACAGTAGAGTGGCTAAAGTGACCTAGGAGAGACCAGGGTTCAAATCCCTTCTTGGCCACTGGGTGCCCTTGGTCACAGCTATTGCCTCTCATCCTAACCTACCTGGCAGGGTTGTTGTGGGGATTAAATGAGGAGGAGAACCATGTTTGCCCGCTTGAGCTCCTTGGAGGAAAAAGGGGGCTATAAATGCAACCAACCGACCAACCAACTGACCAATCAACCAACCAACCAACCAACCAACCAACCAATCACTCAAATCACTGACAGAATAGAGGAAGCTTCTGTTGTTGCTTGGTGGCAGAGCCTCAGAATAAGAAGGGGTCTCTTTCATCCTTTTAATTTTCAAGCAGAGGATGCCAAGCTCTTTCCCCACAGACACAACCTTTCTAAATCTGTGCAGACGGTGGCGAAGCTCTGCAGAAACACCCGCCGGTGCCTCCAGCCCACCTTGCAGTGCCAGCTGGCTGGAATCTGCGACAGCTAACGAACCCGTTAGACAGGCACTTTGGAACTTGGAGGCCTCTGTAAGAGGCCGCCTTGCAAGCAGGTGTACGGGAAAGGAGGTGGCCCCATGGGGAGTGAGGGAGCCAGGCCCATGCTCTTCTCGGCTTTATTTTGGATTTTATTCAGGGCTCTGCACCTCCTCTCAGACTTGAATGCCACATCAGGCAGATGCTACATGTAGGAGAAGAGATACCTCCCCTTTATCCAAGAACAATTTCCGGCACTCTCAGACACAGATATACATTGCAAGCTGCCTATTCTCGAGTCAGATCATTGGCCCATCTAGCTCAGTATTGTCAACACTGACCGGCAGCAACTCTTCCGGGCTTCAGGTAGGGGGCCTTGCCCAGTCCTTCCTGAAGATTGAACCCGGGAGTTCCTGTGTGAAGAGCAAACATTCCATCGCTTGAGCATTCATAGTAAACGTATCTTAAGGCTTCTCCTCTGTTCAGCAGTTGGCATCTGCTTAATCTCTTCCCAAGTGGAGTTGTACAGGCCTTGCGATGTAGGGCAGTCATGGAGCTGGGATACTTTTGCTGGGTCTCGATGAGTGTCTGCAGCCGCCTCAGCATCCTCATCGCCCTCCAGTGCAGGCACCAGTATCCTCCCCTGTAGTATTGCTTGGAATCTGCTCCTCTGCTTCTTTTTCCTGTTCATAATCTGTGCTAGCTGGTGTGACAGTAGAAGGCAGACCTGGCCTATTGCATATCAATTCAGAAAAGTACTTGAGGTCTTGTGTCTCTTCCTCTCACTGCCCAGAAAAAGCATTTTACTGTTCACTGTGCTCATCAAAATGAAGCACTTTTCTTGCACTGACCTTTCGTGTTTCTAAGTCCATAACTCTGTAACCTTTGCCTCCAGAAGTATACCTTAGCATAGTTTCTCATTCTACCCTGGAGTTCAGCTTGCCTATTCTCTTTGGGTATATAGGCAATGCTGCCAAATACATGCCTGTGTGATAGGTTAAGTACACTTCCATGTCAAAGCTCAAAAGGTGTGCATGCTGCCCCCGCAGTCTGTTCTGGAGATACCCTGCAGTGGCTACTGCAGCTCCCCACATGCATTTGAGGAGGCCAGCATCGCTCAGCATGCATCAGGTCATCTCCATAAACTCTGTATTAGCTACTGAGCTCTGTTGTGGGGTGTGACTAACACTCCTCCCATGTGTAATGGCTTCCTCTTCCAGGAGGGTTCTCATGTGGTTTGAAGTAAACTCACCACTGTTGTCGTTCATGAGAGTTGTAGTTTCCCTCTGCAACTTGTTGCTCACCATGGCGAGGTACTTTCTGAACATATCCACTGTCTCATTTTTCTCCCTAAGGAGGTACAGAACACAGTATCCTGAAAAGTCATCTAGGAAAAAAACAACGTACTCATTTTTCCCTAGCAAGGAAACACTCAGTGGCCCACATACATCACTATAGACTACATCAAGCACTCTGGTGCTTCTTTGTTGAGTATATGAGGGGCGGGGGGGAAACGGTTTAACACTTTTCTCAGTTAGGCAACCTACGCACTTCATTGCGGTTGATGCACTCTGGAGTACCTTCTCCCCTCTTGCAAGCTCCTTGCATTTCAGTTCCCTAATGGCTTTGATGCCTCTGTGGCCAAGCCTTCTGTGCCAGAGCTCTGGGTCTGCTTCAGCCTTCTGAGGTTCTGCGATATTAGTCTCAACACATAATTCACCATCTCCGGTCACCTGGCATCTTCAGTCCTCAAACTGCACACAGAAACCATTTTTCCTGTCCAAGGTAGATACATTGAACATGCTGCAATTCAACTGTAGGACAAACAGGACCTGTTCCACAGGATTCTCTCTCAGTAGATTGCTTAGCTTGCAATTTGAGGTTCCTGCACCTGCACCACATATTGTTATGGTTTTGCCATCTGCAGCTTGGATATTGCCATCCACTGATGGGTCAATATTGTTAATGCCTCCAAAGATTTATATTTATATATATATATAAACTCATATGAGTCCATTAATCATCTACTTGATTTTGTTTACAGTTAGATTCTTCTCTTGCAAAAGAAGGCCCTTTTCTTTTCCCCTTACTTTGGCTTGCTTGCTTAAATGCAGGGGATCTTCCAGAATGTGACCTTCTTTGCTGTATTTGAAGCAAATAATTTTTCTGAGTGTAGCCTTGGCTCTCCTTTGGGACTGAGACGCATAGTTTGTCTTGTATCCCTGGCTGGGAAGCTTGCTCTTCTCTCCACACTTTCCTCTCTCAGGTGCTCGATCACATCTGCTAGCCTTAGGTTTGGTTTGTCATCCATGAGAGTTTTGAAATTTAGGTCCTCGTGACCTCAAAAAATAGCAAACTTTCTGTTCCTCATCCATTTTGTACTGTTTAGATTCCAGCTTTTCAATAACGGTTAGGAACTCTGTCATGTGACTGTCACAGTCCTTCTTGGCTTCAAGTTTTAATTTAAATAGATTTCTCACCCAGGCATGGTGGGAACCCCTTGCTTGTGAATCCAAGTGCTTTTTGCAACTTTTCAAGCACCTGAGCAGCTGTATCATCTCTTTTTGTGTGAACCATTTGGGTCTCTGAAATACTATCCAGAATGATAGGCACCGTCAATTTATTCTCTTGTTCCCACTCCTTTGAGGCTTTGTCCTCACTAGGTTTCGCTTTCTCAATACATTATAAAATAGCTTTCATATCATGTTTGGCTTCTAATTGTCTTTTCCATTGGATGAAATTGCTTCGTGTAAGCTTAGGTAATTTGAGACTTTCCTCAACAATGGAATTCCTGCTATCCATTTTAGAAAAATCAAAAATGGAAAAATTCCCAAAAAGGGGGGGGGGGGGGAGAAAGGAAAAATATTCCAAAATAAAAATAGGGAAAATCACAAAAAAATAAAACATTCTCAAAATCTCCAAAAGTAAAATAAAATTATTTAATCCTCTTTGCTAAAACCCCAAAGCAAAAAGCATGGAGCAGAATAAGAATCCTTTAGTATAACTGCTTTGCATTAGAAGAGTAGATAGACAAATGAGGGGTGAGTTGATCCGCTCACAATAGAAACAAAGCAAACAAAAGATTGCCTGGGAAAGCTTCTCCTTCACCTTGAGGCTAAGAAATACAATCTCTCTGAGTGCACTTTAAAATCAAGCCTAAAAAATCACCCAAAGAGGTCAAAAGTCTCTGCAAAATGCTTTCACAACTCTGGGATTTATTCTCACTCTGGGCCACCATAACCTTATGCTGGAAAATAACTGGGGAAGACCAGGTTAACTCTGAAGTCCCACATGTGTAAAGGTAAAGGGACCCCTGACCATTAGGTCCAGTCGTGACCGACTCTGGGGTTGCGGCGCTCATCTCGTTTTATTGGCCGAGGGAGCCGGTGTGCAGCTTCCGGGTCATGTGGCCAGCATGACTAAGCCACTTCTGGCGAACCAGAGAAGCGCACAGAAACACCATTTACCTTCCTGCCGGAGTGGCACCTATTTATCTACTTGCACTTTGAGGTGCTTTCAAACTGCTAGGTTGGCAGGAGCAGGGACCGAGCAACGGGAGCTCACCCCGTCACGGGGATTCGAACCGCCGACCTTCTGATCGGCAAGTCCTAGGCTCTGTGGTTTAACCCACAGTGCCACCTGCGCCCCTTCCCACATGTGTAGGAAACTGCAAAAGAAAAAAATGGCTGACTGCCTTTATTCAAAAAAGTGCAGGGCTTGACTCACCCTTTAGCCAACAGCTGCTGCCCCCGCCACAAAGTTTAAAACAGAAGTAGGTGCAGCATTTGCAAAGTGCAGGAAATATAGGTTTTTAGATCTTTAAATATCCCAGTATGAAGCACTGACAAAGTGCTCCCCCACCTCTACCCCTCTCAGAATGAATAGACAACAACCTTAAGTAAGTTGAAATGCTTTACTTACAGTAATCAGAGGTCTCACTCATGCATTGTTCAATGTTACAGCAGAAACAACAGAGGCAAAGTATTCTTGGTTACAAAATATAGAAGTTGGTCTCAAGCACGCAATCTTAGTGTGAAGCCCCAACCTCAGACGTCTGCTCAGTTACATGGTTAAAGAGAGAGAGAAAGAGACAGATAGTGAGAGAAAGGAACAGGAAACAACCATTACTTCCGAAGGTGAGGGGACATAACCTAACCAAGCATTTTCTAGCAAATTACAGCACTGTGGTCCTTAATCTCTTCATTTACTAACTAGCACAGTTATTCATTGTTAGGTTTGACTTCAAAATCTACCACAATCTTAAATCCTGATTCTGTCTTCTGCAACATAAGTTACTCCTCCCAGTTTGGTGTCATCTGCAAATTTGATGAGCGTCCCCTCAATATCTTCAGCCAATATGTTTGTAAAGACATTGAACAGCAGGGCCAGGACAGAAACCTGTGGCACCCCACTTGTCAGTTTTCTCCTGGATGATGAAGAACCATTAGTGAGCACTATTTGGGTTCGGTAAGTCAACCAGGTACAAATCCACCTAACAGTCACCATGTCCAGACCACATCCTACCAGCTTCTCTGCAAGAATATCATGTGGGACTTTGTCAAAAGCATTAATGAAATCAAGATATCTAGTCCCCTACATGTTCCCCTGGTGCCTACTTCCCAAAGCCCAGTAAGCTTCTGACCAGCTTAGGATGCTCACATGTGCAACATCATTTCCTCCCCCCATCGCTCTGACAAGCTGGCACCTCTGGCTCCAACTGTTTCCCTACGAAAAATTTCACTGCACACTCCTGCAAGATATACTACGTCCATAGCATTTCCCCAAGCTTGTAATTCTATAAAAAAAGAAAGAAACGCGATTAATCAGCAGTGACCTGCTTTTGAGAAACCCATCTTATATCTTACTAATCACAACATTCTTTTCTAAGTGCTCACAGACCAACTGTTTAATTATTTGTTATGGGACCTTTCCTGATAATGACATCAAGCTGACCGGTCAGAAGTTACCCGAGTCTTCTCCCCCTGCCCTTTTTAGAAGATGGGGACATTTGCCTGCCTCCAGTATGCAGGGACCTCACCTGTTCTCCAAGAATTCTCAAAGATTACAGATTGAGGCTCTGAAAATACACCTGGACGCTCCTTTAGCACCCTTGGGTGCTGCTCATCAGGCTCTACTTCATTTAAAGTAGCTAGGTGTCTCCTTGCCTCCTCTTGGGCTGCAGCTCCCTCCTAGCATCTTTTATTCTGCTATCAGCAGGTTGAGCACTGCTTTTATTTTGGATGAAGACAGAGGCAAGGTAGGTGTTGAGCAGCTCCACCTTCTCTCTGTCACCCAAGAGCATTTCTCCATCTTCTCCATGCAGAGGACCTACCACTTGCTTGCTCTTCCTCTTTCTGCAAACATAACCTAAGAAACCTTTTTAATATTTTCTTTCTTTACCTCTCTTGCAAGACTGAGCTCATTCTGAGCTATGGCCTGCCCAACATTCACCCTGCAACTCTTGGCTACTCATGTTATAACCTGCTTCTTGATTTCCCCTGTCTTCCATTTCATATATATGCCCTTAAATATCAGTTCATCTGTAAGCTCCTTATGCAGCCACACCAATTTCTTTAGATACCTCTCACTTTCCTTTTTTTTTGTTGGAATTGCCTCTGTATCATGAAACCCAGGAGGACATGATCACTTAATCCCAACTTTCCCTGTACTTTGTCGGTCAATTCCTCCCTGTTGGTGAAGACCAGGTCCAAGATAGATGATCCCCCTTGTTGCTTTTTCCACCTTCTGGGAAATGGATTTGTCAGCAAGGCAATGGAGGAATAGGTTGGACTTTACAGTCTTGGCAGAGTTTGAGTCCCAGCAGATATCCAGGTAGTTCAATTCTCCCTTGACTATTATACTCTCAATTTGCCTTTCATGTTCCAGGTCATGGAGTATATACAACTTCCTTTACATAGAATGCTGCTACTCTTCCCTTCCTGTTTGGTCTATTCCTTTTCTTCCAGGACAGTCCACTCTGCTCTATCAAGACATTCCTCATCTTGCCTTGTAGCTCGAAGTGTAGATGGGACTCATTATTTTTGTGTGTGAAGTTGTTGAACTTTCAGCTGATGTCTCTCCATTTGCCAGTCCCACCCAAAAGGCAAACTCTTCATCAAGTCAATCCTTTGAGACAGAGGCAGCGAGCGACCTTTCCCTGGTGCATCTGCCAGAGTGGTGCACAGAAGCAAGACTCCACAAGGGCACATGAGCAGAAGGGCTACCTCGCATTGCTGCTACCGCCACGGTTGGCCATGAGCAGCTCTGAGGCGCCAGACAGAAGCCTCTCATCTCCTTGGGTCGGAGGGCAAAAACACAGAGAGGTAACCCAAGTGTGTGTGTGACTGTCAAGGCCTCCTCCTCCTCCTCAGCTCAAGGAGGCGGCCTCATTCTTTCCCTCCATTCACAGGTATAATGGCTGCAGTGGAGCGAGGAGGAGGGAAAGAAAGGGAAGTGGGAGGCAGGCTGGTACTACCCACATGTGTCCAAGCCTCCTTCGCTGCCCAGATCCTGAGGTGCTGCTGCTGAAAAGCTTCTGAGGAGGCAGAGGGCTCACCTCATGTAGGATGGGAGAGGGTGGCAGCCTGGCGTTGTGTGGACCTAATGCACCGAGTGAGGGGTGGTGGTAGAAGGAGCCTCCAGCTTCTCTTTGCCTCAGAGGCAAGAAGTGACCTTGCCCTCCCAAGCGGAGAGGGAAGGGGAGGAGAGGCATTAGCCGTTGCCACAAGCCACGTGTCAGCACTCCTCGCTAACAGCCGCTCTGCCCCTCTTCACTCCCTCTCTTGCAAGCACTCCCCCTTGTTGAGCTTTTTCTGGGAACATCCCCCCACCAAAAAATTAAGCCTTTGGGGATTTCAAAAGCATTTTTAAAAATTGCCCTACTTGCCATAAGTCCTGGTTTTATGGACATTTTATCGATTTTGCAAAAATCTGCCCGGATGCCATTTTTCAGCCCGATTCCTGGATGTGTCCGGGGAAACCAGGATGTACGGCAGCCCTAAGATCGACAGGCCTCAAATTTCTGTACCTTCTCTTCCAGTAAGTAAGGCAATCAGCTTGCACTTGCTGCAGGTGTATTTTAGCACATTCTCAGGCAGGAAGACAAACATGGCACAGGTGTTGCAGGTTATTGCAGCAGCGCCTTCGCTGTCCTGTCTTGGTCCTACAAACACAATGAGACAGCACTCTGGGCCTCCCCCTCAAATCCCCCTCCATTTCTGGTCATGAGCTCCCAGAGGCTGCTGTCAGCTAAACAGATGTGGCCCCCAGCAGGTTGGCCAAAGCTGAATGTGGCCTTTAGGCTGAAAAAAATCTTTGTCGGCTCTGAAATATACTCTGCCCATCCTCTGTAAGAGGTCTGTCCTCCGTGAGGGGAGCAGAATTCATGGCTCCCTTTGATGCAAAGTGAACGGGGCAAGTATTTTTCAGCCACTGGGCCACATTCCCTCCTAGACAACCTTCCGAAGGCCACACACCAGTTGGGGGGGC